GTTTAATTTGCAAGAAAATGGTACGTACGCTGTTAAACTTGATCTTGAACTTTATGGTGTTGGGTTTGTGGCAGATTAATGATCAATTTAAACATATCATACAATTTAAAATACATTTTCAAAAAAAAACAAAGCTACTAAGCCTTAGACTACGCCTATTAAGCCTAAGCCTACCAACCTTATGCCTACTAAGCCTAAGCCTAGTAAGCCTAAGCCTACTAAGCCTAAGCCTACTAAGCTTAAGCCTACTAAGCCTAAGCCTACTAAGCTTAAGCCTACTAAGCCTAAGCCTACTAAGCTTAAGCCTACTAAGCCTAAGCCTACTAAGCCTAAGCCTACTAAGCCTAAACCTACTAAGTCTAAGCCTTCTAAGTCTACTAAGCCTAAGCCTACTAAGCGTAAGCCTACTAAGCCAAAGCCTAATAAGCCTAAACCTACTAAGTCTACGCCTAATAAGCCTAAATCTACTAAGTCTACGCCTAATAAGCCTAAACCTACTAAGCCTAAGCCTACTAATCCTAAGTCAACTATTTGTAATTTTATTAAGGCTAAGAGCAGTAAGTTTGAGCTTACTATGCCTAGACTTCTTGAACATATATAAGCCTTAAACCTAAGAGACTATTAGGTCTGTTTTGTTTGGCTTCGTCATAACAACGAAAACTTTCGTCTGGCCATTGGAGGTTTTTGGGAGTTATTGTTTTGGAAAAACAGTCATCGTTTTTGCCGAATAAAGATGATCGGAAAATGAATCAGTTTTGTTTAACCGCTCTTTAAGGCAATTCTTTGTTTAAAAAACCGTTTTTACTGGAGTTAGTTCACAGCTTTTTTTTGGTTTTTTGTGGTTATTTTGGTTGGTTTTAAGTATTGTAAATAATACTAACAATAAAGGTACCCGACCTGCCCCGTTCAGAATCAGCTCAAAACTTTTATGAGTTCTTGGTATCACCAGTAGTAAGTACCTATAAAAAATTTTAGCTCGCGCTTTTGAGTTTTAAATTTTAAATATTTTGGTATTTTGCCATTTTGGCAAATTTGGCATTGTGTTTCAAGCACTTTTTTTGATTTTCCTGACAAGGTACGCTTAGTAATTAAAAAATCTAGGTTTATCGAAAGGTATCCTACTAGTATATCAAAGAAAAATTTCTAAAATTCAAAAAATGGCAAATTTATAAGCTTGAAACACAATGCCCATTTGGCGGAAAATTCAAGAACTAACTTTTTTATCTCGATTTTCTAGATTCCCTGGAAAGCGCGATTTAGTACTTTGCTAAAGGTATTATATTTATATATCTTTATTTATAAAAAATTTGAAATTAATCAGAGCGGAACAGGTCGGGTACTTTCCTTGTAATTAATATACATTTATATTCTGACTATAATACTATTTTTAGTTTTTTAATTTTTCTTGGACTTTTTACTTTACAGTTTCTTAAAATTTGAATTTTTTTTAATTCTCGTTAGTAAGATGAATAATATAATTACTTTCAAAGTATTAATGTATTACCATATACTACTTTAAATTATAATATATTGCCATATATTACTTGGATATTTTTATATATTACAAAATGCTACTTTATATTTTAATATATTGTCATATATTACTTAGAGATTATTATATATTGTCATCAGGGCCGGGTGCGTGGCCCCCCCCCCCTGTGGACTTTCGGAAAAAAAATTTCGCAAAAAATCGGCAGGTAGCTGCCTGTGCCGATTTTTTGGACCCCCGCTCCCAGACCAAAAGTCCCCGCCCGGCCCTGATTGTCATATATTACTTAGATATTATTATATATTACTATTAGTACCTTGAAAGTTTAAAAAGTTTAATCAGTACAGTTGCACCGTGCAAAAGAATTTCTTTTGCACTGTGCAATACAATGAACTCCAGATAGCGAATTGCAGGAAGATTGAAAAATCGTTCGCTGTATGGGGGTTTCGTTATATCCGGAGTTTTTTTATTCAAGAATCAGTACAAAATTGTCTCTTAAGAAGCTTAAAAAAATTCACTATAAAGGTGGTTTCATTGTGAAAAGAGTCCTACTGACGAAACTTTGCATCATTGTACGTTAGACTAGATTACCATATACTACTTTATATTACATATAATATAATGCTATATACTACTTTATGTTATAATATATTATGATATATTACTTTATTTTATAATATATTACTATATACTATTTTATGTCATAACATATTACTATATATTATCTTAGTGAGATCAGTATGTTGATTATAATTTTTTTTTATTATCACTTCATAATATAATAGTATTATAATAATACTGTTTGTATGACTCAAGGGAAAGCTTTTTACCACAATTTTTAAATACTTTTGTGAACTTTAAATTACTAAGCCTAAGGCTACTTTTTTCTCTGATCAGCCTATACGCCAAATGTAGAGAAAAAGGTCCGTAACTGTAGAAAAGAATGTTCAGTTTAGCTCAACTTCACTGGGTACGTAGGTCTAGAAAACTCTAACTCAGGACGGGCCTTAGCTGGTCTGGAACCGCGTCAGGCTTTTAAGACTGAAGACCGGTCAATTTTTAAGTTGTTTTTCACGGAAAATGAGCCAAAACTTTTCGTATGTCATGCACGCGGTCAAATTACGTGCGTAAAGTAGAAAAACTAAGGATAGCCATGATCACAAAGGTTGATTAGTCCAGCCCGTAAGCGCCGGACTCGGGTAGGTCTAAGTTGAGCAATTTTGGCCTCAAGGGGCCGGAAACTGATTTTATTATTGATTTTTTTGAATTCGCCTCTGTCTATAGAAGCTTATTAACCGTAAACCCAGTTACAATGATGTATTAGAAATTGGAGTCGTTATTCTACAGTTTAAACTGGTCCTCAAATAATTCGGAATTCAAAATTCCAGAAGGTTCCATGACTCAAGCTGAGCCAGTCTGACACCCTTCCATATTATAGCCAGGCATCACAGAGTGAAAAAGTACCCGACGACGTACGAAACAAAGGTAACCGACGACGTACGAAACAAACCGCGGTCTGGCCAAAGGCAAGGATACTACAGTACTATTGGGTTACGACGTAGGTTGCTCATTCAATTCATAAAGGAAATAGATCCACCGCCTCGCCAAAGAGAATCGAACCTCAATCAGCGACGCAGGGTAACTCAAACTAGCGGGATAGCGGATTTAAAGGTTAGTCGAGCAGGTGCGGGCGTTGGCCAATCCCCACCAGTGCTAAGTTCACTGGAACGAAAAAACCGCTGCGTCGACCCCTGCGTCAAGCGCCCTGTGTCAACGGCGAATTACCTCACCCATCATTGGCCGCTTTTCTATAAAAACCCCTCCGCTAACAGTGGAAGGAGGGGGAGGGCGGCATTCCATATTCCAATACTCCACTAATTATATACGTTTGTTGTAAAAATAAGTTGTGTTAAATATTTTTCTAACTCAGCAACAACTACGTAAGATTGTGCTTGCACTATTGTAACTAGCTTGAACACATACTTATATTAACTTATTTAATGTAGCAATAACTTGTCGTTGAGAATACTTTACGCTTAGATTGTAGTCTTGCTACAGTATCTTGTATAATGGGAAAACCCACGAGTAGACGGGTGTGTGTGTCCAGCATTCCCATCGACGAGTGTCTAAGCCACCCCCTTCCCTCACTAACTGTACAATGTTTCAGATGCATCGTAAGTAACCAATAGGAGGGGCTTTGAAACCTCACGTTGCGATCAGTCGCGCACACGACGCAGTCGATCATTGAAAACCATACATTTTCGGAGTATTTAAGAAAATAATCAATATTTATTAATTTGTTGATAAAACAATTTACTAATGTTAAAAAGGTCAAAAAAAAACATAAATTTCGTTTCAGAGGAACACCAAGCGATGTTGGACTAAGTGCAACTCAAAGGAAAGTACACATTATAAGTGTTAGTAATAGTTTAGAATACTGATAAATAAAACAAAATAGAGCCTTCAACGTAAAAAAGGTCCCAACTGTCACTTAGACTCTCTACCCTCATAACGATTAATCCCAACGACGGTATGTGGTTATACAATTCCAACATGCTACAAAACTACTAACTACGTATTAGTAGATTAGTAGTAGGTTGTAAATCCTATAAGAGATTACAAATTATTTTGTGTGTATTTTTTATTTCTATATGGCAGGATAACAACAGAAGTTATTCAGCAAGCAACGAGCCTCTTTCATGCAAGCTTTTCATGCAAGCTTTGAAGCTCTCAAAATCATCAATGCCCATCACACAATGTCATGTTCAATTACCGTGGAAGGCAGATTAAAAGGATGTCGCGAATGCCATGCCGGACCTGAAGCCAATCTTATTTGCCAATAAAAGAACCCAACGAGCGCCCAAATCAACTGCGGTGACACCAATCTGTTCAATATACCATGTGGCCAAGAACAGAGAAGCCTGATCGTAGTCTGGCCAAAGCCAATCACTATCACTTCTACTCCTCGTAAGAGCGAGAGGAAAACCGACTGAGCCAGAAGCCACACGCGCCTCCTGCTTATTTAGTTCATGCTTTATCTACATCTTAACCACCATACTACCCAAACTCAACAATATCTTCCCATCAATTAAAATTATCATTACTGTAAACCGCTATCTTGCTACTGCGACTCTAAACTTGTATACCTCAACAAAACACTATCTACATTACGGTAATCTACAATTATATAATTATATTAATTACTATACAGTCATATTAATCAACACTAATTCACCCCAATGTACCGTCAGAAGGTCTACTTATCATCATTCATAAAACCTTCGTAAAGAGCCAAACGAAAGAATGGCCACACAGTTACGAAAAAACCCCGATCAAGCCTCCTCCTTCAAACGGCTGAATCACCAGGCCGAAGCCATTCTATAAAAACTAAGCCTCGCTTCATTCAATCTTAGTTTTGTAACAAGCCGTTTTCCTTTGTAATTTCCATAGCTCGCGTCTCTAATACGATCCAATCAATCATTACAAAGCCTTTGTCTTACATTCGAGAACAATGAACCACCAACTCCAGGAAGAACAAGAAGTCACACGACTAGAGGCCGAATTGAAGTTAGCTCGAGAACGGACCGAGAATGCCAATTTCAAACTGAAAATACGACAGTTGGAAATCGAAAAGGGACGAGCTACAGAAGTGGCGCTTTATTCTAGGCGGGAGCTGGTCGACAAACTCAACGAGGTTTGTGCCCTCGACGCTCAAAATCGTCGACTCAAACAGCAAAACTCAAAGCTTCGACAGCAACTCAGACGCCAACAACCGCTTCAACGAAGAAGAAGAAACCAACAAGGCCAGCGAAGACCGTGGCAAAGAAGACCGTTCCCTTGCGTCAACACCCGGCCTTTAGCCTATGACTAAAGGCCCGGGGCTTGATTGACGCAAGGGGCGCCTTGTCACTGCAACCCCTGCGTCAGTCCCAGGGTCATAGACTATTAGCCTATGACCAGCGGCGAGGGACTTCGGCTGGGTGTTTCGCCCTGTGGCGACGAACGAATATTTTTTTACTGGCTCGCCTATGTCTGATTCTCTCGCGAACCTTGTTTTAATGATTATTTAGTTTATAATTGCTAAACGTGTTTTGTATTTTTTTATGTATCCTTGGTTTTATTAACCCAAGTTTGAGGTTAACGAATAAACTGGTGCTGAAAAGTAAATATCCTTGTTATTGTAACTTTATGTTCACTGTACCCTCAAATGAAAGTTGTATCCTTTTTACATCAGTCGTAATACCACCTTATCATCGCCGCGGGAGTGTCGCTAAAGCGTAACGTTTCTAATTACCAACCCGATAATAATCACCTTTTGTACTTCCCACCTTCTTATTCACTGATTCTACACTCTATAAAAACTTTAGCTAAAATTATATCAAAAGATTCTACCTTTTTGATTGAAACTATTCTTAATTGCAATACATGATAGTATTAAATTTTGTCCTAAACATATCCTCTAAATGAATTTGTGTACTAATTTGTTGGACGACAATGTGTATCGACATCTACCCTGTAAGAGGACTTGTGGCCCTAGTTATCAACACATCAAACTATAATACATAGTTATATTGAATTGGTTCTCCTGGTTTAAGTATATTTAGAATATTTTAATTTTTTGACAAAAATGTTACAAAAGCATCAGCGAAAGAACGTAAAAACTTGAACCTTTTTAGGACAACGCTGGACTCGTAAATTGTTTTCAAAAACACTTTAAACAAGATATTTAAATACCTCTAGCCCCTTAAGTGAATCTCACTAGTTTACTGACAACTAGTTCAGCTTCTATACCTAATTCGTCACACCATTTTGCCTTACGTTCACACCATGAACGTAAGACAAAGAGTGTCGCTCACAAAGGGCGAAATTCTCCGTTCCCAGAAAATGTCAGATCTTGCTGGAAACGGCTTTTAATCTAGATCAACCTTACTATATATAATAATTGTTTGAATAGTAATATAACAAGTCATTGATGAATTGTATATTCGTAAATACTACAAACAAAGAGAAAGTTTATCGTTTCATTCGAGAAAATGTGTCAAAGGATGTTGTAGAACAGCAGAAAAATGGTATTTTTTATTGTATCTCTCATATCAAAAAATATCAAGAAATTACATCAATTATCAAAAGACACAATGAAAGAAACATCTCATTACACGAAGATGTCCGTGATCTCTTAGAAATGGCTAACCATCAACTAACAGAACTAAAGTATAAGTTTAAAGACTATTTGAGAAACATGTCTAAGATCAGACAATAGTGTGGTTAAGCCCAGCAAATATATAAATAATGCTCCTGGTACCTCTCGTCAAGCTTATGATGCTCCTAGTATCTCTCGTCAAACTTACAATTCTCCCAGTACATCCAGAGAAGGTGTTAATGATTATGGAAACCACTATCCCACATACCAGTACTCTACCAGGCCGACCCACAATGATGCTTCATCCACATCCACGAATGGCATCAGATGCAGTTTTTGTGATAGTAACCACTACCGTTTTTGCGACAAAGTGACGAGAAGAGAAGAGAGGAAAGGATAATTATATTAAACCACTGGAGAACTTGCCATAACTGTCTGGGATTTCATCCAACACAACATTGCCATAGCACGAAACGATGCCGAGAATGTGATTTCTTTCACCATTTGAGCATCTTTTTGTTCCGATTTTCAATGAAGAAGGCAAAAGCAAACCGTTTTCTCTACCCACGCCCTATAAAAAGCAGATCTGCATGATTTGTCTAGACAATCGTACGATTTCACCGTACTCAAACAACTTCCTGTGGCCACTTGTACCACAAGAAATGCATTGAAGAGTGGTTTAATCATAATCCACAACAAATCTGCCATACATGCCGCACTTCTCAAAGCCAAATCAATTCCATGACGGAAATGGAATTAGCAACACAAAGTTGGGAATAGCAAAAAATGTAATAAAATTTAAAGACGTAAATAATTCTGATATGTGAAACAATTTGGACTAGTTGTTAAATAAAGTGTAGAATTTCTAGCGTTTTCGGTTTTAATCTAAAAAATTTCTTTTTAATAGCCTGACTTTCAGGCCCGGCCTGTTTTTAATTTTGCTCAAGCCCGGCCCGTTGCTTTTTTCAACTTATAACAACGCGCACAGTGCCGTAAAAAACTTGAAAATATTAAATGACTTCTTAAATAATCGGGATTTCTCGTATAGTGGTTTTGACCCTTTGCGTAGGGGCAGCTAAGCTACAGTAAAGAAGGGCGCCATGGGGCGCCTCGTGCTTGCTTGATCTTTTGTCTAGGACCAGCCCTTGCAGTCCTCTTTAACTTAATTGGTGGTGCCCGTAGAATTCAGAAAGGCACAATCCTTACTTTTCAAGGATGTCTAGTCTTCATTCAAAGTATATTTCATATACCTACTCAATGAAGAAAGAGTCCATTTCAAAAAAACTAAAAGACAAGGTAGAGAACTAATTAACAAGACCGCGTATCTTCGAGACGAACTCGGAATTACAAGAAGAAGACTTCAGCAACAGCTACGGGACGAAACCAATCCCCTCCGCTACTCATTCCTCCTCCAAGGGGAATGTCGCCACATGGCGAAAGTTTGCCAAGCCGAAGTCCCGAGCCGCTGGTCATAGACTAACAGTTTATGACCAACGGCCTGGGACTGACGCAGGGGTTGCGGTGTCAAGGCGCCCTTGCGTCAATTTAATCTGTATTATATTGATTGTGAAATAAAATTTGATATCTGAATTTTTGTCGTATTCTAATCAACGACAAAACAATCAAACTCACAATTATCGTCGGCACGACGAATCGCCGCCTTCCCGTAATTGGGAAAGCGGCGATGAGTCGCCATCGGCTCTCTCCCTCATAAGGGTGAGGAGAGACGTTTTTGACCATCCTTGGAACTAGTCATTCCCGTCATAGACGGTTTGTTCATATTTCCTTTGTATTTTAATTATTATTTAGTTTGTAATTGTTATACGCGTTTCGTATTTTTTTTTATTATTTCTTGGTTTATTAAGCCAGTTTGAGGTTAATAAATAAACTGGTGCTGAAGAGTACACAATCAAGCTTTGCCAGAATACACGTACGCGAGCATGTAATAAGTTTTAACTTGAGCATTTATCTCATGATGTTCACGGCTAACAGAAAGGAGCACCAAACTAAAAGAAAAGAACAACAAACCAACGGCAAGGAACACCAAACTCTTTACGCACAAAGCGTAAAGAAAGGAGCAATATACCGACAGCAAAGAGCACTCCACGTAAAGAAAACAACACCAAAACCCCTTACATAGTCCAACCGGTCTAGATGATCTGGCTCAACTCATCTGGTGTTGCCCGCCCTGCCAACCTTTCGACCCAAATTGGGCAGACAAAGCCGTAGACAGATTATTTCTAGCTCAGTGACGGTTACATGCGTCTGGTCGGTATAAATACGAACGTAAAACTAGCTGTATGATTTAGATCCAATACATCTTATTGACGGTTTCAGCCTTGACGTTCTACAGGAGGCAAAACAACCATGTTAGCTCTCATGTTTATCGCAATGAAGCTGTCATTGTTTATCGTAATGGTCAACGCACAGTTTGCGAATGTATTCGTATGCATAAATAAGAAGATCAGAATTGAATCGTAGTGTTTCAGCCACAGAAGAAAAAAACTCGTAAATTGATTTTATTTCAACAAACAAATTACTGAATATAGCCCTAAAGTACCGACAGCAATTATTACTTTGTCTATTTTGGTCGTAATAAACTACAGCGTTAACAATATCATTATGACAACAGAAAAGACAAATCGGTAGTTATAACTGTGGTGTGGTGAACATTACAGTACGTCTATTAGCTGTTCAGTGTTATCTTCTATTTTGTAGAAGATGGACTCATCATTTTGTCAATGTGCTCAACTGGCGTGCTTGTACTGAAAAAATAAAAACGTATTTTTAGATCTCCCTACCCTACCCTACCCTACCCTACCGTACCCTACTCTACCCTACCCTACCCTACCCTACCCTACCCTACCCTACCCTACCCTACCCTACCCTACCCTACCCTACCCTACCCTACCCTACCCTACCCTACCCTACCCTACCCTACCCTACCCTACCCTACCCTACCCTACCCTACCCTACCCTATCCTACCCTACCCTACCCTACCCTACCCTACTCTACCCTACTCTACCTTACTCTACCCTACCATACAAATTTATCAAAACCTATACCTAGAAGCAAAGGTCCTAAACATGTCACTTGGCATTCGTTGGAAAGGCTTAAAAGCAGCTTGTCTCAATGGACCAATTGAACAAACGATGATAAGAGCTGGTAGCAAAAACTGCATGTGAACTGTTGGTGGAACGATGAATCTCAACGTGATAAAGATATCAACTAAACCGGATTCGAAAATGTACTGAAATGACATTTTTAAAGAAAGTTCTTGCCATTTTTTGTATTGGAAAGAAAGTTCTTGCTGTTTTTTTTTATTTTCAGCTAAATTTCAATTCTTACCTGCCCAATGCCTAATCCAGTCTGAACAACAAAAACAATGGCAGAACATATAACTAAATTGACTTCAAGTTTTCCAGATATGTAACCCTTCAGTCGATGTTTGATTAGGAAGCCCACGTTAACAAGGTTCATAATCAAAGCAAGAACACTACAGATAAATGAGTAGTACACTGTCTCTACCCCTGATGATATCTAAATTACTATGTTTACCGAAATTTTTTATAAGAAAGAATTAAGTAGTTATAGGTGTGGTAGGGTCGGTTGATAAAGACAGGGTAATGTAGGGTAAGGTAGAGTAGAGTAGAATATGAGAAATATAGGAATGTGATACACAATAGGATGATTTAGGTTAGAGTAAGGTAGAGTTTTGATACGGCTGTAGGTAGAGTAGGGTAAGGTAGGATAGGGTAGGGTAGGGTAGGGTAGGGTAGGTTAGGGTAGGGTAGGGTAGGGTGGAGTAGGGTAGGGTAGGGTAGGGTAGGGTAGGGTAGGGTAGGGTAGGGTAGGGTAGGGTGGAGTAGGGTAAGATAAGGTAGGGTAGATCTTACTCCGAAGGTCATACTGTGATCATGGTCATATCCACTGTAGTTGAACCAGCTATCTCTAACCGTAAATGTAACTCCACCTCGATTAAACGGTAAGTAAAACAGTAAAGCACACGGCAAAATTATAAAAGTAATAAATAATATTGTCTTACATCTTTTCCAAATCTAAATTTTTTTTAATTTTCAAAAAGTTCAAAATTTAAATAAAATTTTAAACTTACAGTATCATACCAAAACGGAACAGCCAAACTACATAACCTATTGAATGACATGATTACTGGAGCAATTTCCGAGCAATACATACAATGATATCCTATATATAAGACAGGTGTACCATAATACGAAAACTTGTTGGCTACAGACGGCATTATATAGCTGACAAACCAGTCATTATTAATTGTCATGAATACTGATAACTGACATATACAGCCGGTCACGTCCTGTAAAGTTAAGTTATTAATATATTTTACATTATATTTGGTATTGTTTATATAGGCAGTGTAAAGTGAAGTGATTTCTTTTCAAAAAATTTTTTTGGGCGGGGTAAACACGAAGGGGGGGGATAAAAAAAAAGCAAAAAACTAATAAAAAACTTTTTTTTTAAAACCAGCCGGGCAGATCAATCAAATTTAAAAAAAATTTTTTTTTGTGAAGAGAATGGGGGGCGGAGGAGGAGGGGGGGGAGGAGGGTAGATTTAAAAATTTTTTTTTAGGTTGTATGTGAAGGAAAGTTCATGTATGCATTTCAACTTACCGCAATACCACAAAAGAACATAATAGTATGAAAATGAGTGTTAAACCCATTTTCTTTCTTGTTTATTACCAATAGTACTCGAATATATAACAATAACAAAGGCAGTATGATTAGCAATATTTCAAGGATTTCAAACCAAAACATTTAGATACTGTACTGGTATGTACAGAGCTTTAACCACTCAATACTATACCGTAAGATCTCTATTATTAGTTACAGTACAACTTTAAAATAAGTATGAGTCAGTATTGTACTATATAGTATCAGGAAGAAATTTCAGTACTATATAGTACAACTTACAGTTTATAGTACTAGATAATACTACAAAATACTACCGAGTAAAAAATAATTTTTCAGTACTATACAGTACTACTTCCGCTTTGTAGTACCACAAAAACCTAGATACAAGCCAAGTTGCAGCACAAAAACCATAGAAACCGTGAAAAACGTGCAATATTAGTATCAAGACACAATCATAACTGCTTAAATATAGAATTATTACTTGACTTATTATTAGAATATTCAAGTAGTTTAAAGAAACTCGTTCTGGTTGTGACACAAAAAAAAATTGAAATTACTCATTCTACACCTGTTTTTATGGTCATCATGAACAATATACAGTCGTCTGGGAAGTAATGCGTTATACAATGTGCAAAAAGTAAAATAAAATGATTTGTTCAAGAAACATTATAGCATTTGTACTAAAATTTTTAAGTTTAGGATTACACCACGTCAAAAGAAAATAAAACAAAAAACTTGAAACTGTATTTGACATTCCGCAACCAATATATCGAGAACGAAAACTCGGCCATTTAGCTTTTAAAAAATTTAAAAAAAAGTTTTTAAGACCAAGTTTATGGTTTTTTTTAACAATTTTTACAAAAAAAGTTTGTTAAATTGTTATATTATACTTAATATAACAGGTTTAAAGTTATCACTATTTCCAAAAAAACCCCAAAATCTCGGCGAAAAAGAAAATGTCTAACCGCTCTCTTTGCGACCACGTGGGTGGTCTCTCCGTTTTTCACTCTCTCGTTTCCTTTTTTGCCTATTCGCTCTCACGAAAAGCAAGCGCTTTTCTATTTCATGAGTATGGAGGACGAAATGCCACACGCGTTTTCGGTTCTATATTTTGACGTGAGTAGTGAGTTAAAAAACCACATTTTTAGCATATTTATCCATGAGACGGTTGTGCCGTGGGTAATATTGGTTATTTTTGAATATCGTTAAGTTTTGATGCTTGAGTGTTATGTTACATACAATAATAAGTTGTTGACTGTTTATTTTGTTTTTAAATGCTATTTCGTACGACATAACTTATTTGATTGGCATTATCGGCAGCTGGAATGATAATAATGTCAACTGGTGCTACGGAACTAAAATATAAAAAAGCGTTATTTTTATTTTTTACAGTGGTAATTTTGTAGTGCTTACTTGATCGTGACCTTCTTATACAAGGTGTACTTTATCTTAACTCTTGTTCCAAAATCTAAACCTAATCCTGCATCTACCCTACTTAATCCTACCCTTCCCTACGCTGTCTACATTGATTTTCTTTGTCTTATTCGAAGTTATTCTACTCTGTCTTATCCTGCTCTGCTTTTCCTGCTTTTATAAATAATTTTTTAATATTCAAGTACTATAACTTTGAAAACAGTACTGTCTAACTTACTTTGACTTGAAAGATTCAAAAACAACAACCAACTTGGACTCCATTAATGGCTTGAACACAGCATCTCTTAGCTTACCAATGGATAAAACAATAACTAATGCTGGTAATACAAACTGTGTTTCTAATGTCGGTGGTATGATAAACCGCAAAGTGATATAGATATTGAAATAATCATGAGTATAAACATATTGTCCAAACACGACACAACATTGGACGCAAAATATTACAGTAGAACAGATTACTAGGTTTACTTCTTGTTTACCGGTAATGTAACCTTTCATTTTGTGTCGGATCAGCATGACAACGTTGGTGAGGTTGAAGCAGAAGGCTAGGGAACCACAAAGGGATGACATTAGAAAAGTTACTACGGCGTCTTCTATCTGTAACATAGGTTGATATATTGTTTACTAGGATACGTTGAGTAGCCCCATTTTTATTATATAAAAACTTACCCCGAAAGTTACAGTATGATCATAGTCAAACCCACTATAAGTAAACCACATGCTAGTATTACTAAATGTAACACCAGCCCTATTAAAGGGTATGTACCATATACATAGAGTAGGAACGATACCATATGCAACAAATAGTATCCAACTACATTTTAACCATATACGATCATACTGTAGTGGAAAGCACAAACTACACATGCGATTGAATGCCATTACTACTGGGGCGATTTGAGCACAGTATAAGCAGTGATACTCGATGTAGATAACTGGGGTGCCGTAGTAGGAGAATTTGTTTTCGAAGTACTTCATACAGTAACGTACGAACCAGTCAGTATTGACTAGGCGGATTAGGATTAGGTAGAAGGAGCAGCCTATTACGTCCTGGAAGGAGTAATTTAGTAGAGTAGGGTGAAGCAGGGGCATGGCAATACTATCATAGGGGTTTGATAAGGCTAGTTACATGATAAGGCTGGGCTACAAGAAGAGTAAGGCATGGTGGATGAGGGTACGGTAGAACAAGTGTGGGGTAGAGAAGGGTAGTTTATGTCAGTACAAGGTAGAGTAAGGTAGGGCAGGGTAGGGTAGGGTAGGGTAGGGTAGGGTAGGGTAGGGTAGGGTAGGGTAGGGTAGGGTAGCGTAGGGTAGGGTAGGGTAGGGTAAAACAGATAACTTACAAATATCCCACCTACGAGCATAATTCGAAAAAAGTGAGTTTGAAAGTTGTTCTTCTTCGCCATCAACACCCATAGTACTCTGATATACAACAAAAATAATGGGAAAGAATACAATATAACTTCAGCTGTTTCGAACCAGAACATCCACACTAAAAGTCTTTTGTTCATTTTACAGTAACCCTCGTTACAAAGTTATTAAAAAGTAATACAGTAGAAGAGTGTACAGTAGAAATATAACAACTTCTAAAACAGTTGAACTTAAGGTACAGTACTATAAAAAACAATAAAAGTATGACAAAATAACACTTCCTGAACACTTGATTTTAAAGAAAACATATACATCTAACATAATTATTACTAATTAAATCATAGGTTTACTTCTTGGAAACAAGGAAAAGGAATTTATTCAAAATTGTAGCAAATGAACTGGAAGTTTTTATTACAGGCAAACATCTTGATTATGCTCCTCAATAGTATGACCGTTCTTATAACGATTGTTTTTTGCCCGTTATCGAAAAGTAATTGAGTACTGTAATACATTGGTTGGAAAGAAAATGTTTAACCAGTCTCTTGAGTGTCGTAGTAAAGAGGTTTGACTGTATTTCTAAGCTTCAATCTTACAAAAATTTGGGCCTAGTAACTCTAAGCTTACTGTGCTAATAAGTAAACACTGCAGGACCAAACTTACCAAACTTAAATCTACTAAAATTAAGCCTACTATGCCTAACCCTCGTAAGCCTAAGCCTACTCAGCCTAGGCCTACTAAGCCTAATACTACTAAGCCTAATCCTACTAAGCCTAAGCCAACTAACCCTAAGCCTAAGTTTTCCACGCCTATGTCTACTAAGCCTAAGCTTGCTAAGCCAATTGCTGGTATAGGCTCTTACTAATAAACCATGCTAAAAAAAGTTAACAATAATAACATTTCAAGTAAGAAACAATAATAAAACAACATTGATTCACTAACAAACCCTTAAATTAGATTGTCCGAGATACAAGTTTAAAGTTGTATCTTGTACAACTTAATTTGCTATTCTCTCATTGACATTAAAACAGCCTGAACAGTTCTAAACTTAAATTTGCAGCTGTGTTCTGTATGACATATAAAAAATAAAAAAAATTAAATTATGACAAAAACGTCATAACTATGTCATAACTATATATAGATTATGTTTTCTAGTTTTGATATTAAACATACCTTAACCTAACCAATCTGTTATGTCTTGTCCTGGCCTTGCCCTGGCTTTGCCCTGGCTTTGCCCTGGCCTTGCCATGGCCTTGCTCTGGCCTTGACCTAGCCTTGCTTTGGCTTTGCCCTAGCTATGTCCTGGCCTTGCCTTGGCCTTGTCCTGGCCTTGCCCTGGCTATGCCCTGGCCTTGCCCTGACCTTTTTGTCCTATCTTGACCCGCCCTGCTCTGTCCTGCTGTTCTTTACCCTGCCGTGCCTTAAATAATCCTTTCTTATTTTACCCTACCCTAGCCTATCTTACTCTACTTGCCTTAACCTAACCTGCCTGGCTTTAATATGCCTTGTGTTAATGTTGCTTGCTCTGAAATGCTCTGCCCTGGTCTATTCTACAGTACCTTACCTCTGCCCTCCTTTATTTTAAAATATGGCATAAAGAACCCGCCTAAAAAATACGGCATGAAGAACCCGCCATACTTTTCCTGTAATTACCTGTAAAACACGGCGGATTCTTTATGTCGGCACCTAATATTAGGTTGAACCAAAAGTAGCGGGACACTATTTAGTTGAAAATTGAATGAAAAGTGTTCCGCTACTTTTAATTCAACCTAATACATTGCTCTAAATGGCCTTGCCTGCTCTACTCTTTTCATAAATCTTTGTAAAATACGTTTGTAATATTAATTTCCAAGCTAATATCAATTTTATTCAAAATTTAACCTTAATCTTGTCTTTTTCGCTGGAATTTTCGATTTCTTTCAACCGCATTTTCTCCATTTTCTCTTCAATCGGGATTAAATGACCGTAGTTAAATACCCATAATATACATGCTATCACATTGATAAGGAACTCGAGTATCCACGCGTATCGAATACCGAGATAAGTGTAGAGATTACTGATAAGAAGTGGGCCACTCAGGCGGCCGACGGAGCCGACCATTTGGAGAATACCTTGTTGGGTGCCCTGAAGGGTAGTATTTAGGTTTTTTTTAAAAACTGAATTAAAAATAGCATTTTTAGACCATTTCAATCTATTTTATGGATAAAAAATAGATTTCTAATTTCCGAGGTGCGCCCAATCTTTAAAAAAATTTATATATTTTTTTTAAATTTGAGTTAAAAATGACATTTTTGGGACATTTAAACTAATTTAAAAAAAACTTTTATTTTCCGAGCTGCGCCCAGGCTTAAACCAAAAAAATTTTTTTTCCAAAAAAAACTTTAAACTACCTGACGTCTAGGCCCAATAATACTTGAGAAAATAGTATTCATAGTAATATTAGTCAAACAGAAACAAGCTGTCATCAAGAAGGCGAACGTAGCATAATATAGATAGAAATTGACTTGAGGTGTCCATTCACACCATGGTAGATGGTCAACATTACATCCAACTGGCTCTTTGTCCATGAGTTCGTATTCTCTGGCGACTGAAAAATTTTTTAAAATTAACATGACTTAGTCCAGAGCCCAGAGCCCTAGCCCAGAGCCCTAGCCCAGAGCCCTAGCCCAGAGCCCTAGCCCAGAGCCCTAGCCCAGAGCCCTAGCCCAGAGCCCTAGCCCAAAGCCCTAGCCCAGAGCCCTAGCCCAGAGCCCTAGCCCAGAGCCCTAGCCCAGAGCTCTAGCCCAGAGCCCTAGCCCAGAGCCCTAGCCCAGAGCCCTAGCCCAGAGCCCTAGCCCAGAGCCCTAGCCCAGAGCCCTAGCCGAGAGCCCTAGCCCAAAGCCCTAGCCCAGAGCCCTAGCCCAGAGCCCTAGTCCAGAGCCCTAGCCCACAGCCCCAGCCCAGCCTTTACTTTACAATAATCTTACTGTATACAACTACCCCACCCCACCCTATACTACCCCAACTGCACCCTAGTTGAAACTTACTGTAGGCCCTGACTTATCATTGTCTTTGTCTTGACCTACCCCATAATTAACTTTACCTGTCCATTGCCCTTTACCCACCCTGCGTTTCTCATACTTTCTCTTACCTTACCCTGCCCAAAACGAAAAATTATATAAAACTTACTACTATCATTGTATATTGTTAATTTGGTACCCAAAAACGGCCAAGGGAAGCTCAAAAAGTAGCAGAGAGCAATTCCAGAGAAGCCCAAGAGACAAACCAATCTCTCATTAAGCCATCTGTCCAACTTGAATATGACAAAACTGGAGTACATAAACAATTCCACAAATGACATAGCACCATGTATAATCGAGACCAATGTAACTGCATCAGTTCGTGATAAAGCGAACATTGTCATAGCTATTGGGGTGGATAGCGTTTCTACTGAACTGAAAGCGAACATTTGGGCGAACCGTACACAATAGCACATGAGTACTCCTGTCTTGTCGGCTGGAGGTAGTTTTAGATTGTCACTGGATTTCTGAAATTAGAAAAGATTAGTTATTAGGTAGAGTAAGAGAAGGGTAGGGTAGGGTACATGTAAGATCAAGTAAAGCACGGTATAAGTAGAGTAGGATTATGATAGGTAGAACATAATAAGGATAGAGTAAGGGAGAGCAGGCTTACAGTAGGGTAGGACACAAGTACGATACAAATAAGGTAACGTAGGGTACAGAAAGTTAGACTAGGATTAATGGTTGAACTGGGGTAGGCTACACTACGAGATAGATATAGACATGAGAAACGGGCGTTGCCAAGCCCATTTTTCAAGCCCGGCTCTGAGTGTTAGGCCTGCCTCGATCTAAATTTTAGTCAAGCCCGGCCCGATTGTCTTTACATGTAAGCTGGCTGGGCTTTTTAGGCCGGTCCAGCTGTGCTACACTATAGTTCGACTAATAAAGACATACGATATGACTACATATAGTAAAGTAGGCTAAGGTGAGATATGGTAAGGGGAATGATTAGGGCTCTAGGCTAGGGCTCTAGGCTTGGGCTCTGAACTAGCGCTCTGGGCTAGGGCTCTGGGCTAAGGCTCTGGGCTAGAGCTGTGGGCTAAGGCTCTGGGCTAGGGCTTTGGGCTAGGGCTCTGGGCTAGGGCTCTGGGCTAGGGCTCTGGGCTAGGGCTAGGGCTCTGGGCTAGGGCTCTGGGTCAGGGGTCTGAGCCAGGGTAAACTTACACTATCCACAAGTCCAGCATAGACCTCTTTGAAAATAAAGCCCATGATACACATGGCAGTGATATTGACCAAGCATACGGCCAATGGTGGTGTTGTGTACATATTTAAAGCAAAACGTTCGGTTATCTGCCATCCTTTCTCACCGATCGGTGTGAATATTATTTGAATTGCTGAAAAATTGACATTTTTTTTAATTTTGAAATTTTAAATTAAAAAAAGAAAAAATCTTACCAGGACCACAAATCAAGCCCAGAGCCAAACCACCTGTAACTGTGGCTATCGACCGTGAACGATGCTCTTTACGAGCAGCAGTGGCTGCATAGGTTTTTAAAAGACCAATGTTACCTAAAATAAGATTGTGTTAACGTTTTTTACCAAAAAATTTTTTTTGATGTTTCGAGCTGCGCCCTGGTTTAAAATTTAAAAATAAAATTTTTTACAAAAAAATTAGTACTTTAGGCTTAAAATGGCATTTTGTTATGTCTTTTTAGAAAAAAAATGTTTTTTGGTTTTTTGAGCTGCGCCCTGGGTTAAAATTTAAAAATTTGTTTTTTTAGCTATAAGACAGGTATTTTAGGCTTAAAAACTCATCATTCATGACTTTTTTTGTAAAAATATTTTTTTTTGTTTTTGCGAGCTGCGCCCTGGCTGAAAAACGAAAATATTTTTTTTTGTTTTTGCGAGCTGCGCCCTGGCTGAAAAAATAAATATTAAATTTTTGGCTTAAAATGACATTTTATAATAAAGCAACTAAAAAAAAATAAAAATTTACTTACTAGCCCCCAATCCACAAACAAATCGACTGACAGCCACAGCGTATTTTCCGTTCGGTCTTTCGAAAACTTGAGCGAAAAGATAAATAAAATTGCCAAGCATTTGTAAAGAAATGGCAAAAATAATCGGAATTCGAATATTTTTTATTTTATTACTCCACCAGCCAATCAGTGGAGCACATAAGATCTGGCCAAAGGAGTAGAAGGCTACCGAGAAACCAACAAATGGCTCTGAGACCTCGGGGTCTAACTAAAAAAGTCCTGTAGTTTTTGAAATAAGTCATTTTCTACCCTACCCTACCCTACCCTATCCTACCCACTAGAAACTACGGTAATGTAAGCTCTACCCTACTCTAGTTTTTACCGTACCCTAGGTTCTGTCGTGTTTTGAGTCTTATCTCACAGTAACAGTATGCACTACTTAAACCTATATATCATATATACAGTAAGCAGTGTTCGACTTTACAATAAACCATGCATTAGTTTTTCTATGGTAAAGTGGTATTTACTACCCTATCTTACAATATATAACAGTATATTCTATGCTGAGAACACCCTTACCTTCGTTGATTTGCTATGCCGTGCCATACCCGACCGGGCCCTAGTATCTAGCCTACCCTACGCTGGGTTATACCCTAGCCTATACCATAATGTTATCCTAATTTTTACTTTTTTCCCTCATCCCCTCGGACCCAAATTAAAAAAAAATACAAATACTAAACATTACACTCACCCTCTGAAGATACGGCCACATAGAACTGAAGTAAATACTGTACTGAGCGGCCGTACAAGTTGTCATGGCCGCGACTAATGCAATAGAGAACCAAGGCGTTTTGTCGGTAAATTGTGTGGTCGATTGTCGACTTGTGACTGACTGGCGAAACGATTGAACACTCTCATCATCCACGTCTTGGTCTTGACTGTTTATTGCCATTTATGTTACCTAAACGATATATAGTTGTAGTGGCAATGGTATGATGATACAAAGCTTCTTTTGGCACAAAGTTCAAAATTTTTGAAAAGCTAAGTGTAACTTACCCTACCTTACTCTACTCTCCCTAATTTACCTTACAATGCCCTAATCTATCCTACTCTACCCTACGATGCCCTACTCTGGCCTATTCTACCCTACAGCAGCTTTCTCTACCCTACTCTACCCTACAACTCCCTACTCTACCTATATTATAAACCCAAATACACCAATAAAATAGGCCTAAAACCTCAAAAACAACCAAATTTCCATTAAAAAATCGTTTGAAATTTCGTGATTTGAACTTGTCAAGTTCAAACCAACTGTTTGAGAAAACACAGCAAAAAGAAAGAACGGCTAAATCACTGATTTTCAAATTCAAAAAAGCAAAAGATCTATAGTGATAACTATAACATAGTTTAAAACGGCCTTAATATAATATTAATAACTATAATATAGTTTAAAAGGCCTTATTATAACTTTTTGGACCTTTAATATAATTTTAAAAGACCTAAAACACGCTTGTTTAATACCTATCAACGTGAAAATCAAAAAGAATTTTTTAAAAATTTAGATTTCCGAACTTGACAAAGTAGAGGATTTGCATAAATTAAGTTCTTATTTCGATTATTTGTCTAAAGGCAATACATTTAGTTTAGACTTTGTAAGGTAGTGATGATTATAGTTTAGGGTTTGAGATATTGTTTTGGAAAATGTAATCATTTTACCTTATTCCAGCTTATACTACCTTATCCTATGCTATTTTTTTACCTTACTTTACCCTACTTTGCCTAAAAATCCTCGTACACTCAATTATACAACTCTACCAGGGACGTCGCTACAGATTTTTTCTGGTGGAGGGGGAGGCCGAAAAAATTTTTTTCGGTCACAGGTAAAGCTACCTGTGGACTGATTTTCCACAAATTTTTTTTTTCGTTTTTTCGCGTACAGGTACCACGAGGGGGTACCCCCTCGTGGTACCCCCTCCCCCAAACGACGTCCCTGAACTCTACCTTAAAAACTAAGACCTGATCCAAATTTAAGTCAAGCTAAGCCTAAGCAAAATTTTGATTAGCCCGGTTTTGAAAATTGGACCCAGCTCGTCCCTCATGTTTAGGGTTTTCGAAATGATCTTCTACCAATTCTTCTCAGTCGTACTTTTCATGACGTTTCAAATCGTTTCCTACCTTATCCTAACCTGCTACCCAGCCTTGTCTATTCTATCTTATCCTAACCAGCGCTAGATAAACGAAAATTTTGCCCTAATGAATATAAAACAAGTTAACAACAGAAACAGGGACGTTGTTTGGGGGGGGAGGGTAATTCGGGATGACTCTCCCTCCAGAGCCGATCCGGAAAAAATCCACAGGTAGGCCTAAGTAAAAAACCAAAAAAAAATTTTTTGGGTCTCCAACCCCCATCCTCCCCTCAGAGAAAAACCGTAGCGACGTCCCTGAACAGAAATGAAACTTTTGTTGGCTATAACGAGTGTTTTCTCTTCATATTTTACACTTTTTTCAAAATTTTAATAAAAGAAAATTAAAATTATTGTTTCTATATTAATTTTTCTTCGAAATCTGGAAAGAACTCTGAACAAGACAACCAAAAAAAATAAAAAAGGACGCGCCACATAATTTTTATTTACGTCTGTGACATTCAAAAAGTACTTGGCCAAAAAAGAAGAATTGCAAGCTGAAAAGACCATGTTATACGACGAAATACGCTTTGAATAAAAAAGTTTTTAAAATGGTTTTTCTAATTACAGTGGAACTCCTGTATAACGAACTCCTCTATAACGAAACTCCCGTATAACGAACCACTTTCAAATTCCCGTCTACCACTGCACAGTGCATTTAAAACTCCTGTATAACGAAACTCCTTTATAACGAACAAATTTGAGGTCCCCGAGCGATTCGTTATACAAGAGTTCTACTGTAAATATAAAATAAATGTTATTTTTGGGACAAAAGCAAAAAAATTTAGTAATTGAAAAAAACAGAATTTAACTTTTTTATTTTTAAAATTTGAATAAAATAAATTTTGGCCCACGTTTTGTAAATAAATCGAAATTTTGATGTTTTTTTTTAATCCAATTATCTACTTTGTCATAAATTGGTCATAAAAAAGTGTTGTTGTGTTGGAAAAAAATGAGTGGTAGGTTTTGTTTTTATATCACTTTTTATTTTAAAAATAATTTTTATCAAGAATAATATTCAACACGTTTTATCGTATAGTTTGGCTCTACATAAAAATTTTATTTACAGATCAAGATATAAAGGTAGTGAAGGATTTTTGATTATTTTGTAAAAAATTTTACTTTGAGTTATTTTACGCTGAAAAATGTCTAAAGAACCTTCGGACATGTTTTATCGTATAACTTTGGTTTTGAATGAAAATTTTGATGACATTTTTTTAATTTCAAAACTACTGCTATTTCACTCAATTTTTACTTAATTTTTCAAAAACATTTTGATAAAAACAGTCTTGTGTAATAGGATGAAATGTCCTTCTGTGAAAAGTCTCGAACATGTTTTATCGTATAACTTTGTCCGCCGTAATTTCTTTAAAATTTTTTTTAGAATTTTCTGTTTTTGAGGGCTTGTGCCACTTTATATTGTTGATTTGTTGGGAATTCTAAAGAGTTTTTGACCTATAACAAAAAAATTGAAGTATTTTAAATTTTTTTTTCGAAATTTAAAATTTCAATTGTGTGCCATTATTTATGTTGACTTTTCTAAAAACACTGTTTCTTTCATCACTTAGCTTGACTTTTTCACAAAATTTGAAATTTTTGAAATTTTAATTTTTCTGCCATTATTTATGTTTACTTTTTTACAAACACTGTTTCTCTTATCACTTTTATGATTTAATACTTTTTGATAATGCAATTGCACCTTTCGATAAATGATCTTATTCTAGTCAAATCACGCGAATTAGTGGAATGGGCTGCTCCGATAAGGTTGGTCTGCTGTTCCACCCAGTCCCACGCCCCGATTCAACGCCGTTTTGGGACGGTGAACATGGGCGAGTTGAACGATCTGAAACGGCATGAGGAGTGGGACAGGGAAACGTTGGTGGAGGAGCATGTTGAGAAGGACGCCATTTACTATGCACTGGGAAGTAAGTTTTGTAATGAAGATAGTAATATTGATTTAAAGGTTATTCGTTGTAGAGGAGTTTTGTTATAGAAGAGATTTTTATAAAGAAGTTACGTTATAAAGAGGTTTGTAATAGAGAAGTTAAGTTATAGAGGAATTACGTTACAGACGATATTATTATAGAAGAGTTTGTTATTAAGTTGTTCACATAATTCTGTGCCCCCGTATCCCACAAATTAGCTTTGAGAAGGGGCGCAGAATTAAGTGAACAACCTATATAAAATGTTCTGTTCTATTAAGGGTTCGTTATAGAGGGGTTAGATACAGAAGAGGTTGTTATATAAGGTGCCGACATAAAGAACCCGCCATTTTTTGCAGAAAATTACAGGAAAAGTATGGCGGGTTCTTTATGTCGGCACCTAATAAATAGAAAAGTTCATTATAATAGAGTTTGTTTTACATGAGTTTTCACTGTATTGTAGTAAAGTAAGTGGGTTCTATAGGGTAAGGTAGGCCTGTAAAGGAAGCAGGCTGGGTTCAATTTGTCAACACGCCCGGCTTTTTTCAAAGTTGTTTGAGCAATGGTAAGGTTGGGTAGGGTAAGGTGTTTTTTCTTGGCTTTGGCTCGGTTCGGGGGCTGAACATAGTGGACCCTCTAATAGGTAGGGTAGGGTAGGGTAGGGTAGGGTAGGGTAGGGTAGGGTAGGGTAGGGTAGGGTAGGGTGGGGTAGGGTAGGGTATAAATTTTTCTATTTTTAGTTGGAGCCCGCCGATTCAAAGAACTTCATCTGATCTATGAAAAACACCCCAACTTCCAAGTGTTCCCAACGTTCTGTGCTAGTTCTTCCTTATCAGCGTTGGACTTGGAGAATTGCCCTGGAATTGGTTATGATTTGAAGAGAACTCTTCATGGAGAACAATATGTTCAAGTCTTCAAACCTTTACCTAAAAATGGATCGATTCGAACTGAAGCCAGGATTGTGGATATGTTACAGAGGGGACGACATATGGCTATCTTGTGTGAAGGTGAGTGTTTTTATAAGCCTAGGCTTAAAAAGCTTACTAATTCTACGCCTAATAAGCAAAAGCCGACTAAGCCTAAGCCTACTAAGCCTAAGCCTACTAAGTCTAAACATACTAAGCTTAAGCCTACTAAGCCCAAGCCTCCTAAGCCTTCTAAACCTAAGCCTATTAAGCCTAATCCTACTAATCCTAAGCCTACTGAGCCTAAGCCTAAGCACACTAAGCTTAAGCTTACTAATTTTAAACCCACAAACCTTAAGCCTAATGAAACTAAGACTACTAAGACTATTAAGCCTAAGCTTACTAAGTATAAGCCTACTAGAGCTGCTTGATCCTAGTAAGCCTGGACCTACTAAGCTCTTATTTTTAGGCCTACTAAGCCCACGCTTAACCCTATCAGGCCTTAGGGCAATGTTTGACGTTTATAATAATAAATCTTCTTATAGACCTAGACCTAGAAATATTAAGTGTTTATTAATAATAAGCCTAAAAATCAATTTTTCAGCCACATGCTACGACAACAAGTCCGATGAAAAGCTGGCGTATCTTCAGTTTTTGATTTGGCAATTGAACCACTACAACACGAAAGGCCTTCGCTGGTCGAATGAAGTCATCGAAACCATTCAAAGACCGGATACTGAACCGAAGAAGGTCATCGAAGAGGAATTGGATGATGATTTGGTAGGACATTTTAAGCCTAATTTTGTTAAGCCTAAACTTATAATTTTCTTTGTTTAAGCCTGCATTTTTGCTTGATTTTACTAAGCCGAAGCCCAAGTTTAAGCTTAATTTTAATAAGCCTGAACCTAAGATCTCTTATTTAAACGTAAAACTAAGCCTAACCTTACTAAGACCAACTTTAAGCCTAATTTTACTAAGCCATGACTTAAGTATAAGCTTGCTATGTATAAATTTAAGTCTAAATTTACTAAACCCAAACCTAAGCTTAATTTTATTAAACATATTCTAAGCCTAAGCTTGACAAGTTTAAATTTAAGCCTAGTTTTAAAAAGCCCAAGCAACTAAGTCTACTAAGTCTAAACCTACTAAGCCTAAGCCAACTAAGGCTAAACCTACTAAGCCTAAGCCAACTAAGGCTAAACCTACTAAGCCTAAGCCAACTAAGGCTAAACCTACTAAGCCTAAGCCAACTAAGGCTAAACCTACTAAGCCTAAGCCTACTAAGGCTAAACCTACTAAGCTTAAGCCTACTAAGCCTAAGCCTACTAGACTTTCTAAACCTAAACCTAACAGTTTCAATCCTAAAAATCAAATCTTTTCAGCCATCAATCTACCGTCAAGCTTCTGGCGACCTGAATCCCCTCCACATTGATCCAGAATTCTCGAAAAACCTCGGCCTTCAAGAACCAATCATGCACGGCTTCTGCACCTTGGGCGTGGTAACAAGAATGATCCTGAACGAATACGCTGACAAGGATTATACCAAGTTCAAAGCCATCAAAGTCAAATTCAGCGCACCGGTAACGCCTGGAGCTCATTTGGCTGTGAGCACGTGGAGAGGAGTCGAGTATGGGCGGATTCTTTTCGAGGCTAAGGTGAGGGATTTGTTTTTTTATTCAATGCAGATTTGTAAGGTGGGGAGGTTAGAGGGAGGGGGGGGTGGGAGCGTGGTGAATTAGGAGACTAGAAGACCAGAAAATTTTTAAGGCTACGGAAGAGTAAAATGTACAGTAATTTATGGAAGGAGTCATTATCTATTTTTTTTATTAAGGAAGGGTATTTGAAAGCATTTTTGCTTGGGCAGGGTAAAAAAAAATTATTTTTAAGGGGTGTTTTTGAAGAAAAATTTTGAGGACTAGGACAGGGTAAAAAGGTACAGCACGTTAGAGTAGGGGCTTTTCTGTAACTTTTTTATATTAAGTAAGGGTGTTTAAAAACTTTTTTGTTTGGGCGGGGTAAAATTTTTTTTTATTTTCGGGGGTGATTTTGAAATTTGTGGAAAAATTAATATTAATATATCCTACCATACGCTAATCTACCATTTCTTTTGATATTATGACTTACCTTACATCCCTACTTCACCCTACCCTACTTTACCCTGCCCTACCCTTTAAACCATACCCATAATAATGATTATTACTACTAATCTTACACTTTCAGGACTTAAAGACCAACACTGTGGTCCTTGCTGATGCCTATTTGGATTTGAAACCATAAAACGTCTATTTCACTGTGCCACTATTGATTTATTGGATATATTGTTAATGTCATATATGTTATGATTAGGCTCGTTGTAAAGTAATATTATTAGTAAACAATAAATTAATGTTTATATAAACGAGTTAAAATACTGTTTTTTGTGTTATTCCAAAAGCAGATATTCGTATTTTACAACTTTTTTGTGTTTGGTCTATCAGTGATGTTGTAGTAGGTTAAGTGGTCTTTGACAAGGTTTTTTGATGAAAAATAGATGGAAAGTTACAAAAATTTATAAGAATTTACGTTTTTCAATACTCTCAGTATTATATTCTTACAGTATTTTCACGTTTACAATAGAAAACTCAAATTTATTACCTAAAAAACCCCGCCGTCCGCCGAAAAATAGACCAAAACTGCTCAAATCGGCCGGAAAATTCGAACTTCCCACACCAAAACGGATCGTAATCAAATTGGGTAACAGGTGGCTTCAGCTCCTCCACAAAACATTCGTCACATCGAGGGCAGGCCCCGACCTCTGCCGCGCGAAATTAATTTTGGCGGGACTTTCGGGCTTCAAATTCCGCTGTTTCTCGCATTTTTCGCCGGCGACTGATCTCCTCCCTCCGCTGATGGATTTTTCCGACGTTTTTATGGTCATTACGCGGCCATAGTCAAAGCAAATTTTATAGAAAGGACGTGAAAATATTTTTGTTTAAAAATTTGAGAGATTTTGTAGTTTTTGCAAGATTTTGGGGGGATTTTTGTCAAAATCTCTTGAAAGATCGGGGTTTTTGCTGGTTTGAAGTGGATGTTCTTGTTCGTTTCAATGTGCTAACGCAGGCTTTTGTTGTTCATATCGTGACATAGATACTAATTAAGATTTACAAACTGTTTTCTAAGGTTTACATTCATTATATTTTGATTTACAGCTTGATTTACAGCGATAATTTTAAACGTTTGCTATATTATTCATGCTAAACCTAATTTTCAGGTGTAAGAAGGCGTGAATGGACAGGTAGGACACAGTAGAGCAACAACTAAGCCATGTCTCATCAGCGACTGAAGGCGTCCGGGTATATGACCCACAACATACCAACAGGCAAGTGTTTTGGCTTTGCTTTTTGTTTTTAGGTATAGGTTGAGGAAAAAGGTGAATATTAGCTCACACTTGGTGGATTTAAAAGGTTTTTGGGATTGGAAGTGGTGTAATTAAGATTGTAGAATGTTTTACAAGCGTTTAGCAAATAGGAAAAGACGCGAATTATTTAGTTCGACTGAGTTTAGGCTTTGACCTATGATAATATACGTTTCTTGGTAATTCTCTCACAAAACCGGTAGATATATGCGCAAATATAACAAATAATAGTCAACAGAGCACAGTTAAAACAACTCTCAATAAAAACATAACATTACGGCTAGACACTTTGAATATTATTCATGATGGTCAGAAAAAAGATGGACGCTAATTTGTCGCGGGGTTTTCCAAACATTGTTTTTTTATAAAATTTGGTTTTGTCAGATTGTGAAGGTTGGTTGTTGGTGACGGTCGGTTTCTTGAAAATGAGGAGAACACGAAATCCACGACGGTTTTCGGCCGCTAGTATAATATACTCAGGTACTGTGATTTGGTCTTAATTTTTTAAAGATTTTTAGATAACAAGGGTTGAAAGAGAACTTGTGTGGTTAGTGTAATATAAAAGTGGCTTAAGATACATCTGAATTTTAAAAATATGAATGTATTAACTAAAATTATTTTAGTTTTGGAGGAAAGCGGCGAGGACAACCTTGATTTGGACATGAAAAGGAAAGTATGTGTCGTCGGTTTGATGCCATCGTACGGGTCGATTGTACTCAACATTTTGGTATGTTTTTTAATTTGTTTTTGGATGTTTTAGGCTTTGATTGTGGCTTTATGTTACACTAGTTTCTCGAAAATTTGGAAATTTTTCGTTTTTATTCAATATATAAATTTTAGGTAATAAATTGTTAAAATTGGTTTATAGTAAGTTAAAAAAAAAAAAAGGTTTCTTAACACAGCTTTATGCTGATTTCTAGAAAGTTTAAACGATTCGTTTTTTAAGGGCATTGCAATTTCATTCACCATGTCGATTTTTTGAAACTAATGGCTAAAAATGCCATTTTTTTATCTGATATTTAAAATTTAGTTAACAAAGGGATAAAATTGTATCAAACTATGTTAAGAGGGTTCATTTAGTCAGCTTTGTAAAAATTTTTGGCATGATATGACTATTCATTTTTGAGATACTACAAAATTTCTGTTACCTACTAGCTTTTTTTATTGAAAATTGAGTTTTTAGTTATAAAATGTCATTTATTAAAAAAGTATGTTATTTTTTAATTAAAAATTGTTTTTATTGTTAGAAAAATTGCTTTTACATGATATTATAACAATCTTTTTTAGAACAAGATGAACTGCGACGTGGTATACAGCGAAACAGGCGTGGACTACATGAAAGAGCCCGGAGTGACATTTCTTTGTTGGCGCTTTGATGACCCCATCTTCACGACGTTATGTTCAGCCGACTGCCTTATTCTCGGACCAACATTGATACTACAATGTGCTGGAGACCCTCAACTACCATTAATCGAGAAGCGAAGGCCAGTATATACACAATCGCTTCGAGGTATGAGGTTCGTGATGAGTGGCTTTCAGAACGATCAAGTCAAACGATGTGTAGATATGATCCACTTCATGAGCGGGAGTGCAAGACAGAAGTTGACACAGAAGGAGGTGTTGATCGCGACTAGTGTAACGTGTAGCAAATATTTGGTGAGTTTGAGTGGGATTTGGGTGGAGATTGTGGAAAAGTGTTTTTTTGGGTTTTATACATAGTGTGTGGTTTTTGGGGGTTTACTCCTAAAATTATATTTTTTTGGGGTTTTTATACCTAAAATTTGGTTTTTGGTTTTTTAAAAATAATTTTTTTTATTTGTTTGGCATATTTTTACCTAAAATTATCAAAAACAGTGACTTTGTGATGTTATAGTACCTAAAACTACATGTTTTTTGATAAAAATCAAAATCTTCTACTTTTTGTTACCTAAAATTTCATTTTTTATAATTTTTCAGGAAGCCACGACAATCAACTCCACGATTCTCAGCTTCGAGTTCATAGAGTACTGTTGGTCGAGGAAAGACGACGAAGACTTCCAAGCACGAGAAGTTATCGACCGATTTAGACTCAAGTGCTTTGTCGGCCTAACTATCTGTTTTGTCGATTTCTATGACAGAGAAGCCGAAGAGATGAAGAGGTTGGCCAGAGAGAATGGTACGGATGGTTTTTGTTGAAAATGGGCATTTTGTGGTCATTTTTGTTAAAAATGAAGAGGTTTTGCTATTTTTCATTGGAAATGAGGATTTTTTAAAATTGGTTTTTTTGATAAAGTGTCTTAAAAATGCTGTTTTAGGAGCCATAGTAGTCGGCCCAGCATCAGACGCCACCCACTACGTCTACAGAACAGAAAAGTCTTTGGCCGAATGTCGTGGCTGTTATCCGGATCATGGTAAACACGTCCTTATTGAGGTAAGAGCATTTTTTACCTTTACTCCCTCACTATTACTTCTACCCCTATATTTACTCTTACTTCTACTCTTTTTCTTCCTTATACCTAGGCATGAACACGAAAAACGGGCTGGGCCTGAAAATGAAGGCCCGGCCCGAAAAGCCTGGGGCGTTTGCTCGTAAAAAAATTTCAGCCGGCTTTGTGCAAAATTTAGATCAGGCCGGGCTTTGGTGTTAGGTTCTTACCTAAAATATGGGCCCGGAATAATTAATGCTGAAAACAGACGTTTTCTCTCCGGTTTAAAACATGTTTTGTTGTAATTCAATAGTTGATTTGCGGTTCGAAATAGAATAGCATATAAAATGAGGAACGTTGAAGTCTGTTTCTTAAATACAAACATTAAGTTACTTTGTCTGCTTTGAACTGATTTATTGGTGATTTTGGGCTTAGGAATCGTTGGGGTATTGGGGGAGAGTTTACTGGAACGGACAGAGGGTGGATTTAAAAGGAGACCTGAAAATGGGCCCATGTGTCTCGGTCTAAGTCCGGCCTGGGCTGAATCGAATTTGAAAGGGGCTAGGTTGGCAAATTGGCCGTGACGAGGGTGTAAAACAATGCTTGGCTTGTCGGCCGGACGAAAAATTAAGCCCGGCTTCTTCACAAGTGCGCCAGCTTGAAAAATTTGGAATTGGGAGGGCATCTTGAGGGATTTACTGTCATTTTTAGGAGTTTGCAGCTAATTTAATGATCATTTCACAGTCTTTTTGACCTTAAAAACATATTTTTTGGCTTTCAAAATTTGTTTTTTTTTACATAAGAAACATAATTTTGACTTTATAAAAGGGTAATTACGGTGGTCAAATTATTTTCTATATAGTATTTAAGATTCCAATACAATACTCGACTAAATATTTGCATTTTAATTTAATCTGTAAATGTTACTGTCTATAAGTAGCCTCTAAAGAAGTATCTTTACAACACACAAATAAGGGTTTTGTAAATAATTGAATACGAAGCTGCTCAACACTAATACAGCGGATTAAACAAAGAAGATGACATTAAGGTGAATGCCTGTTGTTATGACGAGAGAGAAGGGTTTGTTAATGGGGTTTATCAATTAATACAATATCCAGGCATAGATAATAGAAAATAGGGGTAAAACTAACCTTATTAAGTTGTTCAAATAATTCTGTGTCCTTTAACCCCGAATATTTTCATTGAGAGGGGGAACAAAATTATTTGAACGACCTAATATATTGGGGTAAAGCGAACACTATCGGAGTAATACTAACAGTATTAACACCATATTGAACTGACAATCCTTTTTTGACGTATTTTTAATGATAACTAATAACGAATGGGTTGAGGTTGTTTTTCTATAGTTATGTGAAGGATAATAAAAGGTAATAAAGCTAGTGTTGTTGCTCATGATAACAAACAGTTTTACAGAAAACAAGCTTTATTTCCTTTTATATTCTTCACATAACTATGGATAGACAACTCCAATCCATTCGTTATCTGTTATTATCAAAAACGCGTTGAAAGCTCTTCGACGTTATGCTCGATTTTTTAAAGATTGGCTATATTCTTGAAAGTTGGTTGCAGAGTTCTTAAGGGCTTGGAGACGGCTCCGGGGCAGCTTCGGCTCTGGAGCTATAGCCGGAGTGGGAATCTATAAAAAAGGCGGAGCAGCCTCTAGGACTTTTACTGCAACAGATGTTTATCATGAAAAGACTCTAAATATACAAGAGTTAGTAATGTAAAAAAGGTATTTCTGCTTACAATTCATCCAGAATACTCAACATTTTGAAGTCAACAACATTAGTAACTCTATTCTATGCTTTGCAAGTATTTTTAGCCCAAATTCTAGGTTATGAAAGAGACTTTTGCAAACCAAAATTGCCATATTTGTGCGTGTTTATAATCATGGCTTGTATAGACACGAACGCAAGGACATTACCCAATAACTAAGACCTAAGGAAAAGGTTTTAGAGCACCGAATTCAGGAGTTTAAATGCCTGTTTGGGTTGGGTTTTGGCGATGAGGGTTGGGTTTGGTACGAGTAGTGAGCTGGAAAGTTATTGGGCTGAGCGAGGCTTCTTTGAAGTCTATTTACTGAATTTAAATTTTTTTCAGTGGTTCCATCGCTCCATCAAGCTCGGCTGCTGCGCGGCCGAAAACATCGTACCAATGACAAACTCCATATCCAACCACACCACCCTAACGGACCGAACCCTCACCCCAACTCAACAAAACGGCAGGCGGAGGGCCCTGAACACCATCCCCGACCCCTCCAACTCACCCATGCCTTCGGGCGCAACGCCAAGCACATCGGCTGCGTCGTTCGCCTACGTCACTAACTCGTCACATTCCAAGTGAGTTTCTTAATGATTTGGGCGGGGTAAACAAAGTAAAATTCTTCAGTTTGGGCGGGGTAAAAATATTTTTTTAGTTGGGCGGAGCAAAAAAATTTTAAATGTTGGGCGGGGTAAAAATAGTGCTTTTTAGTTTGGGCGAGGTAAAATTAGTTTTTTTAGTTAGTGAGGCGTAAAAAGGGGCATTTTTGGGCATCTTTGTTTAAACATGGCATTTTAGGTAACATTTTTAAAAAACTCGTATTTTAGGTAAATTTTTGAAATTTCACACCATTTGTGTATGAAATTTGAAATTTGCATATTGATATTGTTGTAGATCCTCCCTCGACAACTTGGAGAACAGCACGTCCGGCTTGCTGGACCGTTCCGCAGACCAACTGGACGGCGGCGGCTTGCCTAAAACTAAACGTTTCAAAGTATTTTGCGAACTGCTGGACACGGAACAGAACTACGTCGATGTTCTACATCTTATACTAATGGTAGGTGGGGAAGAGGGGTTGAGATGGCCTGGTAGGTTTGTTTTGAGGGGTGTTTTGGGAAAAAATTATGGTTTTGAGGGGTGTTTTTGGGGCTAAAATGAGGTTTTAAAGAGGTTTTTGGGTAACATTTTGATTTTAAAGTAGATTTTTAGGTAATAAATGAACTTTCAAAGCTATTTTTAGATATAAAAAGAGCAAAAATCAGTGTTTTAGGTAACAAAATTGATTTTAAAAGCTTTTTGTTACCTAAATTTGAAAAAATTTTTATATAAGTTTTTGAAATTTAAAATTTTTCAGAATTTTAAAAAGCCCCTAGAGAACCAACTACCCGACCTAGCAAGCCGCCGCCTCATGAACAACATGTTTTCGAGGATCGAACCCTTGTACCACGTTCACTGTGCCATCCTCAGCTCACTGAAAGCACTAGCCGGGCCAAACTTCCGGGAATGGAAAGAGGAGAAACTGATCGGGCAGGTCTACGCCACCCCCAAAAAAGACTTGCTGGAGAGGTACGTGTCGTACATGAATGTCTACGACCAAATCAAAATATCATTGGACGAACTGATGAAGGACCCAACTGCCGCACCGCTGATTAGGGTAGGTGGGGTGGGTGATATGACGGCGGTAGGATTATTACCAAGGGAAGGGGGTTGGTGATATGATGGTTTTGGAATCAGGGTAGGTGGGAGTGGGTGAAGTGGTGGTTTAGGGCTGTTAGTTAGGGCAGGGAGAGAGTATGGAGCGTGATACGGTGGTGATAGGATTACGGTAGGTGGGTGGTGATATGGTGGGGATCGAATTGTTACCTAAATTACTATTTTATGTTAAGTTTTCTAGCTTTGGGGCAAGATGTTACCTAAAAGATTATTTTTGATGTCATTTGTTACCTAAAATGCAATTTTTGGTTATTTGTGTGCATTTTTGTTACTTAAAATACTATTTTTGGGCTAATTCGTTAACTAAAATAATTTTTCCGATCTATGTTGTTACTTAAAATGCGTTTTTTAGTTATTTGTGGGCATATTTGTTACTTAAGATATTTCTTTTTGTTTTATTTGTTACCTAAAATACGGCTTTGGAGCTTTTTTTCACCTAAAATAATACTTTCGGGCCGTTGAGTTACCTAAAATTCTAGTTTTGAGTTGATTTGATTTTTAAAATTTTATTCTTCTGCCGATTGTTACCTAAACTTTATTTTTTTATTTTTCAAGTAAAAAGTATTACCTAAAATACGATTTTTTGGTTATTTGTTAAAATTGTTACCTAAATTTTAAAATAATGATTGATAACTAACTAATGACCGATATTCTTATTTTAGGACCTAGAACGTTGCCCAGAGTGTAAGAAGTGCTCGCTGCGTGACCTGCTGATTCGGCCAGTCCAACGTCTGCCGTCGGTCGTTCTCCTACTGAAGGCGCTGAAAAAAGCGACCGACAAAAGCCTGTCCGACTACAAATGGCTGGAAGTGGCGATAAGCTCGGTCGACGAAGTCCTAACCCAATCCAACCTGCGACGACAACAAACTGACGTCATGATCAAGTCGATGGAGTGTGTCAACGAAATCGAAGGCATCCCGGCACAGTACGTTCAAGCATCGCGCGAGTTTGTCCGCAAAATCGATTTGATTGTGCTGGGAGCGGGCGGATTGCTGAGCAAGTACAAGGGCAAGATGCTCACCTTCTTCTTGTTCACGGATACGGTTTTGGTAGGTTTACTGTACTTTTTGTGGTGTTGTGGTACTTTTTTTTGGGTTACTAGTACTGTTGATAAATTTAAGGGTAGTAGGTGTACTGTAATGGGACTGAATGGTAATTGAGGAAGAGTTAACGATAGTAGGGCTTGTGTGAATAGTTGTACCTAAGGGTTGCATGGGTACTGTAATTAGGTGTGAAGGTACTGTAGATCAACCCAAGGGTAGTAAGGATACTGTAAATGAATTTGAGGGTAGTAAGGGTACTGTACCTGCAGTAAAGAATATTACTGTAACTTAAATGCTGGTGCTTTAGGTAGCCAAGAATCGTGTAGGCACACATCGTGACTCAACAACCTCGCTAGCAATGTCGAGTTCGGCCCAAAACCTGAACAACACCTCACACTCACACCTGAACATGTCCATGTCGATGATGGGCAACCGGTCGACGTTGGGAAGGACGAGCTCATTCCTCGGCTCTATCCGTCATCCACCAAAGAAACCCTTCAGATACGTCGATGGTCTAATGTTCATGGCTTTCAGGCTGTTTTTGGCAACGCAGGATAAGGGTAAGAAGTGGTTTAGGCATTTTTCTTATTTTCGCTGAGGTTCTATTGACCGGTCGATAATCTTTTTGAGCACTTTGATTTTATAAAATGCTAAAATGGCATTTTTTGGCGGATTTAGGCCTATTTTTGCAGAAAAAAGTTTTATTTTTTATCGACCGGTCGATAATTTTTCGGTTAATTTTTATTTCTAAAATTTTTCAAATGGCATTTCAAGGAATTGTAAGCTTTGGTTTTGGATATTACGTAACCTTTTTTTGGGTTAAGAGAAAAAATTTTTTTTTCCACCGGTTGATAAATTTTTTTTTTGGTTTAAAATATCTCAGATTGGTATTTAAGTGCATTTGAGGCTTAATTTTTGTGTTTCAAATTGTCTTTTTGTTTAAAAATCAAAAAAAAAAATATCGACCAGTCAATTTTTCAAGAAACGTTTTTTTGTCCAAAAATCTGTAAAATACCATTTAATAGCATGTGGAAGATATAAAAAAGCATTTTTAGATAAGTACACTGACTTATAAGCTAAAATAATGCTATTTTTAATATTTCAGGAGTGTTTTTTATCAAGATCCGAGACCAAAAAGCCGACGAATTCTGTGCCTTCCAAGTGGCAGGAGAAACCGACGTTCGAGAAGCCACGACCTTCTTCAACGACCTAGTACACCTCATCAATGCCAACACAACAAGGAACGTCTCAATCCATAACGCGTTGGAAGTGCTGGACAAGAATGAGGGATGCTTCTTGGACACGGAGGACATGGAGTTTATGAGGAAAACTCTGTAAGTTGGGGTGGTAGGGGTGATTTCAGTGACGATTGTGTAGGCTTGTAAAGGGGCGATGGTGTTTTTGAAGCGGGGGTGGTGATTTTAGAAGAAAATATTGAAGTTTTTGAAAAAAAAATTTTATCGACCGGTCGAAAATTTTGTTTATTTTTTTATTTTTTGTTTTGAAAAAGTTGTTTTTTAGTCGTTTTTAGGCTTATTTTGAGTTTGAAAATGAAAAAGAAGTGAAAAAATTTATCGACCGGTCGACAATTTTGAAAATATTTTTTTTTGTGAATTTTTGCTTTGAACTTGGTTTTCAAAGCCTTAGGCTTGCTGATAAGCTTAAAAATCTTGATACTTTTTATCGACCGGTCGATAATTATATTTTTTCAAATTAAAAAAAAAATTAATTTTTGATTTTGACACCCCCTATGATTACCATAGTCTTACGTTGACATACTGCTTTCAGGAACAACGCCCACACCGAAACCGGCAATCCCCTACAACGATCTCAATCCCAACTTCGGCGTGCCGTCTCCTCGGTCTCAGTCCAGCTACAGCGAATGACGTCACGCTCTCGCTTCAACGAATCCGTCTCGGCCCTACCACGATGAGTAATCAGTATATATTGTCCATCCTCCACTATCATCATCATGACACTTATCATCTTGTATTCTTGAATCTCAATGAAACTAACAAAATGTTGTAGCATAGGCTTAACTCGGAGGGTTCTAGGCTTATTTATGGGCTTTAATTGAGGCTTTTTAGACTTTTTATGGGATTTTGGATTTTTAGGCTTAAATTTGAGTTTAAGTTTGAGTGTTTAGGCTTAAAATGAAATAGAAGTTGGTTTTAGGCTTATTTTGTGACAAAAAATTTACTTTAGGCTTAATGTTGTATCTTAATCACTTTTTAGGCTTAAAATGGCTATTTAGGCTTAAAAATAGCTTTTTAGGCTTATAGTGGCTTTCTAGCTTTAAAAACTACTTTTTAGGCTTAAAATGGCAAATTTAGGTTCAAAATGGCTTTTTAGGCTTAAAAGTCGATTTTTAGGCTTAGAATTTAATTTCATGCTTAAGCTGGCTTAGACTGAAATTTTGGGCTTAAGTTAGCTTAGAATGAAATTTTAGGCTTAAAATTATTTGAAATGCGTTTTTAGGCTTAAAAAGTTTAAAAAAAACCTTTAGGCTTAGCAAATCTCAAAAAAAACTTTTAGGCTTAGCAACTCTCAAGAAAAACACTTTTAGGCTTAAAACTACTTAAAAACCACTTTTAGGCTATAGTAACTAGAAGACCCTACCTAATTATTGCAAGATTTGTATCATAACCGATATTAAGTTAGTTGTTAGACGAGTACCCTCGATCAATCTCTTCCCATTCGTGATAATGTTTAATTTATCCCAAGTTTTAATTAATTTTGCTTAATAATCCCACTTTTTGATAATCTATATATTGTTGTTCTCTATCCTTTCCTTATCTATTTGATATTCCTTGTTGCTCGCTTTTCTTAACCCAAACAACATCTGGCTTTACATTATCCTACTTTTTCTGCTTTACACCTTTTTTAGTACTATTCATTCCCTTCCCCACCTTTTTTTACAATTACCACGCCCATACCTGTTTATTTTAAGGCAAGGGCCGACCTTTTAATTGTCACCTCTCTTCTGTCTGTTCAAATCTCATATTGTTATCACCACATCTCTTTTGGCCTAACGTATATTAACTCGCTTTTGTAGTAAACACCATCAGACTTTAATTGAGTTATTGGGTTGGCAGTGGCCTTTGAGATATAGAAGTTAGTGTAGGTTATGGTAAGCATGATAGAGTAAGGCATTTTATGGATTGTGGTTGGCAGTGGCTTTTGAGATATAGTGGTGGTGGGGGGGGGGCGTGAGGTACTGGTCAGAGTGGACGCAATGATAGTAGGATAAGGTAATTTAGTGTAGTTTATGGTAGGTATGATAGGGTAAGGTATTTTAGGGGTTGTGCGATATACAAAATAAAAAATTGCAAGAACTTTGTTTACAGGACAAAATATGGCAAGAACTTTGTTTACAAAACATAAAATAGCAAGAACTTTGTTTACAAAACAATAAATGGCAAGAATTTTGTTTACAGAACAAAAAATGGCAAGAACTTTTTTACAAACTAAAAATGGCAAAATTCATAACAGGCATTTTATAAACTGTCAAAAACTTTGTTTCCACGCAGTGTTCCTCGAACTTTTTATAATCAAGCGCACCGTTGCTTAACTTGCCAGATCGGACGGGACCGCGCGTTCTCACTGGGCAAAGAAGACAAATGGCGGCGCACGGTGCAGAAATTAATTTTTTGGCAATAACTTTGTTTACAATGATAGAAAACGGCATTTTTTAAGATTTTTGGAATTTTTCAAGGACTTTCTTTACAATTCTTAAAAATTGCAGGAACTTTCTTTACAAAACAAAAAATGGCAAGAACTTTCTTTACAAATAAAAAAAAATAATAATTGAAACTTCAGTTACAGATAGGCTGATAAACAACAAAAGTCGAACAAAACTACAAACTTTAAACTAAAATCGTCTAGAATTATATTCAAAGCATCTAAATATCTATAATAACATCAGAGATGGCTATTCGACTTTATTTAAAAATGAAAAAGTTTTGAAATCTGAACTAGATGGTTAAGCTGGATTTGAATATTTTAAACTTTGAATGAATACGCATGCGACGGGTTGATACGGCTTTGTCGAACTTGTATTAGGTTGTTGTTGGTTTATATTTTAGTTGATTTTTTGTTTTTTGGCTTGGGGTAGGAGTAGCGGTAGAAACAAGGGTAGGGGTAAGGCTAGGGGATGGAGTAGACAAGCGGTAGGGATAACGTTTTTGATCATTTTTAAATTTTCAAAATTTTGAGTCAAAATTTTAAATTTCACAAATTTTTTTTATTTTAAAGTTTGTAGTTTTGTTCCACTTTTGTTGTTTATCACCCTATATGTAACTGAAATTTCAATTTTTTAATTTTTTTTTATTTGTAAAGAAAGTTCTTGCCATTTTTTGTTTTGTAAAGAAAGTTCTTGCCATTTTTAAAAATTGTAAAGAAAGTTCTTGCAAATCTCAAAAATTTTTTAAAATGCATTTATTATTATTTTAAACAAAGTTTTTGCCAAAAAGTTAATTTTGCACCGTGCAGCGCCATTTGTCTTCTTTGCACAGTGCAAAAATGCGGTCCCGTCCGATCTGGCAAGTTAAGCAACGGTGCGCTTGATTATGAAAAGTTCGAGGAACACTGGGTGGAATCAAAGTATTTGACATTTTATGACATACCTAACATAAAGTTTGTCAGTTTATGCGTTGTAAAGAAAGTTAATTCAATTTTTTTATTTGTAAAGAAAGTTCTTGTCATTTTTTGTTTTGTAAAGAAAGTTTTTGCTATCTAATTAATTTTTGATATTTTTAGTTAAAAATGTTATCGAAAGTCGTGAGAAAATTGTCACATCCAGACAAAATGCGAACGCCATGGCTGTCGATCAGTATTGCTACTGCTGTTGTCTTCTTTCAAGCCGCTCAGTTTTCAATGTTCTTCAGCTCAATGTGGCCTTACATGCAGTTGGTATGGCGTTTTTAAAGAGTTTTATAATGATTAGGGTATAGCTATGTTAATATAGAATGTGAATACAATAAGGGTAGGGTAGAGCAAGGTAAGGCTGGGTAGGACTGGGTAATGCAGAGTAGAGCGATGTAGACTAAGGGCAGGAACGGCAAGTCAAGGTATTATAAAGTAGAGTAAGGTATGGCAGACCACGTCAGGGAACGGTCGGGCACAGGACACGGCAGGGCAACACAAGATATTATACGATAGGGCAGCGCAATCCAAGGCAGGGAAGAGCAGAACAAGATAAGACAGGTCCAGAGCACGGTGGGGCACGGAATTGCACAGCAGGACACGAAAGAGCAGGGCGGAGCAAGGTATTATAAGGTAGTGTATATGTCATGTTATAAGGTAATGTAAACTAGAGTAAACCAAGGTAAGTAAGGTACGGCATGGTATAACAAGTCAACAAATTTAAGGTTATTCTCAACATAGAATGTACTGTAATATCATATATGGTGGTATAAAAAATACTACCTAGAAAAACAGTGTAATGCATGGTGTACTGTAAGGTAGACAATTGCTTACTATAGGATAGGATCCGGTATCGCATACTGTTACTGTAAGATAAAGCTCAAGGCACGGAAGAGCCTAGGGTACGGTAAAAACTGAGGTAGGGTAGAGCTTGGAGTACTGTAGTTTTTGGTGAATAAGGTCGGGAAAAAAGGCACTGATATTTAGGGTAAGGTAGGGTACTGTAGGGTAGGGTAGGGTAGGGTAGGGTAGGGTAGAGTAGGGTAGAGTAGGGTAGGGTAGGGTAGGGTAGGGTAGGGTAGGGTAGGGTAGGGTAGGGTAGGGTAGGGTGGGGTGGGGTAGAATAGGGTAGGATAGGGTAGGTTTACTGTATTACTGTTATTTTAGTTAGACCCCCTATCAACCGAAACCTTCTTTGGTATGGTAGTGGCCACATTCAGTCTAGGACAAATGATAGCTGGACCACTTTTTGGCTTATGGAGTACTAAAATTGGCAGTGTTTACGTGCCTATTATAAGTTGTCAATTCTCGATGTTTATTGGCAACTTGATCTACTTCTTGGCCGCTTTATGGCCATCGAATCAACGATTTGCTTTACTGGTCGGTCGAACCTTTGTTGGGATTGGCGAATGTGAGTTCATTTGGTTGTTCAAATAATTCTGAGCTCCCTGACTTTAAAAATTTGCTTTGAGAGGGGCACAGAATTAATTGAACAACCAAATATAAGCTATGTAGTGTCAAAATGTTAGTAGAGGGGGAAAAAGGTAGGGAGGGGTAAAAAAATTAAAAAATTTGGGGATGGATCAATAATTTTTTAAAACGTATGTATTATCTTTTAGCTAGTATGGGCCTAGTTCAATCGTACGTCTCTACAGCAAGTTTGGAAAAGGATCGTTCAAGAGCGATTGCTTTTACGACCGGTGGATTGGCTCTTGGTATTTGTCTTGGTCCAGGTAAGTTTTCTACTTTATTCTACCGTACCCAAGGCCCTACCATACCCAAGGCCCTATCATATTCTAGACCTTACCGTACCTTAGGTTCTACCGTACTCCAGGCCCTACCGTATTCTAAGCTCTACCGTACCCTAGGCCCTACCGTACCCTAGGCCCTACCGTATCTTAGGCCTTACGTACCCTAGGTCCTACCGTATCCTAGGCATTACCTTACCCTAGGCCCTACTGTACCCTAGGCCTTACCGTACCTTAGGCCTTACGGCCTTACCTTACCCTAGGCCTTACCTTACCCTAGGCCTTACTGTACCCTAGGTCCTACCGTACCCTATGCCTTACAGGACCTTAGGATCTACCGTAGCTTCGGCTTTCTTACTCCCTAAGTTTCACCGTAACCATGGCTCCTACCCTATTGTAATAGGCTCTAACAATACTTTAAGGCCTAGGCTATCTTATTATAAAATGACCAGTTTAGTCTTCCAACTGATCTTCATTCCAATCGGCTACCCAGGTCACCAACTCTTTGGCGATCTTTATATGAGTATGTACACTACTCCAGCATTTGCTGCCGGCATGGTTAACATTGTCTGTATCATAATGGTGACATTGTTTTTTGAGGAGAATTATGCTGGAATTAATTCAAAAACAACCCAGTCCAATGGTACTACTATGAAGGTACCACCATACGATTTGGTGGCTGTGGTACTATGTAACATTACCAGGGCTATGCAGCTTTTTGTGTTTACTAATTTGGAGACGTAGGTTTAAAAAAGTTTTTTTAAATGTTCGATTTAAAAAATTTTAAATTTCAAAATTTTAGGTAGTAAAGAGTGTTTTTCAGATTAGGAGCCCCATTCTTTATGTCAATGTTCGGTATGAGCCGTAAGGAAACAGTACAAGCAATTTCTTATGCTCATGGAGTAACTGGCTTGGTCGCTTTTACAAATTACATGTTTTACATCGTCTTCAAACCTTCACCAGAGTAGGTTTTACGTTATTTGATCAATATTTTTAAAAAGTTTTAGGGCTTACAGTACGGTATAATACAAGGTATAGCAAAAGTTGGGGTACTCCAGGGCTTGTGGTGCGTTTTACGGTACGATTCAGAGGACAATGTGGCTTGAGCAAGGCGTAGAATACTGAAGAACTTAGGGTAAGGTAGGGCTTAGGGTACGTTAGGGTGTAGGGTACGGATGGACTCAGGGTACGGTAGGACCTATGGACCGCGGTGGCATAGAGTACGGTAGAACGTAGAGGATGTTGCAACTTAGATTACGACAGGGCCTAGAAATTGGTAAAGCCTAGGTTACGGTAAGTCTTATGGTACGGTAGGGCTCAAGGAACGGTAGGGCTCAGGGTACGGTAGGGCTGACGGTACGGAAGGGCCTAGGGTACGATAGGGCCTAGGGTACAGTAGAGCCTAGGGTACGGTAGGGCCTAGGGTACGATAGAGCCTAGGGTACGGTAGGGCCTAGGGTACGATAGAGCCTAGGGGATCCCCCCCCCCTCTAAAAAAAAAATTTTCAAAAAAAAGTTGAACGTGGTCTCCCCTGTAGATTTCCCGAAAAAAAAATTCGCAAAAAATCGGCACAGGTACCTGTGCCGATTTTTTCGATTCCCGTCGCCAGACCAAAAGTCCCCGCCCGGCACTGATTAGGGTAAGGTAGGATGGGTCTATTAAATACGGTAAACTGATATATAATTCTTTTAGTACAAACTACCGTAAAGGTATCTTTGTATCGTTTGTTGGCTATGTCATATTTCACGTCGGCACCTTCTCCTACCCATTCTCGAACGATCACATTAAAACGTACTCGGCCGCTGAGTACGCTCTCTACAAAAATGGGACAGTACCAACAGAACCAGTCGGTTGTCCGCGAGATTCAATGGATTGGTGCGAAACGATTCAACCGGTCAATTTCTGGCTGTTCATGTTCTGTTTCTCTGTCGTTCTGGCGTTTTCGTTCAGCACGCTGAACGTGAACATTAACACACTGTTTTCGAGAATATTGGGACCGAGAAGGCAGACAAACCAACAGAGCATCTATCAGGCTTCGGCTTCGTTTTCAAGGCTACTTGGGCCGATTATCATTAGGTAAGTACATATATTGTTGTAAGGCGTGGGTTATGGCCTAGGATACGGTAAGTCTTAATTATAGGCTCTGGGCTAGAACTCTTGGTTAGGGCTATGGGCTAGATCTCTGGGTTAGGGCTCTGGGCTAGGGCTCTGGACTGCGACAAACACTCTGGGCTTTGGGGCTAGGGCTCTGGGCTAGAGCTCTGGACTAGGACTAACGCTCTGGAATTCTGGGCTTTGGGCTAGGCCTCTGGGGTAGGGCTCTGGACTTGAGCTAGCTTTAATCTTGTCTTGTTACAGTAACCTGTACACAGCTTATGGCCCTCGTGCTGCATGGTCGTTAGAGTTGGTGGTAATTGGTGTAGTAATATCATTGTGGATTATATTCTACAAGCGTATGGTACCTTTGGAAATCGAAGTTATAGATAACAATACCCATGTTATTAAAGTGCGACGAAGCAGCGAAGTCAGTGAATGTCTGAGTTTGTACTGAGGAAGTGTGTAGTATGTGTTAATCTATAAATAATACATGAATAATGACTTATGGTTTTTGAATAAACGACCACTTTTTGAAATCGACATCTATTATTATATAGGTCACCTGTACCTAGAATAAGACAGGGTAGAGTAGGGTATGATAGGGTAGGATAGGATAGGTAATAGCCTAAAGTACAAAAGAGCGTAGAAGACTGTAGGACCTACAGTACGGTAGGTAAAGTATGGTAAAGCATAGGGTACATAGAATGTAGAGTACAGTCGAAATCGGTAGGGTTTAGAATATGGTACGGCAAGGCAAGATAAAGCCTAGGGTACGGTTGCAGAGGACCCGACCGCTCGAGAAACCGTCAATCCAAAGTAATGATGAGAATTCCCAGCAATATGCAAATCTTTGTTGTCTTTTGTTGTACTTCATCGACGATATAAAAGCCGGGGAGTTCCGAAAAAAAATCATTTTACCTGTCGTGCTTTTGATGTCAACAACAAAAAGTGGCGATCTGTATGATATGAAGTGATTGAAGGAGGAGCTGGAAATACTCAAGGGACAAATCGGCCAAGCATCAACTGAAGCCAAGTCCAGCAAACAGATCGACGAACTACTTGATGAGTTATGGGTGACGAAATGCACATAGACGTTGGACCGGCTGACGATCGAAGACTTCTAAATAATGAGTCAGCGACTCATGGAGAAGGTGTGAACTACCCGACCGCTTGAGAAACCGTCAAGCTCAAGGAATGATGATAATCCCAGCAATATGCTAATCTCTTGTCTTTTGTTGTACATTATCGATGGTATAAAAGCCGGGGATTTCCGAAACTAAATTATTCTACCTTTTGTCGTGTTTTTGTTGCGAGGGGATCTCGAGAATGGCAAAGTTTAAAGTACGGTACTAGTTAGGATAGGGTATTAAAGTGTCTAAAGAAGTAGTTGTTCAAAAGCGACTATGTCGTTTTAATATAAAAGACTTAATTAAATTTCATGTTTGCTGAGTCTTGCAAAGTAAACACGACACATATAGTATTTATGTATAAAGAACGAACTCGAAGATGCAAAATAAAAAAACAAAAAAAAGTCAGTTTGATATAATTTTGGGTCTTACTTTAGTTCAAGTTGTAAGACTAAAGAAAGATATACGTAAAATTGTGAAGGAACATGGTTAAGTTCTAGATAAGATAAAAAAACAGTAGTATCAGAGTAGGGCTAGGTTCGGTACCTAAAAAAAGTAGGCCTAGGGTTGAAATAATAGAGTTGCAGTTAGTGTAGGACTTATGTAGAAGTAGGCTATGGTTTCGGTATGGGTATAATAGGGTTATCGCTACCATAACCTATCCTACCCTACTCTTAAGTAAGGCTAACATAGTAAAACTAATGGTAAAACATAAGGTTGTTTTATTTGTTTATTGTGTTGTTGTTTTTCTTTGTTTTGTTATTATTTTTTAATCAAAGCAACAAATTATTAGAATTCTTTGACTTCCAGTCGTCTACAGTACTATGAGAAAGGAAAAACTTAATTGTCTTTGTTGTTTTCCATATAGTTTTTGTTTGTTTATTCATTGTCGCATGTAATTATTACAAAGTTTTTGTATGAGAAAAGCAACTTTACTTGGAAGTATACAAAGGTAGTGAACGAACGTTATAAACCAGTAAACCAACTTGTGGGATCGACTTCCATAAGTATGTACAGTGGAACTCCTGTATAACTAATCGCTCGGGGACTTGAAATTTGTTCGTTATGAAGGAGTTTCGTTATAGAGGAGTTATAAGTGCACTGTGTAGTGGTAGACGGGGATTTAAAAGTTGTTCGTTATACTGGATTTTTTTTGTAGGGCAGTTCGTTATACATGAGTTCCACTGTAGGCATAACTACAACTTGAAGTAAATTAAGATGAGGCAAAGTATTCAGAACTAGTATAAGGTAGGGCAAGGTAGGGTAGTGTATAATAGGATAGAGCGGTGCAGGGCAGAGCAGTGAAGGGGCTGCGGGACGTCACGCCTCAGGCTAACGAAGTTAGTCATGTAGGGTTAAATTACAGCTGTTACGTGAATTTTTAACATTTTACGAATTTCTACCATAAGTTAATATATACAAGTGTATGAACTGGTTTTAGTATGGTACTAAATGTGTGATGCAGGCAATCGTAGCCTTGATTTTTTCATTTTTCTTTTTTGCGATTTTTGGAGGCTTTGGCAACATGAACATTATGATTGCTACTTATAGGACAAAGGAGTTGAGACATAAGTGCGGTAAGTGTTTTTTTTGTTTTATTTAAAATATGGTAAGAGATTGTTAGTACTAGAGCATGACATGTGTAGGTTAGGGTTTCAGTATACGGAGGGTAGTGTATGGATTCAATTTAACCAAAGCAGAGTATACCTATAGTGTGAAGAGAGTAGGGCAACTCTACAGTATGACAAGAGTATGGCAAAGTGTCAATATGACGATGATAGAGTGGGACTTTAGTTTAGCAATGGTAGGGTAGAGCTACAGTATAAAAAATGTAGATTAAGGCTGATGTATTACTTGAGTCAAGTAAAAGGGTACAACATACTCAAGTTTGAATATAGTTACAGTATGGCTAAGCGAGACAAGGTAGGGTATGGTATGGTAGGGTAGGGTAGGGTAGGGTAGGGTAGGGTAGGGTAAGGTAGGGTAGGGTAGGGTAGGGTAGGGTAGGGTAGGGTAGGGTAGGGTAGGGTAGGGTAGGGTAGGGTAGGGTAGGGTAGGGTAGGGTAGAGTAGGGTAGGGTAGGGTAGGGTAGGGTGGGGTAAGATCGTTTCGAGAAATGTAAAATAGGCACAGTAGGGTGGTAGGGTCACAAAAACAGTTTTTTACTTTCGTTTAAAGATAAATGAGAAGAGAGGGAGGGGGAGGAAAGAAATTAATTTTTTATTTGTACTTTACGTTGTGTCTACATTCATAGACGGCTTTTTGTTTATTTGTTACGTTAATTTTTAAAATATAGACTTGGAAATGAATTGTAATTTGTTTATAGCATTATGTATGTAATATTATAGTAGAGAACTGACTATTGCATTAATCACTTTTTTAGTGAAAACATTTAGTATTAAAATGACCTTATTATAACCCTAGCTATAGTCATAAAGCAATTTTCCATTTTAAACACAACATTTTAGGTGTCCTCTTATCAATTCTGGCATTTTGTGACTTTAGCTGTTTAATGTTCGAAATAGTCTCAGGTGCTCGTATGGTATTAGGCATAGCAGCAATGAAGAAGACAAAGTGCTTCTGGCTTCAAACGGGTAATATTATCATAGAAAACGCTGAAGTTTATATGATATTCGCTGTCTCACTGGATCGGCAGCTAGCCATTCAGGAGCCTATACGGTAAGCGAGCTTGAGTTGGCCTGGCTTGTCTTGCTTTGCTTTGTTTTGCCCAGCCCAGCTTAGCGCAACCCATTTCAGCCCAGCCATCCTCAGTTTAGTGCAACCCATATTAGACTAGATCAGGCTATACCAAACCAGTCCAACCCAAACCAGACCATATCAGACTAGTCCACTCCAGTCCAATCCAGTCCAATCCAGTCCAGTCCTGTCCTGTCCTGTATAGTCCAGTCCAGCCCAGTTCAGTCAATTCCGCTTTATTCCAGACTAAACTAAACCAGACCAGACAAGACCAGTCACCCCAGACCAGACCACATCAGTCCGATCTACCCCAGTCCAATCCATTCCAGTCTACTCTAGCCCTACTCAGCCCTACCTTGCCTTGTCTTGCTCTGCCTTTCCCTGTCCTACCTTTTCCTCCCCTCTCTCCTTACTTTTCTGCTCCGTCCTACCTAGTATAAATACAGCAAAATCTTCAGATACCGAACATGGAAAACAAAAAAATATGTAATTTTAATGACCATACCAGCCATAATATACGGGTTATTTTACTACATATGGTCGTATGTGACTCTAGTTCAGGAAGATGTTGAAGTATGTAACTTGCCATCAGCTATGCCTACCAAAGTCAGTGAATATTGGAATTATACATCTACTTTGGCGTGTTTCATCACTGTGTTTTGTTATGTTTTGACCTTTGTCATGCTTTATAAAATTAGTAAGTTAAAATTTTAAAAATTTTAAAAAAATTTAAAAAAATTTTTTTTGCGAAATATTATTTTTTTTAAAATAAAGTTTATATAAAAATGGCTTTTGCAGTACACTAAATTTGTTATTTTACTTAAAAAACCCTTGTTAAAACAAGTTTTTTTTGCTTTTGCAGGCTGCGTGAACTATTTTATACGATGAAACATGTTTGTAAAAACAAATTTTGAAAATTTAAAGTAAATGAAATCTTGAAAATGTCACTTTTTATCTTAATTATATTTAAAATATTATTATATTTTATTAAAAATAACATAAAACAAAGTTTTTCGTCGTTGCAGTCTGCGCAAACAATGTTATACGCTGAAACATGTCCGTCCGATCACTTTTTTTGTCGTTTTTGTATTATTAACTAAAATTTTATAAAATTTTGTTAACAAAAATGATTGAAAATTATATTTTTTACTTTTCAAACCATTTTATACGATGAAACATGTCCCAATATTTTTTTAAATTTTAAATATTTGAAAATATTTGAAATTTCAGCCCCAAAAAACCTCAGATCAGAGAAATCCCAAATCGAACAACAACGTCGTATCGTAAAAACGTTGAGTATCAACGTGTTTGGGTTCTTTATTTCATCGGTGCTAAGCTCGGGTATTATCATGTATTTTCGGAACATTGGAGTGAGTGAAGATGTGGTTGGAGAGGCGGAAACTTATGCTGTCATACCTGGTAGGTCTTGAAATTGCCTTAATTTTATCAAAAGTTATTTTTAAAACTTTTTTTAATCTTTGTTTTGCGGGCTGCGCCCTGGCTTTAGGTTTTTTTGTAAAATTATGTCCTACTTAACCCTGCCTTGTTTTGGGCTAGCTTTAGCCTTGCCGGATGTTGCTCGCCTTGCCTTGCCTTGCCTTGCCTTGCCTTGCCTTGGCTTGCCTTGGCTTGCCCTGGCCTTGCCCTGTCCTTGCCCTGGCCTTGCCCTGGCCTTACCGTGGCCTTGCCGTGGCCATGTCCTGGCCTTGCCCTGACTTTGATTGACTTGCCTTCTTTATCCTACCCTAGCCTCCTCTACCGTACCGTGCCCGACCCTACAGTGCTCTGTCTTGCTCTGTCTAGTCTTGCCTTGCCTTGCCATACCTCAGTACCCGACTTAAGTATCCTACCCTAGTATTCTAACACAGTACCCTACCCCCCAGCCTTCCTCTCCCAGTAAACGACAATCATTCTACCTTACTCTGCTGTAACTAACCTTAAACTTTAAAAATCAATTTCAAATTTAAAGATTCCACTAAAATTAGCCACAAAATTAAAAATTTACAGGTCTGTTAAGCTACTCCCTCAACTATTATGTGTATTTTTGGCGGTCAAGTGAGTATCGAAAGGCATTCGCGAAACAGATTGGCATTAATGAAGAATACTTTAACCGTGGCCAGGAGACCATGTTCGGCCAGCAGGTGAATAATAGTTATATTTTTAGTGAAAATGTGAATATAGTTTATGACAAACTTAATTTAATAGGTTTTATGACATTTTTAATGAACTTTAAATTGAATTTTCAAAAAAAATTTGGGCTTAAGGCAGAAAATAACTTTGACTTCAGCTGTTTGGGACCATATTATTATAGGATGCGTGACTTTAAAGTGCCATAACTTTTAAACAGCTTTTCCAAGTTTGATGAAATTTTCTACAATTGTACTCTATAGTATGCCAAAACAATAGTTTAAGCCAAAACGCTAATTTTTATATTTACTTAACCTTAAAAACCGTTTTTTGAAATTTGGTGAGTTTTTCTAAATAGCAGCTCTATAGTATGCCAAAACATAATTCAAGCTAAAAATTAGATTTTTATACTTGTCTATCATTTAAATTAAAAAAAATCGAGCCATAGCCATTTAAAAAAGTTGAAATTTTATGTTTGCACAACTTTGAACTGCCATAACTTGTAGACCGATGACTTAAATATTATAAATTTTTGGGCATTTAATGCCTATGATATACCTAATTATACTTTGTGTTAAAAATATCTTTTTTACGTTTGAGTCTAATAAAAAATGGCAGAACTAAAGCAAAGTTATTTATATTTTAAAAATCGAAAAAATTTGACTTTGTCTAGAAGTTATGCCATTTTTGATTGAACTAAATTGAAATACCACAGATTTTTTTGCTAATATAAATAAGCATTTTATTGGCATATACTGTGCAAAATTTTATAACGTCAACTCATTTTGTTCAATAAATATGGCACTTCAAAGGCATACATGTTTCCTCAGTCAATAATAAGGTCGCGGTAAAAAATGTCATTTTAAAGGTAGAGTCGGACTAGGGTAGGGCTAGGATGAAAATAGAGTAGAGCTAGGGTAAGGCATTTTTAGGGCATAAGTTGTGTCTAGGTAGGGCATGTGTATTGCATGGGTAGAGCATAGGTAGGGCTTAAGTGTGGTATGATTAAAGTAGGATAAATTTTGCCAAAAGAGCATCACAAACCAAATTATAAGCCCACGCTTAACCATATTTAAAAAATAGTTAATTTACAGAGTACTCAAGTTCTACCCTTCCGCCGTTCCACCATCACAAACAGCCTCAAGCGGCCGAGCGTTGCCACTGTTGGTTGAGACTTCATTTCAAACGTTGTAGCTTATGATAAGGGTCAATAAAAATTTTTTGAAAAATTAAGTTTTTTCACAATACAGTTTAATAAAACTACAGTAAGATTCATAAAAAGTACTTTATTGATGATATGCTTGACCAAAGACAACCTACTACAATAAAATCAAAAAAGCTGTTTCACTGCCATTTTATAATAGACTAACTAACCAAAATACTGCCATAGTATTATACAGTACTAGCAAAAGCCCACCAAATTCCACTTTATCGACTGTTAATGCCAGAAAAATTAGTAGGCTTGTTGTGTGATATTGTAGTAGATACCTCACGTTTACCATCATAACATGGAACAAACTCGTCAAATACAATGTGCCGGATAGTACGATTGTAGGTCAGGTATACATATGGTGCACATGCTGAAATTAGGCTTATATTTTGAGTTTTTACAGTATATCTATAAGTTACTCGACATGTTTCATTGTATAAAATTGGTTCTGCAGGCTGCAGAAGCAAAAATCTTCGAAAAATGGTTAAATCTCAAATTTAAAGCAAGATTTTTTGTAAAATACGACTTATTTTCTCCATTTTCTAACTAAAAACACACCTTGTGATCCAAAATAGCCAACACCAGCCACCATGGTCAACTCGAAGCTAAGCGAATATCTTTGTTGTAACAGAAACGTCACTCCAGCAAACAACTCGAACAAGCCAATAATGAAGACTTGTAAACACATCTGGAATAAGCAGATGAGTATACCCTACCCTACCCTACCCTACCCTACCCTACCATACTCTACCCTACTCTACCCTACCCTACCCTACCCTATCTTATCCTAGTCATACTGTAGTTCTTCTTCTTAACTATAGTCATACTGTATCACCTGTGGTTTTTCTATCTTACTATAAGCTTACTGTAGTCCTACCTACTCTTGTCATACTGTAGCTTCACCACATTCTTGGTATACTGAAGCTTTAACCCCCCCCTCTTGTCATACTGTAGTCTTACTTAACTGGCGTCATACTAAAGCTTTACCTCACTCTTGGCATGCCGTACCCCTACCCTACTCTTGTCACATCGTATCTCTGCCTTACCCTTGTCATACTGTAGTCCCACCCTACCTTTGTCAAACTGTATTTCCACCTTACCTTGTCATACTGTAAGTCTACCCTACTCTTGTCACGATTTAGCCCTACTCTTCTCTTAGCATACTGTTGTATATATAAACTTAAAAATGAAATTCCCTACCAACTTATCGCTCGTAGACATTCGGGTAGCACCAGCCTTAACCCGATAAATGTAAAGGTATACAAATGTCAAGCTGAAAACAATCTCCAAGAACAAAGTAACCGTATTGTTCAGAGTATGCAAGTTGTTATGGTACACACCACCAACATCATCATAGTACTTGTGGTGCGGGTTGAAGTACCACGACATAGCTATACCACTAAACAGTAGTGGCTCGGTAAATACGAAACAGTAAAGGTATATGCTGACTGGTATCAACATCCAAAAGTACACTTTGCTATTGCCAAACAACTTCTCGGCTACGTAATGACTGTACATCTCACAACAACGGTTCAGACTTAACAGACAGCCGGTTATTGTGGCGCCGATCCAGGTGGCTGAAAATAGAAGATTACTGTATGGGTTACCGTAAATTTACCAAAGAATCAAAATTTTTAATAAAATTACGGCTTTTAGAAGCTGAAATTTAAATTTTTTTAAAATTAAAATTTTTTTAAAATTTTTAAAATTTAAAAAAAATTATGTTGGACATGTTTTATCGTATAAAATAGTAAAAATAAAAATAAAATTTTAAATCATTTTTGATAACAAAAATTGGTTAAATTTAAAATAATAAAACAAACGTTTTTAAGAAAAGCGACCGGAAATGTTCCATCGTATAAAATGGTCGACGCAGACTGCAACAAAAAGCTTGTTTTATGTTATTTTAAATGAAATTTAATAATATTCGAAGGAAAATTAAGACAAGAAGTGACATTTTTATAGTTTTGTTAACTTTAGATTTTAAAAATTTGTCTTTTTTGGACATTTTTCATCGTATAACATGGTCTGCGCAGTCTGCGAAGCTAAAAACCTTGTATAAAAAAATATTTTTTAGCAAAATAATTGAATTTATACTTATTTTTTTTAATTTTAAAATAAAAATATAAAAAATTTTAGTTTTTGTAAAATACGACACCTTGCATTATATAAAATTGCCGGCGCAGCCTGCGTCCTTAAGGTTTTTCTTTTTTAAGCACTTATTAGTAAAAATTTTTTAAATTGCGGTTTAAATGAACCTTTACATCAAAGAAATAAAATTTTTGGTTAATTTATCAAACCTACCAGTGCCATAAGCCCCCAGGACATATATCAACGTAGGCATCTCACAAAACACCGTACCATAAAAGTAGAAGTAGGCCGTTACCATGCCACTCAATATGATGCCATACAGATGAAAGAATGCCAATAATATCATTAGCTTATAGCTCGCTCTACATCTATTGTCCTTCTTGAACATGGCATAGAGACAAGCCAGGTACAGTATGAAGGATACTGTACCTATTGGGAATATTATGGTAGCCAAGACTGGTTGTTGTCGTTCTTCAACTGGTACTACGTTTGGATCGTAAAAGGTGCAGTTGTACAGTTGGTCGTATGTTTCTTGTTGATTTAGTAGAACCTCCATTTTTGGGGTACTGTAGGTGGTACGGTAGGAAGAAATTGTGGTGGGGTACGGTAAGTGTATTGTATGAAAGAAAAAAAGTGGTGGGTACTGTAAAAACAAGATGTTAAGCAAGAAAAAAAGATTTTGTAAAATACGAAGTTTTCAGTTAAGCACTCACATCAAGGGAGACACGTTATACAATAAAAAATGCCCAAGTATATTTACATTAGGTTGTTTAACTAATTCTGATCCACTAACAAAGCAAACTTTTGCAGTTAGGAAACTCAGAATTACTTCAACGACCTAATATATATACATATACATATACATATACATATACATATACATATACACACTCTCCCTATATATATAATAGTGAATTACGGTAACGTACTATAAAAACGAGACAAATCATAAAAGATTTGTATAGTAAGACCAAGTATATGTAACATGTAATTTGTCAAGTTGTGTTTAGCAAGACCCATAAAGCATACAACAGGTATAATTAAACCTACAACAACAGTAACGGACATAAAACACGTGAAACGGTTAATTATAATATATAAACGTAAAACGTTTGATAATTATTATAAAAATAGAACTTTAATACTCCATAGCTTTGAGTCCTAGCTCTAGTCTAGAGCCCTAGCCCAAAGTCTTAGCGCAGAGAGCCCAGAACCCTAGCTACAGATTTAGGTGTAAGTTTCGACCCCGCGCACAGCCCAACCCAGGCGCCTTGAGGAATGGGTAGTGCTGAGTGCACGGGGACTAGGCACATCTATACTCGGCCTACACGAGTATATGATTGAACGCCAGAAGTCTTATGGAGCACCTCACCCAGGACTCAGTGACACGAGGAACAGTGAAATACCTGGGAAGAGGCGCAATTATGGGAAACGTCAGACTCAAGGATAGCTCCGTTGGTCTTCATCTGAACCTTGAACATCCTTGCACATCAGCACAGTACGTTACAATCTACGGCACCAAACTACTAACCTAATCTATATCTCCCGAATTGTAATTGTAGACGCTTGAATATGTAAAGTAAATATATTTAGTTCTGCCTGAATCCTACTGTAAATGAATCTTGATTTTGGTATAAGATATCTTGATCTGGCCTTCCCTGTCTTACCCTACCCTGCTCTTCACTCTTCCTTAGCCATACGGTAACCTTACGTTATGTCCATCCACTTTACCCTATCCTAACCTATAATATCGCCTCTCTACCGTACGAACAGTATAAAATCGGAAGCTTATAAAAGCCCACACATGTAGCCAAAGTTAAATAAACTGTCATTTTTAAGTACTTTTGTAATCCTTGTCGTGTCATAACAATATTGTCTCAATTATCCGCAAAAAAAACAACTTAAAAAAGGTTGAAAAAAAGGCTATATCAAAGTAAAAATGAAATGTGAACTTTTGTAAACATAAGCCCCGCAAGGCTGTAAAGTAAAAAAAAAAACCAACTTGACCCATTAACTCTGCCACTTTTTTAATTTCGTATTCTAGACTTTACTCTAGAGTCTTTGTGTTTACAATTATGTTTTGGCTTAAGGTCATTTAGTTGCGGTCTAAATTAAGCCCCGAGCTCAATGACATGTGCCTGTCACAAACTTTTCTTTCTTATCTTGAGTGTGTTATTTTTGGGGATGGATTCTCATCATGTTATTGGATTGTAGATTGATTTGAGATAAAAGTAATTTGGCTAGTTGTATGATATGAGTTCGTAATGTAAGTTTACTGTATTAGTAAGACTTGTCTGTGTAGATAGACGGTAAAAAACGGTTGTGGTAAAGTAGAAGCTAGATTGTCTGTTGTAGAGGTCGAATAAAGTATAAAAAGTAAACTTTAATAGGATGTAGTATCTTAGTTATAGTAGGGCTGGAGTAGACTACATATGAACTGAGACAGAAAAAGATAGCAATGCTAAAATGAAGCTACAGTATTCTTGTAGGAGGTATGGCCATGGTTTGATAAAGGATAGGTAACTCTTCTGTAGAACACGGCAGTGCAAGGCAAGGCAAGGCAAGGCAAGGCAAGGAAAGGCAAGACAAAGCAAGGCAAGGCAAGGCAAGGCAAGGCAAGGCAAGGCAAGGCAAGGAAAGGCAAGGCAAGGCCAGGGCAAGGCCAGGGCAAGGCCAGGGCAAGGCCAGGGCAAGGCCAGGGCAAGGCCAGGGCAAGGCCAGGGCAAGGCCAGGGCAAGGCCAGGGCAAGGCCAGGGCAAGGCCAGGGCAAGGCCAGGGCAAGGCCAGGGCAAGGCCAGGGCAAGGCCAGGGCAAGGCCAGGGCAAGGCCAGGGCAAGGCCAGGGCAAGGCCAGGGCAAGGCCAGGGCAAGGCCAGGGCAAAGCAGGGCAAGGCCAAGGCAAGGCCAGGGCAAGGCCAGGGCAAGGTCAGGGCAAGGCCAGGTGAGTGATTTTTTAAAACTTTTGCTCCTCGTGCTTATCGTATAGCATTACGTAAAATAAGACCTTGTGTTTTTTATTAAAAAAAAATTTTTAAATTAAATGACATTTTAAGGATGTTACACTAATTTTATAACTTCCGTAAGTAACACCAATTTTTACACTTCAGCTATTATATAACTACGTTCAGCTACGTTGTTCCGTGAATAAAGGTATATGTAAATGTTTATATATTTGTAACGGGGACCTTTAGTATCCTCGCCCAAGCTCTACAGAGCATTTTAACTATCAGAATATTAAACCAATACTTAGTTCTTTGACTTTATTGAAGAGCCTCCTAAAAGACACGTCTGACCTTTAGGCATACAATAGAGCGAAACTGACCTCTATACGACGATAACGGGTCTTTTCGTATTTTCGGTCAGCAATGTTTATTGCTCGCCCGATCATATAAAGACTCGATATCGGACCGTAACATATTATTACAACATAAGTACGGGTTCAAGAGTATAATTTGAGTTCAAAAAAGTTTTTTTAATTTTAATTTTTAATAATTTTTTTGGTTTTTGTCAAAAAGTAAAAATTATAAAATAAAAAACACGTTTCATCGTATAAGATGGTTTCCGCAGGCTGCCAATTCTTATAAGTTAAAGATTTAGCCAAATTAAAATCTTTTTACAATTTGTACTGTGTATTGAATATTTAGTTTTTTATTTTTCGACCGGTCGGTTATTTTTTTATATCAAAAACTTTCTTTTTATTTAAAGACCCATTTTTTCATCAAGCATCCCCTTCATTTACTTTAACTGTTCTACCCTACCCAACTCTATTGTTGCTTTATCAAATCACGTCCTACTGTCGTTTTAAAAAAAGGTGTTTTTCAAAAAATTTCAAATTTTAAAATTTCAAAAAACGTAAAAAAACAGTTTGCAGCCATTTTTGATGACCTTTTTCAAAGTCACAAAGTACTCAGTCAAAAAATTCATTTATAATCGGACCCACCACAAAAAACACAAAGGTGGGCTAATTTATGACGGAAGTGACAGACATCAGTTATGTTATTTTAGACGGTAAAAAGGTGAAACACCTCTGGTTTTCCGGGTAATTGCTCGCAACAGATTTTTAAAAATATCAAAATTAATTGGTATGTTTCTATTTGGGTAATATATCACAAAACATTATATATCAGGTTGAACCAAAAGTCAGTTTTCAGTTGAAAACCAAATGAAGAGCGTCCCGCTACTTTTGGTTCAACCTAGTAGTTAACAATGAAAATTTTAAATTTTCATTTGCAGGCTGCGAAGGACATTTTATACGCTAAGACATGAGTTTTGCCCTGATCACTCTACCATAGCCCTAGACGTAGGTTTAGCTTGCCGGTCTTTTAGTAGAAGCATGTCTACCACAACATCTTATACTACCAACAGCTAGAACTAACCGAAAAGAAGCGTCAAAAAACCATATTTTTTAAAAATTTCACTTTATTGTAATCATAATCATAAAATAGTCATAGTCATAAAATAAAATATTAAAGAGCTTAAAATGACACATTATTGGGTGAAGACAATAGGACAATACGTATTTTGTATTTTATTACAAGAAGGTAATTATTGTATGTATATAGTTACAGTATTAGACATATTACAAGTTTAGGAAATGACTTGGTAAGAAAGTCAATTTCAGAATTATAGTATGACAGTTTGTACTGTATGGCAATATGTAGTATTATAGTATTTACATATATTACCATATAGTACCACAGTATGCACAATACTATATAGTACTGCAGTAAAACATAGTACAGTTAACAACATTTTATAGTACTATTACATATGTTGACAGAAGACAGTATGTGCGGTACTATATAGTATTACATTATGTATAGTACTATATAGTACTGCTGTACAACGTAGTACTGACAACAACATTTTATAGCACATAGTAATACAAAATGCCTTTTTGTATCACTGAATTCTAAATTTTTGAATTTGGCATTTATACCATGACACTTTATACCATGCAGTAATAAGCAACGTCATACATACTATTACCAAAATAGATATCTCTACCATAATACTGTACATAATGCATAATTCAAAACAGTTATAAAATATTATTGCTCATGCTCCTTTACTACTGATTTGCGCAGTAGAGCCAGTACTTGGCTTGGCTTGAGAATGCGTCGTCGATACTTGAGAGTGTCGTTTATAACATGGCACAAACATATCCAAAACCAGGTTTCGTATAGTGCGGTTAAATGTTAGGTAAACGTAGGGGGCACAAGCTGTAAATTTTTTTTAAAAATTTTTTTTGACTTTTGGCAATAAAATTAAAAAAAGGAAATAAATTCTTAAAATTTTAAAAAATCTAAAAAAAAAAATTTTCAAAAATAAATTAAAAAAACAAAAAAATACTAAAAAAATTAAAAATACACTAAAAAAATATCTAAAAAAACAACAAAAACAAACAAAAAAAAATTTAAAAATACAAAACTCTGTAATAATAAGCAAAAATGCTATAAATTACCTTGAGAGCAAAAGTAGCAAACCCCAGCCAACATGGTCAAAGCTACACTCAATTGGAATCGTTGTTGTAGTAAAAACGTCACGCCAGCCGTGATTTCAAACAAACCAATGATAAAGACTTGTAAGCACATCTGTAATATCCAATTTTAAAAAGGTTTTATGTAAAATTTGTTTCTTAAAATTTAATAGTTAAAAAAAACCTTTTTTTTAATTTGTGTTGGCGAGCTGCGCCTGATATTAATTTTCAAATTTTAAAAATTTTTTATTTTTGGTAAAATACGACTTGCGCTCTTAAATTTCATTTTTTTACAATTTATAGAAAAGTAGAGTTAACTGCGCCCTATAAAACACAAAAATTTTAAAAAATTTACTAATTTGTCATTCTTGCTCATCTTGGTAGCTCTTCCTTTGATCCTGGAAAAGTACAGTACCACAAAGCTCATACTGAGCATCAACTGAGTCAACAAAGTTACAGTATTATTCAGTGTGTGCATGGTATTAACATAGATACCTTGCGTATCTTCAAAGTATTTGTAATGAGGATTGAAGTACCATGACATGGCAATACCATTGAACAATAGTGGCTTGGTAAAGATAAAGCAGTATAACCAGATTATTAGTGGGCCGGACATCCATATGTAGACTTTTTTACCACCGAATAACGTATCTGCCACGTGGCTACTGTACATTTCACAACAACGGTTGAAACTGAGGAGAGAGCCGGCAATGGTGCCGCCAATCCATGTGGCTAAAATTGCAAAATTTAAAAAAATTTTTTCAATGTAAATCATATAAAAATTTGTTTAACTATATTTTAGGACTATAGTCTTTAAAATTAAAGAAACGACAAATTTTTCAAGAAAAATTCAAATTTCCAAAATCCCGCCAAATTTGGCATTGTGTTGCAAGCGTCAATTTTGCCATTTTTTAACTAAAAACATGTTTTTTAATATCAAGAAGTTCCGAAAATCTAAAAATCGCTAGATTTTAACATTAAATTCAAATTTTCAAAATCCCGCCAAATTTGGCATTTCGTTCCTTTACATGATTTTGGGTCTCTAACCTTTAAACGTACGATAAAAACTGTTCTTTAGTCTCAAAAAACTATTTTTGAACACAATTTGGCATTTTTTAGACGTTTTTTCAACACTTTTTGAATGGTTTTGAAATGGTCCATCTGCATAGTGCTAAATTAATATATTGGCAATAGAAAGAAGAGACTCAAAATTTTAGGTAACAAACATATGTAGCTTTTTTTTAAATTTTGCGATTTCTTTTTTTTAATCTCCTTTCATAAAAGACCACACAACGTTCATACACATAGGAGCATACCTGTGCCATACCCGCCCATGATATAAATCAACGTGGGTAGCTCGCAATACACCGTGCCGTAGAAATAAAAGTACGCCGTGAAAATGCCACTTAACGTAATACCGTACAAGTGGAAGAAGGACAGCAGTAGCATGAGCTTGTAACTGGCTCGTTTTCGATTATCTCTGTTCAACATTGCACAAACACACAGTATGTACAGTATGAAGGAGGTGGCTCCGGATGGAAAGATTACTGTACCTAAAAGTCGCTGACGTCGGTCTTCGATCGGTACAATGTTTGGGTCGTAAAAGTTGCAGTTGTACAGACGTTGGTGCTCTTCTGGTTTGAATAAGAGCAACTCCATGGCTTGCTGAAAGAAATTATAGTCATGGTAATATTGGTCTACTGCGTCAGAAGTTAATAAGCACGTCACAGAAGAAGCTTGTATAAAACAAAAACTAGAAAGTAAGGCATGTCAAAAGTTTGGGTTGAGGCCTAGATCATAGCAAAGCCTAGGGCATAGTGATGCCTAGACCATAGCAAAGCCAATGGCATAGTAAAGCCTAGAGCATATCAAATCCTAACATTTGGTAAAGCCTAGGACAAGGTAAGGCCTAGGGCATAGTAAAGCCTAGGGAATAGTAAGACATAGGACATAGCAAGGCCTAGGGCATAGCAAGACCTAGGGCTACCCTACCCTAACTCAATAAAAAATTCCCATACTGAATTTAAAAAATACAGTACTAATAGCAGCTAAATTAAGCTCCGCCTGTTTTTTAGTACCAAATCCTCGTCGAATGATTTGGGCTCAGTAAACAAAAAACGTAAATTTACAACAACATAACAGCGTAATGAAGGGGATTGTAACATTCAGAAAAAAAACAGGTACATTGCCAACGGCCATCAAAATATATATAAATTTAAAGAAGATTTGCAAAATAGCATATTTTTTAGAACTTACGGTATTTTCTTAACGACAGTGTTAAAGGCATAACATTCCCTACCCTACTCTATCCAGCAGGGTCATTCGCGCACTTTCCTTAAAACAGACCAGTTTTTCATTTTTACATTCAAAGTCATATAAAAGAAAAAACGTATTTTAAAACCTCTCGATATGCTAAAAGCTACCCAGATTACATGTGGACCCCATATAGATCAAAACATTATTACCATGCGTGCCAGGTAAATTAAACTACTTTTATAGTGTTTACAAAGTAAGCCAACCGTGTATAGTCCAAATAACCTAGTGACTACAAAATAAAACAGTGCACAGGCATAACTCTAGTAACTCAAAAGTGACACGTTTTGCTAAATATTGAAATCATGGTTAATAAATATCACAGAAGAATATACATATTATATCCTATAATGCATTCTATCGTATAAGAATATATATAACCCAAAATATGTTGATGTCCGGCATCATTTCCTCGTATGTACCGCAAAAAACGGCTTGCAATCCAAAATCACCCGACGCTTGTGTTCCTTGTTCTTGCGATAAACAAAAAAATATTCATAGTATTCAGGCGTTTTTTGCCTTCGTTCATCAAACGGTATTCATAACGCATTCGTCGGAACATTAACCAATGAGGGATGTAATAGCAGAATTGTAAGATGCAGTTGTTGGAATGTCGTGATGGGGAGTCTGTGCGGTAAACAGTAAGTACTGGATTGTATTGCAATGATTGGTTTTAAAATAGTTTATCTGTCAATGATTTACGTTGCAACACTTTGTAGAGACTGATAACTAACATACCGCGTTGATCACTGCGTTGGTAAAAAAGTCGTTGTACTTTGTTGAAAGCATTGTTGCTATTCCGGCCAGAAATTCAAGTTTTCGGTTTGGCTCAGGCATTGATTCCGGCTATGTTCAAAGTTCAAGCTCAGCCCGTCGGAGCTCTGACTGTAACAAAAAGTTTTGTTGTCTCCTTGTAAATGAGCATCAGCATCAACAGACACAACAGGCGCAAAATCAAAATAAAAGAAGGTAATAAACACATGCGGCAGAACCCGTGCATTCTTCGTTCAAAAGTTTTGCGCCTTGATGAACATTGGATTCTAATGAACGACCAGCCACAAAAGTTCTAAAAATATCAATAAAATCATTTAAAAAAATTTTCAAAAAAATAAAAAGTTTTTTTTTATAAAAAGAATCACGTACAACCTACAGTACAATAATTTGTTTCCTCAATCTATTCAAAACAATATAACTATGCTTAAAGCATGCTCAATGCATCAAAAAACATCTACTATCCCCTACCATAATACCTCCTATCATCTCAAAGCATATAGATTGAGTACGTATTTCAAAGACCATGTTCCTAAAAAATTTTTTTTTTACTAAACATCGCTACATGTTTTCTAGACGTTCCTCGTATCTTTATAAAAAAGTGCATGTTTGCATACACCTCAGTTTAAAAAGTGTTCGTACGTACCATTACCCAAAAACAATTTAAGTGAAAAGACATACAACTTTGAGTAGTAGTAGTAGGAAAAGTAAGAGTAGTATTAAGAGTAGTACTTATATTTTCAAAGCTAAGGATTATATTACTTATATATTGAGTCAGCTTAGAAAAACCTAGAACTTTGAAGATACTATAGCAAGAAAATACGCCTGGAAGAAAATAATTGTAAACAAACATTTTTGCTGCATAAAATTAAGGAAAAAACAATTAAAATTCTGCTAGGAACCCTACTGTAGAACGTTCATTTGGTTCAAATTATGAACACAAAGGTTATAAGTTTGATTTTTAATAGGCATAAAGTTATTGTATGAAACTTTGTATGGCTTTTGCTTCTATCTACGACTATCCCTACCACTAATACTGCTACTATTACTGATCCTTTCTAGTGTTCCTTGAGACTAGAAGTTGTTTCAACGACTGTTGGAATATCGATTCTTGAGTATTGTGGTTCGAAACTAGCATATGCAGTATCAAGGTACCCATAATCAACCTCGACAAGTTCCTCTCACCTGGACTTTTGATTAATCTTTGCATCCGTCCCAACGTGCTCAACACTTGGTGGGGCAACTGATAAGATAATACTAATTCTAATGCTACTACTACTACTATTACTACTACTACTACTACTACTACTACTACTACTACTACTACTACTACTACTACTACTACTCCTACTCCTACTCCTACTCCTACTCTTCCTACTACTGCTCTCATTCTTCCTACTCTTACTCCCATCCCTCCCCACTGCTACTTCCATACCTCCTACTACTACTACTAAGCCTATAGCCAAGCAATTAAAAAATGATATCTTCTAATATTATACACCACTTCAAAGCCTACCAACCAACGAAAACGTAACTATAAAGTGCCACTTTAGTTTGTGTAACGTTAGGGCATAAAATGCACAATATTAAAATGACATAAACATAGTAATAACTGAGCATAATATTAATAAAATTACAGTAAAAACAGTCTTTTAATAACTTTTTAATAGTTTTAACAATATTAAAGTGCCAAAAGCAGCTCACTTAAAACTTTTTTAACGGTTTTTTGAGCTTTACCCTTGTTCTACCCATACTCTAAATTTAGGTATACTTTAGATGTAAATATATAAATATATGGTAGGGAAAAAGAAAAAAGTTTCCTAAATTTGATTTAGAAAATGACATTAACTACAAATGACTTGGCACGGGGTTTGTAATTGTGGTGTAGCAAAATGTTCTCAAGGTACGGTCAGACAAACAATGTAACACCAAAACAGTAATTTGCAACTTTGAAAACAGTAATCAGGGTTTGATAGTGGGTAGAGACAGTAATGAGTAAAACATATTGGTAGAGTAAAATAGGATACGATAGAGTACGGTAGGGCATAGTAGAATAGAGTACGGTAAGGCAAGATTAAATAATATACGTAGAGTACGGTAAAGCAGGGTTCAACACGGTAAGGTAGGTTTTCTCAAAAATTTCTGAATATCTTATAGTAAGCACCATGTAACATTAAAATAACCAAGATATTGACACTACCTGCCATAAAAATAGCCAAAACAACAACATGCTTGAATACTACAACTTACGTCAACAACCTTAAATCCAACTTAATGAGCAAGTTTTATGACATAGCGTCTATATCACAGCCTTGTGTCATTAAATTTGATTGAAATATGAAATTTTGAAAAAAAATCAAAGCATATTCAGTTAGTGCAAGATGTGGCAAAGATAAATAACTGTAGTAGGGATGATGTCTGGTATAGAATGGGTAGTAATACAAAATGAAAAAATTTGAGAAATACCCTACCCTTCCCTACCATTGCCCTACCTATTTTACTTTACCATACCCTACAAGACTTTTAACATGCTTTTGTTCTGCCCTGGCGCAACGTTTCCTTCACCTTACCCTACAAGAACAACTTCCGTATATTACATTTATACTTTATCTTTTACACGCTTTGAAAATTCAGTAGGCATAATTGGCATTATAAATGAACTTCTCATAGTACTTTTGTTAATAACAACATATAATTATAAATGTCATTGAGCAGTTTGTGCTTTCTTAATAACGATAAAATCTTTGTTGTTTGGTTCAGTTTGGTAGGCTTAGTAAACTTAGGCTTGTTAGGCGTATGCTTAGTAGGCTTAGGCTTATTTTTTTAAGCTTAGTAGGCTTAGGTTTGATAGACTTAGGCTTAAACTTAGCCTTAGGCTTAGGCTTAGGCTTGGGCTTAGGCTTAGGCTTAGGCTTAGGCTTAGACTTAGGCTTAGGCTTAGGCTTAGGCTTAGGCTTAGGCTTAGGCTTAGTAGACTTAAGCTTAGGCTTAGGCTTAGGCTTAGGCTTAGGCTTAGGCTTAGGCTTAGGCTTAGTAGACTTAAGCTTAATAATTAAAATACTCAATATATAGCAATTTTTATTCACCGTACAAAAACTCTTATTACATTACTGTAAAATGACAAGAACAAACGTTCTCCTCGTCAAAGGACTCTCTTCTTTCTTATTCTTGGGGTATCATGCGGACGATCCTGTAACAAGTAAGATAACAATTAATTCTTAATGATTACCTGCAAGTAAGTCATGCTTTATTGTTGCGATTTTGAGCTTATTTACAACTTTAATTCGGTCTTTCTAATTATAGGCTTAATAGTGTCTTCATTAGCTTAGTCCAAAGCTTGGAAGTTTTACTTTGAAACCAGGCTTTGCTTTTCCTACTGTAGTAAGCTATAAGATACTGTAACCTCAAATTTTACGATTTTTTTTAAAGCTAAACACTGGGCCAAGCCTCTTCACAAGTAGTGTTTTGCCCAGACCGGTCTGAAGCGTTTTTCACCGGTCCGGTTCAGCGATTTTCGGGTCCAGTCCGGTCCAAACATAAATTATTAGGTCCAGTCCAGACCAAACTTAAAATTCTTTAGTCCAGTCCAGTCCACACATAAAATTTTTGGGTCCAGTCCGGGCCAAACTTAAAATTTTTGGATTTAGTCCGGTCCAAACGTAAAATTTTTGGATCCGGTCCAGTCTAAACACAAGATTTTTGGATCCAGTCTGGTCCAAACTTAAAAGTTTTGGGTCCAGTCTAGTCCAACAAAATTTTTGAGTTCGGACCGGACCGGTCCACTGTTGAAGGGTTTAACTGTAATTTCTTACGGTAATTGTGAAGAACAGTTGGCACTTGGAAGGCAATCTACCGACACTTTCGTCAAAAATCGACCGAATGTTTTTGTTTTGACGGAATGAGTCGAAAGGTGAATAGACAATCTTGTCCAATGCGTCACCACCACCATCACAACGATTATTCAAATACTTGCGGACACATGATGTTACACATTGGGTTTTGCTGAAATTTAGTACTGTAGGTTGCAGTAGGCAATGAATTTTAAATGTAAAAATGTTTGAAATAAAGCTTAAAATTAGGCTTAAAGTCAAAAGTTAAGCTTTAAACTCTAAAATTTAGGCTTAAAATCCAAAGTAAGGCTTAAAATTGTAAAATGACTCTTTAAGATACGAGTTAGGCTTACAATATTATAATTAGGCTTTAAAATAAAAACTTAAACTTAAAGTTTTAAAATTAGGCTTAACGTTAAAAATTGAGCTTAAAATTAAAAAATTAAGCTTAAAGTCAACAGTTAGGCTTAAAATTTTAAAATTAGGCTTAAAATTAAAAATTGAGCTTAAAATTTTAAAATTAAATTTTAAGTCAAAAGTTAGGCTTAATATTAAAAAGTTGGACTTAAAATTAGGCTTAAAGTTAAAAGTTAAGCCTAAAACTTAAAAATTAAATTTAAAGTTGCAAATTTAGCTTTACGGTTTTTATTTTAATCTTGTAAGCCTAAATGTTGAAAACTAGGCTAAAAATTAATAAATAAACCTAAAAGTTTAAACTTAAGCCTAGGATAAAGTAATAACCCTAGGAATTAAAAACTAAGCCTAGAAAAAAGGAATAAGGTTAACTTAGGATGACGAAATAAGCTTAAAACTTTAATTTAAAGTCTAGTTTTCAAAGAACCGTACCTAAAGCCCGAAGCTAAACCTAAAAACCTAAAACTAGCCTAAAGAAAACAGTTTAAACCTACGTGCACAGGGTATTGACCCTTTCCTTGTTATCACTCCAATCCAACTGTTTGTCGCACCACTTTGAACAATCATTCACAGACTCGTTGGTGTATCTCTTGTAGCACTGATTGAAGTTTCTCCAAGCATGATTACTGTTCATTGAACAACGCTTCACCAGCTCTTTCGAATCGTAGTCAAATGAAGATGGACAACGGTTCAGACAGTGGGAGACCTTGGCGTAGCTTCTGAAAGTTACAGTAGGGTTATTTGAATTGGGGTTTGAGTTTGGCTAAGCTTGGACTGGATTTAAGAGTTGGCTTGGACTGGGACTAAACTTTCGGCTTGGACTAGAGCTAAAATTAGATTAAAACTCAGACTATGGCTGAAACTAGAGCTAAGACAGGGTATGAAGCTTTAAGTTAGTCTTAGCCATAGCCATAGCCATAACCATAGCCACAACCATAGCCATAGCCATAGCCATAGCCATAGCCATAGCCATAGCCATAACCATAGCCACAACCATAGCCATAGCCATAGCCATAGCCATAGCCATAGCCATAGTTATAACCATAACCATAGCCATAGTTATAACCATAACCATAGCCATAGCCATAACTATGAGCATAGGCTTTAGCTCGAGCATGACGGATGCGTAGACTTAAGCCAAGTTTGAACATTAGGCTTAGACTTTAGTTTAGGAATGCTGTTGTTGTAAATGTTATGAAGTCTTAGTTAACATAATTATGTGTGTTATATGACAAATAAAGAGCGATACCTCGTAGAAATTTGAAGTAAAATCCCAGCACTCGCAGTCATTTGTTGGGTCGTTTTACATCGCGGCAAACATTACAAAAGTTAATAATATTACATAAGAAAGCGTTGCGTAACACAGTTTCTTGCAATTTCTCTAAGGCTACATAGTTACAGCATGATATTAGGTAATGTCCCAAAAATTTTCAGCAATTTGTTATTGATAAGGCTTTTGAAAACAAAATATACGTTGAAAAAGTAGCTGAGGAAGCGTGGATTAGGCTTCGGAATTTTAGGCTTAACCCTAGTAGTCTTAGCTTTTTAGGCACTTTGAGGCTTAAGCTTAGTAGGCTTAGTAATCTTAGGCTTAGTAGTCATAAGTTTTGTATTCTAGGCTTAAACTTAGTAAGCTAAGGCTTTAAATCAATCACATAACTAATAAGTATAGGCTTAGTAGACTGACGCTTAATAGGCTTAGGTAAGGCTTAGGCTTTGTAAGATTAAGTTTGTTAAGATTTGGCTTAGTAGGCTTAGGCTTAGTAGGCTTAGGCTTAGTAGGCTTAGGCTTAGTAGGCTTAGGCTTAGTAGGCTTAGGCTTAGTAGGCTTAGGCTTAGTAGGCTTAGGCTTAGTAGGCTTAGGCTTAGTAGACTTAGGCTTAGTAGGCTTAGGCTTAGTAGGCTTAAGCTTAGTAGGCTTAGGCTTAGTAGGCTTAGGCTTAGTAGGCTTTGGCTTAGTAGGCTTTGGCTTAGTAGGCTTTGGCTTAGTAGACTTTGGCTTAGTCGGCTTAGGCTTAGGTCAATAGTCTTACCGACAAGTGTCACGAAACATGTTGTCAGTCGATCGATTAGCAACCAATGTAGCAATGAACATGCAATCACTCAAACATTCTGTGGCTTTTTCAGTTGTATTATCTTTTGTTTGATTCTTCACTTCATTCTGAGCTTTAGTACTAGTACTATTGAGGAATATCACTTTATCAATCTTAGCACCTTCTCCAATTGAAACTTTAGAGATTTCTGTAGCTCGAAGTTTTTTCAATGGTGCTGGGGTTGTGCTTTCAATACGATTTTTAGTACTATCTTTACTATCTACAGTATAGTCAGTAACTTCAGCTGGACCATCAACGTCGACAGTAGTAAGCACAGGCTGTTTTGTAGTACCATGAGTAGCTTTGATAGTAGAGTCAAGATTTTTTGCAGTACGGTCAATGTCTATTGTAGTACGAATACTGTAGACGTTTCTTTTAGCACTGTCAACATTTTCTGTAGTACTGTCAGAGGTTGTTTTAGTACTGTCAGGTCTTGTTGTATTACTGTCGGGTCTTTCTGTAGTACTTTCAGGTTCTTTTGTAGCACTATGAAGTCCTACGGAAATACTCTGAAGTCTTTCCTTAGCACTATTAACTTTTTTGGTAGTACTATTCTGTACATCATGGTGCTCAATTTGAGCTTTAATTACAAATCTACTTGGTGCAGCATTAGTACTTTTTGATGTGTCAGTTACTATACCACTTCTTTCTGTTAAAAAGAATGGTGTGGTAGTACTGTATTCTTCAGTATCAAGCTTGTTAGCTTCAGTATAATCTTTTACAGTATCAAAGCTTTCGATACTAGTACTGTGCCCATCTCTACCAAATTTCTTGGCCTTAGTGCTAGTTTCTTCAGTATCAAAGCCTTTAGTACTAGTACTGCGTTGAGCTTTACCAAATTTCTTGGCTTTAGTGCTATTTTTTACAGTATCAGAACCTTTAGTACTACTAATATGTTCATCACCATCAAATTTGTTGGCTTCAGTATTATCCTTTACAGTATCAAAGTCTTTAGTACTAGTACTGTGTACATCACTATCAAATTTGTGAGCTTTAGTACTGTCTTTTACAGTATCAGGAACTTTAGTACTAGTACTGTGCTGAACTTTACCAAACTTCTTGGCTTCAGTACTAGTTTCTTCAATACCATTTCCTTCAGTATCATACCCTTCAGTACCATGATCCACACCATCAGTCCCACCATTCAAAAGCCCTTCAACCTTGGCATCATACTCAACTTCAGCAGCATTCATTGAAGACGGATCAATATCCATGACATTTTTCGAAAAGTCTTCTTCAAAGCTCTCTTCATCTTCAGTCTTCACAAACTTGATTTCATTAAAGACAAGCTCATCGATTGGTCGGAATTGTTCGGATCTCAAGGCGATTTGAGGATTGTTATTGCTAGCATCGTCGTTGGCTGGTGGCACACGGTTGGCTCCCAACAAGGTGTTCTCAATACCTATTGGCACATTTCTTGGAACTCTGACGTATAGAGAGTTCTGAAAAAGGTGTTTTACAGTACCTTGCTTACCAAATGATAGCTTAGTTATGTTTTAAGATAGGCTTAGCCTTAGTAGACTTGGTCTTAGTAGGCTTAGTTTTAATAAACTTAATTTTAGAGTTTACGTTTGTTTTAAGGTTTGTAAGTACAGGTTAAGAAGACTTAGTCCTAGTAATTTTAAGTTTAATAGATTCAGTCTAAAGACTTAGGTTTAGAAGAAGCGCAATAGGCTTAGTACTATCAGATTTAGATTTACTAGAGGTAGGCTTAGTAGGAATAGAGTCATGCAGGCATAAGCTCGGTAGGCCTAGGCTTTGTAGGATTAGGCTTAATAGGCTTTGGCTTAGTGGACTTAGGCTTAATAGGTTTAGGCTTAGTAGGTTTAGGCTTAGTATGCTTAGGCTTAGTAGGTCAGGCTTAGTAGACTTAGACTCAATAAGCTTAGAATAAGTATACTTAGGCTCAATAAGTTAATGCTAAATAGGCTTAAGCTTAGAAGACTCAAACTTAGTAAACTTAAGCTTAGCAAACTAGCCCTAGGCTTAATAAGCGTAGACTAAAGACCCTAAAACTTATCAAACTCTACACGCTAAACAACCTTTCATAGATTTATGTCAAGCTTAAAAAGTTTAAACCTTAAAAACTTACTACTTTGGCAGAAATAGAGTACGGTAAGAACAAACAAAATATTAATAGCCTCATTTCGAAAAAAAGGCTGTAATTAAATTAAAGTTTAAAATTGCTATGCTTATATAACAATTATGAGTCAGTTTGGAGAAGATTCTGAATCAAGTTGAATCAGGAATTTTGCTTTAATTAACCAAAATGTTTTTTAAAATTTGACTTTTTATTTTGTTTTGTAATTTTAGTATACTACAGTAAAGCATTCGTATTTTACAAAGCTTTCGCATAAAAAACAAGGCTCACTTTTTAGCTCAGGCTCAGGCTCAGACTCAGGCTCAGGCTCAAGCTCAGCTTCAGGCTCAGCTTCAGGCTCAGGCTCAAGCTCAGGCTCAGGCTCAGCTTCAGGCTCAGGCTCAGGCTCAAGCTCAGTTTCAGGCTCAGCTTCAGGCTCAGGCTTAGGCTCAGACTCAGGCTTAGGCTCAGCTTCAGGCTCAGCTTCAGGCTCAGGCTCAGGCTCAGGCTCAGGCTTAGGCTCAGGCTTAGGCTCAGGCTCAGGCTCAGGCTCAGACTCAGGCTCAGGCTCAGGCTCAGCCTCTGACTCAAGCTCAAACTTCAGCTCAAGCTCAAATTCAAGCTCAAACTCAAGCTCAGCTTTAGCCGTAACCTCAGGCGTTTTAACTTAAGCCCAATTCAAGCTTAGACATATGCTCAAGTTCAAGCTCAGGCCTATCCTAAACTTCAACCTTAGCTTCAGGGCCAACCTTAGACAGAAGAACAAGCTAAACGCCTCAAGCTTATGGTATGTATATTTTAGGCTTAGTAGTATTATAATTGTTTATAACGTATTAGTTAACACTAACTATATCTTAATTTTACTTCCGCAATACTATTAATGATACGTAGTATGAGATGCTAATGTCAATATAATGAGCATTACTCATATTATCAGTGAAAAACTTCCTTTAACTCGAGTAGGCATGTCGTCATGCAGTACGATTCGTTTATTATGTTTACATCGCTTTATATGCGAGTCATGTTGGAGGAGGGTTTAATGCAATTTATAAGCATGACAGGTTTTTTTTTAAATGTAGTGGTTGTTAAAGTTTGTCACATTTTAAACAATTTTTTGAAATTTTAAAACGGACTGGGGATGTTTAGAAGAGATAGCTAAGGTAAGGCTGAGTTAAGGGTAGGGTAGGGCATATAAGAGTACAGTAGGGCATATAAGTGTACAGTAGGGCATATAAGGGTACAGTAGGGCATATAAGGGTAGGGTAGGACATATAAACGGTAGAGTAAGGCATATAATATATGTATAGAAAAGGTAAAATAGAGTAGAGCTACAGTATGATAAGGGTATGGAAAGCTACAATTTGATATTTAAGTAAAGTTAGGATAAAGCTACAGTATGAATAGGCACGGTAAGGCAAGGTAGAGTAACGTAAGGTAAGGCAAGGTAGGGTATTAGAGGATAGGATAGGAAAGAGTAAGTAAGGTATGGTAAGATATTACAATATAGGGTAGGGTAAGGTAAGGTAGGGTAGGGTAGGGTAGGGTAGGGTAGGGTAGGGTAGGGTAGGGTAGGGTAGGGTAGGGTAGGGTAGGGTAGGGGTAGGGTAGGGTAGGGGTAGGGTAGGGTAGGGTAGGGTAGGGTAGGGTAGGGTAGGGTAGGGTAAAGTAGGGTAGAGTAAAGTAGGGTAGGGTAGGGTAGGGTAGGGTAGGGTAGGGTAGGGTAGGGTAGGGTAGGGTAGGGTAGGGTAGGGTAGGGTAGGGTAGGGTAGGGTAGGGTAGGGTAGGGTAAAGTAGGGTAGAGTAAAGTAGGGTAGGGTAGGGTAGGGTAGGGTAGGGTAGGGTAGGGTAGGGTAGGGGTAGGGTAGGGTAGGGTAGGGTAGGGTAGGGTAGGGTAGGGTAGGGTAGGGTAGGGTAGGGTAGGGTAGGGTAGGGTAGGGTAAAGTAGGGTAGAGTAAAGTAGGGTAGGGTAGGGTAGGGTAGGGTAGGGTAGGGTAGGGTAGGGTAGGGTAGGGTAGGGTAGGGTAGGGTAGGGTAGGGTAGGGTAGGGTAGGGTAGGGTAGGGCACTTTTTTTTAACTGAATAACACGTTGTCATTACTACACAATTTTACAGTTCATTAACATTATTACGTAATTCTACTGTTTTTCATTTTTTTGTCGACGTAGGCTGAATATTGACAATAATAATCTATATAGCTTGACCTTGCTCATAGCAGATTGTGTTTATAAAAAGCTTTGTCATGCTTGGTCATAATAATCAATCATTACATTACTTATTGAGCTGTAGCTTTGTTGTACATTATTTAATGCGCTATAGTGACATATTATAAGTTGTTTACTACGTTATAAAATTCTCAGTCAATAACTGTTATAAGTTATAGCTTTATAGTAAATTATTTAGCACGTTCTAGCTCTATATTAGACTATCTAATACACTTAGACTTAAGTGAGTACTATAGTATATTATCTACCTCCGTATATACCACAGTAGCATGTAGTATATTGCTATTTCTTAATGCTTTCTCTATTACATCAGTTACTGTATTGTTTTTTTACTATAATGTTATAATATATACCATAGTACTAACATCATAGTATCACGTACTATATAAGCAATCATTGGTGTTTCCGGTATTACACAATGTACAATATTACTATCCCATAACACTATATCATACACAAAATTTCTCAATTACATATCTGGCAATAACAGCTCATAATTCACTTTTCCCATGAACTAATCAACTACTATAACATACCCTTTGGCTTCATATATTTATTAATCACATGCTCCTCCCCCTATCTCTCCCCCCCCCCTCCCCCCTACCACTCCCACTTTTTCTTATAACTTTTATATATTGATAAAATACCCCTCCCTACCCCCTCCTTTCCCTTTGCCTTCCCCGTTGCTTCATTTACTCATCACATACCCCTCCTCTCCCCCTCTCCCCCTATATATACATATATTAATCACACTTGTATTGGTTTTGTAACTAGTGAATAATTGATTACATACTACATATTATAATAGCTTTTTCACATATAGTAGCCGTTTCATCACCTTATATATTAATATTTATTTCACAAGACTTTACATTATAGTAGATAACTTTATACTACTGCATATCACATCATAATACAGTAGGTAGGTTTGTACTACCATACTACTACATACATACTACAATATATTATAGTAGGTAGCATCATACCACTGCGTATCACATAATATTGTGGCAGGTAGCTTTATACTACGCTATATTACTTCATAGTATCTTCGGTGGCTTTGTATTACTATATATTGTTTTATAGCACAGTAAGTTTATATTAAACCATACTACTACATGTTATTATACTTCACACCATAGTATGTAGCCTTATATCACCACATATTACCTAATATTGTTGTAGGTAACTTCATAATACCATACTACGTACTACTTTTCATTATAGTAGTACTTCAGTAGGTACCAACATCCTACTACACAATCTTTTCTACTTCTATACCAAGAAGCCTTATACCACAACATACCATTACATATTATAGTAGATACACAACGTTCCATACTACATTAGTCACACTTCAAATTGTCATACTCAGTAAAAGTGTTGTTATTGAAACAATGCAGCTGTTGAATAGGTTTGTCCTCGCACTCCTGACAGTTGTGTTGAATATGTGCTACGGAATGCCAAGCTACAGTAATATGGGTGTCTTTAAGAGATCTCTCTGTAAGTTTTTTGTAATTTTGATAATATTTTAATTTGCATCGTTAATGTAAAGAAAGTTCTTGTCATTTTCAGATTTGTAAAGAAAGTTCTTGCCATTTTTTGGTTTGTAAAGAAAGTTCTTGCCATTTTAGGATTTGTAAAGAAAGTTCTTGCTATTTCAAGATTTGTAAAGAAAGTTCATTCCATTTCAAGATTTGTAAAGAAAGTTCTTGCTATTTTTGGTTTGTAACGAAAGTTTTTCAGCTACCCAATCAATAATGAACAAATGGGCAGGAGTGATGCGACCTAACATGTTTATGGACGTGAGAAACGATGACTATTTATCAGATATGCTGGATCAATTTCGAAGTGAACAAGATTAAGCTGGATATTGTATAATAATGTTATACTTGCTTCACTATATTAAAATACTTCAACATGTAATAAAGTTTTTGCTTATCGTGATTTAGCTGTGCCATTGGCATAGAGCTGTAGCTAGAGCTCTGGGGCTAAGGCTCTTGGGCTAGAGCTCTGGGCTAGGGCTCTGGGCTAAGGCTCTGGGCTAGGGCTCTGGCCTAGGGCTCTGGGCTAGGGCTCTAGGCTAGGGCTGTGGGCTAGGGCTCTGGGCTAGGGCTCTGGGCTAGGGCTCTGGCCTAGGGCTCTGGGCTAGGGCTCTAGGCTAGGGCTGTGGGCTAGGGCTCTGGGCTCTGGGCTCTGGGCTAGGGCTCTGGGCTCAAGCTAGGGCTAAACAAATTATGCTGTATTCAGCTACTACAATATGTAATGTGTGCAGTAATACATTTGCATGGTCAAGTTTAATCTTCTCTTTCAAGTGTCACATGTAAGACTACAGTAATCTTGAGGCTAGAGTCATGACTACGTCTGAAAAAAACTTATACAACTCTCGTGAACACTCTCAGAAACACGTTTCAAAACGTGCATGTGGTTTGAAAGTGTAAAGTTACATAAAATGAAAGTATATCTTGGAGTAGTAGGAAATCCGGTATGACTTTACAATTTTAATTTACTAGATCTCTTTACTCATACTGCTTTATCAAAATGTTTTGTGCAATAACACTAGCTATAGGTGATTTGTAAATAAAGTTCTTTCTATTTTTTGTTTTGTAAAGAAAGTTCTTACCATTTTATGACTCATAATCATAGTTACAGCCTATCCAGACCTCTATTCATTAAGAAACCTAGCCCTAACTTAGAGCCCTAGCCCAGAGCCCTAGCCCAGAGCCCTAGCCCAGAGCCCTAGCCCAGAGCCCTAGCCCAGAGCCCTAGCCCAGAGCCCTAGCCCAGAGCCCTAGCCCAGAGCCCTAGCCCAGAGCCCTAGCCCAGAGCCCTAGCCCAGAGCCCTAGCCCAGAGCCCTAGCCCAGAGCCCTAGCCCAGAGCCCTAGCCCAGAGCCCTAGCCCAGAGCCCTAGCCTAGAGCCCTAGTCCAGAGCCTTAACCGAGAGCCCTAGCCCAGAGCCTAAGCCCAGAGCCCTAGCCCAGAGCCCTAGCCCGGAGCCCTAGCCCAGAGCTTTTCTAGGCTTTATTACACCCTGAGTTTTGAGCTGCTCTAGGCAATACAAGGTCTTAACATACTCTAGGTTTTGCCATGCCTTAGACCATACTATACCACAAGCCTTAGCATGCCCTAGGCCTTAACATGCCCTAGGCCTTAACACGCCCTAAGCCTTACCATGCCTTAGGCCTTAACATGCCCTAGGCCTTACCATGCCTTAGGCCTTAACATGCCCTAAGCTTTACCAATTTCTTAAGCCTAACCATTCCCCATTCCTTACCATACTCTATGTTTCACCTTGCTCTAGACTTTTTGTAAAGAAAGTTTTTGCCATTTTTTTCACTTAATAACAACAATATCTCATGCTTACTTTAAAGTAATGTAAATTTTTAACAATTGTAAAGCAAACCAGTAACTTGTAGAATTTCTAGTGTAATATTAAAGTCTGGTTGCTAAGTAATTTTGTCACACCAGTGTTAACATTTACATTGTAGTAAGATAAAAGTGACTTTGTTTTATATTGTAAAACTTGGGTTTGGGGGTGTTTTTTTAAATTAAAATTTTTTTTGAAACAGTGGCAGGTTTAGAGCTAAGGCTAGGCTTTTGGACTAAAGCTCCAAGACTAGGGCTCTGGGGCTCTGGGCGAGAGCTCTGGGCTAGAGCTCTGGAGCTAGGGCTCTGTGGCTAGGGCTCTGGGACTAAAGCTCTGGGACTAGGACTCTGGAGCTAGGGCTCTGGGCTAAGACTCTCGGCTAGGGCTCTGGGCTAGAGCTCTGGGCTAAAGCTGGGGATTTGTACGTGTAAAATACGCTAGACAATATGGTCATAATACTTTTATCATTTTTTTTTCAGAAAATGTCATCCACTACGTCAAGTAAACATGAATATAATGATAATGGCACATCATTGTTACCTGAAGAATACCTTGAAGAATCACAGGAACTCATTCCAAAAGAAGTAAGAGAGCTTTTTTTGCCATCTATGTTACAGTACATAAGAAAAAAGAAGAATTTTATTATTTGTTACCTAAATTTTGAATTTTTATAATATTTTTTGAAATTTAAGCCGCTTTTTAAATTTTTTAATTCCAAAAGACTATTTCAAATAAAATCCATTTCAGAACGGATTCATACTACGAGAATTGGCCGATAAATCAAGAGTAAAAACCGCGGAACAGGTATTGCAACAACTGGCAAGGGCTGGATTGGCCTAACTTCTAACTCAATTTTTACAACCAAAACATAATAAATGTACCATAAAATTTTACAAACGGACAAAATAAACTTACTTGAACCACCTCACCAAGTTTTACAACAAAATATTAACAAATTTTAATTTCACAGTTAAATTATTTTGGTCCCGGCACGAAAGATTGCGCAGCGCCAAATGTTCAGCCAGGCGTTGGCATTCCGCTTCAAGGACGTATATTTATTTTTTGAACGGCGAATTCAACGCTTTTTGGGTAATATACGATGTCTTTACTGTGAAATTTGAAAGTAAATTGAAAATTTAACAAGTTTTAAGAATTTACAACAAGATTTTATGGGTTTTTGATGTTTTAGTCGTTTTAAAGTTGGAATTTCGTTGTTTTTTGATATGAATATTAATGTTAAAGCTTGTTAACGTTAAATTGAAACCTTTGAAACAATAAAAACTACATTTACTACAGATCAAGAGGTCAAACATGTTGTTTTTGTTCGAATCGGGGACAAGTTTTGAACTAAAACTCGATGTTATTCATGTTTGTTTGCGTTTCGCGAAGTTCGTGAATATCCATAAAGTCAATTACTTCTTGCTACATTTTGTAGACTTTTGCTGAACTTTCACTACTATTTTTGGACAATAAATTATTCGTTTTATATTTTTAAAAATTAATATATTGTCTTACAGGAGCTATGGGCCGCCTGACCTCGCTTTTAGTCTTCGTGGCCTTGTTGGTGGCTGTTTTTGCTCACTCACATTCTCATGAAGCTCCTCACTTGAAATATGGACGAGAGATTAATGAAGCGGTATGTTTTTGTAAAATTTTTTTTAAGTTTCTGAGTTTAGGCGGCTCGAGGAGAAGATACAGTGTCAGGTCATGGTCATAGCCACGAACATGGTCATTCTCATGATCATGACGACCATCATGATCACGACCATGATCACGAACATCATGAACATGCTCATCATCACGATGACCACCATGATGATCACCAACATCATCATGATGAACATGCTCATTCACATGGTCATGACGAGCACGGTCATGCTCACGAGCATCATGGACATGCACATGAACATAAGAAGCCTGTTGATGTTGATTACAAGTTCTCGGAAACTGGGTAGGTGTTTTTACATTATTTTTTAGATTTTAAGGGTCTGATGGCTAAAATAATATAGTTTAATAGATTTTTGATGTTTTTTGAAATTTTCAAGGCTTTTATGATAAGTTTTGAAAATTTTCAGACCATTGGCTTTCTTGAACGATCCACAAAAGCGATTCTGGACCTTTTCTATTGGATCTACAGTGCTTATCAGCTTGTTCCCCTGCTTTATCTTGACGTTTATTCCAATTAACGTAAGTTTTTGGGTGTTTTAGGTACTAAAGAGATTTTTAAGGGTTGTTTTGTTGTTTTGAAGAATTTTGTGTTGGTTAAGATTATCATTTTTAATATTTTGGCTTGGAAAGAGCTGTTTCAGCTAAATAAATATAATTTTAGCCAAATCTACTTAAATTATTATAATTTCAGTCTAACGAAGATGAAAACAGCAGCAACAAGCTGAAAGTGTTGCTAGCCTTGGGTGCTGGTGGTTTGTTAGGCGATGCTTTCTTACATTTGATCCCTCATGCTCAGATGGCTCATGGTGATGGGCATGGTCATACTCATTCTCACTCGCATGCCTCTGGAGAACCTCACGAACCACATGATTTGAGTGTAGGAGGCTGGGTGTTGGGTGGATTCTTCATCTTCTTCGTCGTGGAGAAGTTTGTTCGAATTGTGAGAGGAGAAGGCGGTCACGGTCATTCTCACGGTCCACGAAAGGATTCTGGAGAAAAGAAAGGTAAGGATTCTGAATTTTATTGGGATTTTGGGTAGAGTGGAAGATGTGAAGGAGGTTTGACGGTGAAAATGAGGCTTCTGAAGTGTTTTGCGATAAAGAATGACATTCAGGAACTTCCTATATCTAAAATATTGCTTTAAAAGTTTGCCACACTTCAGAATCTTTCGTTAACCTCAATTTCTTCAGCTCAGCACGATAAGAAGCCGGCGTCCAAGAAAGACAAAACTTCAGACACAGAACATTCAGAAGAAGACGACAAGAAGCACCATGAACAACATCGTGCTGCTGTCGAAGCTGCCCGACTTCAAATCGCTGCCTATTTGAACCTGATCGCCGACTTTATGCACAACTTCACTGATGGTTTGGCCATCGGAGCGTCGTTTGTGGCCGGAGAGAAGGTTGGCATCAGTAAGTTTTGGCGTTTTTTGTTAGAAATAAGGATTTATTTTTTTAATTAAGAATTTTTTAAATTATTTTTATTGGAAAAATTTATGACTGATGGGGAAAATGTCTGATAAAATATCATTTTAGTTACCATGATCACAGTACTGATCCACGAAATCCCGCATGAAATTGGAGATTTTGCCATTTTGGTTCAATCAGGATACTCCAAAAGGAAGGTAAGGCTTTATCGAACTGAAAAATAGCAAGAACTTTCTTTACAAATTGAAAAATGGCAAGAACTTTCTTTACAAATCAAAAAATGGCACTAACTTTTTTGCAATACAAAAAATGGCAAAAACTTTCTTTACAACGTATAAGATGACAAAGTTTATATTAGGTATGTTATAAACTGTCAAAAACTTTGTTTCCACCCAGTGTTCCCCGAACTTTTTATAATCAAGCGCACCGTTGCTTAACTTGCCAGATCGGACGGGACCGCACTTTCGCACTGTGCAAACAAGGCAAATTGCGCTGCACGGTGCAGAAATTAACTTTTTGGCAATGACTTTGTTTACAATGATAGAAAATGGGATTTTTTAATTTTTTTTTGAGATTTGGCAAGGATTTTCTTTACAAATTTATAACAATGTCTTTCCAGGCCATGCTGATCCAACTCTTAACAGCCATTGGAGCCCTAGCTGGCTGTTTCATCGCCTGTGCCTCTTCAGATCCATTCTCCTTGGCCGAACAAGCTCAATCTTCATGGGTATTGCCATTCACAGCTGGTGGATTCATCTACATCGCCGCAGTGTCAGTCATCCCAGAACTGTTGGAAAAAAGTTCTTTTTTGTTGAGCATTGCCGAGGTTTTGGCTATGACATTGGGCGTATTTGCCATGTATTTGATTGCTTTGTATGAATAGGACTATGGTTAAGGTGGATTAGGACTATGGCTAAGACATGAGGGATTTGAAGCTTTGAAAAAGGTTGAAATTTGATTGGAAATGACGGTTTTAAGCGGATTTTGATGATTTTCGAAAAAAAAAATAAAATTTTTAAGGAAAAACGAAATTGTATTGAGTTTTAAAGTTTAAAATCACGTTTTTCGAAGCTGTTGTGACATCTTAAATGATGTTATAAAGTTTTTCGAAGCTTTTATGCCATTTTAAAAAAGTTTTGTAAAGCGCGCCAAAAAGAATTGTTCGCTTTTGTTATGTAATACATAAGGAAAGGGACCAATTCTTTTCGACGCGCTTTTTAAATCAAGCATTAAATGGCGTATTTATGGTTTTTTGAGCTGAAAAATAGTTTTTCTTGGCACAAAAGTCATTTTAAACAATTTTAATTTTTTGAAAAAAAATTTTTTTATTTTTTTGCACGGTGCAGTAACTTTTTGTCTCTTGCACGGTGCAAAAAATGAAAAAATCTTTTGATTTTTTAAAAATTTTGATTAGAGAAGTAATATTTTCGTGCTGTAGTCAATGTAAAATTGTGATTTTAGGTTTTTATCATATTTATAGTAGGTATTGTAACAAGAATACGTAATAATTTATGGATTTTTTGATAATTTACGGTTGTGGACAAGACTTATCGTAATATATTGTAGTCAATTCTATTTATTTCATTGAATAAAGTTTTTTTCTAGAGCTGTGTTGGATTGGAAATGACATTTTTTATGTTTATTGGTTGATTTCTAACCAGTTTTGTACTTTTATACTAACATTTTTGGTTGATTTTTGGGCTTTTTTTGATTTTTTTGTCGATTTTAGTTTTTTGAAGATTTGGTTGATTTTTTTTAAATTTTGGTTGATTTTTAGAATTTTGGTCGATTTTTTACCGTTTTTAATTTTTTTGGTCGATTCGTGATTTTTTTTATGTTTTTGGTTCATTTTAAACTTTTATTTTTCAGCACCCATGCCTCACGTGATTTCCCTTCAAGTTGGCCAATGTGGCAACCAATTGGGCAAAGCGTTCGCCGAAGAGTTGTGTAAGCAACATGGTATTGGTCCGGATGGAGCTACAGACCAAAATGACAGCCGGTTGGATCGAAAGGATGTCTTCTTCTACGAAGTAAGTTGAGTTTGATTGGTTTTTGTCGATTTTTAGGTATAAAATGATAGGTTTCTTGATGAAAAGAGGTTCGAATAGGCTATAACTATGATTATGGGTTATAAAATGGCAAGAATTTTGTTTAAACTATGAAAAATAGCAAAAAATTTCTTTGCAAAACAAAAAATGGCAAAAACTTTGTTTACAAAACACAAAATGGCAAAAACTTCCTTTACAAAACAATTTTTCTTTAAATTCAATAAATTTTTCAGAGCGACTCAGGAAGATATATATACCGTGGTATCATGGCCGACTTGGAGCCTCGAGTACTATCCATGGTTCAGTCGAGCGAGTACGGCCGAGTCTACAACCCAGAAAACGTCTACTCGGCCAGTGACGGTGGTGGTGCCGGAAACTCATGGGCAGGTGGATACACGAAAGGCTCCGAAGCAATGGAGTCGTTAATGGACATCGTACAACGAGAAGCCGAAGCCTCAGACAAGCTTGAGTGCTTCATGCTGACACACTCGGTCAGTGGAGGAACGGGCAGTGGGATGGGCTCGCGATTGTTGGAGTCGCTCAGGGATGCGTAGGTTTTTTATTATCTAAAATGACATTTTTTGATCTAAAATGGATTTTTTTGTCAAAAAATGACATTTTACACTAAAAAAGTTTGAAAAATGGTATTTGTTACCTAAAAATAAATTTTTTGTTAAAAAATGTCATTTAACGAAAAAAAATGAAAAATGGGATTTGTTACCTAAAAATGACGTTTTTTACTATAAGATGTCAATTTGCTACAAAAAATAATATTTTCAGTAGTATAATGTCATTTATACTCCTAAAATGAGTTTTTTGTCATAATATGACATTTGTTACCTAAAAATGACATTTTTTGATCTAAAATGGTTTTTTTTGTCAAAAAATGACATTTTACAATGAAAAATTTTGAAAAGTGGGATTTATTACCTAAAAACGACATGTCTGTCATAATATGACATTTGTTACCTAAAAATGACATTTTTTGATTTAAATTGACATTTTTGGTAAACAATGTCATTTTTTTGTCATATAAAAGTGCAAAAATGACATTTCTAATTTGACCTTATTTCAGATATCCCAAGAAGATGGTCCAAACCTACTCAGTTTTCCCGGTCAAAGGCGAATCGAACGTCGTAGTCGAGCCCTACAACGCCATCCTAACCACAGCTCGCCTCACAGAGTACGCTGATATGGTTACCGTAGTGGATAACAAGGCGTTGGACAAAATGGGCGTAGGAGTGGGCAAAATGGATGCCACCTTCGAGAACATGAACACTATGGTGGCCCAGATGATGAGTATGGCGACGGCTCCGTTGAGATACAGTGCTACATCGTGTGCTACATTCATGGAACAAATCGTGGACTTGTGCCCATTTCAGCCTATGCACTTTATTGGGACGGGTAGGTGTTTGTGTTTTTTACATGGGGGGGGGGGTAATGTAGGGTTGGGTATTGTGGGATTGGGCAAGGTAAAGCAAGAAATGGGATATTATAGGGTAGGATAGGTTAGGGTAAAGTCTAAGGCATGGTAATGGCTAGAGCATGGGAATGGTTAGGGCATGGTAAGGCCTAGGGCATGGTAAGGCCTAGGGCATGGTAAAGCCTAGGGCATGGTAAAGCATAGGGCATGGTAAAGCCTAGGGCATGGTAAGGCTTAGAGCATGGTAAAGCATAGGGAATGGTAAGAAATAGGGCATGGCAATAGCTAGGGCATGGTAAGGCATAGGGCATGGCAATAGCTAGGGCATGATGAGGCCTAGGGCTTAGACAAACTTTAAAATGTTATATTTTAAATTTTTAGCTCATTTCCCTTTCAACATACCCGGTAGGCCTATAATAGCTCCAAAGACAACTGCCACCGATACATTGCGACGCCTTCTACAACCAAAGTCGCTAATGATTTCGGCTACGAACTCGACCAGAGACCCAAGGTACATCATTGCTGGAGTCGTTGTATTCGAAGGACAAAAAGAGGATATTGATGTGATCCGGATTGGCAAGGACGCGCGGGAAAAGTACAGGGATCTGTGAGTTTTTTCAAATTTTTAGAAAATTTTTTGGGAAAAGGTTTATTTGGGGGTTGGAAAGAAAGTTGTGTCACGATTTTTAAGAAAAATGATTTTTATGAAGCTTGTAAAGAAAGTTTTTGCATTATATGATTTGTAAAGAAAGTTCTTGCCGTTTTCGGTTTTGTAAATAAAGTTCTTGTCATTTTATATTTTGTAAAGAAAGTTCTTGCCATTTTTTGTGTTGGAAAGAAAGTTTCTGTTTTTTTTTTGTTTTGTAAAGAAAGTTTTTGCGTTTTTATTTTACTTTTTGCTGTTTTTCAATAATTTTTGTGGCTTTTTGTCTAATGTTTTAAATTTTGTAAAAGTTTTGTGACATTTTTTGACTAATTTCAAAATTTTTTATTTTTGACATTTTAAGCTAATTTAAAAACATTTTTTAGGTTCCCACCAACTCACCCCCTAGGAATCCGATACCTACGAGTGCCCCCTTCACCGTACACCACTCGTACTAACCGAGTATCCGGTCTTCTGCTGGCCAACCACACAAAGTTTGTCAACATTCTGGACGAGATCACGAATGGCTACGACAAGTTGTACGCCAAGAACGCGTTCATCGGCCAATACGAGAAGGAGTACGGCACGGACTTCATCAACGACATGGGCGACTCGAGGGAGAAGATCGAGACGCTGAAGGAGCTGTACCGCGAAGTCGAGAACGACACATTCATGAGGTCGAGCAGCATCAAACAAGAGTTCGCGAGCATGGAGAACTCGGCCGAAAACCTCAATATGGTGTAGAGTGGTGAGCAATATCAACTTGGTATAACGTGGTCGATAATGTCAACTTGGTATAACGTGGTCGATAATATCAACTTTTGCTCAAAATGGTCGATAATGTCTATTTGGTATAAATTGGTCGATAATATCAAATTGTGCTCAAAATGGTAGATAACATCAACTTTTGCGTAAATTGGTCGATAATGTCAATTTGGTATATAGTGGCAGTTAATGTGTTTTAATGTAAATTTAACTTTTTTATGTTACCATGTCTTTGTAATAACCTTGTTCCATGTAATCATGACTTGATGATATCATTAAGATCTCCAACGTGTACTTTATTGTATAAACTTAATCATTTGAAGACTTGGATTTATTTTTGGTGCTACGACGTTGAGAATAGAGCACGGTAAGGCTTCTTAGGGCATAGTAAAGCCTAGGGAATGGTAAAAGTTAGGGTATGGCGGGCACGATAAAGCTCGGAAAGTCCTACGGTATGTTACAGTATAGGAGAACGTAAGGCCTAGAGTATCGTAAGGCAGAGGGCATGGTAAGGCCAATGGAATGGTAAAATATAAGACATTTTAAGGCTTAGGGCATGGTAAGGCTTTGGGTATAATAAAACCTAAGGAATGGTAAAGCCGAGGACATGGTAAGACCTAATAAATAGTTAATTTTAAAGCAAGGTAAGACATAGAGCATGATGAGGCTTGGGGCATGGTAAGGCTTAGGGCATGGTGAGGCCTAGGGCATGGTGAGGCCTAGGGTATGGTAAAGCTTAAGGCATGATAAGGCCTATTGCATGGTAAAGCCTAGGGCATGGTAAGGTCTAGGGCATGGTAAGGCCTAGGGCATGGCAAGGCCTAGGCATGGTTAGGCCTAAGGCATGGTAAGGCCTAGGGCATGGTTAGGCCTAGGGCATGGTAAGGCCTAAGGCATGGCAAAGCCTAAGGCATGGTGAGAATTTATTTAAAAACTATTTCACGCGGTCAGGAAACACCTCCCCCCTCATTTTGTTAAAATATGATTGTTCATTCATTCCGAATGTTCATTGATATTATAGATTGTTTCGCTTGTTTTCTTTCGCTGAGTGTTCATTCATCACAAAAAGCAAAGGCGATTGAGAGAAAATTATATTAACATGGGAGAAGTTGGTCAATCGCGTGTTTTTACATTTTTATTTTGAATTATTAACTATTTTTTAAAAAATTATAAGGTTTAATTTTGTAAAGAAAGTTCACAAAAACACTGGGTGGAAACAAAGTTTTTGACAGTTTAAAGAATAGTTATTATAAATTGTGTCATTTTGTGAGTTTGTGAAGAAAGTTGTTGCTATTTTTTGTTTTGTATAGAAAGTTTTTGCTATTTTGGTATAAAATTAACTTTGAAAAGTTTTTTTTTAATTTTTAAATTTCAAAATTTTTTCAATTTGAAATTCAGTGCCATTTCTATGTTTAGGTATTGAAGAATGTCGGTGAGTAAAGCCAGCCAAGCCCGGAATATTATAAATTTGTTTTCCAAAGCCAAAATCCAATGTCCACATCATCAGCAAAGTGTTGGACATGAGGTTGTACGTCATCAACATGGCGATGGGGGTAGGTTTTTAAAAACATTTTTTTTTGAAACATGGGTTACGATAGGTATACTGTAAAGCTTATGAGGTGGCAAGGCTGAATGGTAAAGTCAGGGGCATGGTAAGGCTTAAAATGTGGTAAGACCTAGGGCATATTAAGGGCTAGGGCGTGGGAAGGCCTAGGGCATGGTAAGGCCTAGGGCGTAGTAAAGCTTAGGGCATGGTAAAACCTAAGGCATAGTAAGGCTTGCGATATAGTAAGGCCTAGGGCAGGGTAATGTCTACGGCATGGTAAAGCCTAAGCCATAATAAGGCGTAGGGCATGATAAATCCATTTTAAAATTTTTTTTTATTTTTGAAGCTTTCTTAAAATTTAAAATTTTCAGGTTGTGAATACGCGTTTGAGATGATCAGTTCAACTCTTCGTTTCGGCTCCGGAGTGACTTCGGAAATAGCTCACGATGTTCGGAACATGAAGGCCAAACGGCCATTGGTCATAACCGACAAAAATGTGGCCAAAACTCGGGCTTTTGTGTGGGTTTTTCCATTTTAAATTTTAAAAAATTTTTAAAGATAACATTCCAAAACAAAAATTTTTAAAATTACCTTTTTAAAATAAAAAAATTTTTAAAATAAAAAAATTATAATTTAAAAAAAATTTTAAAATGACATTTCAAAATGAAAATTTTTTTTTAAATTACATTTTTAGAAATAGAGAAAATGTTTTAAATAAAAACATTTTAAAAAATAAATAATAAATTTTAAATAAAAAAAATTTTAAAAAAAATTAAATTAAAAAAAATTAAAATGACGTTTAAAATTAAAAAAGAATTTAAAATAGAAACAATTTTAAATAAAATTTTCACAAACAAAAAAAAATTTAAATTACTTTTTTCCAAATTAAAAAAAATTTATGACATTTTAAAAACTAAAAAAAACTTTAAATTAAACTTTCAAAATAAAAAAAATTTAAAAAAATTAAAAAATCATATTTTCAAAATTTTAAAAAATTTTTTAGTGAAGTAGCCAGCTCTCTACAACGCAACAATGTAGCCTACGATGTGTTCGACGACGTCCTCTGTGAGCCTTCAGATGCCTCAATGCTGAAAGCCATCAACTTTGCTCGGTCCCAGAATTTCGACTGTTTCATTGCCGTAGGGGGCGGTTCAGTAATGGACACAACCAAAGCTGCTGCTCTATTCGCTAGTAATCCAAATGCCGAGTTCTTGGACTACGTCCAGCCACCATTTGGCAAGGGAATCATACCGGAAAATGTGATGAAACCACTCATCGCTGTACCTACTACAGCTGGTACTGGCAGTGAAACGACTGGTAAGTCAATCAAAAGAAGATGTAGTTTTAGTCCAGGGCCCTAGCCCAGAGCCCTAGCCCAGACCCTAGCCTTAGACGCCCGGCCCGTTTTCACGTAAAACAATTGGAGCCGAACCGGGCCTGAGCCAAATTTAGATCAGGCCAACGCTCAGGCCCGGCAAATTCTTCATGTTACCTTACCCTACCTTAGCCTACTCTACCCTACCCTACCTTAGCCTACTCTACCCTACCCTACCTTGGCCTACTCTACCCTACCCTACCTTAGCCTACCCTACCCTACCCTACCCTACCCTACCCTACCCTACCCTACCCCTACCCTACCCTACCCTACCCTACCCTACCCTACCCTACCCTACCCTACCCTACCCTACCCTACCCTACTCCCTACCCTACCCTACCCTACCCTACCCTACCCTACCCTACCCTACCCTACCCTACCCTACCCTACCCTACCCTACCCTACCCTACCCTACCCTACCCTACCCTACCCTACCCTACCCTACCCTACCCTACCCTACCCTACCCTACCCTACCCTACCCTACCCTACCCTACCCTACCCTACCCTACCCTACCCTACCCTACCCTACCCTACCCTACTCTACCCTACCCTACCCTACCCTACCCTACCCTACCCCTACCCTACTCTACCCTACTCTATTCTACTCTACCCCTACCCTACCCTACCCTACCCTACCCTACCCTACCCTACCCTACTCTATTCTACTCTACTCTACCCTACCCTACCCTACCCTACCCTACCCTACCCTACTCTACCCTACTCTATTCTACTCTACTCTACCCTACTCTACCCTACCCTACCCTACCCTACCCTACCCCTACCCTACCCCTACCCTACTCTACCCTACCCTACCCTACCCTACCCTACCCTACCCTACCCTACTCTACCCTACTCTATTCTACTCTACTCTACCCTACCCTACCCTACCCTACCCTACCCTACCCTACTCTACCCTACTCTATTCTACTCTACTCTACCCTACCCTACCCTACCCTACCCTGCCCTACCCTGCCCTACTCTACCCTACCCAAATCGTACTTTCGCTTTCTTCAATGTTCTATTGTAGCTTTACCGTAAGACCATACCAAACATATGTTTTCAGCTGTATCAATCTTTGACCTGCCAGAAAGAGAATGTAAAGCAGGTATCAGACTTCGTGCAATCAAACCGCTACTCGCCATTATCGACCCATTGAATGTGTTGAGTATGCCGAGGAATGTCGCCATCTACTCCGGCTTCGACGTGCTGTGCCATGCCCTCGAATCCTACACTGCCAAGCCCTTTTACGAGCGACAACCACGCCCAGCCACCCCGATGGAACGACCGGTATATCAGGGAAGCAACCCGATCAGCGATGTCTGGGTCCGAGAGGCCTTGAGGGTAAGGTGAACATTATTTTTTGAGGCATGGGCGTGGGTATATATAAGAGAAATTATAGTTTTAGGCATGGGCGTGGGTATATACAAGAGAAATTATAGTTTTAGGCATGGGCGTGGGTATGGATCGGTATATTTTAAGGCATGGGCGGGCATGGATCGTTATATTTTTAGGCATGGGCGTGGGTATGGATCGATATATTTTGAGGCATGGGCGTGGGTATGGATCGGTATATTTTAAGGCATGGGCGGGCATGGATCGTTATATTTTTAGGCATGGGCGTGGGTATGGATCGATATATTTTGAGGCATGGGCGGGCATGGATCGTTATATTTTAAGGCATGGGCGTGGGTATGGATTGTTATATTTTGAGGCATGGGCGTGGGTATGGATCGGTATATTTTAAGGCATGTGCGGGCATGGATCGTTATATTTTAAGGCATGGGCGTGGGTATGGATTGTTATCGTTTGAGGCATGGGCGTGGGTATGGATCGGTATATTTTAAGGCATGGGCGGGCATGGATCGTTATATTTTAAGGCATGGGCGTGGGTATGGATTGTTATATTTTGAGGCATGGGCGTGGGTGTGGATCTTTTGATTTTTTAGAATAATTTTTTATGCGGCGGGGTAAAAAAATTTTTTGAAGGGTAAAAATTTTTTGGGCGGGGTAAATTTTTTTTTGAGGTGTGGTGTTTTTTAGAGCGAGAATTAATTTTACAAAAAAAATATTTTTAAAACATGTAAAAAATTCTTTTGGGCGGGGTAAAAAAATTTTTTTTAAGTTAGTGCTGATTTCATATTTTTTAATTTCAGATCATTCGAAAATACTTCCGTCGCTCGATTTTCGACCCAGAAGACGTTGAAGCCAGGACGGAAATGTTGAAGGCCTCGTCCTTTGCGGGTATGGGATTCGGAAACGCTGGTGTTCACTTGTGCCACGGCTTGTCCTATCCGATTAGTTCGCAGGTAAGGACCGGCAAGGCTTTGGGATACGGTAGAGCGTATTGTCTTGTAAGATTGAGAATATTGTAGTGCTTAGAATACAGTAGGGATTATTTTACAGTAGGGTATGATAAATCTTAATATGGTAGGGTCTAGTGTTTAGGTTAAGGCAAGTAGGGTAGAGTACTGTAGTCTAAGGCATGATACTGTAAAGTAGGGTAGGGTAGAGTAAGGCCTAGAGTACGGTAGGGCATAGGGTACGGTCGAGCCTAGGTTTACTATAGGGTTGGGAAGTACGGTAGGGTTTGGCGTACGGTAGGATGTAGGGTATGGTAGGGCCTATGGTTCGGCAGGGCCTAGGGTACAGCAGGGCCTAGGGTACGGCCAGGCCTAGGGTACGGCAGGGCCTAGGGTACGGCAGGGCCTAGGGTACGGCAGGGCCTAGGGTACGGCAGGGCCTAGGGTACGGCAGGGCCTAGGGTACGGCAGGGCCTAGGGTACGGCAGGGGTTAGAGTACGGTAGGGCATAGGGTAATATTGCCATTCCAAACCAATATTATTGTAGGGAAAACGCTACACAGATCCCCACTACGCCTCGAACCATCCTCTGATTCCTCACGGCCTATCCGTAGTAACAACGGCGCCAGCCGATTTCTTGTTCACCACCGATGCCTATCCAAAGCGTCATTTGGAAGCGGCCCAGCTACTCGGAGCCGACCTGAATGATCACGCCTCGGCCGATATGACGGCCAAAAAGTTGGCAGATGAGATTCGCGGATTCATGAAAGACTTTGGATGTCCAAATGGATTAAAGGTGGGGCGCAGGGCTTTCGAATTGGTTTAACCCTCAACTTTTCAGTCTCTTGGCTTCGACCGTGCCGACGTGGACAAGCTGGCCGACCGTGCCACCGGCTCATTGAAAAGGGTGGAATCGCACCAAAAGACCCGGACACAGACGCTTTGGCCAAAATCTACGAAGCCTCGCTGGAATGCTACTAGGCTACCGTAACATATCGAGTTTTGTAGCATAATTTTATTTTGGCAGTAAATATCTTGGCCTTTTGGAAGGTGGATGTGAGCAAAGATTGCTTGAGATGCAGGGCAGAGTAATGCAGGATAGGGCAGGGCAAGGTAGAGTAATGTAGGGTAGGGCAGAGAGAAATCCAGGGTACGATAAAACTTACGGTACGTATATGGCCAAGCTTAAATTAAAAGCATGTGTCAGGTAAGATAGACAGGGTAGGGCACAGTAAGACGTAGAGTACGGTAGAACTTACGGTACGGTAGGCGTAGAATATAATAGGGATGACGGAACCGTAGATTCTAGGATAGGGTAGGGTCAGGCTTGGACACAGGGCATTGGGGTTTTATGCCCTGCCCTGCCCTCCCCTTGCCCTGCAGGGCATCAGGGCATTTACAGGGTATTTACAGGGCATTTTGGTATATTTTGGCGGACGCCTCCGCTGAGCGGTCGATAATCGGCGGACGCCATAACTCGGTTAGTTTAGCAGCTAGAAAAATGTAGTTAAGTGCAGAAGTTGTTATCTGTCATAACCTACACATTAAGCCAGAAATTTATGTTTTTGAAAACAATATTGTTATCGACCGGTCGATAATTTACAAATGTTTAATTTTTACAGAAAACAAACTTTTAAAATCTTAAAATTATGCTTTTACTTGTAGCGTATGACATATAATAACTTCTGAACTGAACTACATGTTTCTAGCTGCTAAACTAACCAAGTTATGGCGTCCGCCGATTATCGACCGCTCGGCGGAGGCGTCCGCCAAAACTTACCATGACACAAACAGAGCATTTGCAGGGTAATGCAGGGCATAGGGCATGCCCTGCCCTGTTCCAAGCTATGCCTTGCCCTGCCCTGTCCTGTAAAAAAATTTCAAACCATGCCCCATGCCCTGCCCTGCCCTGTGTCCAAGCCTGGGTAGGGTACAATAGAGCTCATGGGAGAGTAGGGTTTAGGGTACGGTAGGGCCTTAGGTACGACAGGGCCTATGGTTCGGTAGGGCCTGGAGGACGGTAGAGTTTAGGGTAGGGTTGGGTCTAGGGTACAAGAGAGCCCATCGGACAGAAAAACTAGGGTACGGCAGGGCCCATAATACGAGAGGGCTTATAGTTCAGTAGGGCTTGGAGCACGGAAGAACCTAGGGTCAAGAAGGCCTAGGGTACGGTAGGACTTAAGGCACGGTTGAGCATACGGAACGGTTGGGTCTATGGTTCGGTAGGCCTGGAGCACGGTAGAGTTTAGGATACGGTTGGGTCTATGGTACGGTAAGGCCTGGAGCACGGTAGAGCCTAGGGTACAAGAAGGCCCAAGGTACGGTAGGGCTTAGAGCACGGTAGAGCCTTTGGGTCTGGGGTACGGTACGGCTTATGGTACGGTAGCGCATTCGGCACGGCGAGCCTGGGGTACTGTAGATTTTATGGTACACTTTTATATTACAGAAAAGAAAGTTTAATAAAAATTTTAACACAATAAAGGAATGTTTTAAAAGCATTTCTCATATTAATATAAAAGGAAACCAATTTTTCAAGCAAATCAATAGTTGCATTTCATTTAATTCGGCGTCAAAATGGCAGGCAATGTCAAATATAAAGGTCAATAAAAATGAAGGCGCATATAAGCTAAAGCTTTGAATTATTTTAGTTTATATCTTTTATTACTTGCTACTTATATAAAGTAAAATCAAAGATGAATACCATTTTCAAATTTTGTCCGGACGTAAGTTACATTTTAGATGGAATTACGTTTTAAATTTAAAAAATAAGTTAAAATTGAAAATTTTAAAATTTAAGATATGGTTCAGAGTTAAGGAGCATCTGTCAATAATGGAAGATATTTGTTCATTGGCCACGGTAAACAAATATTTTTACAAAATGGTCCACATGGATTTTAAACAGCTATGTTACGATCATGTAGTTTATCGCACAGAAGGCGAAACTTGGGCGTATGCTTTTTCTGAGTAAGTTACTTTCGCTCTTTCATCCTGTATAGGTCTATAGAGGTATAGGTCTAGAGAATTGGTGCAATTCCTGGTAGCTATAGACCTACTTCCTTTCATCTGTAACGTTTGCAGTAACTTTAGTTTTGGGCTTCGATCATATAATGTTGTGCAACAAGACCCTTACCTTTACCGGAAACACACAATTTGTTGTTCCTTTACGGGAAAAATAGCCATAAAGCTAAACACAGCATATGTAATACTAACAAACATTGACTTTGGTCTTAAAAAGTTCACATTGCTCGACTTTACCAGTTACGGAGAGAAGGTAGACTATGCTAAGATTATTAATCGTGGAAAAGACTTGTTAGTATATACTCCATCTCATTTGGTAGTATACGATCTACAACGCATGGAATTGAAAAAGTGTTATGATTCACCAGGGCTAACAACAATGAGCATTTTTCAATTTTCGTCTAAAAACACCATTTTTGACGTGTACAGTAACAAAGAATTTAAAACTGATTCACTATATAAGCATCACAATGGGCTTGTAGATTATCTGAATATGTACGACACTTCAAAATATATTGCATTATGCACTAAAGCCAACAGACTAGTTATCATTAATAGTGAGACAGGCAAAAGACAAACAGTTTGTAGATGGAAAGTCGGTTCGCGTGTGCATGTCATCAACGAAAATGATTCAGTTTTTATAGGTAAGTATGGTTTTTTATGTACTGTAGGGCTTAGGGTATGGCAGGGCTTAGGATACGGCTAGGGCTTAGGGTACGGTAGGGCCTAAAATACAGGCTTAGGGTATGGTAGGGCTTAGGTTATGATAGGTTCTAATGTAGAGTAGCACATAGGGTACGGTAGGGCCTAGAATAAGGTAGGGCCTAGAATACGCTAGGGTAGGATCAAACATTAATGTTAAATTTTAGTTGGCGAAAGAAGTGGAATGTACAGTATCAAGCAAGAAAAATTTGTATTTAGCAGTCCTCATCGCTGGTGTATTCTCAATTCAAATGTTCTTTTTCTTCCGCGTACTAGCTGTGTGAGTTTGATTTTTAATTTTTTGAAATTTAAAACTTTTATTAAAATTTTTTTCATTTCACAAAGCACTTTAAATGTTTTTTTTAGTTTTTGGTCTACAAAAAACAAAGTGATCGATGGGAAACAATAGAAGCAGACCCAACGCTAAAGTTGACATCTTATTGCACTTATTGTTTGGGACCATTACCAAATTACAGAGTTATGTTGTCTATGTTGTCAGATAGAAACGATGTTTACAAACGTGTACTTCTAACTTTTAAAAAAGGCCAGTTTTCTCTATTCTATTCTTACTTGCACTATTTTAAAATGATTTTGTTTTTCTTACAGACCTTGTGGGTACGGTTGGTGTGCTCCAATCGTTCCTAGTCCACGCTACACTATTTTTATAGTTTTGCTAGTTTAATTTTTTTAAATTTCAGATTGTATCAAGGTCAAGACGTTTGATGCCAAAGAAAAACTTATTAATACCTATCATTTGTACAATGATGTTAAAAAAGGGAATCACCAAATTACACAGCTGATGAAAATGCCATTCCCTGTGGAAGAGAAGCAGTTAATAGACTTTTGCAAATGGTTTAAACAATTGCACATTTCCACGCCCAAAGTACGATTTATTGACGTCAAGACTGGAGCTGAAGAATATTTAAATTTTCAAAATGAAAAAAATTGTTATCCCACCAGTTATATTAAAAATTTGCCTTACAAATAATACAGTATGCTACACCTGACTTTCGTTTCCATTTTAAAGCCCTACTGTAAATTAGGGCCTACTATAACTTAGGCCCTACCGTACCTTAGGCCCTATTGTATCTTAGGGCCTACCATCCCATGAGCCTTACTGTCTCATGAGTCCTGCCGTATACTAGGCAGCACCTTACGGTCTGGGGTACAATAGCGTATGAAGTACAGCAAGCTTAGGTTACGGTAGATGTTATGGTATAATTTTACATTACAGAAAAGAAAGTTTGATAAAAATCTCAACACAATAAACTAATGTTTTAATAGCTTTTCTTATATTAATATTAATTTATTAAAGTGAAGCATTTTTCTAAGAAAATCAATAGTTGCATTCTGCGTAGTTTGACGTCAAAGTGCCATGGAATCTCGTATGTAAACGTCAATAAATATGAAGATTAGGGGCTAGGGTACGGAAGAACCTAGGGGCAGTGGTAGGGCATAAGTACAGTAAAACCTAGGTTACAGTAGAGCCTATTTTACTGTAAGGTTGAAAAAGTTGTAGAGCCTAGGGCACGGTAGCGCCTATGGTATAGTAGGTCCTAATTTCCAGTAGGGCTTTAAAATGGAAACGAAAGTCAGGTGTAGCATACTGTATTATTTGTAAGGCAAATTTTTAATATAACTGGTGGGATAACAATTTTTTTCATTTTGAAAATTTAAATATTCTTCAGCTCCAGTCTTGACGTCAATAAATCGTACTTTGGGCGTGGAAATGTGCAATTGTTTAAACCATTTGCAAAAGTCTATTAACTGCTTCTCTTCCACAGGGAATGGCATTTTCATCAGCTGTGTAATTTGATGATTCCCTTTTTTAACATCATTGTACAAATGATAGGTATTAATAAGTTTTTCTTTGGCATCAAACGTCTTGACCTTGATACGATCTGAAATTTAAAAAAAATTAAACTAGCAAATATATAAAAATAGGGTAGGGTGGACTAGGACCAGTTGGAGCTCACCAAACGTACCCCAACAGGTCTATACGAAAAACAAAATCATTTTTAAAATAGTGTAAATAAGAATAGAATAGAGAAAACTGGCCTTTTTTAAAAGTTAGAAGTACACGTTTGTAAACATCGTTTCTATCTGACAACATAGACAACATAACTCTGTAATTTGGTAATGGTCCCAAAAAATGACCAAAATAAGTTACCAATTTTAGTGTTAGGGGTGCTTCCATTGTTTCCCATCGATCACTTTGTTTTTTGTAGACCAAAAACTAAAAAAACATCAGAAGTGCTTTGTGAAATAAAAAAATTTTAATAAGTTTTAAGATTCAAAAAGTTAAAAATCAAACTCACACAATTAGTATGCGCATGAAAAAGAACATTCGAATTGAGAATACGCCAGCGATGAGGACTGCTAAATACAAATTTTTCTTGCTTGATACTGTACATTCCACTTCTTTCACCGACTAAAATATAACGTTAATGTTCTGCCATGCCCTAGCCTCCCCACTTTACCCTGCCCTACATTAGGCCTTATCGTACTCTAGGCTCTAGCCGTATCATAGGTTTCTGTCGTACCATAAGCCCTACCTTGCTATACTTTAGGCTTTGCCGTGCCCTATTCCTCAAAAGTCCTTAGGCCATACCGTATCTTAGGCTTTGTTAGTTCTTAGACCTTACCGTACTTTAGACTCTACCATACGCTAAGTCCTACCGTACTTTAAGCCCTACCGTCAGTGCCAGGCGGGGACAAAAAATCGGCACAGGTAAGCTACCTGTGCCGATTTTTTGCGAAAAATTTTTCCCGAAAATCCACAGGGGGACCACGTTCAACTTTTTTTACTCTAGGCCCTATCGCACCCTAATTGCTACCGTATCCTAAACCCTACCGTACCCGAGGCCCTGCCATACCCTAGGCCCTGCCGTATTTTAGACCCTGCCATACCCTAAGCCCTACAGTACATAAAAAACCATACTTACCTATAAAAACTGAATCATTTTCGTTGATGACATGCACATACGAACCGACTTTCCACCGACAAACTGTTTGTCTTTTATCTCTCTCACTATTAATGATAACTAGTCTGTTGGCTTTAGTGCATACTGCAATATATTTCGAAGTGTCGTACATGTTGAGATAGTCTACAAACCCATTGTTATACGGTGAATTGTTTTTAAATTCTTTGTTACTGTACAAGTCAAAAATGGTGTTTTTAGACGAAAATTGAAAAATGCTCATTGTTGTTAGCCCTGGTGAATCATAACACTTTTTCAATTCCATGCGTTGTAGATCGTATACTACCAAATGAGATGGAGTATATACTAACAAGTCTTTTCCACGATTAATAATCTTAGCATAGTCTACCTTCTCTCCGTAACTGGTAAAGTCGAGCAATGTGAACTTTTTAAGACCAAAGTCAATGTTTGTTAGTATTACATATGCTGTGTTTAGCTTTATGGCTATTTTTCCCGTAAAGGAACAACAAATTGTGTGTTTCCGGTAAAGGTAAGGGTCTTGTTGCACAACATTATATGATCGAAGCCCAAAACTAAAGTTACTGCAAACGTTACAGATGAAAGGAAGTAGGTCTATAGCTACCAGGAATTGCACCAATTCTCTAGACCTATACCTCTATAGACCTATACAGGATGAAAGAGCGAAAGTAACTTACTCAGAAAAAGCATACGCCCAAGTTTCGCCTTCTGTGCGATAAACTACATGATCGTAACATAGCTGTTTAAAATCCATGTGGACCATTTTGTAAAAATATTTGTTTACCGTGGCCAATGAACAAATATCTTCCATTATTGACAGATGCTCCTTAACTCTGAACCATATCTTAAATTTTAAAATTTTCAATTTTAACTTATTTTTTAAATTTAAAACGTAATTCCATCTAAAATGTAACTTACGTCCGGACAATTTTGAAAATGGTATTCATAAAAAATTGGTATCTTTTTATATTAATATGAGAAAAGCTTTTAAAACATTTATTTATTGTGTTAAGATTTTTATCAAACTTTCTTTTCTGTAATATAAAAGTGTACCATAAAATCTACAGTACCCCAGGCTCGCCGTGCCGCATGCGCTACCGTACCGTACCCCAGACCCAACCGTACCGCAGGCTCTACCGTGCTCCAAGCCCTACCGTACCCTAGACCCAACCGTACCGCAGGCTCTACCGTGCTCCAAGCCTTACCGAACCATATCCCTTGCCGTACCTAAGGCGCTACCGTCCTCTAGGCTCTACTGTACCTCAGGCCCTACCGTACCGTAAGCCATACCGTACCCTAGGCCCTGCCGTACCCTAGGCCCTGCCGTACCCTAGGCCCTGCCGTACCCTAGGCCCTGCCGTACCCTAGGCCCTGCCGTACCCTAGGCCCTGCCGTACCCTAGGCCCTGCCGTACCCTAGGCCCTGCCGTACCCTAGGCCCTGCCGTACCCTAGGCCCTGCCGTACCCTAGGCCCTGCCGTACCCTAGGCCCTACCGCACGCCAAACCCTACCGTACTTCTCAACCCTATCGTAAGCCTAAGCTCGACCGTACCCTATGCCCTACCGTACTCTAGGCCTTACTCTACTCTACCCTACTTTACAGTATCATGCCTTAGACTACAGTACTCTACCCTACTTGCCTTAACCTAAACACTAGACCCTACCTACAGAAAAGCTAGGTTACGGCAGAAACTGGGATATGAAGTACGGTAGCGCATGCGGCACGGCGAACCTAGGGTACTATAGATTTTATGGTACACTTTTATATTACAGAAAAGGGAGTTTGATAAATGTTGATTAACACAACAAGGGAATGTTTTAAATGTTTTATATTGATATAAAAATAAACCAATTTTTTAAGCAAATCAATAGTTGCATTCCTCTTAATTTGGCGTCAAAATGGCATGCAATGTCAAATATAAAAGTCAATAAAGACGAAGGTGTATATAAGCTAAAGCTTTGAATTATTTTTATATCTTTTATTACTTGCTACTTATATAAAGTAAAATCAAAGATGTATACCATTTTCAAATTTTGTCCGGACGTAAGTTACAGTTTAGATGGAATTACATTGTAAATTTTAAAAAAGTAAAAGGTAATCACTGAAATTTTTAAAATTTTAGATATGGTTCAGAGTTACGGAGCACCTGCCAATAATGGAAGATATTTGTTCATTGGCCACGGTAAACAAATATTTTTACAAAATGGTCAACATGGATTTTAAACAGCTATGTTACGATCATGTAGTTTATCGCACAGAAGGCGAAACTTGCTTTTTCAGAGTAAGTTTATAGCCTTGTCCTAGCTTTAGCCCCAGCACCAACCTTGGTTTTAACTTTACAACGGGATTGTATAATACCAAACAGTATCTCTGGGATTTTAGAACGAAACCTATATAAAATGAAAGAGCATGAAATTTTACAGTAAACTGGTTTTGAAAACTGCTAAATGGCCGTGGCTAGCGAGATAATAGCAAAAAAATTGTTTACAGGGTTTCTTATTTGTACTTTCTAGTGTTTTGCCGGACCGGTCCGCGGACGGGCCCGGTCCGGACCGGACTTGAAAAATCGCCGGACCTGACCGGTGAAAAACACTCCGAACCGGACCGGGCAAAACGCTGGTTCTTTCTCATTTGCGTTGGGCAAAACTAATGGATTGAAATTTCAATCCTGCGTGGTAGAATGGTTACACAGTTACTTTAAGTTAGTTTGAGGTCCAGAAAGGGGTAAGTTCGAAGGTCGTCGATTTTGTTTTGGCGCCTTTCCACTATCACAAGCAGTTTTGGCTAGCTAAACAAAATTTTATTTAAAAAATGTTTTTTTTGCGTTTAATTATTTTTAGAAAAATATTTATCAAAAATTATTAGTATTTTTTGAAATTTAAAGTTATACCTTGTAAACATATAAGAATACTGGGCGTACTGTAAATTGCTAGCCGCGGCTTTTAAAAACAGTTATCTAGTTAATTTTTACGCTCTTTCATTCTACATATGTTACGTTCGAAAAGCCAAGGGGTATTTGGTGCAACTCCTGGTAACGATAGTCCTGCTTCTTTATACCTATAACGTTTACTGTAACTTTAGTTTTGGGCTTCGTTCATATAATGTAGCGCATCATCTATCTACCTTTTGGCGGAGACACACAATTTGTTGTTCCTTTACGGGAAAAATAGCCATAAAGCTAAACACAGCATATGTAATACTAACAAACATTGACTTTGGTCTTAAAAAGTTCACATTGCTCGACTTTACCAGTTACGGAGAGAAGGTAGACTATGCTAAGATTATTAATCGTGGAAAAGACTTGTTAGTATATACTCCATCTCATTTGGTAGTATACGATCTACAACGCATGGAATTGAAAAAAGTGTTATGATTCACCAGGGCTAACAACAATGAGCATTTTTCAATTTTCGTCTAAAAACACCATTTTTGACTTGTACAGTAACAAAGAATTTAAAACTGATTCATCGTATCACAATGGGCTTGTAGACTATCTCAACATGTACGACACTTCGAAATATATTGCAGTATGCACTAAAGCCAACAGACTAGTTATCATTAATAGTGAAACAGATAAAAGACAAACAGTTTGTCGGTGGAAAGTCGGTTCGTATGTGCATGTCATCAACGAAAATGATTCAGTTTTTATAGGTAAGTATTGATTTTTTAGGCACGGTCAAAAATTTTTAAAAACAAATTTTAAAAAAACACACAGATTTTGGTACTTTAGCGCCGCATCTTTGCCAATCCTGATAACATCGATATCATCTCTCGAGCCTTCAAATACAACAATTCCAGCTACAATTTTTCCAATGAGTTCGTCTGTTGTTGATATCATCAGTGATTTCGGCTGTAGAACTCGCCTCAACGTATCCGTAGCTGTTGTCTTCGGGGCTATGATCGGCCTACCAGGTAGGTTACAGGGGAAACAGGCTGAAAAGTTGAAACATAATATTTTTCAAATTTAAAAAATTCTCTACCGTATCCCACCTTACCTTATTTTGTCTTACCCTATCCTAACCCTATTATAAATTACTGTATCTTGCCTTACCCTATCCTACCCTACAGTGTTCTACCCCTTACTTTACTCTGTCCAATCACACCATGTCGTACCCTAATCTACCACACCCTACCGTGTCCTCCCTTACATTACCTTCCCTTCCTTACTCCACTTTAGAGTACCCGTTGCTTTACCTTGTCCCAACTTCCACCATACCCAACCATACGTTCCCACATCCCCCCCCCCAAACCAAAAAAAAAAAAAAAAAACTCACCAGTCGAAATGAAGTGCAGTCGGGGCAACGGGCAAAGATCTTCTATTAGATTCTGGATTGTGGAAGTGGAGGAATTAACGTCCATGAATGGAGAACTCGCCATTCTCATTATCTGGGCTATCATTGAGTTCGTGTCCTTGAAGGTGGCGTCCATTTTGCCCACTCCTTCGGCCATTTTGTCCAACGCCTTGTTGTCCACCACGTTAACCATGTCAGCGTACTCTAATAGGTAAGACATGGTTGTGATGGCGTTTTATGGCTCCACTACGACGTTCGATTCGCCTTTTACTGGGAAGACAGAATAGGTTTGTACCATCTTCTTGAAATATCTGAAATGAGGTCAAATTAGAAATGTCATTTTTGCACTTTTATATGACAAAAAATGACACTGAAAAATGTCAATTTAAGTCAAAAAATGTCATTTTTAGGTAACAAATGTCATATTACGACAGAAATGTCATTTTTAGGTAATAAAAAACCTACTCTTCGTTAAGATGCTCCAACAACCGCGAGCCTAATTCACTGCCCGTTCCTCCACGGACCGAATGCGTCAACATAAAACTCTCGAGTTTATCTGAGGCTTCAGATTCCCGTCGAAGAATATCCACCTGCCCAGGTTCCATCGCTTCCATCAATACCGTAGTAAGCGTTCTCTGGGTTGAAGACTCGGCCGTACTCGCTCGAATGGACCGTAGATACTACTCGGGGCTCAAGGTCAGCCAGTATACCACGGTATATATACCTTCCTGAGTCACTCTGAAAAAATTTTTTAATTAAAAAAAATGTTCTGTAAACAAAGTTCTTACAATTTCTTGGTTTGTAAAGAAAATTTTTACTATTTTTTTGTTTTGTAAAGAAAGCTTTTGCCACTTTATAACATATAATCAAAACTATTACCATTTCCATCCCATACTCATAAAAAATCCATCATTTTATACCTAAAAAGCAACAAAAACCAAGCAAACTCAACTTACTTTGTAGAAGTACATATCCGAGCCGTCCAGCCGGCTGTCATTTTGGTCTGTAGCTCCATCCGGACGAATACCATTTTGCTTACACAACTCTTCGGCGAACGCTTGGCCCAATTGGTTGCCACATTAGCCAACTTGAAGAGAAATCACGTGAGGCATGAGGACTAAAATATAAAAATTTAAAATTGACCAAAGACATAAAAAATCATAAATCGACAAAAAATACAAAAAAAACATAAAAGTCAACCGATAAAAACAAAAAAACTCAAAAATCAAACAAAAACTGTTAGTAAAAGTACAAAACTGGTTATAAATCGACCAATAAACATAAAAATGCCATTTCCTATCCAACACAGCTCTAAAAACACTTTATTCAATGAAATAAATAGAATTGTCTACAATATATTACGATAAGTCTTGTCCACAACCGTAAATTATCAAAAAATCCATAAATTATTACTTATTCTTGTTACAATACCTACTATAAATATGATAAAAACCTAAAATCACAATTTTATAAGTCCGTTTTTTAATTTTTGCATCGTGCAAAATTAATAAAAAACCATCAGAAACCGCTTTAAAACCGTCATTTTTAAGCAAATTTCAATCATTTTCCAATCTCTAAACCCCCCCCATATCTTAGCCATAGTCCTTTCCCACCTTAGCCATAGTCCTATTCATACAAAGCAATCAAATACATGGCAAAAACGCCCAATGTCATAGCCAAAACCTCGGCAATGCTCAACAAAAATGAACTTTTTTCCAAAAGTTCTGGGATGACTGATACCGCGGCAATATAGATGAATCCACCAGCTGTGAATGGCAATACCCATGAAGATTGAGCTTGTTCGGCCAAGGAGAAAGGATCTGACGAGGCACAGGCGATGAAACAGCCAGCTAGGGCTCCAATGGCTGTTAGGAGTTGGATCAGCATGGCCTAAACAGATATTGTTATAAATTTGTAAAGAAAATTCTTGCCAAATCTCAAAAAAACATTTAAAAATGCCATTTTTCATCATTGTAAACAAAGTTATGATCTGCACCGTGCAGCGCAATTTGCCTTGTTTGCACAGTGCGGAAGCGCGGTCCCGTCCGATCTGGCAAGTTAAGCAACGGTGCGCTTGATTATAAAAAGTTCGAGAAACACAGAGTGAAAACAAAGTTTTTGACAGTTTATAACATACCTAATATAAACTTTGTTATATTTTACGTTATAAAGAAAGTTTTTGCCATTTTTTGTCTTGTAAAAAAAGTTCTTGCTATTTCTTGCTTTGTAAAGAAAGTTCTTGCCATTTTTTAATTTGTAAAGAAAGTTCTTGCTATTTTTCAGTTCGATAAAGCCTTACCTTCCTTTTGGAGTATCCTGATTGAACCAAAATAGCAAAATCTCCAATTTCATGCGGGATTTCGTGGATCAGTACTGTGATCATGGTAACTAAAACGGCATTTTATTATTTTTTTATTTTCAGTCGATTTTTTATATGCAAATTTAAATAAAAAACAAAAAACCACCAAAAAACGCCAAAACTTACCAACCTTCTCTCCGGCCACAAACGAAGCGCCAATAGCCAAACTATCAGTAAAGTTGTGCATAAAGTCGGCGGTCAGGTTCAAATAGGCAGCGATTTGAAGTCGGGCAGCTTCGACGGCAGCACGATGTTGTTCATGATGCTTCTTTTCATCTTCTTCTGAATGTTCTGTGTCTGAATTCTTGTCTTTCTTGGATACTGACTCCTTATCGTGTTGAGCTGAAAAAATTGAGGTTAACGAAAGATTCTGAAGTGTGGCAAACTTCTAAAGCAAGATTTTTGATTTAGCAAGCTCCCAAATGCTAATCTTTATCGTAGGACTCTTCAAAATCATAATTTTCACCGTCAAACCTTCTTCACATCTTCCACCCAACCCAAAAACTCAATAAAAGTTAGAATCCCCACCTTTCTTTTCTCCAGAATCCTTTCGTGGACCGTGAGAATGACCGTGACCGCCTTCTCCTCTCACAATTCGGACAAACTTCTCCACGACGAAGAAGCTGAAGAATCCACCCAACACCCAGCCTCCTACACTCAAATCATGTGTTCTCCAGAAGCATGCGAGTGAGAATGTGTATGACCATGACCATCACCATGAGCCATCTGAGCATGAGGAATCAAATGCAAGAAAGCATCGCCTAACAGACCACCAGCACCTAAGGCTAGCAAGACTTTCAGCTTTTTGCTGCTGTTTTCATCTTCATTGGACTGAAATTATAATAATTTAGGTAGAATGTGTGATAAATTTATAGCGTGATGGTCGTCATGATCATGAGAATGACTATGTTCGTGGCTATGACCATGATCTGACACTGTATCTTCTCCACAAGGCGCCTAAACACAGAATCATAAAAAAATTAAAAAACATACCGCTTCTTTAATCTCTCGTCCATATTTCAAGTGAGGAGCTTCATGAGAATGTGAGTGAGCAAAAACAGCCACCAACAAGGCCACAAACAGGTCAGGCGACCCATAACTCCTGTAAAACAATATATTAATGTTTTAAATTACAAAACAAATAATTTATTGTCCAAAAGTAGTAGTAAAATTAATATATTGATGTAAATACCTTTAGATAGAACATTTGAAAGCTCGCATCCGCTTATTGGCTGTTAGAAATGTTATATTCAAAAAGACCGCTCTCTTATTCGCTCTGCGATATTACCCATTCATGAAAAGACCTTCAAACCCCCGATCAGATATGGAAAAGAACAACTATAACTCCAACTGCTATAACTCCGAAAATTTAGCAAATTTTTTAAACTGGTTTTATTTAAAAGTTAGTGAAGATACTAGTCTACATTCCCAAAAAATTTAAACCCGCAGTCTGTTTTTCCAAAAAAGTTATGATGCAAACCAATCTTCACCAACATCAACGAAAAATGTCAATATTGGTATCGAAAAACAGCTGTAACTTTAATTCCTTCTAATTTTAAACGCTGTTTTTGTCAAATACTAAACGAAAACACTCTAGTTTCGCCTTTCAAATGTAAATTTCGTTGACATTTACCTAAAAACCAACAAAACAAAGAAAATAACTCACGTCAACTCACATAACCCAGCTTTCCTGTATGAAATTAGACTGGCATAATATAAAAATGCAGAAAACATAAACTCGAAGTAAGCTTTTGCCAAAAACACAATAAAAAAATAACAAAAACAGCAAAAGTTTCGAGCTTCGAGCACATTTCTTGCCAAAACTCTCGAATAGGCTATTTTTGGCGTGCAAGTTGCGACCGAAGCTTTGCAAGCTGCGGGTTGCTTGATCAAAATGTTTTAAGGTTTTTTATGTAAAAAAGGTGTGGGAACGCATAAGAATTAAAATAATATACTAATAAAGAAATTTATATACAATATCTTATTTTTATAACCCAAGTTTAACCAAACGTTTAAGGTAATTATACCGGGAAAGGGAAATCTCGGGGAATGCGTTTTCGGGGAGTACATTTTCGGGGAGGAAGTTTTGGGGAATGGTATTTTCGGGGAATGTAATTTCGGGGAATAATATTTTCGGGGAGTGAACTTTTCGGGAAAAATTTTTAAAAAAATTTATAATATTTTGATATAGTTGTGAATGACTAAAAATAATTTGATTATATTAATTATATTATTAATATATAATGTATAACTAATATTCAAACTAAATAATTTAGTTCAATTGGAAGACTAAATCACATATTCCTTTTTTACCCTTACTGAATCACATACTGACCGAATCACATGTGCCTTTATTATCATGAACGTGACATCGTGCCGTGAACGTTGGCACTTTTGTGTATAGGTTTAATGTAAGGTCACATGATAAGTAGAGTACCGTGAAAGTTATTGTACCGTACCGTTCCGTGAACGTTCTAATTTTTATGTTTTTCAAGTACAATGATAACGATATCTTACTTTTACTCTCTGATATTTTTACGAAACCATTACAAAAACAGTAACATTATAACGTTCACGGCGCAGTACGATAATGTTCACGGTATTCTACTTATCATGTGACCTTACATTAAAAGTATACAAAAAAAGTGTCATAGGAACGTTCACGGTACGACGTCAACGTTCACAACAATTAAAGGAACATTTGATTCGGTCAGTATGTGATTCAGTCAGGGTAAAAAGGAATACGTGATTTAGTCAGGTGGGGATTCAGTCTTCCACCAATTATACTAAATTATTTGGTTTGAATATTAGTTATGCATTATATACTAATAATATAAAATATAATCAAATTATTTTTAGTCATTCACAACTATATCAAAATAATATAAATTTTTTTTAAAAAATTTTTTCCCGAAAAAGTTCACTCCCCCGAAAATATTATTCCCCGAAATTACATTCCCCGAAAATACCATTCCCCGAAACTTCCTCCCCGAAAATGTACTCCCCGAAAACGCATTCCCCGAGATTTCACTAACCCAATTATACCGCATTGTAAGTCAATTGAGGTTGGTTCGAGGCGTAGTGGGGATCTGTGTAGCGTTTTCCCTACAATAATATTGGTTTGAAATGGCAATATTACCCTATGCCCTACCGTACTCTAACCCCTACCGTACTCTAACCCCTACCGTACCCTAGGCCCTGCCGTACCCTAGGCCCTGCCGTACCCTAGGCCCTGCCGTACCCTAGGCCCTGCCGTACCCTAGGCCCTGCCGTACCCTAGGCCCTGCCGTACCCTAGGCCCTGCCGTACCCTAGGCCCTGCCGTACCCTAGGCCCTGCCGTACCCTAGGCCCTGCCGTACCCTAGGCCCTGCCGTACCATAGGCCCTGCCGTTCCCTAGGCCCTGCCGAACCATAGGCCCTACCTTACCCTAGACCCTACCGTACGCCAAACCCTACCGTACTTCCCAATCCTATCGTAAACCTAAGCTCGACCGTACCCTATGCCCTACCGTACTCTAGGCCTTACTCTACTCTACCCTACTTTACAGTATCATGCCTTAGACTACAGTAGTCTACCCTACTTGCGTGAACCTAAACACTAGACCCTACCATAAGATGTATCATACCCTACTGTAAAATAAGCATTACTGTATTCTAAGCACTACAATATTCTCAACCTTACAATAACATACGTTCTACCGTATCCCAAAGCCTTGCCGGTCCTTACCTGCGAACTAATCGGATAGGACAAGCCGTGGCACAAGTGAACACCAGCGTTGATTTGGAGAAAGTGTTGCCGGTATTAGTCAAGTCATGTTTTGCCAACCAAGGAGAGATTTTTTTGTGCACAAGCCGGCTTTTTGTGCAACGGTCCGTGTACGACTCGTTTATGGAACAGTTCATTGCTCAGGCTTCGAAGGTGGGTTCGGTTTGGATTTGGTATTGGTGGTACTGTTTTGTAGAACCAGTACTATTTTTGGTACTATAATTGGCGCTAGATGTAAAAATAGTACGTTATCTAGTACTACATTTGGGACTAGATATAAAAATAGTATCTTATTTTGTACTACATTTTGTACTAATTTTTAAAAACAGTACCGTATTTAGTACTATATTCGGAACTAGATTGTAAAGACAGTACTATTTTTGATACTAAGTTCAGTACGAGATATGAAAAATAGCACTATATCTAGTACTATTATAGCTGTTATACAAAATTTTAAAAGAGTACCAAACGTAGTACTATACTTCGGAATATAGTAATGATTTTGGTACTAAAATTACCAAAAAATTACAATTTTAGTACTATTTTTCGGTACTGGGTTGTAAAAAATAGTACTATTTAGAGTGTCTAATTTAGCAGTTGTTGAAGAACTAGTATTAATTTTTAGTACCAAAACTAATGCACAGTTGTATAAGTAGTACCAAAGTTTTTAGAAGACGTTAATAACCGTATTTTAAAAAAATTTTTATTTTTTAGCTAAAAGTTGGAAACCCAAAAGATTGTGTCATTGATTTGGGAGCACTGGTCAGTAAACCACATTATGATAAAGTGGCATCTTACATTTCATTGGTTGAACAAGACGGATTGGCTGTACATTGTGGAGGGCCGGTGAGGCTGCAAGGCCCTTTAAGTACTGTAAGTTAGCTTTAATTTTTCTTTAAATTGTAACTCATTCTACCCTAGGCCCTACCGTACCCTAGGCTTTACCGTACTCTAGGCCTTACCGTACTCTAGGCCCTACCGTACCCTATGCCCTACCGTACCCTAGACCCTACCGTACCCTAGGCCCTACCGTGTTTTAGGCCCTACCGTACCCTAAGGCCTAACCTACCCTAGGCCCTACCGTACCCTAGGCCCTACCGTACTCTAGGCCCTACCGTACCCTAGGCCCTACCGTACCCTAGGCCCTACCGTACCCTAGGCCCTACCGTACCCTAGGCCCTACCGTACCCTAGGCCCTACCGAACCCTAGGCCCTACCGTACCCTAAGGCCTAACCTACCCTAGGCCCTACCGTACCCTAGGCCCTACCGTACCCTAGGCCCTACCGTACCCTAGGCCCTACCGAACCCTAGGCCCTACCGTACCCTAGGCCCTACCGTACCCTAGGCCCTACCGTACCCTAGGCCCTACCGTACCCTAGGGCCCTACCGTACCCTAGGCCCTACCGTACCCTAGGCCCTACCGTACCCTAGGCCCTACCGTACCCTAGGCCCTACCGTACCCTAAGCCCTACCGTACCCTAAGCCCTACCGTATCCTAGTCCTTACCGTATTTTAGGCCCTACCGTACCCTAGGCCCTACCGTACCCTAGGCCCTACCGTACCCTAGGCTCTACCGTACCCTATGCGACCCTGCTTTACTCTACCCTACCTAACTTTAACCTACCCCCTCCCACATTATCCTAAGCTTATTGTAACTTATACCCCATCGTTCATAAGATCTCTAGTACAGTGAAACTTTTTCCAGGGCTACTACATAGCGCCTACGGTAATCTCCGGTGCCTCGGACGAGTCTCGTTTAATGAAGGAAGAAATTTTCGGACCGGTCGTATGTGTGTCAGCCTTTGACACCGCCGATGAAGTTGTAAAGCGAGTGAATTCAAGTGAATACGGTCTTTCCGCTACTGTATGGAGTCAGTCCGTTGATAACTTGACTACCGTAGCTAACTGACTACGTGTTGGTACTGTGTGGTGCAATTGCTGGCTGGTACGAGACCTGGCTATGCCATTTGGAGGTACGAAACAGTCTGGCTAAGAAAGGGAGAGCACTGAGGATTCACTTCATTTTTATACTGAACAAAAAACTGTCTGTATTAAATTACAGTAACAAAATTATTTTTATAATAAACTACAGTATTTTACACTGTAAAACGTTTTGTATATCTTTAAATTACAGTAAAACATTCTTTAAAGAAATAAACAGTTGTTTTAAAGAGGTTGTTATATACGCTATCTTAAGCCTACTCTACTCAAGAAATGTTTTAAACATACATTTATTTATTTATATATCTATTTATTGCACACTCATATAACTATATCATATAGAACAATAATTAAAAATATTATGATGTACGGGCCCCAGTGGGCTGATCCTTTAAGTGTTTTAGATATCTAATATATAATAAATTTGTTCTTTGAGAAGACTTACAATGCGGTATAATTACCTTAAACGTTTGGTTAAACTTGGGTTATAAAAATAAGATATTGTATATAAATTTCTTTATTAGTATATTATTTTAATTCTTATGCGTTCCCACACCTTTTTTACATAAAAAACCTCAAAACATTTTGATCAAGCAACCCGCAGCTTGCAAAGCTTCGGTCGCAACTCGCACGCCAAAAATAGCCTATTCGAGAGTTTTGGCAAGAAATGTGCTCGAAGCTCGAAACTTTTGCTGTTTTTGTTATTTTTTATTGTGTTTTTGGTAAAGCTTACTTTGAGTTTATGTTTTCTGCATTTTTATATTATGCCAGTCTAATTTCATACAGGAAAGCTGGGTTATGTGAGTTGACGTGAGTTATTTTCTTTGTTTTGTTGGTTTTTAGGTAAATGTCAACGAAATTTACATTGGAAAGGCGAAACTACAGTGTTTTCGTTTAGTATTTGACAAAAACAGTGTTTAAAATTAGAAGGAATTAAAATTACAGCTGTTTTTCGATACCAATATTGACATTTTTCGTTGATGTTGGTTGAGGTAAGCGAACGCCTAAACCCATATCCACCAACCTCTCCAACCACATGGTCTCATTAATCTTACAATTTGCGTATCTTTAGTAAAGTAATATTATTTGTTAATGTCAGAAGGTATATTTATCCCCAAATTGGATTGTTTCACCTTCTTGTTCTTAGTAAACCCTCCACAAGACTAGGTATTGGTGGTTTCGAGATGAAAAGGCCTGGTATCTTGAGTGTTTTGATGTGTTAACGGTTCGAATAGGTAAGATATTGTAGTATTTTTTCTGTAGAGTAATTTAAGATCAAACAGTAGATGGTTAAGATATTTTTAAACTGTGAAAACACTAAAATCTAGTATAATATCGCCTACAAAGCTTCAGAAGAAAAAAAGGCTTGTGTCTTGAGTGTTTTGATATTTTAAAAGTCTGAATAGGTTAGAAAATCTCAATATGGCTCAAAATATACAACCGCGTTGGTAAGAAATAAATCAAATAAAAATATTTTTTGGAAATAAAAATTCTCAAAGAATTAATCGATAACATTGGAAAACCCGCGAAAAAATTTCATTCAAAAAAATTCAATGAACGGTTCCTTTAAATATCGCTTAAAATACTAATTCTACCTAAAAGTCGAACAAAACTAAAAAATAGTAAACTAAGGTATTCGCCCTGTGGTTACGAAAAATTAGTAGCGACATTCCTATTACCGACCTTCTCCTCGACCACAAACGAAGCTCCAATAGCCACCATTTAACTCCCCCACTGCCTAGTGGGATACACATCCCTGGCCTCATAAGTTCCAGACTCTAGTTCTTTGTAGTCAATTCGAAGACCATCGATGACGTTTCTTGTTTCTCCCAGGTCATCAGTGTGGTCAATATCGTAATGTTCTGCGTAGGGTTTGATGAAAGCTTTACGGGTGTAAAGCTTTTGGCAGCCATTTCTGATCTCGTCCAAAACGTCCACGAATCCCGTGTGATTAGCTAGAAGAAGACCATTTACACGATTTGTACGTGTTTTGTGCGTTGCCGGCGGAACCCGTATGTAACGGTTTCCTCGTGGGTTAGTCGGTATAAACCTAAAAATTGTTTTTAAATTAGTTTAAAGCGTCAAAAAATTCATAAAACTTTAAAAAATAGACGAAAAATCATTAAAATTACCGAAAGGCAGCAGAAAAACGAATTAAAAACGCAATAACTTTTTCCAAAGCAAAAAATGGTAATAACTTTCTTTACAAAACAAAAAATGACAATAACTTTCTTTACAAAACAAAAAATGGCGAAAACTTTCTTTACAAAACAAAAAATGGCAAGAACTTTCTTTACAAAACAAAAAATGGCAAAAACTTTCTTTTCAAACAAAAAAAATAAAAAAAACTCACAAATCTCTATACTTCTCCCTCGCATCTTTGCCAATCCGAATCACATCAATATCCTCTTTTTGTCCTTCGAATACGACCACTCCAGCAATGATGTATCTCGGGTCTCTGGTCGAGTTCGTAGCCGAAATCATCAGCGACTTTGGTTAGAGAAGGCGTCGCAATGTATCTGTGGCTGTGGTTTTTGCTGTTATCGGCCTACCGGGTATGTTAAATGGGAATAGGGCTGAAATGTTGAAACATAATATTTTGAAGTTTATCCAGGCCTAGGTCTTACACTGCCCAAGGCCTTACCATGCTCTAGTCATTCTGATACCCTAAGTTACCATGCCCTAAGCCTTACCATGCCCTAGGCCTTACTATACCTTAGACTTTACCGTGCCTTAAGCTTTATCATGCCCTAGGCTTTACCACGCCCTAAGCCTTACCATACTCTAGATTTTACCACGCCCTTAATATAACTACGCCACGGACCTTAGCACAGTATCTTACTACTGAAATAACAATACTGTAGTTTACTACTGAAGCCGTACCTAGACCCTATTATACTTGCGTACTGTATCCTTTAGTAGATTATTATAGCATAACTTGAATATCGTACCATACCCTAGCATTCACGAACTTTATCTTACCTTAGCTTCTCTATTCTAACCCACTATACTCTGCCTTATCCTGCTCTCCCGTATAACCCCACTTTGCTTTACCCTGCTTAACTCTACCATACTCCCCGTCCCACCACTTACCGGTACCAATAAAGTGTACGGGCTGAAATGGGCACAGTTCTACAACTTGTTCCATGAAGGTATCACACGATGTACTACCATTCCTTATTGGTGCTGTAGCCATGTTCATTATTTCAGAAACCACTTTGTTCATGTCTTCGAAGGTAGTGCCCATTTGGCTCAAAGCCTTGTTATCCACTACCGTCACCATATCTGCGTATAATGTGTGCTGAGATACTGCCAGCATTGCGTTGTATGTCTGGAGGACATTATTAGATTCGTCTTTGACCGGGAAAACTGAGTAGGTTTGGACCATCTTCTTGGGATATCTGAAATAAGGTCAAATTAGAAATATCATTTTTGCACTTTTATATGACGAAAAAAGACATTGTTTCCCAAAAATGTCAATTTAAATCAAAAAATGTCATTTTTAGGTAACAAATGTCATATTATGACAAACATTTCGTTTTTAGGTAACAAATACCATTTTTCAAACTTTTTTAGTTTAAAATGTCGTTTTTTGACGAAAATATCCATTTTAGATCTAAAAATATCATTTTTAGGTAACAAATGCCATTTTTCAAAATTTTTTATTGTAAAATGTCATTTTTTGACAAAAATATCCATTTTAGATCAAAAAATGTCATTTTTAGGTAACAAATCCCATTTTTCATTTTTTTTTCGCCAAATGGCATTTTTTAACAAAAATTTTATGTTTAGGTAACAAATACCATTTTTCAAACTTTTTTAGTGTAAAATGTCATTTTTTTGACAAAAATATCCATTTTAGACCTAAAAATGTCATTTTTAGGTAACAAATACCATTTTTCAAACTTTTTTAGTGTAAAATGTCATTTTTTGACAAAAATATCCATTTTACATCTAAAAATGTCATTTTTAGGTAACGAATGTCATATTATGACAAACATGTCGCTTTTAGGTAGTAAATGCCATTGTTTACCAAAAATGTCAATTTAGATCAAAAAATCTCTTTTTTTAGGTAACAAATGCCAATTAAAAACAAAAAACCCAGTACCTAAAATAAGGTCAGGTTATAATTGTCATTTTTAGGTAGAAAATGCCGTTTTTCAAACTTTCAGTGCAAAATATCACTTTTTGACAAATATATTCATTTTAAATCAAAAAATGTCGTTTTAGGTAATAAAAAACCTACGCATCCCTGAGCGACTCCAACAATCGCGAGCCCATCCCGCTACCGGTTCCTCCGCTAACCGAGTGGGTCAACATGAAACTTTCAATTTTGTCCGACGCTTCGGCTTCCCGTTGTACGATGTCCATTAAAGACTTCATGGCTTCGGAGCATTTGTTGTATCCACCTGAATATGTGTTTCCTGATCCACCACCGTCACTGGCCAAGTAGACGTTTTCTGGGTTGTAGACACCACCGTATTCACTGGCCTGAATCATTGATAGTACTCGGGGCTCCAAGTCAGCCATTATACCCCGGTATATATACCTTCCCGAGTCGCTCTGAAAAAGTTATTGAATTTAAAGAAAAATTGTTTTGTAAAGAAAGTTTTTGCCATTTTGTGTTTTGTAAAGAAAGTTCTTGCCATTTTAAGCTTTGTAAAGAAAATTTTTGCGTAAAAACCAAAAAGCAATATTTTTGTACTTTGGAAAAAAATTATTACCGCTTTCAATGCTTTTTCGTCCAAAAACTAGTTTAATCGTGTACTTGTCACACACAAGCTATTTATATAGAAAAGCCATCTTCTTTGGATTTGTAAAGAAAGTTTTTGCCCCCTTTATAGTTTGTAAAGAAATCTCTTATGACGCATAATGATAGTACGCTCTTACATAAAGATCGACAAAGACCAAGCAAACTCAACTTACCAAATCAAAAAACAATTCTCGTCCATCCAGCATGTCGTTCTGAACTGAGAAGATTTCTTTGCCAATACCATGATCCGTACACAATTCTTCAACTAACGCTTTGCCCATTCGGTTTCCGCACTGTCCAACGTGTATTGGAATCATCGCCTATAACATAAACAAAATTTAAAAATGGCTTCAACATGAAAACATAGTTATAAAATCGACCGAAATCACGAAAAAAGATATCAACCAAAAAATTCAAAAAAAATAAAAAAATCGGTCAAAAATTAATAAAAAAATCGTAAATCAACAAAAAAAATTTTAAAAATTCAAAAAAATAAAAAAAAATCAATCAAAAATTTAAAAAAAATCGTAAATCAACAAAAAAAATTTTAAAAAGTCAAAAAAATCAATCAAAAATTAAAAAAGTCTAAATCAACCAAAAATCAAAAAAATGTTAGTATTAAACTACAAAACTGGTTAGAAATCAACCAATAAACATTAAAAAATGCCATTTTTAGTCCAACACAGCTCAGGAACAAACTTTAGTCAATACAAGAAATATAGATGACTATAATATATTATGATAAACCTTGTCCACAACCATAAATGATCAAAAAATCCATAAAGTATGATATATTGTTGTCCAAATATTTAGTTTGCTATTCAAAATTTTATAAAAATCAAATTTTTTTTTTGATTTTTGCACCGTGCAGGAGACAAAACGTCACTGGGCCGTGCAAAAAAACTTCAAATCCTTCCCATACCTTACTCATAGTCCTAATAACCTCCTTAACCAAAGTCCTATTCATACAAAGATCAAATACATGGCAAATACGCCCAATGTCATAGCCAAAACCTCAGCAGTCCTGGAATAACTGACACTGCGGCGATGTAGATGAATCCACCAGCTGTGAATGGCAATACCCATGAAGATTAAGCTTGTTCAGCCAAGGAGAACGGATCTGACGAGGCACAGGCGATGAAACAGCCAGCTAGGGCTCCAATGGTTGTTAGGAGTTGGATCAGCATGGCCTAGAAATAGATGATTTTATATTTGTAAAGAAAGTTGTTGCAAAAACCCAAAACATATTAAAAAGCCTATTTTCTACCTTTGTAAACAAAGTTAATGCCAAAAAGTTAATTTCTGCACCGTGCAGCGCCATTTGTCTTCGTTGCACTGTGCGAAAGCGCGATCCCGTCCGATCTGGCAAGTTAAGCAACGGTGCGCATGATTATAAAAGTTCGAGAAACCCTACGTGTAAATAAAGTTTTTGACGGTTTATTATATTATAACATACCTAATAAAAAATTTGTCATATTATACGTTGTAAAGAAAATTTTTGCTATTTTTTGTTTTGTAAACGAAGTTCTTGCTTTGTAAAGAAAGTTCTTACAATTTTTCAGTTTGTTAAATCCTTACCTTCCTTTTGGAGTATCCTGATTGAACCAAAATGGCAAATCTCCAATTTCATGCGGAATTTCGTGGATCAGTACTGTGATCATAGTATCTAAAATGATATTTTATTAAATATTTTCCCCTTCAACCATAAATTTTTTAAAATTCTTAAATTAAAAAACTTTTAAATCCTTATTTCCAACAAAAAATGCCAAAACTTACTGATGCCAACCTTTTCTCCGGCCACAAACGACGTTCCAATAGCCAAACCATCGGTAAAGTTGTGCATGAAATCAGCGATCAGATTCAAATAGGCAGCGATTTGAAGTCGGGCAGCACGATGTTGTTCATGATGCTTCTTTTCATCTTCTTCTGAATGTTCTGTGTCTGAATTCTTGTCTTTCTTAGATACTGACTCCTTATCGTGTTGAGCTGAAAAAATTGAGGTTAACGAAAGATTCTGAAGTGTGGCAAACTTCTAAAGCAAAATTTTTGATTTAGCAAGCTCCCAAATGCTTTTCTTTATCGTAAGACTCTTCAAAATCATAATTTTCACCGTCAAACCTCCTTTACATCTTCCACCCAACCAAAAACCTCGATAAAAGTTAGAATCCCCACCTTTCTTTTTTCCAGAATCCTTTCGTGGACCGTGACCGCCTTCTCCTTTCACAATTCGAACAAACTTCTCCACGACAAAGAAGATGAAGAATCCGCCCAACACCCATCCTCCTAAACTCAAATCATGTGGTTCGTGAAGTTCTCCAGAGGCATGTGAGTGAGAATGAGTATGATCATGACCGTCACCATGAGCCATCTGAGCATGAGGAATCAAATGCAAGAAAGCATCGCCTAACAGACCACCAGCACCTAAGGCTAGCAAGACTTTCAGCTTTTTGCTGCTGTTTTCATCTTCATTGGACTGAAATTATAATAATTTAGGTAGAATGTGTGATAAATTTATATTGTTTTAGATGGAGCTCCTCTTTCCAGGCCAAACTCTTTAATTTCTTAACCTTAAACAACATATACTATTAGAAACAACAATAAAAACAACTAAACGATCCTTAAAAACCCGTTTAATATCTAAAAGCACCCAAAAACTTACGTTAATTGGAATAAACGTCAAGATATAGCAGGGGAACAAGCTGATAAGCACTGTAGATCCAATAGAAAAGGTCCAGAATCGCTTTTGTGGATCGTTCAAGAAAGCCAATGGTCTGAAAGTTCTCAATTATCATAAAAGCCTTGACAATTTCAAAAAACATCAAAAATCTATTAAACTATATTATTTTAGCCATCAGACCCTTTAAATCTAAAAGATAATGTAAAAACACTTACTCAGTTTTCGAGAACTTGTAATCCACATCAACAGGCTTCTTATGTTCATGTGCATGTCCATGATGCTCGTGAGCATGACCGTGCTCGTCATGACCATGTGAATGAGCATGTTCATCATGATGATGTTGGTGATCATCATGGTGGTCATCGTGATGATGAGCATGTTCATGATGTTCGTGATCATGGTCGTGATCATAATGGTCGTCATGATCATGGGAATGACCATGTTCGTGGCTATGACCATGATCTGACACTGTATCTTCTCCTCGAGCCGCCTAAACACAGAAATTCAACAAAAAACAAGTAAAACATACCGCTTCGTTAATCTCTCGTCCATATTTCAAGTGAGGAGCTTCATGAGAATGTGAGTGAGCAAAAACAGCCACCAACAAGGCCACGAAGACTAAAAGCGAGGTCAGGCGGCTCATAGCTCCTGTAAAACAATATATTAATGTTTTAAATTACAAAACAAATAGTTTATTGTACAAAAGTAGTAGTAAAATTAAAATGTTACCTAAAATTTCAAATTGTCTAATGTTACCTAAAATCTCCGCCTCAAAAACAAGTATTACCTAACATCTCTCCCTCAAACCAAAGTCGAGATTGCTCTGACATTTGATATATATTGATGTAAATACCTTTAGATACAACAATTTAAAACTCGCATCCGCTTATTGGCTGTTAGAAATAGTATAATCTATAAACATCGCTCTCTTATTCGCTCCGCGATATTACCCATTCATGAAAACCCCTTCAAAAGTAATTTTTCTCATGTTGATCGCAAATAAGTCTGATCTAAAATATGAAAAACCTATACTAACATAAAATTAAAATGCAGAAAACATAAACTCGAAGTAAGCTTTATCAAAAACACAGTAAAACAATAACAAGAACAGCAAAAGTTTCGAGCTTCGAGCACATTTCTTGTCAAACTCTCGAATAGGCAATTTTTGGCGTGCGACTTGCGACCGAAGCTTTGCAAGCTGCGGATTGCTTGACCGCAATGTTTTGAGGTTTTTTATGTAAAAAAGGTGTGAGAACGCATAAGAAGTAAAATAATACGCTAATAAAGAAATTTATATACAATATCCTATTTTTAAAACCCAAATTTAACCAAACGTTTGGATTCCTGAACCGGAAGAGCGATTTTGAAGTCTGTAACAACAGTATTTCATGATTAATATTTATTTTTCATTAATATAATCTAAAATATCTCAATAATAGATCAATATTGACAAACAAAACACAAAATAATCAAAAATTATTTCAATCTTTGTTTGGTTTAAAGTAAATCCGACGTTTCAGGACTCGTAGAAGCTGAGTATGTCTTCTTCTTGCAGATATACCGGCTTATTCAATGGTACCCCATATGCGTAACATTGTTCGAGCTCAACGAAACTGGTCATTATGTCTAACCGTCGTTTTCTTGCTTCAAAATAAGTCGGCATAATGTGTCATACAATCTCTTGACATTCGGATAGTCTGGCATTGATGAGGAACAGAGAGAATGTCCTGGAATCTGCAAAAAAAGGTTCAAAATGATAAAGTTATTCTTATAAAAAGTTGTATTACATAATATATTCATCTAATATTAACTTAAAAAGACGTTAACGTTGCACTTACTTTTCAGCCCAGTATCGTTAAACTTCAGGCCAAACTGGATCTTCCTTCGAACTCGCCTTCTTTGTCCCTAAATTCATCATTGGAGGCAATCGCTTCATTGTAGGTTTCGGCCGTGTTCAGAATCACTCAATCATCATCAACCGTATCAGGCACTATATGAAATGTTCATTAGTTGAAACCTGCTTAAAAATGTTGAAGTTAATGTCAGTTTGATAAATATAAATTTTTTTTATAAATACTACAATGTTTTTTGAAAGAAAGAACTGTTTAAAATGTTATATGAGTAAAAACCATACCTCGGTGACGAAGTATTATAGTAGTCCGCCATCCGTGCATACATGTAATAGTCTTTCAAAGTGATGTAGCTAAATCCTTTCGAAAGATAGATTTAGTCAGTTTCTTGGAAAATCCCGGTGAATTCCAATCATTGTTCGTCTACGGTGCGGTCGTGTAAATCTTTTGGTCATATTGATCGCTAATTTATTGTCTATTTATCGTAAAATAAATCGTATTATTTTCTATTTGGTCGTATCTTCGTTATTGTATCTTACTGTCTACTTTCTTTATCATTTCATCGTATATTATTTTAACCTTTGACGTAAACTCGAGTTACTGTATTGTTTAAGTAGTTAAATTAAGTTATACCGTACTTTTACTGTTGATCTGACTAGCGTTGATATGATTTATCGACATGGCGACCACCAGAGCCTCTCAAGCAAGTCGATCATACGCTACTGGGGTACCTAGAAATGACCCATCAGATCAAATATCGGTTACAAGGTTGAGCACTTCCGTTCGCGGAATTGATAAGGCTCCCAGACAAAGGTTGAACACTTCCAGAAATGGAATTGATGAAGCTCCCGATTCACAGTTGAGCACTTCCGCTTGCGGAATTGAAGAAGCTCCTGTTAAGTTTAACTCTTTGAAGTTTCAAAGACCAATTACGAGATGGTTAAATAACCTTGATTCTGAGTTATCAGCTGCGTATCAGCTTTGGGACAATTCTGAGACAGAAATCTTTTCCCCAGCCGTAACGGTTATGAAAAAGAGCGCCTTGGCCATTGAATTATCTAATTACATCAAAACAGCCAAAGGTTTAACTTCTAAAATTGATAACGGCATCAATGAATGGAAACAAAAAGTAGCAAATTCAGTAGCCAAAGAAAAAAGGCTCGTAGAATACGGTAAAATCACAGAGTACTGCTAAAGTCACAAATACCAGGATTTATGTTACGATTTGTCAGAACTCTCGACCAAAGTAAAAAAGTTAAAGGCACATATCAATGGACTTGGCCAAACAACGGCTATCAAAACTTCTTTATCATCTCGACCTTCTTCTCGTATTCAAACAAAAGTTGGTGCTTCTGAATCCCAATCAATCCTTGTTCGTACCCAAGCTGACAAACAGACAAAATCTTCAGATACTATTGAAACAGTGGAAAAAATTCGTGCTTCTTTAACTCAAAATCATTCTTTTGGTGTAAAAATTGACAAAAAAAGTAATAAGCCAAAGAAAAAACTTATTCAGACGGTGACCTCTTCTTCGAGCAAATCAACACAAAATCGCTCCCCTTCTCCTATTTTTGACGGAAGTTCCGCCTCTTTCTTTGCGTCGCCATACCCTCAGAAGCCAAAAAAGGCCGAAACTAAAGTTTTTTCAACAGCACAAAGAAAATACAAAGTGTGTCAATTACCACCCATTAATGATATACCTAAATTTTCGGGTGAACTACACGAATTTCCAAGCTTTTGGGATTACTGGGAAATACACGTTCACAACCAGCCCGCTATTCCAAGTGAAAAGCTGATACGTTTGAAGCATGCCTTAGCAGGAAGTCCTGTCGAACATCTTGTAGCCAACATACGATTTACTGAAGCCCAATACGACACAATTATTAAGTCTCTCAAATCAAGGTTTAACAAACCTGATGATATCATTAATTCGTTCTTGACAGAATGGCAGAACTTGGAGCCACCTAATCCAAAATCAAGTCAAGACATCTATACCTTCGCTGACAACATTCAGAACATCAAAAATCATTTACAATATTATAACACAGAAATACCCAAATGTTTGTCACAACCAGTATTCCAGTCGTTAGCCCCGCATCTACGGGAAATGATCACGGTACGGTGCGAATTCAAAAAAAAGACAAGTACAATATTGACGACCTGGCTTCAGTTTTACACGAAATCGCTCATGAACTACGCGTTATGCCATCGAAACAAAAGCAAACAGCGGCCAAATACGAACATCGTACCTCACAAGTACAAATTGAAAGTCGTACGAACAATACCAAACCAATTTCATATTTATTTTGTGAGGGTTCACACAAATCCTATTCTTGTCGAAAAATTTCAACTCGGGAAAGCAGAGTGGAGAAACTCAAATCATTAAAAAGGTGTTTGAAATGTTTAAAAACGGGTCATTTAGCCAATTCATGCCCGAATCCGGCAACTTGTTTTAATTGCAAAAGCCCTCATCCTTCGGCTCTTTGCCACAAAAATTGTCAGTCTGGTTCACAAGAGTTAAATCGTAGTAACCAACACAGTATTACTTGGCCAAACACAATCACTGCTCAAAAAATCGCCGAACAGAACAACAACAGAAATTCAGAAAATGTTATACCTAACCATCATATCGCCAACAACAACATCAATACTGGCTTCCTTTATCTTCCAGTCATTGCATCAGGCGAAGTATCTGTTAATACAAAGTTGTTCATAGACACAGGGTGTCAAGCCAATCTCATACGGTTTTCAACCGCAAACAAACTCAAATTAGAGTTGACAAACCCGAAAGTTATCACATTAAAAACAATCGCCGGTTATCGATCTTCTCAATCCTATTCAGTATCAGTCAATCTATACAAAATTACCGACATCGAAAAGTTACAGTCTATCCAATTAGCAGCTATCGTTGTTGAAGACGAGATATTTGAATCATTAAGTGTAGACGTAAATAACGACGAAATCAGCGTCATTATTGGTGCCAGTGGAGCTGCTTATATAAAACTGAATCTGTCAGCCAAATCCACCGTTGATGGCAAAACACTGTATTCTACGGCATTAGGACCAATTCAATTATCACCTCAAGTATCGACTTCTGCTTCGATCTATGAAATCCATCACATGATAAATCTTGACGCAAACAATCCATTCGAATTGCTTCGAGACTTTGAAATAGCCAAATACAGTATTTGGACGGACAGTTTAGGCATTACTAAGGCCGACACACAATCCAAAAGAGAAAACGACATCGAAACTACAAGTTTTGTGTTGGAAAACATCAAACAAAACAAAATCACTGGTCGATATGCTGTACCCTTACCCTTCAAAACCTCAGAAGTAAAAATTTTAACAGACTTCAAACACTGTTATGGTCGATTAATCTCTTCAGTCAAATTTTTGAACCAAAAACCACATTTGAAAGAAGCTTATCATAAAAATTTTATGGATTACATCAAAATGGACATTATTGAACCATGTAAATATCATGATAACGACACAATCAGATGTCGTTATATTCCTCATTTACCTATTGAAAGACCTGGACATTTAACCACTCCAGTTAGAAATGTGTTTGACGCGTCAGCTCGAGATTCTGAAGGCAAATCTTTGAATTCAGAACTAAATCAAGGTTTTACGTTATTACCGGATCTTTCTGACATTTTGATTCGTACAAGACTGTACAAATATTTATCAAGTAGTGACCTTGAAAAAGCCTTTCTGATTGTGGAGATCCTCCCAGAATATCGTGATTCAACTCGTTTTTTATGGATTAAAAACCCAAATCAGCCAGTTTCGATGAAAAACCTTCAAATTTTTCGTTTTAAAAGAGTGACTTTTGGTCTTATTTGCAGTCCCTTATTGTTAGCTACAACTATACACCATCATTTATCAAAATTTTCATCGGAACTCGGTGCAGAAACATTAAAAGATATTATTTCTATGCTTTACGTAGACAATGTTTTTTTCGGATCAAACGATGAAGCAGAAATGATAAAAGTATCTTTACAACTCAAAACCATTTTTCACAAAGCAGCAACGAATTTACGAGAATTTTGTTCAAACAGCCAAAAATTGATGGGCCAAATTGAGCCAAAAGACAAAACAGAAGGTAACATCCAAAAAGTTCTGGGATTAAAATGGAACATTTCGACAGATTGTTATTCAATTTATCCCAAAACTCCTCCAAATCAAATTTCAAACAAACGAGATCTCTTAAAATTTCAAATGACTACATTTGACCCATTAGGTCTTATATCTCCAGCCTTATTACCTTTCAAAAGACTATCTCAAAAGGCAATGTCTATGAACTCCAGCTGGGACGAAGCATTACCAGAAGACATTACCACACAATTTCTTGACTTAAAAAATCAATGGTCAAATGAACCAGTAAACTTTCCACGTTGGTTTGGTACACCACCATACGATATTCATGTTTTTTGTGACGCAAGTCAATTTGGAGTTGTCGTGTATGCAGTTAATACTAACCTCTCCCTCTCAAATATCATTATCGCTAAAAGTAATGTCGCTCCAACTAATTTAGTTGGTACTATTCCAAAACTTGAATTATTGAGCATTGAAACAGCTGTCAGAATCCTTTCTACAGTACAAAACTGCATGAAAAATCAAATTAGAACTTGTCATTTATGGAGCGATTCTGAGATTGCACTAAAATGGCTTCAGAATTCCGATTCAAAAAAACCTCGATTTGTAGCGAACAGAGTACAAAAGATCAAACAGTTAACGTCAAAATTTTCACAAAAATTACAATTTCACCATGTAAACGGTACTTCAAACCCAGCAGACATTGCAAGTAGAGGTGAAAACCTTATCAAATTACAAAACAACAAACTTTGGTATCATGGGCCTGATTTTTTAACTCAAAATCCAATTACGTGGAGGAATACGATAAACTTTTACCTTCCAGTACAACAAATCGAAGTCCACAATGTTACAGTACAACACGAAGATATGTTTTTAAATTTGTGGCCAGAATTTATCAGATTGTTCGAAAACACAGAGAAAACGTTTGAATCTTTCATTAATACTCACGACCTATTTCCAAAATTCAAAGAAAAGATCACACAACTACCAAATACGTTTGCTCAAGCCTTATTCTTAGAGCAACAAACTCGTCCTCCGAATCGTACTCAAATTAAAAATTGGAACCTAATTCAAGACTCGTACGAATTATGGTATATCAGTTCAAGAATCCAAAACGATTCAATAACATATCGATCCAGTAATCCATACTTTATCAATCAAAAATCTGAGTTAATCAACATCATTATCAGACAGATACATGACAAATTAGGTCACATGAATTCGAGAAATACATTAGCTACAATTAGAACTTTTATGTGGTTTCCTCACGCCGCAAAATGTATTACACGTCGTATAATTGACGCTTGTCCCAACTGCGCTCTTGACAGAGAAAAATTTGTAGTCGGATCGGATTCAATTTGCATAAATTGAATCATTTCAATCCGATTCTCATTTTACATTCAGTCTTCTCGTTCGTTCCACCGCCGATCGGTCGGAATCTTCGTTCATCAAGGCTCATCTTTTGGCCGCCGATCGGTCTCTTTGCAACATATTCGGTATGTGTTTAATCTTGATTTGAATAAATCTTTCGTATTGTGATTATCGTATTATTTGTAACGTTATATTGAGTTGAAGTCTTGAGTTATACCTTTATTACACTTTGATCTAACCCTGGCAAGACTAATCTTTCTACATGGCGACCGCTCGAACTTTACACGCGGAAAAGTCTTTAGCCACTTGTGTTTCTCGTTCTGAAGACACATCAGATCAAAGTAGTATTATAGGTCGACGGTTGAGCACTTCCGTTCGCGGAATTGAGAAAGCTCCCGCTTCAAGGTTGAGCTCTACCAGAAAAGGTACTGTGGCTCCCAGACAAAGGTTGAACACTTCCAGAAATGGAATTGAGAACGCTCCCTCATACCAGTTGAGCACTTCCCGCAGAGGAATTGATAAAGCTCCTGATGTACTCGACTCCTCATCGTTTAAACGAGTAGTTACTCGTTGGATCAAATATCTTGATCTTGAGCTAGCACAAGCTTTTGCGCTTTATGAGAAAGCAGAGGACGAGATTTGCTCTCCCAAAATTTCAGTCATTAAGAAAAGCTCTTACGTTATTGATTTATCGCAGCATGCCAAAAATGCTAAAGTCTACATTGAGAAGATTGACAATTCCATAAACGAATGGAAGAAGAAAGTCAAAAGCTCAGTAAACGAAAGTCTCCGACTGAGAGAGTACGGTAAAATTACCGAATATTGTGAAAAGCACAATTATCCAATTTTGTGCCAAGATTTCTCGAATATTGCCAAGAAAGTAAGGCACATGAAATCTTACGTCAACGGGCTTGGAAATTCGCCAAAAAGCCAATCTTCAATGTCGTCTCGACATTATTCGCGTCAAAATGTTGACAAAGATACCGTTGTATCACATTCGGCAGAAAGACAAAGTAATGACTATATCCCTTCTTCTGATACGATCGAAAATTCAGAAAAAACGCGGAAATCTCTGTCAAAAAGCCATTCGCAAGGCTTCGGTAGCCAAATCAGTCGTCATTCTGAAAAAAGTAAGCCTAAAGTGGCTTCAGATTCTACATCTCGTCGTTCAGAGAGCAAAAGCGACACGTACAAACAGAAGCCATCGTCGGCCATCAGTCAAACTCTTCAGAAGCCTGGTGCTACTGAGTATAAAGTCTGTAAATTGCCACCGATCTCAGACATTCCAAAATTCTCGGGTGAACTTCATGAATTCCCTTGTTTTTGGGACTATTTCGAAGTCCACGTGCACAATACACCAGCTATTCCAAGTGAGAAAATTCTCAGATTGAAGCACGCTCTTACTGGTAGTTCAGTCGAACACCTGGTTCAAAACGTTCGTCTTACGCAGGCTATGTACGATACAATCATAAAATCACTTCATTCAAGGTACAACAAGCCTGATGACATCGTGAATTCATTTCTTAATAAATGGCAAAATCTTGAACCTCCGAATTCAAATTCAAGTCAAGAAATTTATACGTTCGCTGATAAGATTCAGAGTATTAAAAATCATTTGGCATATTATAATACTGAAATTCCAAAATGTCTTTCACAGCCAGTATTTCAGTCACTTCCAGTAAACTTACGTGAAATGGTTACTGTACGATGTCATTTTCAAAAGAAAGACAAGTTCAACATTGACGATTTTGTATTGGTTTTGCATGAAATTGCTCACGAGCTCAGGACTCTACCGTCAAGTCAAAATGTCAAGTCATGTTCTGAGCAAAAGTCTGTTTTATTTGATCGTCATATCAATTATGAAGCTGTAGATAACCGTATCGCTTCATCAGGATTCAGAAATCCTAAAAGCCCAAGGACAAAAACGTGTCTTCTGTGTGGCCAACATCATCATTCCTCGGTTTGTAGCAAGTATTCAGACTTGCAATCACGAAAAAACCGTCTTTTCGAGCTAAATTGTTGTGCCAAATGTCTTGCCTCACATCATGCCGAAAAAGATTGTCAGTCAAAAATCGTATGCTTTTTGTGTCAAAAAAGGTAACCACGCTGTAATTACATGTCCTCACAATTGTGTTCCTCAATTGAATTCTAAATTTTCGATAAATTTTTCAAGCGAAAAACCACAAGTGACTTGGCCTAACTCGACAAAACAGTTGAATTTTTCAAATTCAAATGAAAACCAAGAAATTTTAAACTCACATCAACTATATGGTAAGCCGAAAGCGAGTTGTATGTACGTTCCAGTCTTGGCTTCTAAAAAGGATGAAGCAAATTGTCAAGCCACGAAGGCATTTATTGACACAGGTTTTGGTCTGAATCTCATTAGCCATTCGTTAGCAACGAAATTAGAACTTCCAGTTGCAAATCAACGTTCTCTTCAAATGAAAACTCTAATCGGTTCATTTTCGACATCAGCTTTTGACACGAACGTTACCTTATCTCCAGAAGCCGTTAAACGTAAAAATCAGTTTATAAAACTACCTGTTACGGCTATTGAAGATAAATACTTCAAAGAATTGAACATCGATGTTCAAGATCCTCAAATTGGTGTTATTATTGGCTGTCAAAGCATTTGTGATATCGAGCTAAAGTGCACAGAGTTATCACGTTCTTGTGTGTTTGGCAAAATTAAAGTTACGGGTCAAAAAGTCAATTTTGTCAAAAACCCCAATATTCATCACGTTACAGAGCTACGACGACAACGAAGACCTAGAAAGGTCAATCCTGAAGCCGCTCGAAGAAAAAAGCCGGTTCAAAACTTCAATGAACCAAGTTTTCAAAAGAGAAGAGCTAAATTTCGTGCTGATAAAATAGGAAATCGTCCTACGGCAACTCAACGTTCTCGTCCTACGTTCAACTTGAAGAACAATCATGGTCAAGGAGATACTGAAGCCGCTCGACGAAAAAAGCCGGTTCAAACGTACGATGAACCAAGTTTTCAAAAGAGAAGAGCTAAAGTTCATGATGTTAAAGTTAGAAGTCGTCTAACATCAGCTCAACGTCACCATTCTACATTCAACTTACGGAACGATCTTCACCAGGACAAGTCTCTAGACAAGAGAAAACGTCAACGGAAACGGCCAAGGTCTAGGCCATGTAAACTTTCTTTTCAGGTACCCGATCGATCTACGACACGAACTTCACGCCCGCTGCCGACGCCCGGAGGAACTTCGTCATGCCCTGTTCCAGTTCATGTAGATCATCGTGGTGGCCGGAGTGTAGTCGGATCGGATTCAATTTGCATAAATTGAATCATTTCAATCCGATTCTCATTTTACATTCAGTCTTCTCGTTCGTTCCACCGCCGATCGGTCGGAATCTTCGTTCATCAAGGCTCATCTTTTGGCCGCCGACCGGTCTCTTTGCAACATATTCGGTATATGTTTAATCTTGATTTGAATAAATCTTTCGTATAGTGATTATCGTATTATTTGTAACGTTATATTGAGTTGAAGTCTTGAGTTATACCTTTATTACACTTTGATCTAACCCTGGCAAGACTAATCTTTCTACAGTGACAAAAACTTCGAATTTCTTAGATATCAAGTCGTTCACCATCAATAACAGCATCAATGCATTGGCTGTTTCCTTGAAAAACAAACATTTACTTATTCAACCATATTATACTATTTATTGAACCTTATTATATTACTTATTAAATATTATTATACCATTTCTAAAGAAAAACATAAACTAAAAGTCTTATGAAAGTTTAAAAATACATATAAAATCTATGTTTAAAACAAAACAAAAGTAACCGAGCATGTCGACTGGTTAAATTGGACAATATTATATCATGTTATCTATCTTATACATGAAAATCATATAAAATCGTAATTAAAATTAAAATATTGCCCAATTATATTTAAAATTTATAAGTAATTTTAGTCATATTTGATTGATATTTGATGTTTTTTATTTATTTTTACCTTAACTACAACATAAATAAGCAAACTAATTGGGAAAGTATTCAACCTGCCCTGCTCAGAATCAGCTCAAAATTTTTATATGAATTCCTTGTACCACCAATAGCACTCTTAAAAAATTTTAGCTTGCGCTTTTGAGTTTTAAATTCGAATTATTTTGGTTTTTCGCCAATTTCGCAATCTTGGCATTGTGTTTCAAGCGCTTTTTTGACCTTCTAGACAAGCTACGCTTACAAATTTAAAAATGTAGGTTCATTTAAATGTATTATACTAGTTTATCAAAAAATTTAACAATAATTAAAAGTCGAAAAATGACAAAGTTATAAGCTTGAAACACAATGCCAAATTGGCGAGAAATTCAAAACGTAATTTTTTCATTTCGATTTTCTTGTGAAAAAAATTACCTAATGATAGACTAGGGAGATAGGTCAGCAAGTCCAAACTACCCGGACAAGGCGCAGGCTAGGTGTACTATCTTTATAGTACTAGTAGGGACTAACAGTAGTACCCTAAGGGGTAAATAGGTAACTTAACTCCTAAAGTAAATGTAAACCTAGCGGTCAAGTTGATTTACAATCTAGTTTTACTGGTTTTCTTTAGGTTAAAATTATTTCAGTAAATTTTCTTTCGTTCTGGAGGAATTCACAGGTCTTTAGCAATATAATATACACTTTTTCAAAGCAAACCAACGATATTTCCATTTACGTTAATTATAGTTTATGTGCTGCAGAATAGTTTGACTGTTATTTTAAGCTTAAGCTTAATATTGATTTACAAAGCTTAAAATAACTTGAAATAAGCTAGCTTTAATTACAATTATGTTCAGCAAGTTACGTTTTCAATTATTTTAACGGCACATCCCTAAATCATATATAAATTAAACTCGAATGTTGCAACATCTAAATATTTAACTTTTTATGTCTTGCTTTGTTTAATACAGTAACTTTCTTTTTTTATATCATATCTTTAATAGTTTCGCGTGAAAATACTATTCTTGTTGTAGTAAAATAGGGGTTGATAATGGCTTACTAACAAGGAAGGTACCCGACCTGCAACGCTCAGAATTCGTTCAAATTTTTTAATTAAAAGGTCACGTTGTAAGCGGATGTAACCTCACTCTCACCACAACTTACTACACACGTAAATGTAAGATCTTATGCAAAATTCTAAGTTGAGGTTTGCGGCCAGTCTTGAGAAAATCAAAATCGAAAAATCGCGTTTTGAAAGCGTGAGGAAGCACAGTACACGTCTCTCTCCGACGTGCAGCAATCGATAGTGGCGTTTCGTATGTTGCGAAGTAAACCGCCGAAAATGAAACATTCTATTTTGTTGTAAAAAAATTGGTCGAAAATGAGCGGTCGGAATTTGAAAATGATTTATTAAAAAAAATTGGAAATGAAAATGGGAAAGCTGATTATAAAATGGGAATAAAATTGTAAAAGCTTGTGCTTTGTTGAATACGATGTTGAGTACCATGCTGTCTTTTTATAATGGCATAATGATACTGTACATCTTCACATTTTTGGTAGTTTTGTTTCATTTTACAACATTTTTATATTTTATTTTATTTTTTAACACTTCGCAACATGACGAAAAGCCACAAAAATACGACCGCACGTTTTTGTTTTATTTCAGAGACGTGCAGTACTATTAGATTGTCTAAATAATTCTGAGCCCCTTTCAAAGCAAGGTTTCAGAATTAGAGAGCGCAGACTTACTTGAACTTTCATATATGTTTAAAACATTTCTTGAGTAGAGTAGACTAACGATAGCATATATAACAACCTTATTAAAACAACCGTTTATTGTACTTCAAAAACTGTTTTACAGTAATGTAAAGATATACAAAACGTTTTACAGTGCAAATTACTGTAGCGTATTATAGAAATAATTGTTACTGTAACTTAATACAGACAGTTTTTTGTTCAGTATAAAAATGAAGTGAATCCTCAGTGCCCTCCCTTCCTTGGCCAGACTGTTTCGTACCTCCAAATGGCATAGCCAGGTCTCGTACCAGCCAGCAATTGCACCACACAGTACCAACACGTAGTCGGTTAGCTACGGTAGTCAAGTTATCAACGGACTGACTCCATACAGTAGCGGAAAGACCGTATTCACTTGAATTCACTCGCTTTACAACTTCATCGGCGGTGTCAAAGGCTGACACACATACGACCGGTCCGAAAATTTCTTCCTTCATTAAACGAGACTCGTCCGAGGCACCGGAGATTACCGTAGGCGCTACGTAGTAGCCCTGGAAAAAGTTTCACTGTACTAGAGATCTTATGAACGATGGGGTATAAGTTACAATAAGCTTAGGATAATGTGGGAGGGGGTAGGTTAAAGTTAGGTAGGGTAGAGTAAGGCAGGGTCGCATAGGGTACGGTAGAGCCTAAGGTACGGTAGGGCCTAAGGTAAAGTAGGGTCTAAGGTACGGTGGGACCTAGGGTACGGTAAGACTTATGATAAAGTAGGTCACGATTTGAAGAGAAATTAAAGCTAACTTACAGTACTTAAAGGGCCTTGCAGCCTCACCGGCCCTCCACAATGTACAGCCAATCCGTCTTGTTCAACCAATGAAATGTAAGATGCCACTTTATCATAATGTGGTTTACTGACCAGTGCTCCCAAATCAATGACACAATCTTTTGGGTTTCCAACTTTTAGCTAAAAAATGAAAATTTTTGTAAAATACGGTTATTAACGCCTCCTAAAAACGTTGGTACTACTTATACAACTGTGCATTAGTTTTGGTACTAAAAATTAATACTATTTCTTCAACAAATACTAAATTAGACACTCTAAATAGTACTATTTTTTACAACCCAGTACCGAAAAATAGTACTAAAATTGTAATTTTTTGGTAATTTTAGTACCAAAATCATTACTATATTCCGAAGTATAGTACTACGTTTGGTACTCTTTTAAAATTTTGTATAACAGCTATAATAGTACTAGATATAGTGCTATTTTTCATATCTCGTACTGAACTTAGTATCAAAAATAGTACTGTCTTTACAATCTAGTTCCGAATATAGTACTAAATACGGTACTGTTTTTAAAAATTAGTACAAAATGTAGTACAAAATAAGATACTATTTTTATATCTAGTCCCAAATGTAGTACTAGATAACGTACTATTTTTACATCTAGCGCCAATTATAGTACCAAAAATAGTACTGTTCCTAAAAAACAGTAACAATAGTACTAAATCCCAACCAAACCCACCTTCGAAGCCTGAGCAATGAACTGTTCCATAAACGAGTCGTACACGGACCGTTGCACAAAAAGCCGGCTTGTGCACAAACAAATCTCCCCTTGATTGGCAAAACATGACTTGACTAATACCGGCAACACTTTCTCCAAATCAGCATCAGCAAACACCACAGCCGCGTTCTTACCGCCCATTTCGAGTGACACTTTCTTGTTCATTGGAGCTGTTTTGGTGGCTATACTCTTACCGACCAGAGTTGAGCCAGTAAATGAGATCAGGGGGACCTGGAAAGATATTGTAGTAGACGTTAGACTTAGTAGGCTTAGGATTAGTAGACTTATGCTTCGTAGACATAGGCTTAAGATTTAATAGGGTTAGTAGAGTTAGGTTTAGTAGGCTCAGGCTTAGTAAGCCTAGACTTTATAGGATTAGATTTAGTAGGCTTAGACTTATAAGACTTAGCAGGCTTAGGTAAGCTTAAGCTTATTAGACTTACAAATTTTGTTAGGTAGGCTTAAGTTTAGCATGTTTAAGCTTAGACTTATCAGGCTTAGGTTAAATAGACCTAGGATTAGTAGGCTTAGGCTTATTAGGCTTAGCCTTAGTAGGTTTAGGCTTAGTAGGTTTAGGCTTAGTAGGCTTAGGCTTAGTAAGCTTAGGCTTAGTTGGCTTAACCTTAAAAAGCTTATGCTTAGTAGACTTAGGCTTAGTAGGCTTAGGCCTAGTAGGCTTAGACTTAGTAAGTTTAGGCTTAGGAGACTTAGGCATATTAGACTTAGGTTTAGTAGTTTTAAACTTTTTAGTCTTAATCTTAGTAGGCTTAAACGTTGTCGACTTAGATTTAATTAACCTACCTTTTCATGAAGAACCAGAGCGTCTCCAATTTTTGGTCCAGTGCCAATCACCATATTAACCACGCCAGCTGGGAATCCAGCATCAATAAACGTATGCATCAAAACCCACGCCGTAGCTGAAGTCATCTCGCTAGGCTTGCAAACGACCGTATTGCCACAGGCTAGAGCTGGGGCTAGCTTGAAACTCAGCTGAAAATTTTTTATTAAAAAAGTTTGGGCAACATGTCGGTATTGCTGTAACTGCCGTACTTTAAGAATTCATTTTTTAAAATTTTAATTAAATTTTTTTAAAGGTCGATAAAAGAATGTCATACCAAATAAAGTGGCAAATTCCAAGGACAAATCAAGGCTGCCACTCCCACTGGATCATTTTTGACATAACTCAAGGCTGTGTATGGTTCTTGCATTAGGCGGCTTCTGAAGAGGGGTAGATCATCAGGTATAAAGAAAACAATTCCCCAAAAAAAAATTCAAATTTTTCAAAAAAAAATCAAAAATTTTTAAAATAAAAATAAGTATTACTGTACAATAATATTAAAAAGACCATATTCTAGTACATAAACAAGTTTTAAACTGTAAAGTAACCAAAACACTTACGGATTAGTATGACTCTGAGCAGCTGCAGCAAAGGAACGAAAGTTTTTCACCACTCGAGGAATGTCTATCATTCTGAAAATAAAAAAATTGATTTAGGTCATATTCATGAGACATATTCTACCCTACCCTACGCTATCCTACAATACCCTACCCTACCCTACCCACCCTACCCTACCCTACCCTACCCTACCCTACCCTACCCTACCCTACCCTACCCTACCCTACCCTACCCTACCCTACCCTACCCTACCCTACCCTACCCTACCCTACCCTACCCTACCCTACCCTACCCTACCCTACCTTACCCTACCCTACCCTACCCTACCCTACCCTACCCTACCCTACCCTACCATACCATACCATACCCTACCCTACCCTACCCTACCCTACCGTACCCTACCCTACTCTACCCTACCCTACCCTACCCTACCCTACCCTACCCTACCCTACCCTACTCTATCTCCTATCCTATTCTAAGCCTTGCCGTACCGTAAGTTTTACCGTATTGTAAGCCTTATAGTACTTTCAACCTTAAAGTACCGTAAGCCCTACTATAATTTCCATTCACGCTTCAGTAACCTAACATAGGCCTACAGTACTCGTATCTACTCATGGACAAAACTCATCCTACCCTACACCTCTCTGTCCTATCCTATTCCCCTTTACTTTACTTCAATCCGCCCTACTGTAACAAAACATACTGTAACTAAACGCAGACCAACAGTAACTGTACATTTACTTTTAGGCTAACCCTGCTCTACCTTACAATGTTAGTAAAAAAAAATCGTTGATTAAAGTTTCACCTGATCCTACAGTAAGTCTTACTTTTTTACTTCTATTAGGTGCCGGCATAAAGAACCCGCCATTTTTTACAGGAAATTACAGGTAAAGTATGGCGGGTTCTTTATGTCGGCACTTAATGTACACTACTGTTTCAATCAAGTCCAAACCCAAATTTAAATTTAAAAAAAATTTTTAAAACCTAGCCCTACCTAGCCAAACTGATGGGTTTGCCTTGATCTCTGGACTCGATTCTAGCAAACTCTTCAATATGTTTTGACACAATGTCAGCTACTTTGTTCAGGAGCTCAGCACGATACTCCACTGAAGTTGTTGACCAACTAAATATGACGATATAAATAGTCAGTTCGTATTTTACAAAATTTTTATTATTTTAAGTAACAAAATTTTTAAATTTTTTCAAAATTTCTAAAATTTTTTTAAAATTTAAACTTTTTAAAAATAAAAAAAAAATAATTTTTACCACCCCCACCTTTCAAAAGCCTTGTGAGCCACATTAACAGCATTCTCAATATCAATGCTGTTTGAGTTTGGCACTTTTAGCCAAGACTTTCCGACCGACGGATCTTCACTATCCAAGTAGTCGCCAGCAACTGGAGCAACAAATTGGTTGCCGATAAAGTTGCTGATTTTCGGATTTTCTTCGTCCAATAAGACTGATAAAGCTTGCTTTGTTAGGGCCATTTTTGAGTGTTTTTACTGTAACGATTGTTATTATAATAGGGTATTCATAAGTCATTTTCATACTGTAACAACGCAATTTTAAAAGATCAAATTAACTTACCCAATCTTACTCAAAACCTAATCTATCCTACCCTACCCTAACCTACCCTACCTTACCCTACCCTACCCTATCCTATCCTATCCTATCCTACCCTACCCTACCCTACCCTAACCTACCCTACCAATTTACCCTAGCCTATTCTACAATTCTACAAGCTTCTACTCACCCAAGCCCTTTCTATAGCCATCTTTCTACCCATGCCTTAATGAAAAGCCCTAATTTTTCTTACCCCTACCCTATCTGAACCAACCGTATCCTACTATACCTACCCCTCCCCCGCAACGCCAACCTCCATTGTCTGCAATAAAACTCAAAATTGACCAAGCAAACTTCAAAAACCATGGTAAAACCCCCTTTTATACATGTAAATAGCCAAAGTAAACATCAACCTTCCTTCTATAATAAGACGTTTGCCATGTACGTAACGATAACGTGACCCATTTCCTGTCCTTAAACATTGTTTACACTTTCAATTCGCGTTAATTGAATAAAAATAAACAATTCATGCCTATGTCACCCCCCTAGTCAATTTTATACTATTGTTTTCGCTTGCCGATCCTTGAGTCTTATGTAAAGCATGCCCGCATGCCATAAACATTTATAGCTGACACATGGTCTTTCCATTATAATAGTAAATATTTATATATAAAAGTCAAAATATTTTTATTCGAAAAGGGAATGTGATATAAAGCATTATAACATAAGGGTTTAGCATATATTATCTACCCCAATCATAACTAACGCCCTACCCCTAACCTATACCAACCCTACCCACCTTACCCTACATTGTCCTACGCTATCCTACTGTACCCTAATCTAACCTACCTTGCCCTACCCTATCCTACTGTACCCTACCTCTTATCCATTACATATACACTTGCCTCTCCCTTTTGCCTTACCTAGACATGATGGACGAGCCGGGTCAAACCTGAACAAAAATTAGGTCAAGTCGGACCTGGAAATCCCAAAAAAGCCCGGTCCGGCCTAAACCACAGCAAAAATGAGATCGGACCGGGCCTGAAAAGTAGGCCCAGCCCGGCCCGTTACCCTAGTATTACCCTTGCCTTTCGCTTAACCTCTATCTTAAAATAAGTTACGCCCTGTTAACTTCCTTCACCACACCATACCCTACCTACCCATTCCCTACCATACATTTTATCCTACTCTAAAAAAGCAACCACAGCGGCCCAAAATTGTCGTTTTCCTAGCCAAACGTGCCCATCTCCCCGTCCCTTTCTCCTTTTTTTCACCTATCCCTACCCTTGAAGAAATAAAAATCACCCTTGCCCAGATAAACAATTATATCTTCTGCCTGGGCACCAACAATTACAGGATATACCCATTCCTATTAGCATACACACCGTAATGTTCAACAGTAAAGTTGAAACAACCTTTAAAAAACCATTGAAACATTATTTTGACTTTTTTAAATGTAACAAACAGTAAAACCATTAGCAACATTTGAGAAAATTAAACAAAAATTCGCTTAAACAGAGCAAGTTTACTTATGTTTTGTGCATTTAAAACCTCTAGTTTATAAGAAAAAACTACAAAATAGAAAATACTTTACCCTCTACTATACGTAATATATCAAATTACACAAAACTTAAAAGAAAAAATGTGATCTGATCTATTATTTTTGAAATAAATAGGCTTAAACACACTAAATTTGTTGTTTTAGATAGCTGAAAAGGTAATTCATATCGTGGACAACATTAATTTTTGATTTTGAGTTATTGGCTTACCTAAAATGACCATTACTTCTTGAATTTTAAAAGAAGAACGTGACTAATTAACTTTACCTAATCCTACCCTACTCTTTTTTACACTAACCTACCCTACGATGAGGTGCCTCCACCCTATTACCTACCTCACTACAAATTCAAATAAAAAAATAATTTTAAAATGCTAAAAAACCAAATAAAAGACAATATTATTCATGAAAAACTCCAGACTCTCACTAATTTCTCCATTGACAAAACGGAAAAGCACTTTGCAACGAAAAGTTTCATCTGACCTTTCGATCAGAGACAAGTAAATAAGTCAAACCAATCGAAACATGACAGGCTTAAATACATCAAATTTTACGCATAATGATGTTTGATTTATGGCATGTTTAAAAAAAGCATTGTAATTTTAATAAAAATCTTGTTTTAGCGTGCTAAACCTGATTAACATAACTAAACTTTATATTATAGTAGACCAAAGTTTATATTATTTGAATTTTTCATATTTCATCAAAGATTTATTGCTTTTTCTCGCTAAAATAAGATTTTAATATTAAAATAAAAAATAAAAACGTATAGTGCTTATCAATAACTCTTTTTTAAACTTTATTTTGAAATCCTTTAGGCAGTTTCAATAAAAAAACAACAAAAACAGCGTTTATTACCTAAAATTATAAAAATCACAAAAAATAAATTTAAAAATTTTAAATAACCTTTTTTATTTAAAATAATACAGAACAGTGGTTATATTGACGTATTTTACTTATTTTTATTAACTCACAATTTTTCGATAGCGCGCACACACTTCGCAACGAAGTCAATTGTGGCATTCCGTCTCATTTCGGACAATCATCAAAATTTATTTTTCAAAGCAAAATCTTAAAGTTACTTTGTTTTCCAAAGATTTTGTAATTTTTTATATTGTAAAATTAAAGATTATGTTGTTTTAAAATGATATTTACTGTGTAACTTTGCTTTTTAACTAATTTACCTTGTTTCAGAGACCAAGATGCAGGTAATGAAGAAAGATGAAGTTAATATGGACTACAACTCCTTCAAAACCGCCATGCACCAGGCCGTAGCCAATCCACCATGGCTCAGACACAACGTTCAACATCAGCAACGATGGAATCCGTATTCAATGGAAGGAGGGTAGGTTTTTTATTGTTGTTGTTGGCTTTTAGGTTTTATGGGTAATATCAAAGAGGAAACGGGAATGAGTTTAGCTTGAAAGGTTTTAAAATGTGCTCTTCAGTGTGTTACACTGTTTCTGGTAATTATTGGGTAATAATATAAGGGTTTTACAATTTTTTGTGATCTTTTTCATTGTCTGCTTTGCTAGAGGTCATGGGTAATATAAATTTTGTACTTACGGAGCAGTTTGACACTCTTATAACTACAGAACGTTTTGAAAGGAACCTTGTGGACTTTCACGTTTTTTTCAGGAGGGTTTAGGTTTTAAACCTGATCTTTATGGGTATGAGACATCAAAGTCTCCGACTTGAATTATAATGGACATGTATAATATAAATTCGCAGTTTTATAAGTTACTAGGACTTTTAAGCTAATAACTATAAGAATTTTATATTTTTTACTTAAATATTTAACAGTAAAAGATGTTTTACATCTTGATGCCATCAGTTTCAACATCAACCATCTGATCTCATATGTAATATAAATTTTAGAACTGCCTGCGCCTTGGCTGGTTACAACTTTGTTGTAGCGGCTTGTGACACTCGTATGTCGGCTTTTGAAGTTAGTGTGATGAACAGAAACGCTGAGAAGTTGAATGTTTTGAACGATAACATCATCTTGGCCACAACTGGATTCTACGGAGATGTTCTTCAGTTAAAACGTGTTTTGGACGTAAGTTTATGCTTTTTTAAGTTATAATTGGTTCTAAAAGAGAATTTAAGGTCTTTTTTAGTTAGTTTTAAATGTAGTTTGGTCAAAATTGAAGTGTTTTTGGGGTTTATATTGTACATGACAATAAAGTCCTCTTTATAGTCAATGTTTTTTAAAATAAATGCTTTTCTTTTGCTAATCCTAAAGTATAAGGTTATGATTTTAGTCTCGATTGCACAAATATCGTTTCGACTACCGATGTGACATGACTGTTGACTTGTGCTCGGAATTGTTCGCCCGTAATTTGTATTACAAACGGTTCTTCCCATACTACACTGGAGCTATCTTGTGCGGAATTGACGAGAAAGGTAAGCGTTTTTTGTTTGTTTTTTATATTTTAGGTATGAAATGCGTTTTTAATTTGATATTGTTATGAATCATAAAATAGTCAAATTTTAGAAAAATAATGCGATTTTCGAGTAAAACAACGAAAAATAAGGCCATAACGTTACCCTTTTCAGGTTGTGGAGCCGTCTACAGTTACGATCCGATCGGTTGTATCGAACGTCTTCAATACTCGTGCAGTGGCGGAGGTGAACCAATGATGCAGCCCTTCCTCGACAACCAAGTAGGCCACATGACCTTGTCCGAAAACGCCGACCGTCCTCAACTCACCATTGAAAGAGCCATCTCCTTGGTGAAGGACGCGTTCAAGACCGTGGCCGAGCGTGAAACCTCCACCGGTGACAAGATCAACATTGTCATTGCTGAACACAACAAACCAATCCGTCGTGTCACTATACAACTCCGCGAGGACTAATCTGATTAATTATGAATATTAATTTGTCTAAATTATGGTCTAAAATAAAAATTACTTTGTAAAAGGAGGGTTTGTGGTTATAATGACATAATTTTCAGTAAAAACTAGTAGAAACTTATAGTAAGTAAGATTCACGGTCAGTACAGTGATCTGTTGCGCATCTTCAACGTGAGTTTCGGGGTTTAGTTTTTGATGCAAAAAGAATGGCGTGTTCAAAATTTAAATCATTTGTTGATGCAAAAAGAAGGGCGTTTTTCAAAATTTAAATAATTTTTTTGATGCAAAAAGAATGGCGTATTCAAAATTTAAAACAAGGTTCGCCTAAGAATCAGACATAGGGTGTTCAAAAATTTCAAACTATTTTAAAACCGTTCATTTTGTGACATGAGTTTGTACTTAGGCATAGAAATGCAAAAATATTAAAAAATTTTTCAAAATTCGGGTTACGGTAGGATTTAAACTTTTTTTTGTAACTATTGTACTAAATGTCAGAATATAATGGGACGTTTTTTTAAATTGTTTGTCACTATAATACATTCATTTTATCTGTTGACAACGTTTTTTCATTATGCCCAAGGCATTGAAAAAACTTAAAATTTGCTAAAAAATCATGAAAATTTTACGAAATTTAAAATTCCTAAAAACCTCAAATGTGATAAACTTTTGACGATAGGTGGTATAACTACATGTTATTGCGGTTCTAATGACACTAATTTTGGGTCATCCCAGCGGGGCCTGCGGTAGCTACGAATTTTTTAAAAGTTGACACCCTAAGGTCATTTAGCATAGGATTTAGCTATAATTCGGCTCAAAATGGTTAAAAAAGATGTTCGGCACATATTGCAAGTTTTATAAGTGTTTAAAAACAATTTCCTTTATATTGCCTTAGGGAATTTGTAATTTTTTTTTCTTTTTTAAATTTAAATTTTAAAAAACTTTTTAAAGCTTGGAAATCAAAGTAATATGCCTTGGCTTTTGGTAAGTGACCTATACAGGAACGTTGCTACAAATTTTCTCTGGAAGAGGGGGAAGGTTGCAAAAAATTTTTTCGATCACAGGCCCCTGCCTACCTGCAACCCAATTTTTCAAAAACTTTTTTTTTGTTTTTTTTTGCGTACAGATCTTGTATAGATCAGTTACCAAAAGCCAAGGTATTTTATTTTACCAAGCTTTAAAAAATTTTTTAAATTTAAATTTTAAAAAAATTAATTTTTTTTTAAATTACAAATTCCCTGAGGCAATATAAAGGAAATTGTTTTTAAACATTTATAAAACTTGCAATTAGTGCCGAGAATCTTTTTTAACCATTTTGAGCCGAATTACAGCTAAATCCTATGCTAAGTGACCTTAGGGTGCCAACTTTGAAAATTCGTAGCTACCTCAGGCCCCGCTGGGATGACACAAAATTAATGTCAATAGAACCGCAATAGCATGTATTTATATTACCTATAGTCAAAAGATTATCACATGTGAGGTTTTTTCGGGAAATTTTAAATCTTGCTAAATTTTGATTACAGTTTCGCAAATTATAATTTTTTTCAATGCCTTCCGGGCATAATAAAAAAAAGTTGGCAAAAATAAAATAAATGTCTTATAGTGACAAACAATTTAAAAAAAGTTCCATTCAATTCTGACATTTAGTACAATAGTTACAACAAAATTTTAAATCCTACCGTAACTCTACCGTAACCTGAATTTTAAAAATTTTTTACGTTTTTGTATTTCTATGCCTAAGTACTATCTATTGTCGAAAAATGAACGGTTTTAATAGTTTGAATTCTTTGAACTCCCTATGTCTGATTCTTAGGCGAACCTTGTTTTAAAGGGGTAATTTTAGGTTGAGTAAAAAACTTTTTTTCATTTTTTATTAAATTCCCTCTTACGTCGTCCCCTATTTACGTTTTCTATTCATCGTTTCTTCGTTTGTCAATTCCTCCAAGTAAAATTTTTTAAGCTTTATATTGTAAAAACTACTCAAACCAATAACTGTAACTAAAAATTTGCGCAAATTTTTATTGTAGTACGTCAACGCGGAGAACATATATATATTGTCATCCCAGAAATGCATTCCTAACTTAAAGCTGAAATTATGCGTAATTTGAATGAAAATGAGTTTTTTTCAAAAACTCATAACGACCTTGATATGCACTTTAAAATTCCAAAATTTTTTATAAAAAATATGCATTAGTTGTATAGTACAGGTGCCAACTTTTTGGTGGGTGGAGTTCCCCCCCCCCTCAAACATATTTCTTGAATCCCCCTGTGAACAAAATTTACGAATATTATCTGTTTAAATGTTATTTTACAATGTTTTACCATTTTAAGCCGAGTACTATTTTTTACTAATGCCTCATATCTTTAGGCCAACACTCGTCTGTCAAAGATGTTCAGTGGGAATAAAGCGGAAAAGCTTTTGAATCTGAAAAACTTGATCAAGCATCCTTTGCTGGCAGGGGCCAAGCCATAGGACTACGATCCCACAACCATCTTTCAGCTTCTGGAGCTAGCCGTGCTCGTTTCAAAGGAGCCGTTGATTGAGCTGAATGCACCGGTCGATATTTGTGGTGACATTCACGGTTGGTACAGTGACCTGCTGCGGATCTTCAACGTGAGTTTTGGATTTTTTAAAAAAGTTGAAATTTGAAGTCAATATTTGAAATTTTTAAAAAAATGATTTTTTGTTGCATAAAGAATGGCGCAGATAGTTTTTTTAATCTTATTTTTGATTCAGTAAGATTGGCGTATTTAAAAATTTAAAGTTTCAGAGCAGTTGTGACAATAATATCCGAGACAATAATACAATATATATGTTTATTACCAACCACAAGATATTATGTCGAGTATCAATCGGAGCGGATGATGAGACCGACCGGTCAGGAGACGTACGTTGCAATTGACTGACTGCCACGCGTGCGTTTTATCCGAGGAAGAGAGAGAACGCCAATTTGCATAACCGTTCGATTTATCACGTGTCCCGAGCGTGGCCCAACTCGCCTATCTCCATTGTGATGACGTCCCGGAATCATTCTGAAAATAAGCCTAAAAGGGCTCCCCCTCCGTTAAGAAACGGCGGCCCGACGGTAAAAATAAAAGAAAAAAACAAAAAAAATAAGGTGAAAAGAAATAAATATTTTTTTTAAAAGGAAATAATAAGAAGGAAAAAAATAAAAAGAGAAAAGAAAAGAAACAAAACGAAAAAAAAATGAAACAACCTACGATTGATCCTGTACTGTTCTTGGCCTTAAGTTGTAATGGTGAGGTGCGGAAGTTGGTGCTGGATACGGGGGTTTGGGGTTATATTCTGGGTGGAATGGATGGCGGACGAAGTTCTTCATGTCGAAGTCTTGAGGACAAGGGCACAGAGTACTTTTCTTTCTCCAAAACCACTGGAAGGGGTTTTCAGTACAAGCTAATAATGCCATTGTTGTTGAAGTATCTACAATATGGTAGGGACCGAATCGAAATTTTTGGAGTTTTCTGTTATTTGACTCGTTCGGAAAATGTTTTTCATCTATGAATACTAAATCGTTTACTTTGTATTTGTCAACGTAAACGCCGTCTCTTTCATGTTGTTGACTTTGGTACTTCTCTCTGGTTTTTGATAGTATAGGACCAACAAAATCGATTGTATCTTTTAGTCTTTGTGCTACCATATCTTTGTATGTTGGTGCGTCCAGATATTTTAATGATGGCAAAACTAAGTTTTGATTCCATTTGGTTGGAAATTGTGGTTCTTGGCCGAATATAACGGAGTGCGGTGATACAGTAGTACTTGAATGTACAAGCGAATTGTGAGCAAACACTACAAAAGGTAACTTTTCGTCCCAATCGTCAGATGAACCAGTAAGTTTTCGTAATTTTTGTAAGATATCTTTGTTGGCTCTCTCAGCTACGCCATTGGAACAAGGTGTATACGCTGGAGTTGTGCTCAAAGCAGTATTTAAAGCCAATCGTATCAAATCTAAAGTTTGATTCAAAAATTCTGGCCCTTGATCTGAATGAATCGTTTTTGGAGATCCAAATTTTAGAATCAAATTGTTCAAGATAGCTTTTGCGATTTCTTCTGAGTTTTTGCTTTTTAGCGGTACAGCAATAAGATAACGCGAAAAATCGTCGATCATGGTCAATACATACATGTTTTCAGACAAGGATAAACCAATTTTTAGTAGATCTACATGTACAAGGTCAAAAGGATTTGCGGATTCGAACGTTCCACTCGGCTGCTGGTTCTTGGTTGGTGTTTTTGTCATAAGACACACCATACAATTGCTGATAAAGCGGTCAATTTTCGATCGTTTCTTTGTAAAATAGTACTGTTTTGATAGGCAAATCAACTTTTTGGTACCAGCATGACATGAAAGTGGTGAATTGTGCATCGATTCGAGTAGTGCGTCAACGTTATCGTTTGGTACGGTCAATAAAGGTACATTGTTTTCGATTTTGTACAAAACGTCGTTGTGAACACAAGGATTTGCTGTTTTGTTTTACCTTTTCTTGTAAGTTTAGATCTTCAGGTAAGAGCCCAAACTTTAAGTACTGATAAACTTTCGAAAATTCAAGGTCTTGTTCGAGAGTTCTTGACCATTCAGCTTTTTCAGTCCAGGGTTCTTGAGCATTTGCAAATTCAATCGTATTGATTGAATTGACGCTAATTTGAGTCTGAATTGTCAGTGTATTCTCGGCTTCAACATTCTCAAAAGCTCGTGACAAGAAGTCAGCTACTGAATTAGCACTTCCTTTGATGTATTTGATTTCGAGGTTGAATTTTTGGCTCAAAGTTGAGAACATGTGTTCGATTCTAGGATTAGTACACTCTTTTTTCAATAATGGAATTAATGCCTTGTTGTCTGTCAAGATCAGAGTTGGCGTGGCTAGTAGAATATAGTCTAGTTTTTCGCATCCAAATAGGATAGCGGTCGCTTCGGCTTCTGAAGATGGTAATCGTGATTCGACTGGAGTAGACCTTCGACTGACAAACGCAATAGGTCTCATCTTTCCCGATTCGTCACATTGGTGTAAAGCAGCACCAAACCCAACTTTTGACGCGTCGGTTGCCAATATAAATTTTCTTTTTGGATTGGACAAGGCGGCTTCGTAGTCTGGAGAAGCAAGTACTGTATTATCGGCCATAATATCCTTCAATTTTGTGAACGCTGCTGAGTAAGCATTGAGTTCGGCTTCTGTGTGTACTAAAGTGACACTGTTTTTGCTTTTTCGGCTATTTTATAAAATTAACCTCATTGGGTCGACTATTTCGGCATAATTTTTAATGAACTTTCGGTAAAAATTGAAAAACCCTAAGGCTCTTTCAAGCTCTTTCACAGTTTTTGGTAGTGGTGTATTAATCATACTTTTCACTTTATCGTTGTCTTTTGTGATGCCTTCTGGGGTTACCGTATATCTCAAAAAATTGAAGTTTGAACAAAAGAAAGAACATTTTGAAGGTTTTAATTTCAAGTTAGCTTTTCTTAATTTCTCGAAAAGGCTTCTGATATCGTTCAAGTGTAATTCTGAATCTTTACTGGCTGTTAAGACGTCGTCCAAATAAACAAAAAAATTCGTGTTTAAACCGTCTTCTAACACCGTGTTCATTAACCGTTGAAACGTGGCTACTCCGTTGCGAACACCAAATGGCATAACCGTAAATTCGAAAAGGCCTTTTTTGCAAACGAAAGCTGTTTTCTGAATCGATTCGGGGTCCATAGCTACTTGCCAATACCCTGAGTGGCAGTCGACTGAGGAGAAACAACTTTTGTTACCTAAGGATGATAGGATTATATCGATATTAGGTACTGGGTATGAATCTGACTTTGTAACTGTATTCAATTTTTTGTAATTAATACACATTCTGAATTGATTGCCTTTTTTAGGTACTACTACAATAGGCGCGGCCCAAGGACTGTTAGATTTTCTGATAGCTCCTCTTTTAATGCCATCATCGATAGTTTTGTTGATGAATTCGTCAACAACTAGGTTTGTACAATACGGTGCCTGTTTTAAAGGTTTTGCATCTCCCGTGTCAATTACGTGTGTTGTTACGTTTGTAACTCCTAATTCGAGTTCATGAAGTGCGAAAACATCGTTGTATTCTTCGACAAGGTTAAAAAACTTTTCTTTGAGTTCAGGGGGACCGCCGTAAGATATTTGATTAACGATATCTTGCGTTCTAGTAGATAACTGAATCGCATTCGTAAGGATTGGTTCAGAATCAGTGCCTGGTACAACGTTAACCTGTTTCGTATCTTTAACTGGCTTCTTGCTTTCAATGTTGACAGTAATTTCTGATGTACTTGGAGTGATAGGCATACAACAGATCGAGTTTAAAGATCGATAAATGTTTATGTTTTTAATACTTGTTGGAGGTACTTGTTCGGTTTTCAATTGAATTAAATGAAAATTGAAAAGTTTCATTGCCGGACAACCGAGTAAAGCATGATCTGCCTTTACTTGAGTAATGTGGAATCGGCAATTTTTTACTTGATCATCAATTTGAATTGGTAATACACAAGTACCCAAGAATTTTAATTTTTCGCCGTTGGCTACTGTAGCATGTATTTCTGTTTTTCGGTAATCAATAACTTGAAGATTCAGGGAGTACTCACTAATTAACCTATTAAAGTAATTTACTGGTAAAGTGGACAGTTGGCTGCCCGTGTCCAAAAGAGCAAGGATTTCACAGTTATTGATTTTGATTGTGGTACCGAGCAAGTTTTTGTCTGGTAATTCTGTACCTACTGGAAGAGCAGTGGTATTTTTGAGAAAAGTCTCCAATTCGTAAGTTTTTGAGAATTCCTCAGAGCTACAATCGACTGGTAGCTTTTGTGCTGGGTTAAAATGGATTATTTGTGATACTAGAGGCTCTGGCTCTTCGTTTACGTTTCCCGACTGATAAAAGCATGAATTTGTAGTTGCTTTTTTCGAGTCTCTGTCTTTTTTGTAACATTTACTCTCATGATGGTACGGTTTGTTACAATAACTACATACAGTAAAATTTTGACGTGTTTGATTAGCGCCCGGAACGTTTTCACGTCTGTTCACATTCCGGGCTTCTGAAAACCCTGAGGCAATTTTCCAAAATTTTGAGGATATACCTTGTTTTGTTGTTCTGAATTGGTATTATTACCATACTTTCTGTTTTGACGATAAATGTCATTTTGTTTCTTTACTTGTGAGCGAGTCTGTAAGCCATCGTACACCTTACAAGCAACTCGCACCATAGAATCATAATCTGGATTCAATGTTTGTTGTGAACTGAGTGCAATGTGAGCCTGTTCACAATTCAATCCACCCAAAAATTTGGCAATCATTTCTCGTTCTCGAAGCTCTTTGGGGTAACCAATGAGTGCTCTACATGCCAGCATTTTGATTCTGCGGGCATAATCTCTAATATGCAGATCATGTTTACGATAGTAAGGTCGTTGGAAGTCTGCCATGGCCTTGTCAGGGTCAAATTTTGATTGTAACAGCTCTTTTTCCAACAATTTCACGCAGTTATCCGTGTCTAACAACGGGTAATCGGTCTGAATGGTTCTGTAACATACTTTAGCATCACCAGTGAGTTTGGTTTCCACAAGATTCTTCTTTAACAACTCACTAAAGTGTAGCGTGCTAGTTCTGTAAGCCGAGAAGAAGGACTCGAGAACGTCGGTTTTGTCGTCTCCCGTAATTTTTGGAATCTGGGATTGAAGCACAATAAAACTGCTAACATCGTTTATTGGAACTGAGGCACTTGACTGCGAATTGTCTTCAAACACTGATTTTGGAGACTGAAACACTACTCTTTCTGTATCAGTAAGGCGGAAAGTAGGAGTAGATTGATTTTCAGTACCAACACCACCAGAATTTGTTGCTTCAGAATTGACCTTTTCTTTTGAAGGCGTAGCAGTACCATTTTGTTCGGTTTCTGCTTTGTCTCCCGAACAAGTTACTTTTTCGTTCAAAACTTTCATTTGGCTTTCAGTGTGTGTTTTCATGTCAAGAATTTGCTTTTTCAAATCAGTAATTTGTTTTTCAGACTTTTCAGCTTCAACTTTTAATGTGGATGCAAGATTGTCATTTTGAGCTTTCATTTCCGAGAGCATTTTGGCCAGAAACTGCATATCAAATGGGTTATTATCTCCATTCAAACTTGGACTTTCGGCCATTATTGCTTTGACAATCGAGTGTTAGTTCGAATTTAGTCGAAAAAGAACAATCGAATTTGGTCGATGTTATATATATACTCGAATTTAGTCGGTATTTAATTATACTCGGATGTAGCCGGTATTTTTACACTAGGATGTAGCCTGTGTTAGATTGTACTCGGATGTAGCCAGTACTTAATTATACTCGGATGTAGCCGGTATTTTTACACTAGGATGTAGCCTGTGTTAAATTGTACTCGGATGTAGCCGGTACTTAATTATACTCGGATGTAGCCGGTATTTTTACACTAGGATGTAGCCTGTGTTAAATTGTACTCGGATGTAGCCAGTACTTAATTATACTCGGATGTAGCCGGTATTTTTACACTCGAATTAAGATCGAGAATAGACTTGAAATCGAATTAGGATCGATTTTCAAACAAAAAGTACTCACTTTTAGCACAATAATGGCCAAAGTAGAGTCAAAAATCACGCGAAATTTCAAAAAATCGTGTATTTCACAAAAATAAGTTGTTCCGACAAGGAAAAAGGTATTATAACCGCAAACAAGAAAGGATTCAGCAAAAAAGTGCTATTTTGGCACAAAGAATCTCAAAAAAGCGGAATAAACCAAAAAAGTGAAATCAACCGAAAAAGTGAAAAAAATTCACAAAAAAGAATCAAAATTCGCCAAAAATAAAACGAAAACCGAAGATTCGTGGAGCTGATGCCGTGGTCGCCAAGTTGTGACAATAATATCCAAGACAATAATACAATATATATGTTTATTACCAACCACAAGATATTATGTCGAGTATCAATCGGAGCGGATGATGAGACCGACCGGTCAGGAGACGTACGTTGCAATTGACTGACTGCCACGCGTGCGTTTTATCCGAGGAAGAGAGAGAACGCCAATTTGCATAACCGTTCGATTTATCACGTGTCCCGAGCGTGGCCCAACTGAGCTGTAGAATGCCATTCAAAGTACGATAACTCTTCCTGGGCGACTACATTGATCGAGGCAGACACTCGATCGAAGTGATCATGTTGTTGTTAGCAATCAAGGTGAAGTACCCGAAGAACATCTACTTGCTTCGAGGGAATCAAGAACTCAAGAACATTAACAAGTAAGTTTTAGTCTGCCCTGCCCGTGCCCTGTCCGCCCTGTAATGCCCTGCGTACTATTTTGCATCTAATTTTGGTTTTTTATTATTTATCCTGCTCAACCTTATTCTATTCCACCTTGCTTTAAACTAGATGTTGCTTTTGGGTCAATCAGTTTTAACCGCAACTTTCGTCTCATTTCTAATATACTTAAAGGTGTGTTTTTAGGCATAACTATAATATAAGCTTTGATATTTTTTTTTAAATTTATTAGGTTGTTCAAATAATTGCATGCTCCCATTAAAAGCAAATTTTTGAAGAGAACTAATAAAACAAGGCCATAAAACATTCGTGTTGCAAATGGGTCTCAAAACGACATTATGTTTGTTGTATTTTGTTCGAATGTTTCAATTAATTTATTTCGTTTTAAGGTAAAGACGGAGTTTTGATTTTATTTTTTAATAATTTTTAGTTTTATGACATATTTTTGTCATTTAAGAGATATTTTTTAACGGCTTTTTTAGCTTTTATGGCAATTATTTATATTTCATTTGTTTTCGTTTTAGTTAACAATGCGTAGATGCCAAAGAAAGTCCTCATCTCCTTCTAAGACATTTCATCCCGTTCGGACTTCGTATACTCTTGTTTTTCATCCTAAGAAGGATATTCCATTGAACATCTCTAAGTTGGCTACAGACTTGAAAGAGTTGGATTTAAGCAAAGTTACTTGGCTGAGAGGTAACTTTTACTATTTTTTATTGCTTTTTAGGTTGCGGGTTTGGCTTAGAAATACCCTGCCGGAAAACCACCCTATAAGATGTCGAGTGTAAAAATTTTATAGCTTTCACATAACTTTTTCTTTTTTAAAGTCAAAAATTCTAGACGAAATTCACTATACCAAAGGCGATCAAGGTATACTACAATGTCGATATCAATCAAATCACAATCCACGAGTTGATTCAGTATCTGTCCAGTAAACTCGTCAAGGAGATCTCGATGGTTGTTTTCGACACTGCATCTTGAACTGGTTTATTATTTTTGTTATTGGCCCGCTTTTTTTTACAAGTTTTTAACTTATACATTGTTTCTTTCTAATTAAATTTTAAGGGCGTTAAAGAACGTATTGAATTTATTTTAAATCCTTGGAAGTGTAATAGAAAGCAAAAAAATGAATTACGGCAAATTGGGATAATTCATATAACATGTGTAATATAATTTAGTTGTTTTGGCCGGATTGAGAAATTCTTGATGCTTTGAAATTATATTTTACTTATATTGTTATAGTTAGGCATACAGCTGTGTTTGTGACCTTTCTTACGTATATTTTGATTATGAACAGCTTGTATTATTCACAAGCTAATTTTGCCATGGATGTTATATTTTTCTGTTTTCGTGTTGTTTCAGGTTGCTTTTTAGACTTTTAAAAGTTTGTAGAGGCTTTTCTAGGCAATACTGATAACGTATATTGTAGTATTTATAGTATTTAGACAAAATACTATTATTATATGACTAGTTAACAGTCGAAGATAGGAAGTTTTCGATACTTTCTTCGATTTTTGCTTGGGGTGGTCATGATTAATATCTTTATTGAGCTGTCAGATCCTTTTAAGATTTGATATATTAAAGATATTGTAATCTTAACATTCTGAGTATATTTTGCATAGCTATGCAAAGTTTTGTCCTATTATGGTTTGTATTTTATGACTTTTATTGAATCACATTGGGTTAGGTCAAGTGTAATATATTAGATGTCGTAACTCCCGGATATAATGGAATTGTGTAAAGTGTTTGATTATAATAGCGTATTCTAGAGTTATTCAGTTTAGTTTTTGTGAATATTTTTACTTTTTTTGCTTCTTTTGGTTTTTATACAACTTCGAAAACATTTTGAAAAAAAAACAATGAGCGTAATTGATTATGCATTAGAAAAATTTGAAGAACCTGTTGGCGCTGGTCTTTATTTTGAATAATTTGAGAGCTACGAAGAAGTGATTTTAGAATTATAAAAAATTTTAATTTTTTACCTAACACAATATAATTTTGATGCAAAAAGAATGGCGCTGATCGTTTCTCAAAACATTTTTATGCGAAAATAGTGAAGTACCCTAAATTTACAATTACAGAGCTGTGAAATGCCACTTGGCCTGGCCTTGGCTTGGCCTTGGCTTCTTGGTCTTGTCTGCTTGGTTTTGCCTTCTTGCCCCTCAACTTGGTCGAGAGCGTACTGATCAGGTCGCTGGGCTACGCACGAATGGTGGCCGACTTTGCCGAGGAGTTTGGAAATTTGAATATCAAATTCCAGTCGAGAATTAAGAATGAAGGCGCGCACTACTGCAATTTGTGTGAGGTAGGTTTAGCTGGGCATGTTGTATTAAGTTGGGGAGGGGAGTATTGGTATGGAAGCTACGTTTTTAGAAATAAATAAAAAAAATTTTTGGGTCTCCACCCTCCCCCCTAGAAAAAATCCGTAGCGACGCCCCTGCTCCCACCTAAAACGTCACCTGGTTGATGTTATACTTGATTTTCACTCAAATTTGCTAGTTAAAACTAATTAAAAGTTCAGAGACCTTATCAGCAATCTTATTACTACATTTCTTCAAAAGAACGTGAACTTTTAGATAAGCTCCTAACGTTTTTGAACAGTTTTTCGAACGAACGTGAACAATTTTTCTTTTGTGTCAGATGTTCCCCAATGGTTTTTTGCCTCGTGTCAGCTCTTTTCCTTTCTTTTTTTTTGTTTTCTGGATTTTGAGAACGGAAAAAAAAGAAAATTCCTGTATCTTCTGGATAAATTTATCGATAAAAACAGTCTTTTAAAAAATTGAAGGCTAATCTCTTTATTTTTTTTAACCTTTCTTGAAATTTTTAAAAATTTTAGGTAACAAGATTCATTTCCAAATATTTTTAATATTCGATCATTTTTACAAACTTCATTATCACTGATAAAACGATTTTGATTGTCATTGTCAATTTCGTAATGCGTTGTTTCAGGGTTTCACTAATAATTCCGCCTCATGTTGACATAGACGAACCGCCGGAAAGAGCCATGAGTTTGTTGAGCTCTCTAATTTTCATAGTCATAACTGGTTGGTAAGTTTCTTTTTGTTTTTCTTTTGTTTTTAGGCGTTTTTCAAGTAGATGTTACTGGTATTTTATCATTTTTGTCAAAGTCTGAAAAAATAGCTTTTTTTGGAAGGTCTTAAACTTTATTTTTGGTCTTTCCATGTAATTTTTGACCGAGTTTAAAATGAAACGTTTCTTAATAGTTAAAATAATGTTTCTTTTTGCTTCTAAAACAAAAATTTAATGGGTACGAGCTACCACTTATTTTAAATCTATGAAAGGATAACATTAAAATTTTTATAAAGAAATTTTTAAAAACAAACGTCTTTTGATGTTTCTATGTATTTTTGGCCATCTTAACAATGAATTCCATTTAGATAGTCAAACCAACAAATTTTCTGTATTTTAAGTTAAAAATATCTTTCGACTTTGGCTCCAGGCTTTGAAAAAAGGCAAAGTCATGGATAACATCGAGATGTTTCGCTGTAAAATGAAAAATTTGTAAATTGATCTGTAAAAAGTTTATTCTTATAGACAATTTCAGCACGATAGCAATATCAACGTCAAGTTCTTGGCATCACCGAGATGTACTTGGTCTTTCAACGTTACATCGCCCTGTGATTCAGACCAAACGGTAGGTTATAGTTTTTTGATAAAAAACAAATGGACAAAGATCTATGAAGATTGTTTTTGAGTGTAATTCAATATAGGAATAACTAGTCGTTCCGTTTGTTAAGTACTTTTTGACCATTCGAACGGAAAAGACTCGCTTTATTTGAAAAGAATGGCCAAAACGACAGACTTTTAGTTGATTTTAATTGAAATCAGACCTTTTTGATGATTTTAAAAGTCGTAAATTTCATAAAACGAGGTTATTTAGATGGGACTGGGTAGGGCAAGCTATGGTGTGATGATTTAAGGTAGGGTCGGGCAGGGTAAAGTATGGCAGGGTAGGTTTTTTTTAAACAATTCCTCGAGTTTTTGGGATTTTTCTCTGTTTTTAAGCCAGAAATTGTCTCCAAAAAAGTTAATCAAGTAATAATGACTAAAATATGATGAGTCTTAACAATATCCAACATGATAAACTCACAAAAACATAAAGAAGAAAATTAAACGTTTTTTGCGCTGTTCAGCCCCCGGAGGGAAACGTCTTTTTATGGACATTTCGAGGCGAAAAAAGCACACAGATCCACGTTGCGCAGCTTGTTTTCCGAGCTAATAATCGAATTGATTTCTCACTTTATTTCCAAAAAAAGTAAAGTTAAGGTTAAGAACTGAAAGTGGAAGTTTTCTTTGATTTCATTATTTTGGGTTGGGCGGTGCACGGTACTTTTAAACAACAGAAACCTAGTGTAGAATTTAACTTTTGTTGGCTTGGGCGTGGTTGATCTTGATTTTTTTGATTGGGCGTGGTAAAATTTGACTTTTTTAGTTGGGCGGGGTAAAACTTTATTTTTTGGGTTGGGCAGGTAAAAGTTTGATTTTTTTGGGCAGGGCTGGGCATGCTATTTGTTTTTGCTTGAGCGAGTGCAAGTTTGATATTCTGGGTTAGACGGTATAGGATTTCGTTTTTTTTGGATTGGGCAGTGTAACATTTGATTTTTTTGTATTGGGCAGTGTAACATTTGATTTTTTTTGGCTAGAAATTTTTTTGTTTGAGCTGACTAATTTTTTTTTGCCTTGTGAATTGCAAAGTTTGTTTTTTAAATAAAAAAATATTTTTTAAAGTTGGTTTTTATCTATTTGGAAGTAACATTCAAAACCAATGTTTTGCAATTATTTGTTTCAAAACGTGTTGTTTGTTCAAATGGCTTTGGGAACTAAAATTGAAAAATTAAGGATTATGCTCGAGGTGCGCTCGTTAGATTAGCCGTGGATGGTTGTTTGCGAACGGACTCATTAAAGTTTTTTAATCACACGATTTTAAATATTGTTATACTAGGTTGTTTTCATCATTTTTCTATCACCGTTCTCTATTTCTTCATCTTTTTTTGATGATGTGAATAAAATATGATTCGTGGGGTATGTAATCAAAATTCGAAATGCTTTGTTCGTTTTTTTGAAACGATTAAAACAATGATTCGAAAACATCACAGTGGGCAGCAGCTATTTTTGATCAAACGAAAGCGAAATGACGATTTTATGAATGGTATGACATTTTAAATCGAATTTACATTTAAAATGAGTGATTTTGGATGAATAGACCGTAGCATCATTGGCTTACTAAAGTTATATCATTATCTTATTAATGTTATATCATTGGCTTGTTAATGTGATATCATTGCCTTATTAATATGATATTACTAATGATCAAAGACAACCCGAAAATATTGTTTATTCCAAGCGTTTGTTTTGTAAATTACAGTAGCTCAAAAATCAAACAGCTCAAAAGCAACGGAGCAAAAATACATTTCAAATTGGTTTTTGAACACTATTTGCGAAACACTTGAAGTATTGTGAAAAAGTCAGAAAACATAGTTAAAGACTGTGAGCAGTTTTACGTACGTTCGTCGTGTGATAAAGGATTTGGGAATAATCGTACATTTCGAGGTGTTTTTTGATGAAGAACAGAGTGATGATAAGGTTTATGGGGTTATTTGGACGATTGTTCGGTGTTTAAAGTGCGTTTCCGGTACAAATGTAGCTCAAGGTATATTTACCATACCATGAGGACAACTATGTCAATCTATTAGCATGGATTTACATAGTTGTCTTCATGGTATGGTAAAGAATTGTTGTTAGGTTCGATCTGAAAGGCGGTTTACTAGGCGCGCCCGGCCTTTTTACAGGTCTAGTCACGGCACGTTGGTCTGTTGTAAGCTTTGTTGATTTGTCAATAATGTCTATACTAAACTGTTCTACAGTAAAGTGTTTACTAGAGTATCTAACAACCATATCTTTACTAGACTATCTTACATTAATATCTTTTCTATGTTATATGACAAAAATATCTTTACAAGACTTTTCTAAAATAATATTCTAATCAGATTAATCATTTCCATGATATTAACCAGACTCTTCTAAACTATACGCTGTAACGAGACTGTTCTAGACAATACTACAATATTCCCTTAACCAGGCCGTTCTATATTGTAAACAGTAACCAGACTGTTCTAAACAAAACTATAATACAAGCAAACAGTCTGATCTGCTAGATTTAATTTTGTTTTTTCTACAATAACGACACGCATAAATTAAAAAACGATTAAAAACGTTGACGTTCGCATGAGATGGAGTAGTGTGCGTTTTTTTGCAAAAAGAACTGTGTTGACCCAGTTTTGAGGAAGAGAAAACTACAATTAAAACAGGTGGATTTGGCGAGTTATTTCCGTGAGGATTCTCGATTTGAGGTATTGTAAAGGATGTTTTAGGGTATTCTGAAGATTTTTGAACTCTTTAGGGAATTGTATATGATTGAGGTTATTTTGGGATGTTTAAATATTTTAAACTTTACGTTAAGGCAGAATATTGTAGTAGGCTTACGGAACAAGAAATGGAGTATCAGAATAATTGCTTGGCAACTTGCTGGTTTAAAAGTTAGTTCGGTCAAAAATTAATTGATTTAAATTTACCATACCCATAAACAAACTGACAGAAGGTTCATGGTGTTGATATAAATTTAGTGTCATCAAGTGTTCTTTAAAAATTTTTTAAATAAAATGATTTGTTGAAAATTTTCGCAATTTTCCCCTTATATGATAAACGAACTACGGGTTGTGAAAGTTTTTATCACTGATGATCTCAAAAAACATTATGACTGTTAATATTGACACGTCATCTTTACTCAGTGGCAAAATTTTGATATGAATCTTATGTTTTAAACCTGCTTCTTCGAAAATTCGTGGAGTTCTAAAGTCACGAAAAGGTTGTATTTTTAGTTTTGAATATTAATTTTGGCATAGCTTTTGTTTGATTACTTATAGGGCGAGCAATTAGGGAGTTTTAGCCATATCAAATGTGTTGAAGCACGTTTATTGTACAAACTTTTAGTACAGTCAGCTTAATGTGCAAACTTTTAGCACAGTAAACTAAAAATTTTATACGAAAAACGTTCCGCAAAACTTTTAATTTAGCCGAAGCCCCCTAAATTGCCCCGCTTTATGCGTAATCGAAACAAAAGTATACTAAAATTGATATTCAAAACGAAAAATACGGACTTTTTTCGTGTTTTAGCTACACGAATTTTCAAAGAAGCGGGTTTGAAACAGAAGATTCATATCGAAATTCCGCCAGTGGGTAGTGGAGATGTGTTGATAATAACAGTCATAATGTTTTTTGAGATCATCAGTGATAAGGAACGACTTTCGTAACCCAGTTCGTTTATCATAAGGGGGCAAATTGCAAAATTTTCAACGAATCGTTAGGATGGGAAATTTTTTAAAGAACACTTGATGCCACTAAATTTATATCTTCCCAGTTTGTTTATGGTTTTGGTAGATTTTGGTCGATAATTTTTCGTGGCAACTAAATGTTTTGGTCTATAATTTTTTATGAGATTGCTGTTTTGGTCGATAGATTTGGTGAGAAATAAATATTTTTTTGCTGGGAAAATATTATTTTATACACTTGATTTTGGCTTTTAATAGATTTAATTCTGAATTCGATTGGTTTCATTGTGTCAATTTTTTTTGAGAAGGCTTTTCCGCATAATTTTATGAGGGAAATTGGGGTTCTTTGGATTTTCACAGTTTACAAAACGTGATTGTACTCTCGCTTTTTAAAATTTGAATATGATTCTTTAAGTTGAAGTCAGAGATGTGAGGTTTTTTTGTGAGGAGGACGAGTGGAAGTTTGTCAACCTCCCCTAGTGATGTCAATGGTTGGAGTTTTGATTTTAGTGTCTTATTTGTCCTTAGTTATGAAAAAATCATTGTCTAGTACTGTTATCGTAAAGGAAAACGTTCATATAAGTTCAAAGTGTACCTATTTTTACCATTTGAGTACTTTCCACTTGTCATCAACCATGCATTAGATTACAAAGCGTAAGTTGATGACAAGTAAAACGCACTCAAACTTTAAAAATGGGTACATTGTGAACCGAGATGAACTTTTTTTTGCGTTTACAGTAGTTATCAACACACTACTTTATTGATGCGCCGTTTTAATAAAAAATGTTTGATTGGGAAAAGTGTAACAATATAAAGTAAAATTATGATTCAAAGTAAAGTTTGTGAGGAGTAATAGTTATTTATATTGTGATCTTGATCACCAGGTGCTTTGAAGTTTAAAATCTTGATTATCAGGTGTTTTGAAGTTGATTGAAGTAGTGAGGAAAGTGTGGTAAAATACGTTTTGGGGAGATAAAAATTCAGAAATATTAGTGTTATGTATCAGATTACCCTGGTGAAAATTTTTACTTCTTTCATTAATCATGCTTTATGATAGTCTTGACCAACTTTGGAAGAAGGTACCTTGAATAACCTTCTGCCAGCTTTTTACAATCAAGAATGTTGTTTGAATGTAGTCTTTCTGGTTTATGAGTTTAAGGAAACGGTTTTTTTCGCAATTCGTGGGAAGAAACGTTAAGTGTTTTCTTAAAATACCATGTTTTACAAAGGTAAAGCGGGGTAAACAAGCGAAATTGCTGTTAATCTTCCAAAACAAACCAGACTAAAGGGGAATATAGCTAAAGTTGTTTTTTGAAAGCTGAAGTGACTGCTAGGATGGGGGTTGTTGTCTAGGAGGATGAGGGTGGGGTAAAATTTATAGTTTAGACGGGGAATGAAGGGAAAAAAATTCTTTTAGGCGGGGTATATATCCTTTTGCTTCTAGGTAAAAAATTGAAATTTTTCTATGATATCTTTCATGTTAAAGCTGAAAAAGTACTGTAAAATGTGGCGTAAACTAAGAATTACATTTCACTAGTTCATACACTTTGAAAATTGCTGTTTTCTTGAATAAAGGGTATTGTCATGACTACATGATTAAAGTCTGTGCGAAGTTATTATAGTAAGAAGGGTGTTCGTCTGTTCTACTTATATTTCAAGCAGGAAATTTTGTTTGTTGGCACGGTAATTTTATTTGGATTGTTGTAAGACTTCCTTGTTATAGTAAATGTAGAGGTTTTTGTTTGAGATACTGGGTTTTTACTTGGTGATATTGTATTTATCCAGGGCTTTGAATGTGTTCTTAAGATGTTATTGCGCTGTTCTAGGCTTGCAACATAGGGTTTACTATAATGTTCATCTTTAAGTATCTAAAATAATGCCTTGAAACCTATGAATAAAGGTGCTGCTTTTCTAAAACCAGGCTTGGACACAGGGCGGGACATTGACGATTTTCCATGCCCTACCCGACACAGAGCGTTTCAGTTGTGTGCCTTACTCTGTGTCCACTACCGCCTAAAACCCATCTTTAAAGTCTAAATATGACAATCAAACACCAATATTGACGTAGGATCGATAAACTACCTTCAACTATGTGGACATGTGATCCCTTATCAAGACATTTGTCATGAAAAGTACAAACCTTTTGGCTTCCAGACAAGAAACTCGATGGTTTTTTCCTGTTATTGCTGTTCTCATGATTTGGCTCGTGGTTTTTTGTTTTTGTTAGCGAAACTTGAAACACTAAAGATGGGAGTTGAGATATGTTTTTGAATGTTCTAGAGGTTGTTGTTATGTTCTGATGGTGTGTTTTGGCAATACAGGGAAACTCTTGTACAATGAATTGGTGGGGGATTTAAATTTTGTTCGTTATGAAGGAGTTTTGTTATAGAGGAGTTTTAAGTGGAGTATGTAGTGATAGAAGACGATTTTTTCTTTGATTCTCGTGCCCTTCTCAAGTCAAAATCTATTGATTCTCCTATTGTTCCTAGGCCAAATTCGCTTGTTTAACTCTTACCGTGACACATTTTGTACGTGATCTTTATTTAACGAAAACAAGGAGTCGTATTTTACAATTCCAGCCCACTCTCAACACAATTTTCATGCCGATAATCGTGGATCAGCGTTCTTTATGGCACATAAACTCATAAATGGACGAGAAAAGTCGTGGTCCTGCTTCTCGGGCTACAAATCTCTCCAATTTCGAATGAAATTCCCCAAATTAAAGGCCTTTTACTTAACCTTCGCTTTCGTATTACTGTTGCTGTGCGCGGCAAATGCATCCAAATACTCTTTAGTCTACATTCTTTATGGGTAAGGGCGCATTCTATATGGGTAAGGGTGAACTTGTGTGTGTAGGGGGAGGTAGGGTGACATTGTGGTGGTTTTAGGACAGGGTATGGTAGAAAATGGATTTTTGAAGGGCGGGGTAGAAATTTTTTGTGCAAGGCGGGGTAGATATAATGGGCTAGAATCTTTACTAGGGCATGGTAAATTTAGTAGAGGGGGTAGTTTTGAAAAAGTTTTTTAATTTGTTTTTTCGAAAAAGGTAATATAAAAAATTTTTTAGGGCAGGGTAATTTTTTGACAGGGGTGGTTTTTAAATAAAAATAAATTTTATGAACGAAAAAAATTTTTGGGCGGTGTAAATTAGAGGTGAATTTCAAAAATTTTTTAAATGGTTAAAAATTTTAGGGCAGGCTAAATTTGGGGCGGATTTTCAAAATGTTTTGTTAGTAAAAAATACACAAAAATTGAAAATCCACTCCCAGTTTACTCTGCCTTAAAGTTTTTTAAATATAAAAAAAATTTTAAATTCAAAAGTAAAAAAAATTTTAAAAGAACGATTTTTAAATAAATATTACCCAAACCAATGTTACAGACATGATCTCAACAAATGCGCCTCTAGTCAAGACCCGATTAACACATTAACGGCCGAACAAGACATAATCTCGCACAATCTCACCGATCTAATCAACTCCTCATTATATCACATTGAAGACGACAAAACAGTGGAACAAGAGTCGAAGCAGGCGAAAGAAGAGCTGGAACTTGTGGATAAAGGTAGGGTTTTGGTAACATACGTCGCCAATTGGGTTAAATTGTATTAATTTTCTTACTTTATTTCTTGAGTAATCAAAATAACGGAAACTTGTAATAAAAACAGCAAAAACTTTCTTTCCAAAGCAGAAAACAACAAAAACTCTTTACAATTCACAAAATGACAAAATTTATAACAGGTATGCTTTAAAATGCTCAAAAACTTTTTTTCCACCTAGTGTTCCTTGAACTTTTTATAATCAAGCGCACCGTTGCTTAACTTGCCAGATCGGACGGGTCCGCGCTTTCGCACTGTGCAAACAAGACAAATGGCGCTGCACGGTGCAGAAATTAACCTTTTGGCAATAACTTTGTTTACAATGATAGGAAATGGCATTTCATAAAATTTTTGAGTTTTGGCAGAACTGTTTTTACAATTTTATTGATTTTTGAGAGCATAGCTGCTTTTGCACGGTGCAGAGAGAGAAAAATGTATTTTGGGCAATAATTTTGTTTGCAATAAAACAATTGAAAGTACAATTGAAATGTAATAAAGATTAGCTTAAATATAGGTAATAAACCTAGTTTTTTAAAATACTGTTTAGGATAACAAAATAACAATAATAAAAACACTGTTTTAGGTAACAAAATAACATTAATATCATTTCAGCAGCCGAAAAGCCTTCAGAAAAGCCTCAAACACCTCCAGCACAGCCACCCATAGCCACATTCGAAGAATGGACAAAAGAAAAGCTGTCGAAAGACAAGAAAAAGCGAATCGACCAAAAAACCGACCAGCTAAACCCAAAAACAAATGAATCGACCAAAAATTCGGTTGAAAAAGAATCGACCGAGAAGGCTAAAACTTCAGAATCGGCAGAATCTACAGAAATTCAAAAAGGCGCACCAACTGACCCAAAAACAGCACCAGTTGTGGTACCAACTCCAGTGGTACCTATCGTACAGCCGAAACGAAATTATGCCTCTAGGGAATGTGGCGCTAAAGTTTTGATGTCGAATGAAGAGGCCGAACACGTGAAAGCGGTGCTGAACGACAAAGAACGCGACGAATATATGCGAAACCCGTGCGAAAAGGCCAAAAACAAGTTCATGATCATCGAGATGTGCGAAACTATTCAGGTAAAATACGCACTGTCTTCTTACACTTCTTTATAGGGTGGTTTTAAAATACGTTTTTTTAAATGTATTTAAAAAGCCGTTAAATTTTAATTTTCGGGACGGGGTAATAAAAACCATTTTGGGCGGGGTAAATTTTTTAAGGGGCGAGGGGGGGGAAGGAGGGGTGAGTAAAAAAAATTTTTTTTAAATGAAGGGTTTGGTTTTTTTTTGGCCGATTAAAATTTTTTTTTTTGATTAAATTTTTTTTTGGGCAGGGTAAAATTTTTAGAGGAATGGGGAGGCCAGTAGAATTTTTTTTAAAATTAAGGCTTTAACTTTAAAATAATGGTAAATTTTTTTAAATTTGTGGGCGGGTTATTTTTTGCAGAGGGGTGATGGGGGTGGGGTAGATAAAAAGATGAAAAAAAAAGTTTTGGGCGAGGTATTTTTTGCTAATTTTTCGTGCAGAGGGTCTGGGACGTTTCTATTTTACTTCATTCTCCTTGTTCTTCTACACCTATCTTTATCTATACTCTTACCCCTACCACCACCCCTAAACCTAGCTTTGTTCCTCCTCTTCCCTACCTCTACCATTAGCTTTAAATCTTCCTGTACTCCTACTCTTACCCATAAATCTACCCCTACCACTACTTCTTTCACTACACTTATCTCTACTCTTACCTCTACCACTAGCCTTAACTCAACCTTTACCTCTACTCTAACTCCAACTTCTTCATCTACTACTACCCTTACCACTACTCGTGCTTTTACCTTTATTCATCCTTCTCCTATAAAAAATCTGTACGAACCTCTCTGGAGGGGTGGTTTGTAATTTTTATTTTCAATTTCATCAATTTTTAAAAATTTTATACTTTTTGCCATTTCAGCCAACTCTGTTAGAAATCGCGAATTTCGAACTGTTTTCATCAGGCCCTCGAGAGATCCAGCTATCGATCGCGGAACGATACCCAACCATCGATTGGCACGTTGTGGGTCGATTCACCGCCGAAGACACGAGGGAAATGCAGAGCTTCAACTTTGAACCAAATGGCATTTATGCCAAGTTTATTAAGGTGGGTATGGGTTTTGAAATTTTAATTTTTTTTGGTTACTGTAAGATCTGGAGTTTTTGTGGGCTACTGTAACATGGGTTTGCTTATTTTTAGGTTTTGATTAGTCTTTAGGCTGATGTTTTTACAAAAACACTAATTTTGATGTCCTACTATACCTAAAAATATATTTTTTACATTTTTCAGCTAGACTTACTATCCCATTACGGTAGAGAACATTACTGCACATTGTCCACAATACGAGTCTCAGGAATGTCAATGGTCGATGAATACGAAGCCGAAGCCATCTCAGAACAAGTACAAACCCAACCCCAAATCCCACCCCCAAAAGTAGAAAAAGAAGAACAGAAAGAAGAAGCAAAAGAAGAAAAAATAGAAAAGAAAGAAGAAGAGAAAGCGGAAAAAGAAGAAACAACAGACAAAAAGATCCTCGGAACGATTGTTGGAACATTAGGCAAACTCGGAGCAGTCTTTACCGGAGGGCACAATTTGAAAAACGAAGAGCTGTGGCAGGAAAAGGACAGCAAAATGTAGGTTTTGTTACCTAAAGTTTGAGGAAATGGCCATAACTTTGCTTTAAAGCTGAAAAATTGCAAGAACTTTCTTTACAGAACCAAAAATGGCAAAACTTTCTTTACAGAACCAAAAATGTCAAGAACTTTCTTTACAACACAAAAAATGGCAAGAACTTTCTTTACAGAACCAAAAAATGGCAAGAACTTTCTTTACAATATGAATAACGTCGATTTTTTAAAAAAATGTACTAAATGCACCACTTTATTAATTTTTTTCCAGCTTATCAACAAGAGCATGCTTTTCTCAGTGCAATACGAAACAACACAACTTCAACACAACTGACTATCAATGCTTTCTATTTGGCACAAGAGCCAATCTAAAAAAGCCTCAAAAAGCGGTACCAACAGTACCAAAAGCAAAAATTCAAAAAGGAATCACAAAAGCTCAAAAAACCTTACTTCGTGCCATTTTGGTCAGTAAAACATGCCCAACGGCTATGAATCGTCCGGTCGAACCGAAAATAGTCGATAAACCGGTCGAAAAGAAATCGACCAAAAATGACAGTGAAAAAGGACCAGACACTCAATTGGTACCAGCAGAAACACAAAAGGAAAAGAAAGAAGAGAAAATAGAAGTAAAAGAAGATGAAAAAGCGAAGAATGAGGGAATTAGTACTGGTAATGGCGCTGGTGTTACTACTAATGGTGCTGCCGGTACTGGAGGTGCTCAAATAGGTGGAGATCAGACTGTTCAACAACAATTTGTACCTAAAAGTGAGATTCTTTACTTTTGATGGGTAAATTTGAACAAGGGAGCTTACTGTCGTATAACTTGTCACCCGCAGACTGCACAATAAGGAAATATTATTTTTTATATGAATATTGGCAAGAACTTTCTTTACAAAACAAAAAATGGCAAGAACTTTATTTACAAAACAAAAATGGGAAGAACTTTTTTTTACAAAACGAAAAATGGCAAAAACTTTTTTTTACAAAACGAAAAATGGCAAGAACTTTCTTTACAAAGCAAAAAATTAAAAGAACTTTCTTTACAAAACAAACTTTAATTGAAAATCTTATGAAAATGTGCCGTTTTAGATGTGAACTCTCTACCAGGCACCGCCTCAACCCACAAAGAATCCGTCTTCATGAAGTTGAACAAGCGTTTATCAGCTCTAGAGCTGAACATCTCACTATCCACTGAGTACCTGAACGAACTGTCACGTCGTTACGTGGCACATCAAGAAGAGTATAACAAGCAACGTGAACGTGATCAAGAATTCCTGAAAGAGCTGGTCAAAAACGCCGGAAAACAGATCAAAATCACGTACGAAAGCCAGATCTCGGACATTAAACGCGAACTCGAGGACATAACACGCAAGATACGAAGCCTAAGCAGGGAATACCGACAATTCGATAGCTATTGCAATAGGTTTTACAGTTTTAAAGCCGATCCTTTCGAAAGAAGTCTGAGTGTACCGGAAAGAAACTGTGGCCAAGCAGAGGAGAAGAACGTGAGAATGATAACCAATGTGAAGGAGGAAACAATCGAGAATGGCGTGGAAGTGAAGAAAAGCCTGGAAATGGAAGAGACTTTCATTGGGACTGAAGGGTGGGTTTTTTTTTAAAATTATTGTTTTGGGTGGGGGGGGGGCAAAAAATTTTGAGGCAGGACAAAACATTTTTTGGGGGGCTAGAAAAAATGTGTTTTCAGTTTGAAGAAGATGTTTTTTTGGGCGCGGTAAAAAAAATTTTGGTAGGGGTAAAAAAAAATTTTTTTTGGTGAGGGGGGGGCAAATCAAATTGTGGTTTGAAAAAAATGCCCTTTGAACGAGTGAAAAATGTTTTTTTTGGGCGGGGTAAAAATATTTTTAAGGGCAGGGTAAAAAAAGTTTTTTGAGCATGGTAAAATTTTTTTTTGGGCAGGGTAAAAATACTTTTTAATTTTAAGAAGTTTTGGTTAGCATTACTAATGCCTTATACGACATATAAAGAAAGATACCTCGAAGAAAATTGAAGTAAAACCCCAACACTCGCAGTCATTTGTTGGGTCGTTTTACATCGAGGCAAATATTACATAAGAAAAAGTTACGTAATATCGTTTTTGGCAATTTCTCTAAGGCTATTTTAGTTGTATCATTAGTATTAGGTAACGATACATATTTTGACAAACATTATTTATGTTGTGAAGGCTGATAAACCGTTGATGAAAAATCATTGATATGCTTAGGCTTAGTGGGCTTAAGTTTAGTAGGCGTACGCTTAATAGTCTTAGTAGACTTAGGTTTAATAGACTTTGGTTTTGTAGGATTGGCCTTAATCTTATTAAGCTTATGCTTAATATTTGTATGTTTAGTAGGCTCAGGAGATTTAAGCTTAAGCGTAGCTGGCTTAGGCTTGATCTTTGTATGGTTAGACGTAGCAGGCATAGGATTTGTAGGCTCAGGCCGCGTAGGCTTACGATTACTAGGCTTAGCTTCAAAAACTTAAACTTTAGCAGGCTTAAGTTCAGTAAGCCTAAAGGTTTTTATAACTTTTTTAAAATATTTCTGATTTTTAAAATTTCAACTCTAATTCTGTCATTTTCAGACAATGGTCGAACACAGAAGTCCTCATTTTTGTCGCATTCATTCAACTCTTAACTATCCTAACAGCCGTCATCCTAGTCATCTTGTACACTAAATTCTACGCTAAAGAATCCTTCTTGCCGTCGAAGAAGGAGCTACAAAAGAAGGAACGAACTCAGTCACCATCAGTCGAAGAGATTAGACGAATGGTACAGGAAGAGGTGCGACGATCAACTCCAGTCACGGTGCCAAGAATGGACGAAAGGAAACGACTGAAAAGACCAAGCAGATTCAGCGAAAGCGAGGACATGGGTAATATGATGGTCGGAAATGAAGGAAATGGTAGGTTCAGCTGGTTGATTTTGATTTTTTGAAGTTCAGGTAATAAAATAAGGGAAAATTTATTAAAATTGGAATTTTTAGAGGGTGGGGGGTTAAGTAAAAAAAAATAAGTGGTAAAAATGAAATGTAAAGTGGAAGGGGGGGGGGACATGAAAAATGGAATGTAGGATTGATGAGGTAGAGGGGGGGAGGGGGGGGTAATTTTTTATTTTTTAAAATTCTTGTTGTTGTTCAGGCTTAAAAGGACGATTTAATGTTGTCTTAACTGTGTAGCTAAAAAAATTTTAAACATAGGCCGTAGCCTGCCATGACAAAAAAAAACTTTTTTGTTAAAAAATGCTTTTATCTTTTGAATTATGGCTATATAAAGCTGGAAATGTCAATTTTAGTCAATGTTTTTATATTGAAAATGACTTTTTTTAAATTTTTAAATGGGAAAAAGAAAAATAGGTATCAAATGACAGCTTGTATGTACATAGGTTTATTGATTAAATCACTTAAAAAATGATTAAAACATAGGCTTTTTTCTAAAAAATAGAGAGATTGATTAAAAATTAGGTTGTAGATCAATGTTCGACATAGTAGAACAAGAACATGTATCATAATATACATGTTGCGGTGAAATTGTATATCTTTAGGTATATTAATATATAGTTATAGATATATTATAGTAGGAAAATGTTAGATATGATAAAAGAACACAGTTGGTGGGTGAAGGGGAGTATTCTTGATTAGTATGGAGTTCCAAAAGTCTTGTCGTTTTTGGTATAAGTGGTGAAGGGTAGAAAGCGACAAGACTTTTGTGGCAGCGTAATATAATACCATATTGACTATGATTAGTATCTTTTGTTTGAAGAGTATGATGTTAGGTATGGATATGATAGTATTGATAAAGTATGGTGTGATAGTATTGTTTAAAGATAGTATGATAGTCGGTATGGATAGGATAGTATTGGTCAAGAATGGTATGATAGTAGGTCTGGATAGAATAGTATAGATCTTGAATGATTGAATAACATTTTATATGCTTTGAATGGTTACAAGGTTGATTAGTATTAAGTATATGATATAGATGATTGTTAGTGATTACAAGAGACAAATATTATTGATTAAACATTGATTAAAGTGATAAAGATTATTGATTAAATATTGATTAGTTATAGTGATAAAGATCACAAAAAGTCATCAGAAGACGAATAGGTATCAAAAATAAGTTAGTACATAGTCGTATTCGTTGCTATCATACCCAAAAGCTTGATAGCAAGCATTGTCGTAGCCTCGTTCCTCTTCTCTCTTCTTGTTTCTCTTCTTCTTGAACCAGTAAACATTGTTCTGAAGCCAGTGAACTAGATTCAGAATCTTGTAGGTCAGGGCTGTGGCCATTTTGGCTTACTATGGGTAGTAAGGAGCTTAGGGAGTTAGATAAGAGTTTTTTTGGACATAGTAAGGTAGTAGTTGGTCCTGAAAGTAGAGTAAAATACAGTGGAATTTCAGTACAACGAATCGTTCGGAAATTTAAAATTGTTTGTTATGAAGAAGTTTTGTTATAGAGGAGTTTTACATGTACTGTAGAGTGTTGGCCGGGGATTTGAAAGTTGTTCGTTATACGGGATGTTTGTTGTAGAGGAGTTTGTTATACAGGAGTTACACTGTAAGTTTTTAATGGAACTCCTGTATAACGAACTCTTCTATAACGAAAATTCTGTATAACGAACAACTTTTGAATCGCCGACCAATACACTACACAGTGCATTTAAGACTCCTCTATACCGAAACTCCTTCATAATGAGCAAATTTAGAATTTTAGAGCAATTTGTTATAAAGGAGTTCTAATGTATTATACTAAAAAACGGTTACGCAAAGTCTAACAATGATATAGAAGAACGAAATGAAAAAAAAATGTACATTATTACTACTTATATACTCATTTTTACCGTAAATATGGGTAGAAAGCTTAACTCTATCGCTAGACATAAAAAATTTGTTTTTATGACACCGTCGTGGCTTTCGACTTTTACCTCTACTTCTAGTCCTAGTTTTGCCCTTATCCTAGAGGCTTTTAGTGGCTCTTTTAAGGAAAACTTTTGCTTTTCCTCCTCCCCTTTCTTTGCAACCTACTCTAAAATAACCTGACTCTAGTCATGGCTATAGGTATGATTATAATACGCTTAATAAAAAACTACTTTACCAGTCTAATATGACTTTTGAATAATAGGAAAAACTAACACGACAGAATTCTTACAAATCTGTCCAATTAACACTTTTACTGATCTTAAATGAGCATTCTTCAACAATAACAAGCTTATTTTGATTGTTAATTGCAATATTTGGGGATTAAGGTCATTTATTATGACTGTCAGGCTAATTAGGGCATTTTTAATCGTATTTGCCAACTAAAAAACTTTAATTGGCTTTTGTCTTCTTTTCTGATATTTTGGCTAGCGGAAAAATTATGAAGACCAAACTTTTGGATTAGAAAGTAACATAATATGACAGTTTTTTGCGCTTCAGCCACTAAAAACCACTGTTTTCAGCACATTCCCAACCCCACCAGACCAACCTAACCCCTCTACGTCATCGTCGTCGCGCTACAATTCAGCACGACGTAGGGTCAGAAGAGGAGCTGATGGAAATGCACGGCTCCACTCCATCACTACAAGACTCATCGTTGGCTGGCACATCGATAAGTTCTAGAAGAACCTCGAGTGATTCAATGATGGAGAACAATCTGAAAGCAAGCCCACGCAAGGAACAGTCTCCGCCATGGTTGACGGTGCGCCAAGCCAAGTGGAAGAAGAACAAGAAAAGCAACAAGAAAATGAGTTAGAAAATAAGATTTGTGGGGTAGATTTTGTCGATTTGGCTTTTTGATAGTCTGGATAGAGACGTCGGTAGGGTGGGGACGACGGGTGAATGGAGGTGGATTCATCCTTTGCCAAAGCCGAAAAAAAATTCCACAGGTTACAGACGTTTCTGTGTCATATTGGTACTTTAGTGCTATGTGAATTTTAGGATTTTCATGAAATTTTAAAAATAATTTTTTAAAATTTTGAAAAAAATTCGTTTTGAAAAATGGCTGAGAAGCTGATTAGATGTAAGAAAGGTTATTTTTGATACAAAAATACTGTTATTTTTTAATTTTTGAAAAAAAATCCATAGAAAGCTGATTTTTTTGGAAATTTTTCAAATTAAAACAATTTTTTTAAAAGTTTTGTTTTGAATGATTGACAAAATATACTGTTTGGTACTTTTTAAAACTTTTGGTTAGAGAACAGGACTTATTTTGAAACTTGTTTAAAATTTTGAAATTTTGAAAAAAAATCCACAGGGGGACCAAGCTGAATTTTTTAGAAATTTTTTTTTTATTTTTATTTTTGCCATTCTTAAAGGTTTGTTTTATGAAAAAATGGAATTCAAATTTACATAGCCACTACGTTGATTGTCCCTCAATTTCCTTTCCTTTCATACTGTTCACCTAGTCCCAATAACTTATATAGATATAACAAGGTTCGATGGGTTTGTATAGTTTATATTGTCGTTATATTCTTTATATTGGGCTTTGAATCACAAAAATTTATATTATAGAATGAATTTATATTGTTAGTCCGCGAATTTTTGCAACGACCTTATATTAATCATCATGGCCGGGTATTCGAATGTTTCCTGTAATTCTTGTTTTTTCTTGTCTTTCTCTTAGTATAGCGGTCAAAAAGTTCGTAGAAATGTATCAGAAATTTATTTTTATATTTTTCTTGAGTTGTCCTGGTCAAAAAATTTATAGAACATCTGTTTTCGGCATCAAAATCAAGTTTTTGTCCTGTTTTAAAGCGAAAAATTGGGTATGGTACCGTTTTTTGCTTCAGTACTGATATCATTAGGTTAGTACTATCGCCAGAAAGCCAGTACCAGAATCACTGGGCCGGTATCTAGTCAGTATCAAAGCTTTTGGACTGATATTAGGGCTTTTAGTTTAGTGCAAAGGCATTTGGTTCTGTACCAAATGAAACATTGATACAAATTATCATTTCTACGCACTTTCTGACCGTCACTTTACTCTCTTTTTATGAACAAATACACTTGTAAAACACCGGTGAACCCTACTTTAATAACATGTCTTTGTTGCTCAGTTATACACGATATTACATATGTTTCTGTACAAAATGTTATGAACAATATCACAAATAAACTTGATCGATTTATCGTTTTTTTGGATGTTATACTGAGTTCCAACAGTAAATATTAGGTGCCGACATAAAGAACCCGCCATTTTTTACAGGAAAGGTATGGTGGGTTTTTTATGTCGGCACCTAATACATGATTCTAGGCACTTTATTAGACTTATTAGGCACTTTATTACAGACTTCTTTCAATATTACACTATGTACAATGTTCTCTAATCGTCCAGTTGAGGTGCTTCGGTACAATTCACCCTGAATTCGATAAGCGTGCCAGTGTGTGATTTCACCGTGAATACGGCGTTGTGTTCGTCTTTTGAAACCACTTTAACTGGTATGAAATTGAATTCAATGTAATCCTTCACCATTTGCTTCCATTCGGACATTATTATCTAAAAATGACATTTTAAAAATTTTAAACTTCAAATTTTAAAAAAATTGAATTTTTTTTAAATGAATTTTTAATACCTACATCATCGAGTGTAGCAGCACCGACAATTATAATTGAATCTAGTACAACACCTGCACCTGTAGCCAGCTCTATGATCCGATTGGCTCGAACCAGATTGATTTGAATAGAATCGAACAGATCTGATATCTAAAATAACATAAAGTTACGATTTTTTGTTTTGTAAAAAGTCTTTTAAACTAAATTACTAGCTCTGTAAATAAAATTCTCGAATTTCCAACCAAAAAATCATTCAACTCTTTATACACTATGCTAACTTACCGACCCATACTCATAAAAGCCAGCCCCACGGATTTTGAAAATTTTCTCCTTTTCCGATACATCTTTTTTAAAATTCTGCATAGCTTTGACAAACTTTTCTTGACAATCCGACAGTCCAATTGTCTCTAACACATCTTCAATTTCAATCGACTTCAAGCTCTTGCTTTTGGAGAGCCTAAAATAACATATTTGATTATTTAGGTCTGAAGAACTTAACATATACCGATAAAACTATATACGAAATGAAGCCTATACATTCCTTTTTATCATTCAATATAATAAATAACAACTCAAAACGTTTTAATACTTAAAAAGTAGTTTAGTATTACCCACCCGCCTTCAAAAGCCAAATAAGTCAACAAATCTCCATGAATTCGCAGATTTTCGACTGGTAAATTGAACAATGGATCCAAGTCTACAAAATATTCATTGTTCACTATATTTTCATAATAATAACATATACCGCGATCATTTTCACCTAAAATTCAAAGACAAACAAATAAAGTTAACTTACAAGATCGTGAATTCAATGTGATGCCCAAAGTTTCAATCACTCCTTGATGTTGTTCCTTTAAAACTGATAAAAGTGGAAGAAATTTAGTTGAAAATCCATATATAGATCGTATTTTAGGTACCACTTCAAACAAAATGGCTTTTACTAAGCAATTCTCCTTTCCTGTTCTTGTTATTGTCAATACCAGGTTTAAGTCAATAAATTTGATGAAAGAATTGTCTAAAGTATCAAAAGTTAAATTTATATAGATGACAAGAACATTTCAAAGCTGTACGCCAAATTTCATAAAGATCTACACAGTATCCTTCAAGCTATACAAAATTTCCCGATATTAACCATCACACACCTAAAATCAAAACCCAAAAAACTTACTATTCAAAGCCTTGACCAAATCCAAACACATGTTCCTAAACATAAAATGTCCCAGTCCATCCGTATCCAAGTCGATCTTCACAGAAGAGCATTTTAACATAGCCAGAAGGCGCTTCAGCTTATATGCAGGTATGTACACCATCCATCGCTTCAAAACCTTGATGCCAAAACCAGTTCTTTGTATAATTAACACAACATTGTCTTCAGTATCATTCAAAAGCCTCAGATGCTTTTGATTTATTAGCTGAAACAAGTTTTATGAATATTTTTAAACTTTAGGTAATAGCTAAAACAATATTGTTTAAAATGAAATAAATCTATCCAAAACGGTTATAAACATTCTTATAAGAACCCCATACTACAATAAAATCAAAAACTTTTTGTAATAAACACTAAAGCTGTATAATTATAAGCCAAAACTTATATTATCCATGGCCAAAACCTACAAAAATCGATTCCAAGTGCTCGGTAGACGAAACGGCTGGAATTCTTGAAACTTCATTTAAATTATGTTCTAAAAAACATTCTAAACATGTTTTCAACAACTTTTTGTCCATTCACGAGACATAAACAAGAATAAAAGTTGTCTTGTTTTTCCAAAAAAAATAAATAAAAATAAGAGGAAGAGTTGACACAACTTTAAACATTGAAGTCAAGTTTTTCGCTGAGGAAGTTATTGCCGGATTTGAAGACTAAAGGGTGGCTGGTTTGAGAAAGTTACATTGGAATAGGTCTAGTATCTTGATTTTAGTCGTTTTTTAGTTTTTAAATGTAGTTTTCAAGCTTTTAGACCGTTTTCTTCTATATTACACTAGAGAAGATATGAAGAATTTACCTCAATATTCTAGGAAAGTCAATGCACCGTTTCATTAGAATTTATGTTTTACATGTAGCGGAGATTATGAGCTTTCATTTGCGGTATATTTTCCAAGATTCTCCCGTTAACTTTTTGAGATATACTCGATATTGCACTGAACTCTTTGATATTAGACTAGCCGCTAATATGTTTTTTAAATATCTCGGCTCATACTGAACCAAATAGTTTCAAATTTTGAGTGAACATGTAGAATATCAATGTATGAAATATATGTTTTTATGGTTTTTAAATTTCGCGGTTATTTTTGTAATTTCAAAGATTTCAAAAATTTTTGTCCGCAGGCACTTATTGGTTCAAAACATGATTTTTACGTCGTAAAAACTAAAAATATGGGTTTTTTGTGAAATTTTTTGATTTCAAAATTTTAATTTTGAAATTTTTTTAATTTTTAAAATTCAAAAATTTCGTTTTAAAAATTTCTAAAAGTCGGTTTGATCTTCTGCAGCGATGTTCGTGAACTGGTCATTCTTCACCACCTATCCGTATGGAATTCTAAAGTTGTCCAAGATAGTGCTGGCGATACTACATCTTTGTTTCAGTTATTACCGGTATACTACCTACTTTGGTCGTGAATTCGAAATATTTGCTATTGGCCTCAACGTTATGACTGATGTAATGATGGCTCTCTTGTACTTGTTTGATGTTCAACGCATGAATTTGAGCCAACAGAATGGGATTACGTTCTTTTTGGCTCTTAATTTTGCTGTAGGTTGTGTTTTTGGTTAAATAAGGATAGGGCAAAGTTAACGTAGGTTAGGGTAGTGTTAAGATAAGTTAGAGTGAGGTGGGGTAGGATAAAGCAAGCTAGGGTAAAGTAAAATAAGGTAAGGTTTCTAGAAAAAGCTAAAGTAGGGTCATGACAAAGGAAAGGTAGAGTAGGGTATATGGTAGGGTAGGGTAGGGTAGAGTGGAGTAGAGTAGAGTACAGTACAGTACTGTAGGGTAGGGTAGGTCTGGGTAGAGTATGGTGATATAAAGCTAATGTAGGGTAGTTAAAAAGAAAGTATTTTTTTATTTTTTTGATATTTAGGACACAATTGTCAGCTTTGCGGCAGTATTTTTGCTTCCATTGGCTTCAGTATTCAGTTTGGTCGGAGTAATTGCCGCTTTTATGTATGACTACAGCCTAAAATTTGCATATGTGTTTTGTTTGGTAAGTTAAATTTTAATTTTTTAACTATATTCTGACTCTTCAATTTTGAAAATTAATTTTTTTACCTAGGGCAATTAAAAAAAAATTTTTTTATATGTTAATGATGTTAAATTTAAAAAAAAAATTTTTAGGCAGTTTGCGCCCTCGTGACCGCTATTAACTTTATCTATGCCAGAAGACTGTATAAAGACACTAATGGAGACGCCAAGAAGATGATTTACGGTATCAATGTGGGTGATAAGGTGGTTCCAAAAACCTTTGTCTATGATGGTACACACTCGACTACTATCGGCGATCAAAAGTTTGGCTCATTCACTGATAGTTAATTTATCTACTTAATAAAATGGAATTTTATATTTTTGGTCGTTCTTTGACCTGTAAAGAATGTTCTTGTCATTTTTTGTTTTGTAAAGAAAGTCCTTGCCATTTTTGGTTTTGTAAAGAAAGTTCTTGCCATTTTTTGGTTTTTAATGATTTTTTTTTATTTTTAATGATAAAAGAGCAATTAGTCGACTAAAAATGACATAAAACGTTGGAAATGCTGAATATTGGCATTAAAACATAAAAAGTTAAGTTTTCATCTTTAATGTTAACATATATTAACATATTTTTCTAATTAATGGCATTGGTTAATATAAATAATTATTTTTTATGAAAATTTTGTATATTAGATTTTGAACCGTGATTATGAGAAAGTTGTTCTTGGTACTTGTAGTCCACAGTGTGTTGGTTGAATGGTAATTTTTTCATTTTGAAAAAAAAATTTTAAAAAAATATTTTTAAAGTTTATAAAACAACATTATATTAGGTTGTTCAATTATATATGTGCCTCCAAACCACAAAAATTGCATTTGAGATGGGCACAGAATTATGTGAACAACTTAATATTGCGATCGATTTAAGCAATGTGCTTCGCCAAATCCTGCAAGACAAAGAGGAAGATGGAGAAATATACGCCGTTTTGACTGGCGGATCAACAGGAGTAGAGAACTTGTTTAGTGTCACTAATGTATGTCTGATGTACCATCTTTTGCTGAAACACGGAGTAAAACCAGAGAATATCATCACTTTTGCTAATGATACAAGTGTCAATGATAAACAGTAAGGGTATACCTTACCCTACCCTACCCTACCCTACCCTACTCTACCCCACCCTACCCTACCCTACCCTACCCTACCCTACCCTACCCTACCCTACCCTACCCTACCCTACTCTACCCCACCCTACCCTACCCTACCCTACCCTACCCTACCCTACCCTACCTTACCTTACCCTACCCTACCCTACCCTACCCTACCCTACCCTACCCTACCCTACCCTACCCTACCCTACCCTACCCTACCTTACCCTACCCTACCCTACCCTACCCTCAACCTTTTTAAATCCGCCTAAATTGTAGCTCGCCATGGCCAGGAGAGCTACGTACTTCAGGACTTGATAAAGACGTCTACAAAGGTTGCAGAATCGACTACCGTAACGAGAACTTAAATTTTGACTTGTTTGCAAGCGTCCTAGTCGGTAATCAAACCGATGAAAAGTTTCCGGTCTTAAAGTCCACCTCCAAAGACCGTGTCCTACTGTATCATAGTGGTCATGGTGGACACCACGAGTTTGAGTTTGGCAATGAACGGGTACAAACTGACCGCTTTCGCGACGCGTTGACCGAACTGCATTCGAAAGGCATGTACAAACAGTTGTTCTACCACTTTGAATCCTGTTATTCCGGCTCAATGTTTGTCGACTGGCTGACTCCCAACTACAATATTCTTGCTATAACAGCCGCTAATCCGAATGAATGCGCTTATGGTTGTACTAACAAGGATAGCATGGTTATGCCGAGTTTACATGTCGTATGGTGAACTTTGTCGAACACAAAGACGACCTGGACTTGCCTTTGAGTGATGAATTTAAATTCGTCCAAAGTCACATCAAAGACAGTCACGTTAGCAAGTACGGTAACTTTGATCTGCTGATTCACACCACTGACACATTTTTTGGACTTTTGAACCAAGACGAATTCACTGTAAGCAACCAGACTTGTTTAATACAAGTTTTGCTACAAGAAGCGGATCTGTATCGCCTAGAGTATCAAATTAAAGAAGCTGAAGAAGAAGGAGATGCTGTTACAGCTAGAAGACTAAATAATGAATTACAAAAGCAAATTGATTTACTTGAACATACGAACCAGAAAATTGACAGTTTTGTAACAAAGATGTGTATGAAGAACAACTTCAGAGAAAACACAAAGGCTAAGGTAGACCTAGAATGCTACGGAGAGATGAGTAGAACTTTCCACAAGCATTGCCACAATGGTAATCTTGTAAGTTTTGTTTCGGTAAAGAAAAGCCTTTATATAAAGTTTTTTTAAAACAGGGAAGTGTGTCAATCTTTATATAACGGACATATCATGCGAAGATTTTCTTCATTGTCTTGTCGTACCCTTTAAAATGAACAAAAACGTTTTTTTCAGAAACATGTTGGAAAGATCATCTGCACAAGTTGTGTCATGCCAACGTTTTAACCCAAGAATTGGTCAGCGGACTTGCTTCTCATTGCCAAAACTAAATGCTTCTTCACTACTTCAAGTTTTTTTTTACTTTACTAATAAATGCTTTTAACAAAACTTATTATTCAGCTTAAAGAAATGATCAAGTAAACTTTTGCTAATAATTTATCATTGCGGAAAAAGTTGATTGATTTAGCTAACACTTTATGCAAATTGCAAATAAAGTGAATTGTTTTAAGTTTCTAAATTTTCTATTTACCAACAATTCCTGTGTCGTTGAACGGTGGAGCGTTTATATTCGTGTGCTATCGAACGGTCGATTGTTTGATTTGGAGCATTTCACCACAATGGAGCATGTGTCATCAAAAGCTTTAATAGCTTCTGTGATTCTCGGAAGCCTTTTACCAATCTTGGTAGGCATTGTCGCTACTGTTGAGCCTTTTCGCATTTGTAAAACCAACCTGGCTGTCATAAAAGTAATGTTACAATTGAACGATGGTAGTCGAATTCAATTGGTTTGCTTCGAACGACCATAAGGGGGCCGAAGGGCCCCCATTGGTCTGGTAATTTATCATCGCGGAACCAGCAATATATCGACAGAAAAAGCTTGGTTGCAAAAGATGTATAACCATATAAAAGATCATTGTATGGTGGACCACAGCTGGCGTCATTCACTATAACTTCTAGTAACCTGGTGAAACCATCAATTCAGAAAAGTATTGTAGCCAATTCGACGATATGCTTCAGAAGTTAAAGCAAAAGTGCTCCGGTTTGAACATCACAAAAGGTCTAACATTGCTTCATGACAGCGCGCGTCCTCACATTGCGCTGCCACTGTTGTGACGTTAAATGTGATAGGTTGCAAGACACTGCCTTATCCTTTCTGCTCTCTGCACTCGTCTCCAACTGGTTACTACCTATCCAAATATCATCTACAAAACGAGCGCTTTCGAAACTAAGACGAGACCAAATTTGAGGTGGGTTTCTTTTATCAGCTCCAGAAGTCCACATCTGTTCGTTTGGAATGGATAAGCTGTTATTTTGTTTGCAAGATTGTATTACTTCGACGTGTAGCATTTGCCCGTTTGAATTAAATTCCTGACATTAAACGAGACATTATTTTTAAAATGCCTTGTATCATCTTTATACAATTTTACATTTTATAAACTTATAGTTTATTAACTAGCGGCATATATTTTTTGTAAGAAAACATAATGCTAGAACTTTGTAAATTTCATTTTACTATTTCTATAATATATAAATTCAGCCGCATTTTAAAATTTGGTTTTTTTGATTTATCATGCATTCCAAAAAGCTATTGTTCGCTTTCGTGTTTAATATAGTTCTGGTTAGATGGTATGTTGATAAATTTGAGTATAGCATACTTTCAATGCTGTGTATAGCATAAGCTAGTAAAATAAAGGATACTAAATTACTGTGTGATCAGATTATCTATTTAGCAATGTAGTTCGCCAATTTCTTGAAAGCAAAGAAGATGGTGGTGAATTGTATGCTGTTTTGACTGGTGGTTCGTCAGGTCTTGGCAATTTATTCAGCGAAACGAATGTTTGTCTAATGTATCATATATTGCGAAAGCACGGAGTGAAGGATGAAAATATTATCACATTTGCCGGTGATGATAACGTAAATGATACAAAGTAAGAAACTGCTGTCAGCTTTTTGATTTGACTATCTTTAGAATTGACTTTTCCACATTTTGGGCAGGTTATGGCGCATTAGGGTACGCTGCAGATGACTAAGTAGCGTAGCGTAAAGTAATAAGACCAAACTTTACTAAAACTTTTTAACTTTATTACAGTTCTCCGTGGCCAGGAGAGTTGCGTCCACAACCAATCGACCCAGATGTCCGCCAAAGCTGTAGAATTGGCTATAGTTATGAGAATTTGAACTTTGATCTTTTTGCTGAAGCCTTGATAGGTAACGACACCGGTGGCATCTTCGAACATTACCCAGTTCTAAAGTCAACTTCAAAGGACCGTGTTCTACTGTATCATAGCGGTCACGGTGATTCTCATGAGTTTGAATTTGGATATGAATGGGTACAAGCTGATCGCTTACAAAAAGCTTTGACAGCTATGCATGACAAAGGAATGTACAAACAGTTGTTCTATCACTTTGAATCCTGTTTTTCCGGCTCAATGTTTGTTGACTGGTTGACTCCGAAATACAATATTCTAGCTTACACCGCCGCAAATCCGCACCAATATGCTGTTGCTATTGGGTACAAAGGATGGATAATTTCGGTCAAGTTTTCATGTCATATGCAACAGTTTATTGAACAGAACAAAGACCTGAGTGCCTTTAGGCGATGAATTTGCATATGTAAAGAGTCGTGTTAACCAAAGCGAAGTATCCAAATATGGTAATTTTGAGTTAATGACTGACATAACTGACATGTTTTTTGGAAGTTCTAACGAAGATTATGGAATTATTGAACCATCAAGTTGTGAAGACGGACCAGACGTAGCGCTACAAGAGCGGATTTGTATCGTCTTCGATACGAAATTGAGAAAGCTGAAAAAGATGGAGATACTGCTCAAGTCAGACGGCTTAACGAAGAGTTACAAAAACTACATAGTTTGCGTGAACATATTAATGAGAAGATTGATAAGTTTGTAAACAAGATGGTCACGAACAGAAATTTCAGAGCCAACAGGAACGCTAAAGTAGACTTGGAATGTTATGGAGAGCTAAGCCGAACGTTCCGCAAGCATTGCCACAGTGATAACCATGTAAGTTCAATTTCAGTAAAGAAAACGCTTTATAATTTTTTTATTTAAAAACAGAATCTTACACAGATATAACGAGGCAAATACCTTAAAAAACCTTTTTGTAAGCATTTTTTTCAGAAACGTATTGGAAAAATCAATTATGATCATCTACACAGCTTATGCCATTCTAATGTTCCTACTCAAGTTTTGGTTCATGAACTGGCTTTACATTGCCTATGCTAAACAGCTTGGCAAATAATATTGATACTGTTTTGAACAATAAAGATTCTGCCACACATCAAAAAGTGATTTTATTTCAAAAAAAATTGTGAAGTAAAACTTGGCACAGCGTAATTTGGTCTTGCTTTGGTTTCTTAAGCGCTCCTTCTGTAGGTGATGGTCCAGATCTTTGAATAGGTAGTAATCAATTGGAAACAAGTGCGGAGAGTGCTGAGGATGAGGCTACGTCTCGTAACCTAATTCATTTAGCTTCAGAACGGTGGCCCGCGCAATGGGAGGACGCGCATTGCCGTGAACTTATTTAGACCTTTTCTGTTGACCGAACCGGGGCAATTTTGCTCTAATTTCTGATGCATATTGTCGAATTGGCTACAATACTTTCCTGAATTGATGGTTTTACCAAGTTATAAGAAGTTAAAGTGGATGACGCCAGCTGTAGACCACTACATATTTGATGATTTTTTAAAAAGTTCTTGCCCGAAATGTCAATAACCCAAACAGTAGCTACCCGAACAATCGCCACCCGAAATTACCATTGCCCGAAATATCCATTACCCGAAAATCCTTACCCGAAAAGTTCCTACCCGAAGAGTCCATTATTCAAAAAGTTCCTACCCAAAAAGTCCTGCTTCCCGTACAATGTGAGGACGTGCGTTGTTGTGGTGCAATGCCTTTTCTGCAGATCAAAACTGGGCACGTAACTTTTGTTCGGAGAGTACGGCGGATGAACTTGACCAACGAAAAGAAAAGAGATTATTGTTAAGCGGTCGATTAAATTTTTCATACACTTTGCCAACCGTATTCTTACACATCAACAAAAATCTAGTTAAACCAGTACACTGACATCGTTGATCTTTATTATCAAAGATATATATTAAACTTGAATACAGTGGAACTCCTCTATAACGAATCGCTCGGGGACTTGAAATTTGTTTGTTATACAGGAGTTTTAAATGCACTGTGTAGTGGTAGACGGGGATTGTAAAACTTGTTCGTTATACGGGAGTTTCGTTATAGAGGATTTCGTTATACAGGAGTTCCACTTGTTTGCTAAATAATTTAGCTTAGGCAATGTAAAGCCAGTTCATGAGCCAATACTTGAGTAGGAACATTGGAATGGCATAAGTTGTGTAGCTGATCATAATTGATTTTTCCAATACGTTTCTGAAAAGAAATGTCAACAACCAGAAGGTTTTGTAATGTATCTGCCTTGTTAAGTGTGTTTAATGTTTTCTGTTTGTAAATTTAAAAATATTTTTTCACAAAACGTTTTCTTTTTTGAGCTTGAACTTACATGGTTATCATAGTGGCAATGCTTGCGGAACGTTCTGCTTACCTCACCATAACATTCCAAGTCTACTTTAGCGTTCCTGTTGGCTCTGAAGTTTCTGTTGGTGACCATCTTGTTTACAAACTTATCAATCTTCTCATTAATATGTTCACGCAAACTATGTAGTTTTTGTAACTCTTCGTTAAGCCGTCTCACTTGAGCAGTATCTCCATCTTTTTCAGCTTCCTCAATTTCGTATTGAAGACGATAAAAATCCGCTTCTTGTAGTGAAACTTTTGTTTTAATTTTACAGGTCGATGGCTCTATAATGCCATAATCTTTGCCAGAACTTCCAAAAAATTTGTTTGTTTTATTGCTCATCAACTCAAAGTTACCATACTTGCATACTTCGCTTTTGTTTACGCCACTTTTTATGTATTCAAATTGGTCGCTTAAAGACAAACCCAGGTCTTTTTCTTTTTCAATAAAGTTTTCCAAGTGGCACGAAAATTCGCCAGAAAGTAGCCAGCCTTTATAACTAGTACCATACGCGTATTCGTTCGGGTTTGAGGCTGTGTAAGCAAGAATATTGTATTCTGGAGTCAACCAATCAACAAACATTGATCCAGAGTAACAGGTTTCAAAGGCGTATAACAACTGTTTGTACATTCCTTTTTCATGCATAGCTGTCAAAGCTTTTTGTAAACGATCAGCTTGTACCCATTCACGTCCAAATTCAAACTCATGAGAATCACCGTGACTACTGTGATACAGTAGAACACGGTCCTTTGAAGTTGACTTTAGAACTGGGTAATGTTCGAAGATGCCACCTGTGTCGTTACCTATCAAGGCTTCAGCAAAAAGATCAAAGTTCAAACCCTTATAACTATAGTCAATTCTACAGCCTTGGCGGACGTCTGGGTCACCTGGTTGTGGACGTAACTCGCCTGGCCACGGAGAACTGTAATTTTAAAGTTACCTAACTATAGTCAAATGAAAGAGATAAACAACAATTTCTTACTATGTAGAATTCACATTATCATCACCGGCAAATGTGATAATATTTTCATCCTTCACTCCGTGCTTTCGCAATATATGATACATTAGGCAAACGCTTGTTTCACTGAACAAATTGCGAATTCCTGTTGATCCACCAGTCAAAACAGCATACAATTCACTATCATCATCTTTGCTTTCAAGGAATTGGCGAATTACATTGCTAAATAGATCATCTGATTACAGTAATCTGGTATCACATTGCTATAGTAATAAGTAAGACAAAGGTGAACTTGGTGCCATTTCTCTAACTTATATTGTGATTGGCATTAAGAGCAGTACATTTTAATAAAGTTTTTATTTTTTAGTATCTTCTATTTTACTGGCTTGTGCTATACATATTATTGAAATTATATTATAATCAAATTTATCAACATACCATCTAACCAGCACTGTATTAAACAGTAGAACAAACAATAGCTTCATTGAACACGTAATGGATAAAAAGACAAAATTTTAAAATTTCGATTTTATTTATATCAGTAAATGGCATTTTTTAAGGTAAAATGTTGTCTAACACAAAAGGGTGCCGCTAATTCATATACAGTGAATATGAATTTTTTTAAATGCCAAAGGGCAAAAGAATAACGAAATAAAGTTTCGTTTAAGGTCAATAATTTTATGGAAAAAAATTTAATTGGTTTTGTCGTAGATATGTTTCATCGTTAAGCGAGGTCATTGTCGACAATACAAAAGCTAACTTCCATAGACCGTTTCTTACTATAGTAGAAATTATGGTGGAGATCATGAGTAAAACGTATTGCAACTCTAAAAGCCCAGACCACTACCAACGGTTGAGATAAGTCCACAAGGTCCTTACAACAAGTTTATAACCCATTCTATCAATGTCAAATACAACTTCATATATCAAACATTCCGCTCCGTATGTTATATTCGGCACCATGTAGGTCATGTAGAACTTTCTTTTAAGTCGTAGTCTGGTCCTTTGACTCCTGAGTAGTTTTTGCCATTTTTGGAAAGTCGCCCAGGCCACTATTGATGGACGGATCTCTTCCTTGTGCTTTAACGTCAGCTTGGAGTTTCTTGGGAAGCTAATCTCTGAACCAAGCTACTTAAAGGCAGTCACTTTTTCAATTGGTTCATCTTGTATAATATACAGTGTTTTGCCGGACCCGTCCGGTCCGGGGTCCGGAAAAATTTTTTTTTTTATTTTAATAAAACTGTTTTAAAAAATTGCAAATAAAACATATTTTTAAGAATTTTTAAACATAAAGAAAGCAGTTTTAGCGCTCCTGGCTCTTTTTAAAAATAAAAAAAAAATTTTCCGGACCGGACCTGACCTTTTTGGTCCGGACCGGACCGGACCTGAGCGAAAAAAATAGAGCCAATCCGGACCGGATAATATAGGGTGATTTTAAAGTTTTTCATGCTTCTATAGTGAAATTGTTAAGAAATTTTTCATAACCAAAGAATTTTAAAATCTCCAAGCGATTCATTATACAGTGGGGTATCTATATAGTGAACCATCTGTATAAGCAACTCTCCTTATAGTAAACAAGAAATTTGGTCCAGCCAAGTCAAATTGCACTAAAAAGCTTCTCTCTGGAGACAACACTGCTTATAATAAACACAAAATGTCGGTCCTTTAGGGTTGCTTACATAGAGAGAGTACTGTACAAAAGTTCTGCTGTAGTATGTTGCACTCCGGGCCGGGTGCTGGGGGGGGGGCAGAGGTTGAACGTGACTGGTTACTGCAGTTGCACTAGACAGCATGTTATGGTTTAAGATTGTAATTGTTGTCACGTTATTCATTAACTTTGTAATTTGTTTATGTTTTCAGTTTTAAAACGAACATTTATGAAGATTTTTAAATAAAACTTGAAATTTAAAATCTCTCAAGCTTTGAAATTTCAAAATCCCCAAGGAATGGCTTATTTACTGTAGTCTTGACGCGTAGCCTTAATGGCTTCATTAAAACGTTTTGGACAAACATTAAGCATTAATGCAGTTGGAAACGACTTCTTTTTGTTTGTGTTTTGCAATGTTTTAACGTAAAAAACGGTCGGCTAATGTGGTACTAAAAGTTTGGATTGTAAAGGAAGTTTTTGCCATTTTTTGTTTTATAAAGAAAATTCTTGCATAAAAATTAAAAGTTATATTTGTCTATGAAAACAAGTTGTTGCCGTTTTTAACATTTTTTCGTTTAAAAACGGCGTCATTGTATAACTTGTAACCCGCAGGCTGCACAACGTTTTGTTTTTAAAAAAGCGACTATTATGTGTTTTGTGAAGAAAGTTTTTGCCATTTTTTGTTTTGTAAAGAAATTTCTTGCCATTTTATATTTTGTAAAGAAACTTCTTGAATATTTAGCATTTGATAATAAGTTTTGCACCGATTTTTTATAAACAGGACCGGAAGTCTAAAAGTGCATTATTTTCGCATCAAACTTAATTAACTTTTGGCCGTAATATAATTTGAGTTCAATGGTCGCATTGATATTCCATCAAATTAATTTTTTGCAGTTGTTGGGTACTTATGTTAGCTCAAAAAGGTGTTGCACGTCAAGTCGAAATAAAACAAAACGCGGACTTGGCACTTTTTTCACACTTGGTTGCAATCAATAGTTGCGAATAGTTTTTTTTTGAAAAAAAAAGATTTTTTTTCGGATAATTTTCTACATTCCGGTCAAAGAGTAAATAGAAAAGCCAATTAAGATGTAGCGGGCAGTTTAGTCCCTCCTGCTACCCCGTTCTAGAGCAGCCTCAAATAGTACAGAGCCGAACTTCTCATATTACACTTTATTGAGGAGACCCGTAGGGAGAGCGTCCTGCTCCCTACGCCTACAATAAACGCAACTAACTTCATACGGCGATCTCGAGTCATTCGTATGTTTCGGGCAGGCTAATTTATTGCTTGCCCGATCTCAGAAAAACTTAAGATCGGCCCGTAACAAAGACTACCAAATTTAGAAATAAAAAAATTCTACTTATTTTTTGACCTAACTAGCATCAAGCAACGTTCTAAGCGACTAAGAGTCCGATTATTTCCAAACGCAAAACGAAAAAATATAATTTTATTTTTTGTGACATTCCGTTATTTTTCGACCCGATAACGAAGTGACAAATCATCTTACAAGGGAGGTAACTTAAATCGCCCCTCGACTTTGGGACAAAACCTATATATTCTTAAAGCCCTGTGCTCACTGAGTACCGACCTGAAAACCGTTTTTTCGTATGGGGCTTCGTTTTTGAGAAAATCAACTTTAAATTTTGACCGAATCCCCATAAGAAAAGCGCGCGAGAGTCTATCGGAAATAAAGAAAAGAAACCAAGTGGCGACGTGGCCCAGAGGGTAAAGCGTTCGGTTTCCAATTCAAACCACGTGAGTTCGGTTCTGGAGTCTCTGAAGCTTTTTTTAAACATAACTTACCATATGCAAATTTTTGTAAAGTTTTAAAAAATAAAAATTGACATAAATTCTCTAAATAAAAAATCATTAAAGAACATTGCCTAAACCGGTAATATATTAAAATAAGCAAAACTCATGCTTTTTGTTCATTGTGCTTTGGGTGTCACCCCCGCACTTGTTGTGGGGCTCCTGATGTTCAATTCGGACACGGCGACATCAACGATGCTACCGACGATGAGCGAATCGTGAAGACAATGTTGCAATCCGCAGCAGATGATGATTTCGACGATGAAGCAGATGAGGACTTGATTGAGGATACGGATAAGGCAGCTGATCCAACGTACGAACATGTGACCGACAAAGATAGACGAAAAATAAATGTCGTTAGTTGCTCAAAATTATGCAATTTCATCTAACAATGATATTACAAAAAATATGTAAATTTGCATATTGAAAGGTTTGTTTAAAAAAATTTAAAGACTCCGGAATTGAACCCACGTGGTTTGAATTGGAAACCAAACGCTTTACCCTCTGGGCCATGCCGCCACTTGTTCTCTTCACGTTATTTCCGATAGCCGTTTCGGCGCGCTTTCCTCCTTATGGATTTTCGGTCAAACTTTAAAGGCGATTTTCTCGAAAACTAAGCGCCATACGGAAAAACGGTTTTCAGATCCGTACTCAGTGAGAACAAGGCTTTAAGAATATATAGGTTTCGACCCAAAGTCGAGGGGCGATTTAAGTTACCTCCCTTGTTAGTCCGCAGGCAACTTGACGTGTGTTGTTCTGTTTTTGTGTATGCTAAAATATGGTTTTACTATAAGAACCATTTTTGAAAACCCTAAAAGGTCAAAACTTAACATTTTAGCCTAAATTGAGTTTGATAGTCAAATGTTTGATTTGGCAAAGCTTTGCAGTTGTATACTAATTGATGGTGACATACGGTTACATGTGTTGTGAAGTGGTTTTTAAAGTGTTAAATTGCTTTTTAGGGCTCTAGGCTATGGCAATAGGTACGCTTAGGCAAAGAATATAGCTAGGGAATGGGCTTGGGCATGGACCATCGCATAGACTAGCGCATAGGTTAGGGTATATGCCAAGGTATGGACTAAAATATGGGTTAGGGCATTGATTAGAGCATAAGTTAAGGCGTAAGCTAGGGGTTTGGGCTATGGCTCTGGACAAGGTCTCTGAGCTAGGGATTTGGGCTAGGGCTCTGGGCTAGGACTCTGGGCTAGGGCTCTGGGCTAGGGCTCTGGGCTAGGGCTAGGGCTCTGGGCTAGGGCTCTGGGTTAGGTCTCTAGCTAGGTTCTGGGTTAGGGCTCTGGGCCAGGGCTAGGGGTCTGGGCTAGGGCTCTGGGCTAGGGCTCTGGGCTAGGGCTCTGGGCTAGGACTCTGGGCGAGGGCTCTGGGCTAGGGCTCTGGGCTAGGGCTAGGGCTCTGGGCTAGGGCTCTGGGTTAGGTCTCTAGCTAGGTTCTGGGTTAGGGCTCTGGGCCAGGGCTAGGGGTCTGGGCTAGGGCTCTGGGCTAGGGCTCTGGGCTAGGGCTCTGGGCTAGGGCTCTGGGCTAGGGCTCTGGGCTAGGGCTCTGGGCTAGGGCTCTGGGCTAGGGCTCTGGGCTAGGGCTCTGGGCTAGGGCTAGAGTTATGCTCAAAGTTAAGATAATATACGATTAAGCTTGTCATCTCCATATGTCATCAACTATATTTCTTATTATCACACGTTGTTTTGTTTTCCTTTCATGGAACTTATGACAATATCCATCGGGGACCGTTCTCTGTCTCATTTGTTTTGGACGTTCATCAAGTTTTTTGACTGACACTTCCCGGTTGTTACAAATTGCCTTTTACTTTGCCAAAATTGCCGCACTCTTTTTTCTGTTTTACTTTCATTATATGTACGTACATACATGGGTAAGACGTGCATTTTTTGGGTAGTAACTTTAATATTTTTCAAGAATTTGCTAAAGATGGTAATTATATTTTCAGTTCTGCAGAAAAATGGCAAGGACTTTCTTTAGTGCAAAAAATAGCAAGAACTTTCTTTACAGGGCAAAAAATAACTAGAACTTTCTTTACAAATCAAAAAATGACAAAATTTATAATAGAAATGTCATAAACTGTCAAAAACTTTGTTTCCACCCAGTGTTCCTAGAACTTTTTATAATCAAACGCACCGTTGCTTAACTTGCCAGATCGGACGGGAACGCGCTTTCGCACTGTGCAAAAAATGGCGCTGCACGGTGCAGAAATTAACTTTTTGGCAATAAATTTGTTTACAATAACTCAAAATGGCATTTTAAAAATTTTTTGTGTTTTTGCAAGAACTTTCTTTACAAAATTTTAAAAATGACAGATATTTTTTTAAAATAAAAAAAAATTGAAAAAACTTTGTTTCCAACGATTAAAAATTTTTATAATTAATTTTTTGACTATTTTTTTGAACAGTATTGACATATCTTCTCGAGTATTACCTAAAAAACAAACAAAACCCAACGCTTCCACTTTTAGGCTTGAGTAAAAACTTTTTTACTTTACGTAACGGCTAATTAATTGGCCCAAGGCACTATGTTTTTTGTTCGGCCGAAGAAAATTGGTCTATAAAGCATTGAGAAAAGCTTCGCAAAAGGCAGAAAAAGCCGGCTCCGAGGAACTGCGTTTTATAATGGATGAGGAGAGGGGAAAGGCGAATGGAGGTGGATTCTGAAGCTTGGAGCTTTCGAATGAAGGGGGGGGAGAAGTGGGAGTTGGGGAGACAAAGGAAGAGATACAGATAAAACTTGAAATATACTGTTATTGTAAACAAAGTCTTTGTATTTTTTACGTTTTGTATTAGTTTTCAGGCCGTGCTGTGTCTTGTAAACAAATTTTTTGCATATTTTGGTTTCACTTGAAAAAACAGTTGAAATAATGAGATTGTAAACAAAGTTCTTGCGAAAATTCTCAAAATTGCTAAAAATGCCATATTCAATTATTGGAAACAAAGTTATTGCCAAAAAGTTAATTTATGCACCGTGCAGCACCATTTATTTGTGTTGCACAGTGCTAATGCGCGATCTCGTCCGATCTGGCAAGTTAAGCAACGGTGCGCTTGATTATAAAAAGTTCGAGGAACACTAGGTGGTAACAAAGTTTTTGTCAGTTTATAGCATGCTTATTATGATATTTGGCATAGTTTAGTTTGTAACGAAAGTCCTTGCCATTTTTTGCGTTGTAAAGAAAGTCTTTGCCATTTTTTGTTTTGTAAAGAAAGTTCTTGCTATTTTTCATTTTGTAAAGAAAGTTCTTGCCATTTTTTATTTTGTAAAGAAAGTTCTCGCCATTTTTTGTCTTAACTTTTACAATCTAAAACAAAAAAGCCAAGAGAGCGGAATCGGATTCTGAAAGGAAATCGGCTACAGGAAAAAAAAGCCTAAACGAAAGGCTCCATTTCGGCCGAATTGTTTTTAAAATAAGCCCAAATCCCTTTGTTGGGATATACGTTTATTTTTGCCTCCATTCCATTAGCCATGTATCATTTTACGGTTTCTTAGGTTGTCCGGAAAGTTCTGCAATGTTTGAGTAGGTAAACTTTGAAAAATCAGGAAAAATTTATTTCTTGACGAAAAGAAAAAATTCTTTTTTTGTTTGTTTGTTTGTTACCTAAATTATTCAAAAAGGTAAGTTACATAACTTAATTTCATTTTTTTGTATTGTTTTAGGTATTAGAAAAAAATGGAGAAATCTCGCCTGCGCGTGATTATATGGAATGAATTCAAACGCGGAAATACTGCGGCAGAAACCTTCAGAATCATAAACGAAAATGAGGGTAAGAATGTTGTGAGTTATCCTACGGTGACCAGATGGTTCGCAAAGTTTCGTGTGGACGATGAGAAGCTTGAAGACAAACCACGTGCAGGAAGACCCAGCAAACTTGACAAAGATGCCCTGAGGCGCAAGATTGAAGATGACCCACATATTACAATCCGGGAGTTAGAAGAGTTACTAAACTGTGGAAAAAGTACCATTGGTGATCATTTGAAGGCAATGGGTATGGTCAAAAAGTTGGACAAATGGGTGCCTCACAATTTGACTGATCTGCAAAAAGCCAAGAGACGATGTGCTTCCGAAAAGCTTCTGCAACGCTGCAAAAACGAAGAATTCTTGGATCGAATTGTAACTATTGACGAAAAGTGGATCTCGTTTAACAATACTAGAAGATCTACAAGTTGGTGTAAGCGTGGAGAAGCTCCTAAGCACGTTCCGAAGCCAGAATTGCACGAAAAGAAGCTTATGGTGACTGTCTGGTGGTGTAGCTCTGGAGTGATCCAGTACGATTTCATGAAACCTGGCCAAAGTATTACGGCCGACACCTACTGTGCCCAGATTGAGAAACTGCGACACAATCTTCCAACAATGGTCAGAAGGAGGGGTCCGATCATTCTGCAGGGTAACGCACGGCCCCATGCTGCAAAGATCCTTATTCTCCAGACTTGGCTCTAACGGACTTTCACCTTTTTAAACACTTGTCTTCGTTTCTTAATGAAAGAATCTTCAAAACTCCAGACGATGCCAAGAATGCCTTCAAGAACTTCATCAACTCCAGAAACCCGGAATTCTACAATCGTGGAATAAAAAAGCTTGTAAATCGTTGGCAAGACTGTATTGATTCAGACGGTGATTACTTTGATTGATTGTAGTTGTTAATTATATTGTTATTATTGTTAGTTCAAAAGTGAATAAATATTGCAGAACTTTCCGGACAACCTAACTTTCTTTACATAACAAAAAATGGCAAGAACTTTCTTTATAAATTAAAAAACGATAAACTTTATAATAGGCATGTTTTACAATGTCAAAATCTTTAATTCCACCCAGTGTTCCTTGAACTGTTTATAATCAAGCGCACCGTTGCTTAACTTGCCAGATCGGACGGGAGCGCGCTTTCGCACTGTGCAAATGAGACAAATAGTGCTGCACGGTGCAAAAGTTAATTTTTTGGCAATAACTTTACAGTGGCATAAAATGGTATTTTTGAAATTTTTAGTGTTTTTTGCAAGAACTTTCTTTACAATTTAAAATTTTTTTTCAGGTTAAAAAAATATTTTTTTTTTTCAATTTTTTTGACTTTCCTATGTTAGCATAAAACAGCAAAAAAGTCGAGCATTCCTCATAATGTAATTGAATAATCAATCAAAGAGAACATTTATATTGGAGGAACTAGGAAGCCCCCTCCACAAGTCGCTCTCTAGGGATATATAAACAGTAGTACAAGCGTTCGAAAAGTTCGAGTTTTCTTGAAACTTTTTTTGCACTATGTATATGTGTTTATCTAAAGTGCACACTTCTTGTTTTTTGCTGTTTTTTCGAAAAAACTTGGTCTTTTGGTAGTCATCATATAACTTGTCACCCGCAGGCTGCAGAGGTTTTAAACATTAAAATACCGGGTTTTTGTGTTTTGTAAAGAAAGTTCTTGCCATTTTTTGTTTTGTAAAGAAAATTATTGCTATTTTTTGTTTTGTAAAGAAAGTTCTTGCCATTTTTTGTTTTGTAAAGAAAGTTCTTGTTATTTTTTGCTTTGAAAAAACAGTTTTTGCTATTTTGTGTCTTGTAAAGAAAGTTCTTGCCATTTTTATATTCTGTTACAAAATATGTAAATGTTTTATTAACCTATGTCATTGTTCATGTGCATGTCTGTAATGGCATTTTTTATTATATTTCTTCAATAGTAAATAATTCTTTGTATTCCCGTTACTCAGTGAGGTCTCTGTATTGAGTTTTTAATAATAAAAGTCAAACATTAGAGATTAGCATTTTAAGTGGTTTCTTCTAGTCCTGAGCCCAATCCCAGAGCCATAGCCATAGCCCTAGCCTAGAGCCCTAGCCCAGAGCCCTAGCCCAGAGCCCTAGCCCAGAGCCCTAGCCCAGAGCCCTAGCCCAGAGCCCTAGCCCAGAGCCCTAGCCCAGAGCCCTAGCCCAGAGCCCTAACTTTAGCTCTAACCTTAGCCTTTAGAAAGTTCTTGCTATTTTTTGTTTTGTAAAGAAAGTTCTTGCAATTTTTCGCTTTGTAAAGAAAGTTCTTGTTATTTTTCACTTTTGTAAAGAAAGTTTTTGATCTTTTGTTTTAAATTATACATGTTTTTAAATATTACTTTAGGCTTAGATCTCTATTTTTAGGCTTAAAAGTTTCTCTTCACACCAAAAACCTCTAATTTCTTTGTTTTTTTCTCAATATATTAAAGTACAAGCCTAAATTTGCCATTTCTTAGTATCAAAAACAATAAACACAATACAAAAACATCATTTCCCAACCTTGCCCCGAGCTTGTGGATAACAATATTGACACAATAAAGCCGTTTCCGGCTAGTAATAAAATTGTCAAACGGGGGGGGGGGGGGGGGCGATTTTCCAAAATTCAATTTGAAAAAGGCGTTTCGTACTCGTTTCTTCGTACTTTTTTGACTTTATCGAGTGCCGGTGGACTAGGGAATGGCAGCAGCGGCTTTTTTTAGGCGGGTTTTGGAAAAGAAATGGCACGATTAATTAGTTATGCAGTAATGCTTTTCGATAGTTCTTGAGAGGGTTGCTTGGGTTTTTGGTCGGTTTACGTGAGTTTTTAAAAAAATATATTAAGATTTTAAAAAATATTTTTAAAAATTTTATTTTTTAATTTTTTTGTAATTTTTAAATATGTAAAATACGCGGCCTACTCCATCAAGAGACCAAAAATGGCAATAACTTTCTTTAAAAATCAAAAAGTGACAAAATTTATAATAGGCATGTCATAAACTGTCAAAAACTTTGTTTAAACTCAGTGTTTTTCGAACTTTTTATAATCAAGCGCACCGTTGCTTAACTTGCCAGATCGGACAGGGTCGCGCTTTCGCACTGTGCAAAAGAGACAAAAGGCGTTGCACGGTGCAAGCATTAAGTCCTTAGCAATAACTTTGTTTACAATTATGTAAAATGGCATTTAAAATAATTTTTGAGATTTTTGCAAAAACTTTCTTCACAATTTCAAAAAATTTTCAAATTTTTTAATTTAAAATTTTCAAAAATTTCGACGCAGGTGATTGTTATGTATAATACTTCCGTATGAAAGCACACGGACAATAGAATATGTATAAGCGTGCGAAGAACCGTAGGTCCCAGTTCTCAGTATGTATTATATTTTCGTTCCATTCTTTAGTATTTACACTCTTTTGGCTTTATAAGAGGACGAATCGTAGGTTAGAATAAGAAAAGAGGACCGGAATAAGAAGAGGGCGTTTCACAGTGAATGTTTGAAATAGAGAGGATAAATGTCATTCAAATGAATTTTAAAAAATCTTAAATATTTAAAAATTTTTAAACTAATTTTTTTATTTGTGAATAAGTCCGCAAAACCCGCCTTAAATTAAAAAAATGACAAAATTTATAATAGACAAGTCATAAACTGTCAAAAACTTTGTTTCCATCCAGTGTCCTTCGAACTTTTTATAATCAAGCGCACCGTTGCTTAACTTGCCAGATCGGACGGGACCGCGCTTTCGCACTGTGCAAAGAAGGCAAATGGCGCTGCACAGTGCGGAAATTAATAATTTGGCAATAATTTTGTTTACAGTGATAGAAAATGTTATTTTTAAAATTTTTGAGCTTTTTGCAAAAACTTTCTTTACAAAACAAAAAATGGCAAGAACTTTTTTTACAAAAACAATTTTTTAAAAACTAAAAAAAATTTTAAAGAAATATTTTTCAGTACGTTTTACACGTTTTTCAAGCCTATATTAGTTAATACATACTTTTTGTAAAATTATATTCACCTCATCTATCCTTATATAAACCATCAAACGTTTGTTCTCTGTCTCTTCATTCAACAAATTTCTTCTAAAAATCTCTCCAAAACTACCGTGTTTTTGCTTATTATTGAAGAAAACATTGTCGTATCTTTGTTTTTTGCATAAAATATGTGTTTACCGCCTTTTCGAGATGTCTAGCCTGCGGCTAGAAATCATGAATTAGGTTTTTGAAGCGAAAAACAGCCTTCAAATTAAACATTATGGTACTTGAGCATGGTTTGTCATCTTTGCTTGGACACTTGTGACGTTGGAGTGGGAAAAAAAAGTTAGCAAAAATATATTGGGCGAGACGTTGGGGTGATGTATTAGTATTACAATTATAAAAAGGTGAAAGGGGGGGGGTGATAACAAAATTGCCAAAAAGTGAGGGGGGGGAACAAAGTAGAGTTAAAGTTAAAAGAGGAGAAACCAGGACAAAGTAACAGGGTATAATGTGGTGAAGGTGAGCGTGATAAAGATGAAAAGTGCAGGGTGGGACCTATAATAAGATGAGGGTTTAGGGTACGGCAGGGCTTATGGTACGGTACGGCCTGGTTCACTGTGGGATTATAAGGCCTACGGTAGCAAAGAGAGATGGGGGTGAGTTAAGTAGGGTAGAATAGGGTAGGGTAGAGTAGAGTAGGGTAGGGTAGGGTAGGGTAATATTTCTTACTAAAACCCTCTTGAATAAGTTGTTTGTTTAGTTAGTATGACTGTTTCCGACCCCAAAAGTGTAACTTTTTACGTTTTATTGACGTTTTAATACCCAAAGCAACAGGCCGACACTATTTTTTCTTCGCTTGAAACTAGTAATTGTGAGTATTTCTTCAAAAAAAACTTTTTCGACACAGTTTTTAGGTTTTTGGTGGGAAAACTTTATGAAAAAGGACAAATTTGGAATTGGGTATTATGAAAAAGAGTGCAATATAAATTAGGTGGGTCATAGTAGAATGGCTACTAATAATAGCGGCTTAATAGTGTTTATAGTAATATACTTTTACCGTCGGTTAAAATCGGGTTGGAAACGGCGTTGTTTAATATTGAAAAATTAAAAAATGTAATGTTAGGCTGATTTCTAAATTTTAGGTAATATTTTTTTTAAAATGTTTGAGCTGTAAAGAAAGTTCTTGCAAAAAATTTACAAAATTTAAAAAAAACCTCATTTTTATTCATTGTAAACAAAGTCTTTGCAATTTTTTTGTATTGGAAAGAAAGTTTTTGCAAAAACCTCAAAAATCAATAAAAATGTAATTTTTTGGCATTGTAAACAAAGTTATTTCGAAAAAACTAATTTCTGCACCGTGCAGCGTCATTTGACTTGTTTGCACAGTGCGAAAGCGCGGTCCCGTCCGATCTGGCAACTTAAGCAACGGTGCGCTTGATTATAAAAAGTTCGAAAAACACTGGATGGAAGCAAAGTTTTTGACAGTTTATGACAGTTCTATTATAAATTTTGTCATTTTTTGATTTGTAAAGAAAGTTCTTGCTATTTTTTGCCCTGTAAAGAAAGTTCTTGCCATTTCCTGTTATTCAAAAACAATTTGTCATTATTTATATTTGCCATAACATATCTATAACGCATCTTTTTGCACATATCCATAAACAAGATATGTTTGATTGTGTATCACATCGAATTACGGGCGAAAAGTCGTAGATATATCATGTAAATTTATTCTTTTTTGCTTGTCTGGGTCATCACATTGTCGTTGCCGCCATGTTATTTATGATTTTTACGGGTTTTTGGGCCCGTTAGGGTTAGAATTACAGAGTGGGAATACAGTTTTTATTATTTTTGGTTTTGTAAAAAAAGTTCTTGCCATTTTTTGTTTTGTAAAAAAAGTTCTTGCCATTTTTTGTTTTATAAAGAAAGTTTTTGCATAAAAACTAAAAATGTCATATTTGCCTTTGAAAACAAAGTTCTTGCCATTTTTTACTTTGTATAGAAAGTTTTTGCCATTTTTCAAAATTTCAAAATTTTCAATTTCAAATTTTTTCGAAGTTCATACCAATGCCATTGTTTACCCACCTGCAAAATCGAACTACAATTTACTTTCAAAAAACAATGCAATTTATTAATGTATTTAAGTTTCCTATAATTTCGACCTCCTTCCACCTGTTTTAGTGTTCAAAGGGGGTGTTGTGACTAGACGAATCGCGTGTTGGCTAGTATAATATCCTTTTATTGTAATTTGACACATTCTTAGTTTTTTTCAAGGCGGAGCCTAATTGAGTTGGCACGGGCATAGGATGACTTAAATTTAAGAATTTTGGTAGGAAGTGGTGTTGTAGTAGGACTTTTAGTAGTCATAGCTAAAGCTAGAGTTCGAGGCTAGGGCTATAAAATTTAGCGTTTATATGCTATTTGACGCGTCCATTCACCCCCCCCCCTAAATCCCATTGTGAATTAATTTTTCCACTTCCAGATGCGGTCGATTTACCGTGCTCAACAACCCTCGACATCGCATTCCTTAACCTCGTCAGCTTCTTCAACTTCTACCTCAGCTTCCTCCCTACAATCTCTAGACTACAGTAATAACAATGCTTTGATAAATCAACTGTCATCTCGGTTGCAAGATACTGTACTCAGTCGACTACAAGATCCTACTCTAGGCCGGTTACAAGACACAGCGATAAGCCCGCTGAACAGCCTCAACAATATTAGTACAGTAAGAAGAAATCCGTTTAGTACGGAAGCAACCATACAGTACGATTTACTGGACAACACACCTTATGTACAATATGATCAGACGGATGTTTATCGTGATTTTGCTGTTGAACAACATAAGTTTGGCAACGAAATAAGACATAGACAGCTTACGGTTAGTAGATTGCAGCCAGGCTTTGAGGATGATGAGGAACTGCCTTACTTACGACGTCATGATCAAGGAAACCTGTACTACAAGGATGACACATCATCAACGTTACATCGTCTGTCGGGAGTTGACGCATCATCAACGGTACATCGTCTGTCAAGAGTTGACGCATCGTCAACAATAAATCACGCCTCAGAGACAGAGAATGATGACAAATACAATACAGAAACCGATGAAATGCTAAAAATCGCACAGTCCGATGACGGGCCTTGGCTACGTTATAAACGGACGGATGTTACGCACAAACCAACACCCAGCCATAACGAAGAAAGACAAAGACTCAATCAACAAGAAAGTTGCCGGAATCTACAGTATAATCCAATACACACTGGTTGCTTGTTACATAAGTCGGATGAAGATGATGATATTAACAATGGTATAAACGATGATTGCAACCTCAACTTTGATAGAACGTTATATGGCTTCAACTGTCATAAAGCACAGCATGACTTCAGCATTCACAAATCATCTTGTGGCCAAGGAAATACAGGTTTTGGTGCCAAGGTTCAACGTAAACTACAGAACGACAAACCAAAGATTCGAACAGTACGATACAATCCAGCAGCTGCAGTAAGAAAAAAGTTGTAGCGCATACAGAATTTCTTCTGATGATGGGGCTACGCCAAAATGTTTGAAGAAAAAATACAGTACGGATGTTGAACCGACAAAAAACGCAAATGCTTTAGCTGTGAGACCTTCCAACACTTTTCATGATTGTGACAAGGCTTATGGAGGTCCAAGTAATCGATATGGGCTAGATAAGGGTCCGAATGACTGTAACGGTATAAGCAATACTTCAATTTGCATGCACGATCATACTAAGGCTATGAATAACATCACCAGCCACACTAGTGCTTTGAATAACATCAACAGCCAGAATAGTAGTTTCAATAGCATCAACAGCCCACCCAACATTTCAAAGCGTCTCCACAGCTCAAGAAAGACTTCAATTTGCACAAACAACATTAACATCAATATTGGTAACTGTTCCGTCAGACCATCAACTAGTATTAACCTCAGTAACGTTAGACCATTAACTAGTGTCAACCTCAGCTTAGTCAGACCATCAACTAGTGTCAGCTTCAGTACAGTCCGACCATCGACAAGTACCAACTTTCGACCGCCTTCAAGTAACTTCTACAAGACCTATGACTTCACATCCAACACACTGGTCACTGCCGACGGTTCAAAAAGTGAATTTACGACCGAACAAATTTACAAAAAGATTGGCCGAAAAAGGTTTTTACGAAAAGAATTGTCCAAAACACCAGTGGCAAAGCTCAGGGAGATTATGGAGGAACTGGAAGCTAGGGTTGATGGTGAGTATCTTAACCTTTTGATATCATTCTACATCTTATAATATCATTATTATAGCCTTATGATACCTTATAATATTATTAGTATAGTAATAGCGCTAGCTAAAGCACTAGTATCACGTTAGATAGCACTGTACCTATATGCTCTATAAACAACTTTCTTTAGTATGAAAGACGAACTTTTTTGGTATGACCTGTGTTTTGCCCGGACCGGTCCGGAGCGTTTTTCTTCGGTCCGGTACGGCGATTTTGGATCCGGTCCGGTCCGCAAAAATTTTTGTTTTGGTCTGTCCGGACCGGCAAAACACTGGATATGACAAAATACCACCTTAACCTTAAAAGTTGTACCTTTCAAAAGTGCAACTTTTACGAAAATTTGTCATTAATCCTGTTTTGTTCAGACAATTCCTTGTTAATTATGTTTCGGTACGTTGGAATTGTTATTTCCGCCAATTTGATAGTAACGAAAAATAGAAATGTAAAATGAGGAGTGGATTAGGAAATGCAGTAAATAGGCCTTGTTATTTGATGCCTATTTTAGGAGTGTAAAAAATGAGTGCACATTTGGGCAGAGTACTGTAATTTATTATTAGTACGTTGTGCTAAAGTCTTTTTATTTAGTATTAGTGCAGTTTAGATACTAGGGCTAGGGCTCTGGGTTAGGGCTTTGGGTTAGGGCTTTGGGATAGGGCTCTGGGCTAGGGTTCTGGGCTAGGGCTCTGGGCTAGAACTCTGAGCCAGGGCTACGAGATAGGGCTCCGGGCTTTGGGCTAGAGCTAAGGCTCTAGGAAAAGGTTATGGCGAGGGCTAATTAACTTACAAATTATGACGTTTGGCTGTAAAAATAATTTTTTTTAAATAGAAAGCCACTTCTTTTGGACTCACTTAACATTCACAACATAAATTATTAGCAAGATCTTGCAAAAAGAGATTCTTTGGAGAACAAAGAAAATGAATTACAACGTGCATACGCAGCAAAGCAAACAGATTAACATAAGTCAGTAGTTCAAAAAATAAAAAAATTTAGAAAAAATTTTTTATTTAAAATTTTAAAAAATTTTTTAAAAGTTTTAAAATTTTAATTCAGTTGCCAACACTGACTTAGTACTACTGTTGATGAAACGGGACCAAGTTTACCTTGAAAAGGATGCCTTACAACTGGAGGTGGAGGATATTGTAGAGTAAGTGTAAAATACGCTTTCTTCATGATTTTTTCAAAATTTTAATCGTAAAATGACAAAACTGTTTACACGCCGTAAGTGCTACTTTTTTATTAGTCTTAGCCCTAACCCTGGCTTTATCTGTGTAACTTGGTCTTTAAGGCCTACTACAATATCAATTGCTTTCAGGATCCTTATCATATATAATTTTTAAAATTTCAGATTTCACAAAGCTCAAAACGTTGTGCTCACACAGAATCACGTTGTGCAGGGACGGTGCAATTAAATTTTTATTCACTGACCCAGATTAAAAATCTCATTATTTAAATGTTCTATATATAATACTTTAATTTAAAAATTGAATTTTATGTTTTTACTACTTTGAATTGCCATTTTGTAGTGTTTCGTGATGCTTTGTAATTTACTACAGTGACTATAATATAATGTATTTTATATACTTGCAAAATTGTGCCAAACTTCGAAATAACTGTCAATAATACATGTGATGTTACAAATTTATGTGATTTTTTTAAAATATAATAAATAAATGTTTACAAATAAGGCTTAAAGTGTTTTAGAATTCGTATTTCGATATCAAAAAAAATTAGACTAGGCCTACGGCTACAGCTTTGTTTAGGACTTAGACTAAGCTCCCGTCTAAAGCTATGGCTAAGGCTATAGATAGAGTTAACGCTAAGACAAGAATTTACGTTTAATTTTTGATTTTTAACATTATAAAACACCAGACAAAATAAATTTTGATATCATTAAAACCATTTTTAATCCTTGTAAACCGTCAATCATACCTGATGATTGAACATTATGTATTCTTGATCAAGGCATACGTATATGCTTACAAAAACATGTTTAAACACATCTAAAAGCACTTTCTGAAGATACTTTAGTAACATTAAAAGCTATAATTTCAAAAATTTAAAAAATTTTAGGCTTTAAGTCTAAAAATATTACATATGTTTGTCTCAAAAATGACATTTGCCTTTATACTATAAACGGGAATTTAATTCTATGTGGTCGAAGTTTTAAATTTAAGAAGATTTGTTCGTCATAATACTGTCGGTCAAAGAGTTGCTGATAAAAAACCGTGTTCAAGCTTTTTTTAGTTGGTAATGAATTCGGACCTTAATATGACAAAACGTTTTTACCCAAGACAAAAAATGGCATACACTGTCTTTACAATACAAAAAAAAACTATATTAACCATGTTTAAAATGCCTAAAATTCGTTTTCAAACGGCGTTTCTCAAACTATTTATAATCAAACGCACCGTTGGTTAAGTTTCTAGAATCAAACGGCGTCGCGCTTTCGTCCTAATTTAACCTACTCTACTATTAATTATAAAACATTTTCAGAAATTTTCATTTTGATTATTTTATCATGCACGCGCCAGCTGCGTCTACCGAATTAATGACAGAAACTGATTTATCATGAATTCAAACTGAAGCACTTGTTATCCAAAGGATCATACTTCAAGTACGCTGAAATTTTATTTTGGAGCGTGGTTGGTGTTGCAAAGTTATCAATCAGCAGCAAATACTACGTTTTTTGTGTACAAGCCGATGAACTTGACATTAGAGGAAAAGAAACACTATACAAATGAATTGTGAAATATAATATAGTGATGATTTAACTTTGAGAAGATGATGATTAAGCTTTGTGGACTGGTCTCAAACCCTTGGTGGTAGTTTTTGCAATTGGAGTCGCGGTGTTTTTGTTCATTATCTATTTTCATTTAAATTTCTTTACAAGGACATAAAATAGCATTGTTTTAATTTTTAAGGTTTTAGCAATAAATTTGTTTACAAGGACTCAAAAATGACATTTTTAAATATCTTTGGGTTTTACAAAAATTTTTTTGCAGCATGTAAAAGTTTCTTCCTCTTGCAAAACATAAAAATTTAGGTTTTATTTGACCATCTGACATTTTATTACAATTTCCTGCAAGCTTGTTTTGGTCATACGTTTGCGGAATTGACAGTTTGTCTGTTAGTGCACTTTATTATGTTTTTCAAAATTATCAAAAAGTCAATTAGCGGAGAGAAAACACGGTATTCTTATCAGTTTTTGCAATTTTATTAGATTTCACATAAAAGTACAATACTTTTTATGTTTAAAAGTAAAAAAGTTTTGATAAAAATGGCAAAAAACCATTGTTTGACAGAAAAAAAGTTGCAAAAAGGTCAGTTCTTAAGTAAAAAAGTTGATAAAGTGAATTTTCTACAGTTTTTTTTTCATTTAAAGACTCTTTTTGACTGAAGAGTAATAGGGTTACGGCTAGGACTGAGGCTAGACAGAAGTTAAAGTGCACCTTGTACAGTTTTTATATGTTTAAAATTAACAAAAAAATCAAGTAAACTGACGTTTTCTAGCTAAAAGTGCAAGTTCTACATTTTTTTTATAAGCGGCTTAAGCCTAAACCAAAGAACTGTATGAACTCTGGGGTAAAAGTTTATCGCCTCGACCGGGAATTCAGGTTCGGTGCGTTTCTTACCGTATTAGATAAGAGGTTATCACGGTGTATAAGGTGCTTAACCCTTAGGCGGTACTGATAAGGAGTGAGTATTTAAGGCTGGAGGGGTTGGGAAGGGACATCAAATTTTTCATTGCTTTTGAAGCTGTTTTTTACAGTGTTAAAACTGAATTCTTTGATTTCAAACTAATTTCAAAAAGCTTTTGAAAAAAAAATTGGTATTACTAGTACTACTGGTACCACATACTATACTAATTAACTACAAACGTAATACTAACATTTTTTTACTGCTTTACCGGTTTGGAACACTTTCAATTTTTTGGTCAGACACAGTACCATCAGTACCACTAGTACCACTTTGGAAAAACGTGTTCCGCATTAACTAAAAACTACTTTGATTACTCAAAATCAACTATAATCATGAAACAAAACATTGATTTGTTCGTTTTCGTTCTTGGAGTCAGCCTAGCCTTCTTATTAGTCGACCGACCAGACGCTACTGAAGCCAAAGCTAGCCAATTTGTGTGTATCCGAGTGAACAACGACAGGATCATGACTTCAAGGTAAATTTTATTACCTAATTTGACCTATTTTTGCATTTTTTAAACGAAGAAGAAAAGTTACTTGGACATGTTTCATCGTATAGCATGTTACGCACAGCTTCCAACCCATTTTCGCTTAAAAAACAGCATTTCTGCGTTTTGTAAAGAAAGTTCTTGCCATTTTAGACTCACTTTTTTACTTTTAGTCAACAATATCCATCAGCCAACGTACGATGCATGTTACGAGAAGAATTTGTCAAACTGCGACGAAGTCGACAAGCTACAGTAGGAACTGCCGTCTAAACCGTATTTCTACAGTAATAAGCTTTTTACTCTGTAAAAAGCTGAAGAATAGAAGTTTGTACATAGTTACTGTGCTTTTCTGCATTTTTACTACCGCATAATCTTTACAAAATGGCTATAAAATCATCATATACCTCTCTTAAATGCTTTAGTTAGGGTATATACTATGTATCCTTACTACAATATAATATTATTGTACATATTTATTGTGAATGTTGATAATATACTAAAGTATTTTTGGCAAAAAAAACTTACTAATTAGGAAAACTGTAGACTAAGTAAATAAAACACGGACTTACAGTTGAATTTTGAATTTATTATTAATACAAAATCAGACATAATGACATTAAACAGAGCCTGGATAAAGGGTAGTCTCGCAAGGCCTTCAGGATGTACACCGTCGCAACCAAGTTTGAAGCAAAACCAATGAGCTGAAATATAAAATATGTTAAAATTAAACGTGTTTTACAAATCAAAACCTAAAATTCTTGAAATATACGTACAAAAAATAAAAAAATGCTTACCGCGACACATATTCCCCAATAAATTACAATGTAGTCCGCCGACTCCCAACCATATCTTTGTCTCAGCCCAAACGCTGTCAGCTTTCATCTTGCTTTCGGCCAATGTGTCACCTGTCGGCCTACAGAAGTGCATAAACACGTTTGTGGCCGACAAATAAAACTGCAACATTAACGAGCTGGCCAGGCACAGAATCTCCGCAAACTTAAACATTGACTGTATCACATGTAGCCGCTCAACAGAATCACCAGTAAGCTCCATTGTTGACGGATAAGAATGATTTTTTGGTAATTTTTAAAATTTTTGAAATTTTAAAAATTTAAAAGAATGCAAATTAAAGTTTTTAAATTTTAATTTAAAAGCATATTTTTACATTTTATTTCATTTTATTTACAAAAATGGCAAGAACTTTCTTTTTATAACAAAAACTGACAAAGACTTTCTTTAAAAATCAAAACATGGCAAGAACTTTATTTACAACAAAAAACCTTCAAGATATACAAAAAATGCCGCTCCGTTATCAATATTAATTGTCAGTTTGAATCAATGGCGTTCGCTCGCTAGCCGTATCCACATAAATTGTAGTTTTCGGTCGATAATGCAGTCGATTCCACAACAACAATATCACCAAAGCCAATAGTAGTAATGTCAAAAATAGTAATAAAAATGTCATAAAATGATAATTAAAGGTCCTATTCTTCTCTATAGGATGAGGTAATGTAGGTTTTGTATGCGAATGAGGGGTACTGTAGGTGGTGGTACTGTAACTTGTGTTGAAAGCTTCTGGATTTTCTATGAAAGCCAAGTCTGTTAGCCAAAATTGATTGGCTTTGGCATCTAAAGGCCTGTTCCAGATCATCTTTGGTTGGTTTAGTACTGTACCGTTAGATACGGTATAGTTTACATAGTAAAAACCTTGGTTAACCAATGAAAATGGCTTGAAATCTGAAAAAAAAATTGTTTTGTAAAGAAAGTTATTGCTAATTTTTGTTTTGTAAAGAAATTTTATGAAATTTTTTGTTGTAAATGTAGTTCTTGCCATTTTTTGTGTTGTAAAGAAAGTTCTCACAGTTCCTGGCAAAATTATTACCTAAATTAGGATCTTCACCATAAGCAAAGTTGACAAGCCATTGCCTATACTCTCTATCCAGAACACTGTCACTTTCATTTAAACTGCCGTTCTTATGCCATCCTATAACAAATGTCAGGTCGTTGGCATGCCCAGTGTGACCATCTTGACCAAACAGCTCCAAATAACTTTGTCCACCAGCCTTATCATTAACCTCAGCCAATCTTAAGCCTAATGCATGATAGGCTTGAACTATTTTCCTTCGTCGATTGTCAAAGTTTTTGGCACAGAAAGCTAAAGTTGTAGGTTTGGTGTAGCCGAAGATACCACAGTAATGTTGACACATGTGTAAGTTCGACTGGCTAGATTCGATTGACATTTCATCTGTGGTTGTTGATATCCATAGGCGGGTGGGCTGAAGTTTAGTATTACTATAGATAATGAGGCAAGGGTAGGGTAGGGTAGGGTAGGATAGGGTAGGGTAGGGTAGGGTAGGGTAGGTTAGGGTAGGGTAGGGTAGGGTAGGGTAGGGTAGGGTAGGGTAGGGTAGGGTTGAGCAGGGTAAGGTGGAGTGGTCTAACCTTCCACCATTTGAGTAGTTGATCAAAACTCTGAACTGGAAACAAAATTTCTTCAGTTTGAGGTCCGGTGTGAGTCCATTCATATTGTTTTAGACCGTTGAAGACAGCTTCTGTCAGTACTTTTTCAGGTATTTTCTTGAGGCAACTGAGAATGTTTAATGATGCTACGGTGTTTTTTGGGTTTCTAAAATTTTTTTATTTTACAGAACAATAAATGACAAAGTTTATAATAGGCATGCCTTAAAATGCTCAAAAACTATTTTTCCAACCAGTGTTCCTCGAACTCTTTATAAAGCGCACCGTTGCTTAACTTGCCAGATCGGACGGGATCGCGCTTTCGCACTGTGCAAAGAAGGCAAATAGCGCCGCACGGTGCAGAAATTAATGTTTTGGCAATAACTTTGTTTACAATGACATAAAATTTCATTCTTTTTGTTTTGGTAATTTGTGACAAAACTTTCTTTACAGAAATTTAGTTTTTTTTCTCTAGTTTTTTGTATTTTAGAGCCAAGCAAAGTACTAAAGCCATTATATTATCATCATAATATAAAATATGAATCCTTTGACATATTACCTTTGTTCTGATAAGATTAGTAACAGTCATAACATAAAGATTTGTGAGTAATATACCATTGAAAAAGTGATTATACCCACATGGCTTATATGTTTTAGGCAATTAAAAATTTTATTTCGATGATAATTATGATTGTTTGGCTAGTTTTAATCTTATTGTAGTATTGTCTACGAATATTTATATGTATTAAAACAAAAAAAAAGTTTTGTCGTTTTTTTACTGTGTAAAGACGTGTAAAATGGCGACAAGACTTTTTTTACTACTTTGGTATGTGGACATATATCTTTAGATGTATATGCATATTAATCTTACATTTTTATTGTCTGACACTATAATCATAAAGTATTACCATAAAAACGTATAACAGTAAGAAATAGTACTATTTAGTATAATATCATAGCTAATTAATTAACAATCTCTGCATAATTACATCTTTTAATATAGATTTTCAAAAAGTAATACAATATTATTGTGTCTTACTATAGTAACATGTAATTACATGGCTATGACGTGACGTAGCTAACAAAAATGGGGGTGGAGGATTAGAGACAATATTAGCAAGTACCATGAACTAATACTGTTGAACCGGAAAGTTTCATGTTTTATAAGTCGCATTTTGTAACAAGATTAAATTGTCAAAAAAGGAAACTAAAATTTTTTAGTTTTTATATTTTAAAATTTGAAAAAAAGTGCAAACAACGGATTTTAAACTAAAATCCTGGGTTTTTCTCATTTTTGTAATGAAAGTTCTTGCAAAAACTTCTAAAAATGTCAAAAATGCTATTTTCCATCATTTTAAACAAAGTTGTTGCCAAAAAATTAATTTCTGCACCGTGCAGCGCTATTTGTCTTGTTTGCACAGTGCGAAAGCGCGATCCCGTCCGATCTGGCAAGTTAAGCAACGGTGCGCTTGATTATAAAAAGTTCGCGGTACAGTGGGTGGAAACAAAGTTTTCGAAAGTTTATGATTGATCTATTATATGATTTGTCATCTTTCACAATTTAGTGCATTTTTTGGAAACTGTTTTGATGTTAAAAGTTGGTGGAGTTTTTGCTATTTTGTGTTTTGTAAACAAAGTTCTTGCCATTTTTTGTTTTGTAAAGAAGGTTCTTGCCTTTTGAAACTCACATTTCCCCACAGCCAACGCTTTTTGTCACCACAGTGGTCATATCCACATTTCTGGCTGGACTAACATAGGGCATAGGTGAAGATACCCAAGCTTGTGAGAAAAGCCCAGGCTCAACCGCTGGACTAGATATTAGGTACAGGACGGCCGAAGCGCCGGAGGAATTGCCCATTACGGTAACATTTTTGTGGTTTCCGCCCATTCGGTTGATATTTTGGTTGATAAATTTGAGGGCTTGGAGAATGTCTGAAATGAGTTTTTTTTTAATTTTTATGGGGCGTGAAGAAAGTTATTGCCATTTTTTGTTTTGTAAAGAAAGTTCTTGCCATTTTGTGTTTTGTAAACAAAGTAATTGCGTTCACATAAAAAATGCTTTTTTTTGAGTTTAGAAACAAAGTTTTTGCAGTTTTCTATTTTTGGCGTAAAAACGGCTTCATCGTATAACTTGTCACGCGCAGGCTGCAGGCCGTTTTTTTAATAAAAAAAGCTACCATTTTAGACATTGTATAGGAATTTCAAACTATTTTATGACGCGTAAAGAAAGTTTTTGCCATTTTTTCTTTTGTAAAGAAAGTTCTTGGCATTTTATGTTCTGTAAAGAAAGTTCTTTCTATTTTATGTTTTGCAAACAAAGTTCTTACCATAAAATCCTAAATTGACATGGTTTTTGTTGACAAATGTATTGACAAAGTTTGGAAATCCAAAAATGTTCTCACGGTACGCCAATGTCACAAATATGACATTCTTTGACACATATTTCTCAATTATTTCCTCTTCTTTGATCTCCAATGGAAAGCCGAAGTAGAAGGAGCCGCCGTGAATGTAGAACATTACTGGGCATTTGTTGTCCTGAAAACAAAAATTTTTTTTTAAAATTTGTATTTTTTTAAATTTTGAAAAAAATGTTTTTACGCCATTTTTGACTATTTTTCATCACTGTAAACAAAGTTATTGCAGGTTTTTAAAGATTTTTAAAATTTGTAAAGAAAGTTCTTGCAAAAATTTGGAAAAATATTAAAAATGCCATTTTACATCACTGTAAACAATTTTTTTTCCAAAACTTAATTTCTGCACCGTGCAGCGCCATTTGTCTTCTTTGCACAGTGCGAAACCGCGATCCCGTCCGATCTGGCAAGTTAAGCAACGGTGCGCTTGATTATAAAAAGTTTGAGGAACACTGGGTGGAAACAAAGTTTTCGACATTTTTTTTAGTATTGGAAAGAAAGTTTTTGCAATTTTAAGATTATACGGAGTTAGAAGTGTCAGATTTGTTTATTTTTCGACAGAAAAACCCTTTTTTTTGCCATTTTTTGTCTTTGTAAAGAAAGTTCTTGCTATCTTTTGTTTTGTAAAGAAATTACTTGCCATTTCTTGTTCTGTAAAGAAAGTTGTTGCCATCTTTAGCCTAAAATAAGCCTAAAATATAACTTACAAAGCATTTTTTGTTGGCCAAAACGTTCAAATATAAACAATCTTCAGATCCATTAGCGTTAGTCAAACTGACTGGACTAATATTAGGGCAGTTGGACTGATAGTTAGTGCAGTCCCATGAATTATCCCAAGGTTTCTTCTCTTTTGGTCGACCAAATCGGCTTTCATTGATCGGTGACTCGGCGTATGGTACACCCTAAATAGTTTCATATAATATTAGAAATGTCAGAAGATGAGTTTTTTAATTTTTTTTATAAAGGTAGTATTTTTCTCTACCATTTTTATTGTAAAATACGCCAATTTCTACTTTTATTTCAAAAATATTGCAATAACTTTGTTTACAAAACAAAAAATGGCAAGAACTTTCTTTAAAAATTAAGAAATGACAAAGTTTATAACAGGAATGCTTTAAAATGCTCAAAAACTTTGTTTCCACCCAGTGTTCCCTGAACTTTTTATAATCAAGCGCACCGTTGCTTAACTTGCCAGATGGGACGGGATCGCGCTTTCGCACTGTGCAAACAAGAAAAATAGCGCTGCACGGTGCAGAAAATAGTTTTTTTGGCAAGAACTTTGTTTACAATGACAGGAAATAGCATTTTTTAAAAATTTTTTTGGTTTTGCAAAACTTTCTTTACAAAACCGAAAATGGCAAGAACTTTCTTTACAAAACATAAAATGTCAAGAACTTTCTTTACAAAACAGAAAATGGCAAGAACTTTCTTTACAAAACATAAAATGTCAAGAACTTTCTTTACAAAACAGAAAATAGCAAGAACTTTCATTACAACACTTAAAATAGCTTGAAATATTTATATAATGTCTAAAATGGTAACTTTTTAAATAAAAAACGGCTTGCAGCCTGCGAGTGACAATTTTTACGACAAGCCCATTTTTAAGCAAAGAAAAGATAAAAACTACAAAAACTTACGCATTTTTGTTGCGAACGCAATAACTTTCTTTACAAAACAAAAAATGGCAAGAACTTTCTTTACAAATCAAAAACGGCAAGAACTTTGTTTACAAAACAAGAAATAGCAAGAACTTTCTTTACAACTCAAAAAATGGCAAGAACTTTCTTTACAACTCAAAAAATGGCAAGAACTTTCTTTACAAAACAAGATATGGCAAGAACTTTGTTTACAAAACTTTTTTTTTTATTTTTCGACCGGAAATCCGTTTTTTAAGCTTTTTTTGCTTTTTTTCAACTATTTTTGTGACAGTTATTGCGTAGTCTTCCGGAGATCTTCTTCTCTGTTTATGTCATCAATTAAAGTCTATTTTGGATTATTTTGTTTGCTTAAATTAACCGCCCTTAGGGCGTTGTTTTGAAAGCATTTTTCGTATAATGGAAAGTAAATAAAATACGAATAAAATTGTGGGTAAATAGAGATGACGTGGAAAGAAAGTTCTTGCGGTTTTTGGTTTTTGGGTTTTTAATAGATTTTGAGGTTGGAAAGAAAGTTTTTGCCATTTTTTGATTTTTAAAGAAAGTTCTTGCCATTTCTTAAGTTGTAAAGAAAGTCCTTGCCATTTTTAAAGTTGTAAAGAAAGTTCTTTCCAAAAATGCCAAAAGTTGAAAAAAAATGTCATTTCCTGTCCTTGTAAGCAAAGTTATTGCCAAAAAGTTAATTTCCGCACCGTGCAGCGACATTTGTCTTCTTTGTACAGTGCGAAAGCGCGGTCCCGTCCGATCTGGCAAGTTAAGCAACGGTGCGCTTGATTATAAAGGGTTCGAGGAACATTGGGTGGAAACAAAGTTTTTGAAAGTTTATGACATGCATATTATAAATTTTGTCATGTTATGCTTTGTAATGAAAGTTCTTACCATTTTTTGTTTTGTAAACAAAGTTTTTGCCATTTTTTATTTTGTAAAGAAAGTTCTTGCCAATTTCTGTTTTGTAAAGAAAGTCCTTGCCATTTTTTGTTTTGGAAAGAAAGTTCTTGCTATTCTTGTTTTTTTTTGCAATTTCTCAGACTTTCACCACAGTATAACGTTAATGACCACCAATGTTGTACTTGTGAAATGACCTATAATAAACGTCAAGACGGACCGAATGTTCTTGTCAATGAATACGAACGTAACATGGTGGTTAATGCGTTATATTATGTTGTTACTATCTTTAAACGTCTGTGTACTTTGTTGTTTTTACGTATTTGTAAGAAAATACTACGGTAACTTGGTGTCGTATGTTGAGAGGTGATACTTGAAATTGAGTTTTGGATAACAAATGGAAAGAACTTTCTTTACAAATCGAAAAATGGCAAGGACTTTCTTTACAAAGAAAAAAAAATAGCAAGAACTTTCTTTACAAATCAAAAAAGGGCAAGAACTTTCTTTACAAAGAAAAAAATAGCAAGAACTTTCTTTACAAAGCAAAAAAATGGCGGTTTTAAACAAAAAAGCATTCTGCAGCCTGCGAGTGACAAGTTATACGATGACTCCGTTTTTTAAGCCAAAAAGCCTTCAAAATGCAAAAACTTTGTTTCCAAATACCAAAAAAGCCTTTTCAACACATTTCTGAGGCTCACTTACTTTAAACATCACAATAGTTTCATTTCCATATTGTTGTTCGTAGCCACTGATGAGACCTTGTTGTATCCTGGTAAAGAACAATACCTTATTGTTCTTCCTATGATTACTGTGGTAGTCATAAAACAGTTTGGTACCATTATCAGTACTATTTGTAGCTTCTATTTCAATATTTTTTACATTTTGGTCCACTTTTTCATTTTTGGTACTACTGGTACCGAAATTTTTGAAAGTGGTACTAGTGGCTCCAAATGTAAGAATAGGTTGTAGAAGGGTAAGGAATAGTATAGTAAGGGTTAGTTTAGGTATTAAACGAGCTGTCAACATTTCTGGGCTGCGAAATTGATAAGAACCAGCCGTTTTATTTATTTATTATCGTTATCTCTTGCGTAATCAACATCATATGCCATTTTTGAATGGTTACCGATTACAAAGGGCAAGTAAACAGTAGTGGTGTAAAGAAAATTTAAGTTGTCTTTGGTTTTTGTTAAAATAGTTTTGGCGTTTTATGCTTGATAATTAGAATTCAGCGTATAACATGTCTCCCGCAGCCTGCCAAACCTAAGGATAGACGAAAAGCAAATATAAGAAACTTTTTGCCATTTTTGGTTTTGTAAAGAAAGCTTCTGTTATTTTTTGTCTTTTAAAGAAAGTTTCTTACTATTTTTAAGTTTGTAAAGGAAGTTCTTGCCGTTTTTTGTTTTGTAAAAAAAGTTCTTGCAAAAAATTCAAAAAATTAAAAAAATGTAATTTTCTATCATTGTAAACAAAGTTATTGCCAAAAAGTCAATTTCCGCACCGTGCAACGCCATTTGTCTCTTTTGCACAGTGCGAAAGCGCGCTCCCGTCCGATCTGGCAAGTTAAGCAACGGTGCGCTTGATTATAAAAAGTTCGAGGAACACTGGATGGAAACAAAGTTTTTCATGGCCTCTCACATAGCTATTATAAGTTTTGTCATTTTTTGTATTTTCGTGCATATTTGGAGGTCTTTTTCAAAGGTAGAAGATATTTAGTGCAAATTACACTGTAAACCTTCCACTAGTCTTTTGTTGGTCTTTTTGGTTTTGTCAACAAAAGGTTTTGACATTTTGGCTATTCTGGATGTCTATCCAATTCTAAAGAACATATTTTTAAACTAATTGTCCTTGCTTACGTAGAAAAACCAAAATTGTGGTTTAATTAGTAGCCAATTACAGTACTCTTTAGTGTAACTGACAGTTTAAAGCGGTCTTTAATTAGTAGCACGTTGAGTGAAAAGACATGCAAGTTTCTTAAAATGGACTTTGTTCTACTGTAACACGCTTTGCGTGACATTTTTGATAATTGTAGTAGGTCGTTCTGAGTGAGTACTGTGCATAATAGCGGAAATTAATGTCAGGAATGTGGTTTACACTATAACCTTTGATTTACAAGCACACAATACTACATAGTTTAATTAAAAAGCGGAAAAGGTAAGAGTGAAGTCCAAATGGAAGATTTATAAGGTATTTTTCACTGAAAAGCTTCCACTGACTTCCATTTTTACAAATCTTCTAAAATATGCTCTAAACTTCAAAAAACGACAAAACTTATCATAGGTAGGTTAGAAATTGTCAAAAACTTTGTTTCCACCCAGTGTTCCCCGAACTTTTTGTAATCAAGCGCACCGTTGCTTAACTTGCCAGATCGGACGGGACCGCGCTTTCGCACTGTGCAAAGAAGGCAAATAGCGCCGCACGGTGCAGAAATGAAATTTTTGGCAATAACTTTGTTTACAATGATAGAAAATGGCATTTTTGACATTTTTTTAAATTTTTGCAAGTACTTTCTTTACAAATCCAAAAATGGCAAGAACTTTCTTTACGCTTGCTTTTTCGACCGGTTATAGGCTTAGCAGGCTGTGAGTGACATTTTATACGATGAAGTTTCTTTTTGTCATCATTTTCCACCAAAAAACGAAATATCGACCAGTCAGTTCAACAAAAACAGATCAAAGTGCGGATTAACCTCTTCATGATAAGCTTCTTATCACTACAAAAAGAGTATACTTTTCACTGTAAACGGCTTTACTACACGTGTTTACCATTGGTTTACCATGTATGCGGCAATCGGCTTACACTTTAACATTTGTGGGCCGCGGTACGAACTTCCATTAACCAAATTTGATACAAAAACGTCATGTATAATATAGGAAATGGCACTTTTTTCTCAAAGAATGTCGTTTTTTGAAAAAAATCAACTTTTTTTCATCTTTAAAGTGCTGTAAAGAAAGTTTTTGCGCTTTTTTACAATTTTAAAATATGTTGTATAAATTTTTTTCTGTAAAGAAAGTTCTTGTAAAACCCCAAAAAATTTTAAAAAAATGCAATTTCCCATCATTGTAAACAAAGTTATTGCCAAAAAATTAATTGCCGCACCGTGCAGCGCCATTTGTCTTATTTGCACAGTGCGAAAGCGCGATCCCGTCCGATCTGGCAAGTTAAGCAACGGTGCGCTTGATTATAAAAAGTTTGAGGAACACTGGGTGGAAACAAAGTTTTTGATGTTTTTAAAGAACTGGAAACAAAGTTTTTGTAATTTTAAGATTAGGCTTTGTTAAAAAGCGGCATTTTCGGCTATTTTTAGATATTTTTAAATTGAAAAATCATATTTTTTGCTATTTTTTTTGTTTTGTAAAGAAAGTTCTTGCCATTTTTAACTTGAAATAAGGCTAAAAATGAACTTACAAAGCATTGTGTGTTAAGTTTTGCACTTTTTAATTGCAAAATTCGTTTTAATGACTTTTTAGGTAACAAAAGTCCAGTGTAAATTACATTGAAAATCTTCCATTGTACTTTCATTACAAAAAATACATTAATCATAGTCTTATCAAGACCAAATCGTATCTTTTAGTCCCACTGACACATCAGTTAATAGCCTTAAGGTATTTTTAAATGAAATCTTTACATTTCGGTGAAAAGCCTCCCAAACTGCGCCCAAATCATTAAGATTATTAAATTTTTTTTCTATTGTCGTACTTCTGACCACAAATTTATTTAATTTCAGTCAAAAACGTTGTAAACCCACTCGAATTACGGCAATCAGACTGGGTTTACAATTTATTTTTTAACTTACAATACCCTGATAAAGTGTAAAACTGGTGGTAACTTACTTTACAGTACAGAAAATGACAACTTTTAGATTGTGTAGGTTTTACAATGTCATAAACTTTGTTTTCACCTACTGTTCTTCAAACTTTTTATAATCAAGCGCACCGTTGCTTAACTTGCCAGATCGGACGGGATCGCGCTTTCGCACTGTGCAAACCAGACAAATGGCGCTGCACGGTGCAGAAATTACTTTTTTGGCAATAACTTTGTTTACAGTGGCATAAAATGGCATTTTATATTTTTTGTGTTTTTTGCAATAACTTTCTTTACAGTTTTTGTTATTTTTTAACTTATTGTTCTAAAGTTCAGTACGGTGCTATACAGTACTATCCCCTTCTTTAAAAAAAGTTGATCCAATGAGTCGACTAGTCTATATTATAATAGATTTCATAATCGACCGCGACCGTATTAGTAGCGTTTCGGTCGTTTTCTACAAACTTTTATTGTTTGGAAATTGATTGTGCCCTGAGGCTATTAAGCGAGGATTAGAAAGTTTAAGACCAGTTTCAAATCCTGAGGCACTTAATTGGCTTCGTTTAATCTTCGATACCCTTATTTCTTTCATACATTAATCAGAAGTGGCAGTAAAATCTTTTGTTCGAACATAGTAAACAGTTCACAGTGTAATGGCTATTTTGGTACTGTTTACTGTATCAAAAGTAGCAACTTTGAGTACTATGTAGTGCTATATAGCACAAGGTTTCACTAGTGTTATATAGTATTTAATAAAATTAGTATTGTATAGTACTACTTAATACTAGTACTATTTAGTACTGCTGGATATTAGTACTAGTTTGTATTAAACAATGCTAGTACTATAAAGTACTAAAAGATACTAAGAGTATAAAATATTAAATGATACTTGTATTATAATGTACTAAAAAATAGTACTATATAGCACTAAATTATATTAGTACTATACAGTACTGAAGAATGATAATTATTTATAGTAGTAATGAATGGTAATACTATGTTGCACAAATGTATAATAGTACTATTTAGAAATATATGATACTAGTACTATATAGTATCACTCAATAATAGTACTAAGCAGTAATAATGGATAATAATACTATATAGCACAAATTTATAACCGTACTATATAGCACTAGTTTTAACTATTACTATGTAGCCTTAAGGTCCACATCCAATGGTACTAAATAGTACTAATTTACTATAGTGCTATATAGTACTAATTACATAAAAATAATTTTATTAATGACATTTTACAATTGACGTAAAACGAAAAATTACATTGTTACATTTACCGTACTGTAAAGGATTTACAATATTATAATTAAAACGAAACCTTATATCATAGTCTTACAATTAGTCGTACTGTTGCAATACAGACATTTACAAAGCTTGTGGGAGTAATACCACTTTTGCCATTTAGAATACAATTAATATTGTAAATGTTGTACGATGACACGATTATTTTTTTTCAAAATATTTTTTGTAAAGAAAGTTATTGCGTTTCTTCTCATATTATTAAAAAAAATTCAAAAAGTTGTAAAGAAAGTTCTTGCAAAATCTCAACAATTTTTCAAAATGCCATTTTCTATCATTGTAAACAAAGTTATTGCCAAAAAGTTAAGTTCTGCACCGTGCAGCGTCATTTGCCTCTTTTGCACAGTGCGAAAGCGCGATCCCGTCCGATCTGACAAGTTAAGCAACGGTGTACTTGATTATAAAAAGTTCGGTGAACAGTGGATGGAAACAAAGTTTTTGACAGTTTATAACATGCACAATATAAGTTTTGTCATTTTTTAAATTTTAGTGCATGTATTGAGGACGTTTATTAATGTGGAAGATTTTCAGTGCAAATTACATTAGAAATCTTCCACTTTTATTTTTTTGTGTTTTTATGACAACTTGATGACTTTTACTAAAACGGATGTTATGAATGTGTTTGTATTGAAATTCTACATGATTTCTGTTACCATAGCACATATGTTTTTCGTACAAGGAAGAATATAGGTAGGTATGTTTGGTATGTGACACATGACATACCACATGGTCTCAACGGCTAATAAAATTGTTTGTGAAGTGTTAATCCATTTCAGGGGATTAACTCGGTTTATATTCGGCCCAAATCAATGAGGTTACGAGGTCGAAAGCGACGATTTAATTAAAAATATATTATCATAGACATCTTTGTCTGACATTTCTTACTGAACCTCATTTTTTTGCAGCAAAAATAGGCTTTGTGAAATTTTTTATGTGACCAGCATTGTAGTTTATATACACAAAATTTAAAATTGGGGATTAAAGGTCAGCTGAACATTCAACGAAGGTTTATAAGATATTTTACACTGAACATCTGCCAATTAAATTTAATTTAAAAAACCTTCAAAACAACCCTAAAGTAGAAGAAAATAACAAAGTTTATCATACCCATGTTTAAAATTGTCAAAAACTTTGTTTCCACCCAGTGTTCCTTGAAATTTTTATAATCAAGCTCACCGTTGCTTAACTTGCCAGATCGGACGGGATCGCGCTTTCGCACTGTGCAAACAAGACAAATGGCGCTGCACGGTGCGGAAATTGATTTTTTGGCCAAAGCTTTGTTTACAGTGATTGAAAATGGCAGCTTTAATAATTTTCAAAAAATAAGCAAGAACTTTCTTTACAATTTGTATTCTTTTGTCTTGTTTCGCTTAATTTACAGAAACTTTCTTTTTTTTTTAAAAATCTTTTGAACTTTCTTTACAATTCGTATTTTAGTATTTTTTATAGCTTTTTTTGTATGTTGTAAGTTTTGCAGGCTGCGCGAACTGTTTTATACGATGTAATATGTCTGAGTCAATTTTACGTGAATTTTTTTGAAAATAGGTAAAATACGTTTAATTTACAAGCTTTTTTTTATTTTGTAGAAAAAATTGCAAGAAATTTCTTTACAAAACAAAATGTTGAAAGAACTTTCTTTACAAAACAAAAAATTGCAAGAACTTTCTTTACAAAACAAAAAATAGCAAGAACTTTCTTTACAAAATAAAAAATGGCAAGAACTTTCTTTACAAAACAAAAAATAGCAAGAACTTTCTTTACAAAATAAAAAATGGCAAGAACTTTCTTTCCAGCTAATTTTTTAAAATTTTCTTCTTACCCCGCCCAAACTTCTGTTCCAAAAACCCGCTAAGATATGATAAATAATATTTATTAGTTCTATTCAGTAATCTGTACAACAAATAACGTTAGGGCAAGAGATAAAATACGAGAAAAAGGATTAAAATAATATAGAATACGAGTTTGCAACCGGCTTTTTCAACTGAGGTAATTGCGAATGGATAAGAGAATCATAATCGATATGTACCCTAAGGCGTTTTAAGGCTTATTTCATATTGCTACAAGCGGCTTTAAGCCTGTTATTAAAAAGGAGTGGCATTAAGCCTAAAAAGGTTAGAAAAACGACAATTTTAAGCTTAAATTATGAGATATTAAGCCTAAACAATGACAAAAATAATAGACCTAAGCCTAAAATACAAAACAAAAGGTAGGATTAAGCCTAGACTATTACACACTTCAAGCTTTAAGCCTAATTATACCATTAACACAGCTTTAAGCCTAATTATTTAAGCCGCGTCAAAAAGAATTGGTCCTTTTCGCTATGTATTTCATAACAAAACCGACCAATTCTTTTTGACGCGACCTAAACACAAAGCTTCAAGCCTAAAAACAGCGCTATAAAATGAGAGATCAGGTAAAATGAGAGTGACTAGAGAAAAACAAAGGTAAATAACATACAATAATATGATCAACTGGTCGATTTTGGTCCGTTTGAGGGGTTTTCCGCTTAAATTTGAGGAATATTTCAAAAACGCAATAACTTTCTTTCCAAAATGAATACTGTAAAAAATTGTTTTAGTACGCTCAAAATGGCAACAACTTTCTTTACAAAACAAAAAAAACCGCGGTTTTCTCATCAAAAAGAGGTCTGCAGGCTGCGGTGACATGTTATACGATGAATCCGTTTCTCAACCAAGAATCGTCCCAAAATCAAAAACACCCCAAATCTAAACCAACTCAACCGTGACCCTACTCTGGCGTCTGTAAAACACCACCGCCAGCACGGCGACTACGGTAACAAGCAAAAAGACTACGGTCATACACAAGTATAAAGCCATCTGTTCATTACTCTGCGGGTTAACATAACGACGGTGGCGATGAGCCTGCTTCAACAGCAAATGACGTTTGGAGAGGCGTTCGGCCGGCGATTGAAGCCACTTCTCCGCGCCTTCGGACGACTCCAACACCTGGGCGCCGGCTGCCAACAGGGCTTCTTGGGTTGCGGCGTTGTCTGAAAATGGAAAAATTAGTAAAAGTACATTTCGAAAATGCAAATTTAGTGCAAAATACGAACTATATTAGATGTATTATTTTATAATATTTAAAATTTTTTTTGGAAAGAAAGTTTCTGCAAAAAAAAATTTTTTTTCAGAATTGCTCAAAATTCAAAAAAAAATTATTTTTAGCCTTGAACAAAACCCAAAAAAATTTTTTTTTGCAATTTTTCAACCCTTGTAAACAAAGTTATTGCGGTTTTTTTCCAAAATTTCACCCAACCCTTCCATCCTTAATATTTTGTAAAGAAAGTTTTTGCAACTCAAAAAACTATCAATTTTTTTCAAAAATGCCATTTTATGCCATTGTAAACAAAGTTATTGCCAAAAAAGTAATTTCTGCACCGTGCAGCGCGATTTGTCTTCTTTGCACAGTGCGAAAGCGCGGTCCCGTCCGATCTGGCAAGTTAAGCAACGGTGCGCTTGATTATAAAAAGTTCGAAGAACACTAGGTGTAAACAAAATTTTTGGTAATTTTAACGTACAGTAAACAAAGTTTTTGCAATTTTACATTTCTAATTCAATAAAAAATGTCATTTTTGGCCGTTTTTAGGTTAAAAAAGACAGTTTTTCGCATCAAAAGTTACGTGTATTTTCTCCTAACGCTCATTTACCGTCGTATTCACGGCTCATGTCATGTTATATACCTATATATAACTTATGTTAATCTGTTGTCATCTTACTCGGAAAAATTCTCGTACCCTTCAAATGAATGTGGCGGCTAATTGGGGGTTCAGATGGTTCAATCGTGCATAAATATGCAGATTAGGGCTAATTGTCATGTTTTGACCCTGGCTTTTTTACATAGTAAAATGTGTATATAGTGTGGTGGGTTATAGTAAAAGTAAAAAAAAAATTTTTACTACAGTAAAAAAAAGTTTAAAAAAAATTTTTTTTTAATTTCAAAAATTTTTTTTTGTAAAGAAAGTTCTTGCATAAAAGACAAAAAATTTTAAAAATCCATTTTATGCCACTGTAAACAAAGTTATTGCCAAAAAATCAATTTCTGCACCGTGCAGCGCCATTTGCCCTCTTTGCACAGTGCGGAAGCGCGATCCCGTCCGATCTGGCAAGTTAAGCAACGGTGCGCTTGATTATAAAAAGTTCGAAAAACACTGGGTGGAAACAAAGTTTTTGCCATTTTAAAACATGCCTATTATAAATTATGCCATTTTTTTAGATTTTAGAGCTAATTTTGAACTTTTAAAAAATGAAACTTTGATGAAAGATTTTTAGTGCAAATTGCATTGTAAATCTTCCACTGGACTTTCAAATTCAATATTGCTCATAAAAATGCCATTCTATTGCCATTTCTAACCTATTTTTCAAATTTAATCTAAAAATTTTTTTCAAGCCCCGTATGTGACATACATCCTACCGTGATCTCACATACCTCTTCTCGATACTTTCGTCACAATTATGACAAAAATGCGCGTTTTCCAGAATCCGGTGGCATTAAAGAGTATATTATTGCATGTGTTACGTCGAGTGTGCTTTGATGCTTTTTGCATGCAAACGCTACGTCGCTACGACCTTTTCGGCTCGTGTTACAATGTTATTTATGTTCAGCGTGCGTATTTTAGCCACCAGTTGGGGTGTATGGGTAAATCAATCTCATCAACCGGGACGATTGTAATGCCATACTGATATAAAATGTCATTTTTAGGTAAAAAATAACTGTAATTTCTACGTGAGTCAAAAAAAGAATGGCATTTTAGCGTAATTTTTAAATTTAAAAAATTTTTTTTAAATTAGACTAAAAAATAAAAAACCGCAATAAATTTCTTTACAGCAAACCCAACTAGACAAAATTTTAATATACCATGTAAAATGGCAGTTAAAATCTAAGTTTATATCAATTTTTCAAAAAATTTAAAATTTCCGCGCAAAACCGCAATAACTTTCTTTCCACCTAAAAAGCGCAACAATTTTCTTTACAGTAAATGAAATTTCAAAAAATTTTTGTACAGCATGTGAAATGGCAGTACACATCCACCAGTATCTCAATTTTTTACATTTTTATGCTTAGTCGTTTAAACCGCAAGAATTTTCTTTCCAGCACTAAATTTGCAGTAACTTTCTTTACAGTATACTAAATTTCAAAAACGTTTGTCACAATACGTAAAATGAAAATGTATAATAATGCATATCAACAGTTTAAGATTTTTTAAAACTTGACCTCAAAACCGCAAAAACTTTCTTTCCAGCACTAAATTTGCAATACCTTTCGTTCCAAAGCTAAAACCCAAATTTTTTAAAATAAAAATAAAAGTACATTATCTCTGTAACATTTTTAATGCAAGAAAAAATCTACTTACCGGATTCCTCAGTTGCAAACTTGATGTAGACATCAGCCAAGTCCGCGTCCGCGCTCAATTCCACAAAAACTCCATTATTGTTGTTCATTTCGCGGATTTTCAGTCCATAAGCGGTCATCACATCCTTGAGTAGTACCATTTTGTCATCGTACGATGCCTCACAATCTTCTACACTTTGTTTGAACGAGAACAATGGACTGTACATCTTGCACATGGCATCCAAAGCGAAGGGGGTGGTTTCTGGCAGCTTGTTTATGAATACCAAAGGCATTTCCTGAAAAAGGACAAGATATAAAATGAATTTTTAGAAAAACATTTTTCTTTCGATTTTGAATCCTTTCAAACCCATTTTTCAAAAAATTTTTTTTTTAATTTTCAAAATTAAATTTTTTTTTCTGTAAAGAAAGTTTCTGCAAAATTTCGAAAATTCACAAAAATGCCATTTTCCATCATTGTAAACAAAGTTATTGCCAAAAATTTAATTTCTGCACTGTGCAGCGCCATTCGTCTTCTTTGCACAGTGCGAAAGCGCGATCCCGTCCGATCTGGCAAGTTAAGCAACGGTGCGCTTGATTATAAAAAGTTCATGGAACATTGAATAGAAACAAAGTTTTTGACAGTTTATAACATACTTATTATAAATTTTGTCATTTTTTGGTCGAAAATTGATCCAGGAAGTACTTTTCATGTTAATATTGTTGTAATGTAACGTAAATATTGGCAAAAACAATAGTGACACATAGGGATATTGTAAAAAACCGGTTTTTAAGTAATTATCCAGTTTGTCTGGGTGTTATTTTCGCAAAATTTTCATTTATTTATATTTTTGCAAAAATAGCAAGAACTTTCTTTAAAAAACAAAAAATTGCAAAAACTTTATTTACAAAACAAAAAATGGCAAAAACTTTCTTTCCAATGCAAGAAATGGCAAAAACTTTTTTTACAAAACAAGAAATGGCAAGGACTTTCTTTACAAAACAAAAAATTGCGAAAACTTTCTTTCCTCACCCCCAAATATATATTTTTCCTCTTACAAAAACTTTCTTTCCACTTACCTTCCACAAGCCAGCCATAGCTTCCAAATTGCTAAACGGTAAGGCTGTAGCATCGGATTCTGGAGCCAACACCACGGATTCTGGCTTAATCAGATCCTCAAGTTTAGCTTTCCTCAGACAATTCGAACTTCCTTCAATGTCATCGTTGGTACAGCCCAATTCGGTCACAACCTTCTGGGTCTCCTCGCTATTGACCATCGAGTTTAGTCGAGGTGCTGACGATGTTACAGTAACCGCTTTGGAGAAATATTTCGAATCCGAAGCCATTAGGTATTCGACAATGTTCGAGACCTCCGAGATTACTGTAATCTTCTCCGCATCACCGCCAAATTTGCTGATTTCTTCGTGAATTATGCGTAGGGCTAGTTGGATGTCTAAAATATTACATTTTAGCCTAAAATCAAAAATTTTTTGTAAAAATTTTCAACAAATAGTACAAAATTCCAAAGAACACCTCACAAATTTTCGAAAACGGCACAAAACCCAAGAAAATGCACATAAAACCAAATGGAAGTATTCCCGTGTAATTTCCACTGAAAATCTTCCACTTTCAAAAAAGTCCCCAAAGCTTGCATTAAAATTCAAAAAATGACAAAATTCATAATAGGCATGTCACAAACTGTCAAAAACTTTGTTTCCACCCAGTGTTTCCCGAACTTTTTATAATCAAGCGCACCGTTGCTGAACTTGCCAGATCGGACGGGACCGCGCTTTCGCACTGTGCAAACAAGACAAATAGCGTTGCACGGTGCAGAAATCAATTTTTTGGCAATAACTTTGTTTACCATGATCGAAAATAGCGTTTTCGAGAATTTTTGAAAATTTTTGCAAGAACTTTCTTTGAATTTTTTTTTTAAAAAATATCAAAATTTTAAATTTTTATAAATTCCCATATTAATTTCAAAAAAAATAATACATATAATTTTTAAAAAAACTCGCCATAGAATCCAGCATTCAAAGGCGCATCTTCTTTCGAGACGCCCAAATTCAAAAAGCCAAGAATACCCGTGCGGAAGCCTACTGTAACAACGACCAACTTTTGTAACAAATACTTGTTTTTGATCTCGTCCTCTTTGGATAGAGCATCTGGTAAGAGCAATACAATAACTGGGCATGGTTCTTGCTGAAAATGACTTTTTTATTTTTAAAATTTCAAAATTTTGAAAAAAATGGCCAAATATGGGCTGCCTGATAAAAAACGCAATAACTTTCTTTACAGATGACGGAAAATCGCAAAATTTTGAACCATGCCTTAAAATGACGTTTAATATCATAAAAAATTTAAAAACTGCAAAAACTTTGTTTACAATTCAAAATATAAGGCCATTAAACTTACAAAACAAAAAATGCAATAACTTTCTTTCCAAATATTAAAATTACAAAAAAAAAATTTTAAAATGACATAAAATGGAATTTCTTTCCTATAACTATCAAAAAAGCGCAAAAACTTTCTTTACAAACCTAAAAAACGCCAAAAAATTTGCTGTCGACCCCCGAAAAAGCAGCAAAAAGTATTTCCAACCCTCAAAAAACTGCCATTCCCAACCTACCATGCACTCGGAATGAGCAAAGACATTGTAATGAAGACAGTCATCAACACCATCATTGAAGGCGTCTGCTACTGGGTCCCAGGCGGGACATTTGGCACCGTATTCCGTGTTGTCCAGAGTGCCGTCCCATTCGGCCTTTGGGGTCGGCTTCTCGAAGCGATAAATATCTTCAGGCGGCTCTGAATATGGCACTCCCTAAAATTTTAAAAATATTATATTTTAGATATCATTCCTAAGGCTATTTCAACCATGTTTCATAAAAAAAATTTTGAATTTCGAAAAATTTTGAAAAACCGCAATAACTTTCTTTCCACCTTATAAGATATTCAAAATTCCAAAAAATAGTCGAAAATGAATTCTAAAGCCTAAAATACCCTGTCAAAACAATTTTTACCTAAATTGTAGCTCTTTTTTAAAAAACCGCAAGAACTTTCTTTCCACCTTTTAAAACATTAAAAACGCCAAAAAATTGTCAAAAATGAGCTCACAAGCCTAAAATACCTTGTAAAATCAATTTTTTCTTCAATCTAAGATTTTTTTCAAAACCGCAAGAACTTTCTTTCCATTACCTTTTTTTTTAAAATTTTGGTTTCAAATTTAAAATTTTAGTAAAATACGATTCCTTAGCGCTGCATAAGCAAGATTTAAAATTTTTCCTTCTTACATTTTACTTTGGCTGCTTTTTATTCAGTTTTCTAATTATTACTGCGTGGCCAATTAAGTTGTTATAAGTCGTTAATTGCGTGCCATAATCAAACAAACCTTAAAAGTGGCAGCCAAAACTAATTTTTGACATTTTAGACCTTATGTTTGAAAAAAAAACAATTTAAAATTTTTTTTTAATTTTTTTTTGAAAGTTGTGCAATAATTTTTGGTCGACTTGAACTGTACAACTTAACCCTCGATAGGAATTTGAAAAAGCGGATTATAAAACATCCGGCACGTTTTGTTTATCTTACTAATATATCTAGTTCTCGCGGTTAATGAATGACCAAAGAACGAAAAAACGCAATTTTTTAACTTTTAGAAAAAATTTTAACCTATGTCTTAAGCCAAAGACTAAGTCTACTAAACCGAACCCACTGAGCCTAAGCTTGCTAAGCCTAAGCGTACTAAGACTATACTAAGTTTGAACACGAGCTAAAACCTAAGCCTAAGCCTAAGAATAAGCCTCAGCCTAAGCCTAAGAATAAGCCTAAGCCTAGCCTAAGCCTGAGCCTAAGCCCAAGCATAAGCATAAGCATAAGCCTAAGCCTAAGCCTAAGCCTAAGCCTAAGCCTAAGCATAAGCATAAGCATAAGCCTAAGCCTAAACCTAGTCATAAGCCAAAGTCTAAGCCTAAGCCTAATCCTAAGCCTAAGCCCACTAAACCGAAATCTAGAAAGCCTAAAGCCTCCAAAATCAAGCCCGCACCCACCTTATAACTGTGCACGGTTCGTCCGTCCTCCAAGTCGCTACTGTAGCCCTGAATCTGACCGTTCGTGAGCTCGAGCATGGTCGTGGGTGAGACGTACTTCTGCGGGTCGTGCGACTGTGCATCCTCCAAGTGTGAAGCGACTGGTCGAAGTGTGAATGCGAACATGATCATTATTGTTGTTTCAATGGACATCCGGGCTGGAATTATATTACAGTAGGAAAACACAGTAAGATTTTAGTAATATTATACAGTAAAATTTGGAAAAAATACAGTATTTTTTAGAAAAATTACTGTAGCTCATCGGAGAATATAGAAATTTTTATAAAATTACAGTAGGTTGTATAAAATTACTGTAGTACCTCAAAACATAGCATCACCTTTCAAAAGTTACAGTATAACGGTCATACTGTAGCATCAAAAACTAAAAAATAAAAAAATTTAAAAACAAGCAAATAAGCCTAAAATAAGCCTTAATAATAATAATTAAAAAAATAACAAAAGCCACTAAAAATAAACTTTTTCGACCGAAAAACATCTTTCTGTCGGTTGAAATGATGACAAAAATACTAGACAGATAGCAAAAACAACAAAAATAGCAATAATTTTCTTTACAATGACAAGATTTATACTAGGGGGGTTAGAAACTGTCAAAATTAACTTTTTGGCAATAACTTTGTTTACAATGATAGAAAATGGCTATTTAAAAAATTTTTGGAATTTGGCAAGAACTTTCTTTACAAAATATATCGTTTTTAAAGCATTTTTAGTCAAAGGCAAAAAAATTTAAAATTTCAAAAAAAAATTTTTAATTTTAAAATTTCGTTAAAAAAATGTCAAAACTAATCAAAACACGCGAAGCACCCTCCACCGTACCTATAAAACCTGATTAAAGTTCTTGGTCCAACTAGGCCAACAACAATTTCCGAGTAAATTAAACTTAAGTTGGTCGTTATTAATAGCGCCGGAGGGCATGGTTCGCGTGTAACAGGTTGTAATTACGACCAATGTAAGAAAGTTAATGTTCGTGTTGTAAGAAAAAGCAGAGATTAAAGTTTTTTCGGTTGGGAAATCGACCAGGAAGTTCAATGAGTTCGGATCGGCCGGAAAATCAAGGGTACGGTGGGGGGTTTTTTGATTAGTATTGATTGTTACCGTAATCTTTTTGGGTTGAAATTTTGGAATTAAGAGGAAAAAAGAATAGGTTAAAGAATGGTGTCAACAAAAATTTAAAATTTTGCTTAAATTTGAAAAAAAAAATAAAAAAAGTCAAAATTTAAGCAAAAATTTGAAAAAATCGTGTTAAAAAAGTAAAACTGCCATTTCTAATTAAACTAAAGCCCCAAAGTTAATAAATCCAACTACAGAGTATCCTCAAGTATCTTCTTCAAATAAAAAGCAACAAAAAAAACCCGCAAGAACTTTGTTTCCAACCAAAAATCGCCCGCAAACCCCCATAAACCGCCATTTTTCATCGCTAAACCCATAAAACTTCATCTTTCAACATCGAATCACCAATAAAATGATGAAAAAACCACGTGCAAAGATCAGAATTACACATGTAAGTTCGAATTGAACAATAAAACCCAACTTTGACGGCAATAAATTACCGTTGTAATTGGGAAAACAACGACGACTGATTCTGCGAAACGGTGTTCAATGTGATTTTCATAGGGGGCAGATAGCCATTTCGGCTTCTATAAATCATTACACAAAGCATATAGGGGTTGTGCAATATAGGTTTTGGGGTCGTAGCCTTGGGTGGTTTCAGCCACAACACTAGCCATAGCCCTAGCGCTAACACTAGGGGTGGAAATTAGGGAAGAAGGGGGGGTGGAGAGGGGGGGGAGGGGTGGAGGTGAAAAGTCATGCCTTACACAAACAATAACTACAAAAATGTTTCTTTTGGTCCACTTCCTCTAAAAAAATTTTTTTTTTGAAAATACCCCCCCCTTCTTCTTTACCACTCCCTATCCTCCTTACTTTCCCCACCCCTGCCCTGAAACCCTCAAAAACTTAAAAACCAAGCTTCTTTATGCAATTTCACACCTCCCCTCCCTCATCCCCCCCCACAAATTTAGCCAAAATCATGCCATAACCCCCCCCGAAACCATGCGCTAAGCCGTACGTATCGGCGGACTGAACGTTGGGCCGAATCGCCCCGCGGCTTAAACCGGCCCGACTCCGCCCCAACCGATCCCGCAATCTACGTCGCCAGCCGGCTGCACCGAAAAACAAATTTTGAACCCAATGACCGGCCTTTTGCCACCAGCCCGCGAGAGCCACTGCCAAGGCCCCGCCCCGCGCCCGCTTTCGCGCCGCTTTTTCGTCGTGAGGAAGGGGATGAAAGATTTTCTTCAGGAATCAAAGAACCGGCCATACGGTAACGCATAGTTAAACAGTTGGGAGGAAAGGTTACGGTAAGAAATGATATAAAAAGTTGGGTTACGGTAAGGAATGGTATAAAAAGTTGGTTACGGTAAGAAATGATATAAAGAGTTGGGTTACGGTAAGGTATGGTATAAAAAGTTGGTTACGGTAAGACATGATATAAAAAATTGAGTTACTGTAAGGCATAGCATAAAAAGATGGGTTACGGTAAGGCATGGCTAACATTAAAGCGTACGGCAAGGAATGGTTAACAGTTGAGAATAACGGTACTGTAAGCAGGGCCGGGCGGGGACTTTTGGTCTGGGGGTGGGGATCCAAAAAATCGGCCCCTGTGCCGATTTTTTGCGAATTTTTTTTCCGAAATTCCACAGGGGGGACCACGTTCAACTTTTTTCAAAAATTTTTTTCGGGGGGGGGGGAGTAAATGGAAGCTCAATGAAAGATTTACAAGGCAATTTGCACTAAAAATCTTACACTAACCTTCCATACCTAAGCAAGCCCCCAAAACATGCACTAAACTGCAAAAAATGACAAAATTTATATTATGTACGTTATAAACTGTCAAAAAATTTGTTTCCACCCAGTGATCCTCGAACTTTCTATAATCAAGAGCACCGTTGCTTAACTTGCCAGATCGGACGGGATCGCCCTTTCGCACTGTGCAAAGAGGACAAATAGCGCTGCACGGTGCAAAAATCAATCTTTTGGCAATAACTTTGTTTACAATGATAGAAAATTACATTTTTTATTTTTTTGGTGTTTGCAAGAACTTTCTTTACAAATTTTTTTTTGCGTTTTTAAAATTTGGCCTTATTTTTCAAAAAAATTAAAAAGTAGTAAAGCATACGTGTTGTTTAGCCAAAATACAAATTGAAATTTGTATTTGCAGTTTAAAAACAGAGGTAACACTCATTTGTACATCACTTTCATCACAATTTTATAATTTCGTCTTGACGTACAGAAATGAAAATGTAGTTGAGGTATGCTACAGGTGACATTTAGTACCACGTACTGTATAGTTGTACTGATCAACGTATTCAAATGTACTATGAAAACAATCTTTGATTGACATGACATGCTCTAGCCCAAAGCCCTAGCCCAAAGCCCTAGCCCAAAGCCCTAGCCCAAAGCCCTAGCCCAAAGCCCTAGCCCAAAGCCCTAGCCCAAAGCCCTAGCCCAAAGCCCTAGCCCAAAGCCCTAGCCCAAAGCCCTAGCCCAGAGCCGTAGCCCAGAACCCTAATCCAAAGCCCTCGTCCAGACCCTAGCCCAGAGCCCTAGCCCAGAGCCCTAGCCCAGAGCCCTAGACCTAGCATAAGCGTTAGCCCTATCTCCAGCCTAAGCCCTAGCCTTGCGCTAGGCCAAGCCATTTAATTTAAAACCTGTGCCCAAGCCCTAGTGTCAGCCATAGCCTAAGTTCTAGCCTTAAGCCCTAGCCTAAATCCTAGCTTAATTCCTTTTTTAAGTTCTAGCCCAAAACCTAGGCCTAACCTTAGCTTTAGCCTAAGCTCTAGCCAAAATTCAAGCCCAAGCCAAGGCCCACGCACTAACGTTAGCCAAAGCCCTACCACTGTGAGCTACTGTAACATGTTTTTTTCTGTTGACGCCTTACATTATTTTTTTTTCAAATATTCTGATTGACGTTGACCGTATTTACTGTCCTTATCGTATATAAATAAGTCGATTTGCAGCTATATTCATCACAGACTAGACCATAACGTGAGTCATGCACTCACATAAACCACATATTCATATATTGTAGTTCATACTGAAATCGACACTAGCCTCATATATAGCCACAGTACCTTCAAATAGCCTTTAAAGTCTCAGTATATTCAAAGAGTTTACATGTCACAATATCTTCATATAGCCCTTATACCCTCAATATATTTAAGTAGCTTATATACCTCAATATACACAGATAGACAAAGTCCACTGCTACTATAGTATGATGAATGGTCTCAGCGATTCAAGGACGTAACACCAGCAAGAAGTAGTCCTTAATGCGCCAATAACAACATACTAAAATAGGTATCAACAGCGAATATGTTCGCAAAGTGCACCGCAAACTGGCAATCAGGCCAAGTTTGTTAGACTTTGATAATACGTCAATTTACCGCATTTTTACGTAAAAACAGCCCCAATTCGTGGAACAAACATTGTTTACAGCTAAAAACAGATCGTTTTGCAGGTATTTTTAGCGCGCAAACTGCAAAAAATTTTTATTTATGTTAAAACAAAAAGATCTACGAAGATGACAAGAACTTTCTTTACAAACCAAAAAATGGCAAGAACTTTCTTTACAAAACAAGAAATGACAAAAACTTTCATCACAAACTAAAAAATAACATTTTATAACAGACACGCTTTAAAATGCTCAAAAACTTTGTTTCCACCCAACCTTCCTCACTTTCTATAATCAAGAGCACCGTTGCTTAACTTGCCAGATCGAACGGGACCGCGCTTTCGCACTGTGCAAAGAAGACAAATGGCGCTGCACGGTGCATAAATTAATGTTTTAGCAATAAATTGCATTTTTTAAAAATTTTTAGTATATTTGCAAGAACTTTGTTTACAATTTCTTGCTATTTTTTCGTTTTTTTTTAATTTCTGAGCAAACGCGCAATAACTTTGCTTACAATGCTAAAAAATGAATTTTTAATATGAATCGTAATAAAACTACAAGAGTCGACAAAAATTGTCATTAGAAGCCAAAACTAATATTTTCATAATTTTGCAAAAACTTTCTTTACAAAAAAAATTTTTTTTTAAATTTTAAAAAATTT